GCAGGTCGTGTCATGCTAGCTCGGGCAGATATAACGTGATAAAATGCGGTTCCGTTTACCCAACCCCAAACCCAACCCCAAACCCAACCCCAAACCCAAACCCAAACCCAAACCCAAACCCAAACCCAAACCCCAACCCCAACCCCAAACCCAAACCCCTTTGGAGGAATCATGACATTGATGATTTTTTCAGCAAGTCTAGCGTATACTCTTTGGGTGTTTTTTCAATGGCAAACTAATTAATATAGCCCTAAAATTACTAATTTTGTATATGTTTCGAACTTTGAGCTATTGGATTTTGATTATGATATTATCAAGATTACTTACTAAGGATACAAAGAAGGAATGATAGATCCTTTTAAGGAGAAGGTTTTGATACCACTCTTGATTTATACAGAAAATTTTGAATACGGTAATGCTACAGTATTGAGACTATCCAATTAAACATCATATTATGGCAATAATTTCTTAATACCTAAAATGAAATTGGGTTTTTCAAAAGTGAATGGCAATTTAATGACTACTTCGGAAATGTATGTATAAATCGTTAAATGCACGCCAGACTTATTGGAAAAGGATGAAAATTGTGCCTCTGAAGAAACAATTCAGAAGTTTTTCAGTTAGCCACTAAATTATCTGGTTTTGCAGATAAAAGGAAAATAACTGAACTCAAACGATGGTTAGGTTTAAACAAGTATGTAGGAATTTTATATTCAAATTGAAGAAACAAGTTGTTATACCTTTAATATTTTTCTTTAAAGCAATTTTTACGAAGTCAAAGATTCTCTTTTATTTGGGTTGTCTAAATAGAATGAATTTATAAATGGAGCACTAGTGCAATCATAAACCAATTCAGCATAGTATTGTTACCAAGCTTATGGTAATGTTACTTATGCTTCTTTTTATATAGCTATGAAAGGAGATCAAATAAAGACCATATTTGAATATCCAACTGCAGGAGATTTACTGGCTAATATTGGTTCAATAGTCTCAATATTGTTCATGATTAGATTTATGATATTCTTTTTAAACGATTACTATTTGAACGAAAAAATAATCAATGATCTAATCGCATTTTACTATCCATAATTTCACCAAGTAAGGTTTAAAAGAAATTGGAGAAGAGAGATTATAAAAGTTAAATTTCGAAATGAAAACATAGATATTGATAAATTTAAGAGATTTTATGAAAAAGCAAAAAGTAAAATGGAATAAAAGCTTACTTTTGAGAATCTTATATATGAGATATCTAGAATTTATATTTTAATTAGGGCTAATATGACAAGGGAAGAATTAAAAAAATCTCACCTAGTAGGTTTAAATTTAGACTTTCTGTATGAAAAAGAAGTGCCTAAAAATTTTGTATCAGAATGTGAAGGTGGTATTACACAGAATGAGAATGAAGCTCAAATACTAAATGAGGATGATGTTGCAATTTTGAGTTTGTACGAAAATAAAGTAGCACTAAAAACAAGGGTTTTTGATGAAAAATCATAAAGAACCTTTTTTGATATAAACAGAATAAGATTGTGATATTATTTATTCTTGCTTGATTAAATTATTTAAGTTCACATTTTTCGAAATGTTGAACTATTATCTATTTAGTTAAGTATTTATTTGATTCTAAAATAACAAAAAATTGATTAAGAAAATAACATAATGTTATGGAGGATAGTTATGACAATTTAATCATCTATTATTAATATTAGATATTGTTTACATATTTAAAGTTTAGATTTTAAAGCCTTGATTTAAAGTGTTATATTTCTCCAGCTACTGCTTTGCATAGTACCTTAAAGAAACCAAAAAAAACATATAGTTGGATATTCTAATTAATAATTATCCAAAACTCTTTACAAATACATAGATATAGATTAAGCTTAAGGATTTGGAAATAAGTAATAATATTATTTCTTATTTCGGTTTTGATTATTATTATAGCATATTGATATTTATGTTTAAAAGAAATTTAGAAGATAAATCAAAAGCTAAATGGGCGGTAAGTATAACAATAGCGGCTGTTAGAGGAGGTTTATTTATCAACAGCTGAGGTAAAACAGGCCTATCTGAAAATTTAAAGCATTTTAAATAAGTTGAGAAAAATGGGAACCAATGATAGATTAAGCTAGCCAGATTACTTAAGGCTTGACTGTTTATTTAAATAAGCAACTGCGGGGATTGTAATATTCCAGAACCTATACATTTGTATCTCTAGGATCATATAAATAGACATTATAGTGGAATTGCAAAGGAATCAAAAAGGCAGATGCAGAGAATTTGTAGGTAAAATAATACAATAATATTTAGAGAGTAGAGTTGAGTGTGATACTAGAAGTGTGTTTAGAATTCCTTATTTGAAATGAAAAAGAGTACAATGAAAAATGCAAACATGATAGTCAGAAGTTTTCATAGAAGGATTGAATAAAATTAATTAATCTATCGCTAGAGAATGTTAATTGAATAAAATGGAACAAAAAGTATTTTAAGAGATATCATTCAATTCAATTAACATTTATTGGAAATTCCCTCCTCACTCGATAAATGAGGCATAGATATATAAAGGCAAATAAGTAGTAAAAAACGTTTATTTACATTGATACCACCTTAGCCCATAAGATATAGAAAAGTAAGAAACTGAAGAAATTAATCTAAATTAAAAGAGTTATTTGATTTAGAACTCTTTTTTCGCCTCACTTTTGAGCAGAACCTTATTGATATTATTAACAAAGATTTAAGAATTCAATAAGTACTCTAGTAGGGTAAGGGATATCAATACAATCTCAACCCTAAATTTTGAAATCCAAAGTTCTTAAATACTCTTGTTAGATGCTTTTAATATTCTGCTTGTTGTTGAAATAATATTAAAATCATCTTACAAGTAATTTATCAGGATAATTTGGAAATTATCACTTCAAGGTTAAGAATTTTATATTCAAGAATCCATAAGACAAGATAAGATAATGAGAAAATATCTGTTTTTAAAAAAGAAAAGGAAAATACCTATGCTTCTGAAATAGGGGACATAGTTAATTAATAGTTATTATTATCCCATTTATGCGGAAACATGTATTAATGATCATAAATATGATTTACAGCTAGAGGTTATTATTGTCAATATATGGTCTAAAAGTTTTAAGCTGTCTAATTGAAATTTAGAATTTTATGAGTAAGCAAATGGAATTGGTGATTATATAACAATCTAATAAATTGAGCAGAATTGGAATGACTATAAACTTTTCATCAGAAATTGAAGTTGTAAATGGAGTAATTCATAATGATAATAAACCTTGAATTGAATAAGCGGATTAAGTAACCAATTTAGATTGAATAATTAAGAAAATTGTGTCTTGAGAAATAGAATTTCAATTAATAAAATGAAATAGTATTGATATGAAATATTATGCAATGTTTTGTTTAAATAAGTTTAATTATTACAAATACCATTAAAGTTTAGATCTATTGGATGAAAGTCACCGTAAAGGCAATATTATCATATTAGTATGCATGATCAGACTAATTAAGGTATTAAAGTATCAATGATATTCAGATGGAGATTCTTGATTAATATCAGTGCTGAGGTAGTGAACGAGAAATAGTAAAGATTTGGGAGAGACAATGGAAAGGTCAAGGAGATTGTAATAATCTTGGAGATAAAATCAAAGAATTATAATCTAAGATATAATGAATTATACATATATAATGTTATTTTAGAATAAATTATAGCATAATCAGTCATTATAATAAATTAAGAAATGTCCAAACTGAAAAAAGGATTAAGCAAGGATCTTGAAAAGGAACAGGAAGATCAAGCGATAGCAAAAGAAGAATTGTTTTAAGTATGAGTGATATCACAATAATAAAAAGCCTGTTGTCTAAATTTATCAAGATTACCAATATTTATCTGAAGAGTAAATTGATGTTATTGCCAAAATACTTCAGGTTATTGATTTTTTCAAAGAAAATTGTCCTGACACACAAACATTAATGGAATTTACAAAATTATGTTGCCAAAATCTAATCTATGAATTCATACCCAAAGATTCTCCTGTTTTTCATATTGGTAGATTTTGCCATGATATGTAGATGATGCTGGCGATAAATTTTATATTGTTCTAAGTGGGAGGGCAGGAATCTATATCAGAAGACAACAAGCATCTATAGAAGCTGACGAAGCAGCTGCTCAACCAAGAATATTAAAAATGCTTGAAAAATTGCATTTGGAATCTGTTTCTCAATTATAAGGGGAGGAATTGATGAAATTTTATAGTTAAGTTATTAAAAAGTAGGCTAAACCATAAAAAGTGATTGATTCTGAATTAATATTATTTCGATCAGGAAATTTCGAAAAATATTTCACAAATTAAGGAATTTGTAAGTTTATGTTAGTAGCTTAAAAATATTCTGGTTCCATATTTGGTGAAATGGCATTAACCAATGATAAACCTAGAACTGCTAGTATTTTCGGTTTAACTGATTTGAAATTGGTATCCTTATCAAAAGCTAACTTTAAGGTAATGCTAATAAGTAAACATAGCAAGTAGGAGAAAAAGGAATGAAAGCATTATAATAAAAGATAGACTATTTTTTTAAAATGTTTCCACATATGACTAAGCACAAAATGTCTAAACTTATTTTGTATTTTACATCTGCCAAGTTTCCAGCTAACTTTTTCATTTGGAAATAAGGAGATGAAACCGATGGATTCCTCCTATTAAAAGACGGAGAAATGTAATTGTTATAAAATGTTGAATTTCCAAAACCCCCTAGTTAAAATAATGTAGATTTTACATTAGTTTCTTTATTCTAAAATTCTAAATAGGAAGTCAAAGACATTAAAGAGACAATAGTTCTAGCCAATCTAACAGGAGGGTGTTTCGTTGGAGAAACAGAAGTTGTCTAAAAGAAAGAAAAAAGAGACTACTCTGTAAAAACATTAACTATTTGTAATTGCTATTGTCTTTCCTTAGAAGTAATATATTATAGTAATTATTTTGAGAATTATCATATTGTGAGGAAAACATTTCCTGAATTTTTTTAAGCTTTAAATTCTCTTCAACAACGAAATAGTTATCTTTTTAGGAAGAGGATTGAGGATATTGTGAAAACAAAGAGGTGTAACTTTTATCTTACTAAAAAGGAAGAAGCATTAGCAGTCGAAAGAAGATATGCAAATGAGTTTGGTAAGGATGAAGCTAAACCACTTTTGTCTTCTCCTATCCTTCGTTCTACTTTTTAATCAAAACTCTCTAAGTAATAGATGGTTGAATAAAATAAATCTATTATTGATCAACATACTAAACTAGATGAATAATATGGTGAAAAGTAAGAAGAATTTAATATGCTAAAATTGGCAGGAGAAAATTTCTAAAAGTGTCTTCTGATAAGAGTTGAAAAGCAATTTGAATAATTTTAGCCAGCAAAACCAAAGTAAATATAATAGAATAATATAGATCCAAAACTCCACATTTTAGTAAATAGAATATCACTGTCAAAGATCTCCTATAATCAGTCCGTCGTAGATAATTTCCCATCTTTTGCAACGAACAGAGATTAAATATCTTATAGGTAGTCTAACGAAGAAGATTCTTAATAATTGCCTTCAATAAAAGTTGCTAAACAACATGTAAGAGTTGTGAATCCAAATATTTCATCTAAAGTAGATATCATAAAATCAAATTATCAATCATTTATGAAATCTAAATCAATGAGTTCTAGATTAGATAGATTATCAGACAATCAAATATAAGGATTTATGTTGACAGATTCTATTAATACTTATCATCCTTTACATAGCGTTTAAAATAAGGATGATTAAACTAAAAATAAGAAAAGAGTTAAAACATAATCTAAAGTTGAATCTGATTTTTAGAAGTCAATATTATGATATATATATATAAATCAAAGTTAATTCATATTAACTCTTTCATTTATAAATTAAGTATTTACATCTTAAATTATATTGAATAAGATAATGTTAACAGAGGAAGTGATAAGAGATGTTTTTTAAAAGCAAAGTGAATCTCAAAAATATTTCTTAAAAAATCTTACAGTGAGTAATAGATTGAATGTGACACCAACCTTAACTATCTGTTATTTAATATTAATTTCAAAATTCTATAAATGAAAATTACTATCGATCATTATTCATATTTATCTATTTATAGATTTAGAATTTTTAATGTTGTCTAGAGATCTTAAAAACTTGAAAATATGATTATGTGTAAATCTTAAGATAATAATCAACCTAATAATAATCAGTTATATAATTATTTTGAATATAAATCTGAATATTCTGACATTTTATATACAATTATTAAAATAAATCCATTGAGTATTGAATGGGGATTATCAAAATGAATTTTGCTATTGCTTTCACTGCCTTATGTTTTTAAGCACTAGTCCTGTATCCTTGTCATGACACTATCTCCGAGTAAGTCGACAAATTGGAGAAAAATATTGTGAGATTGGAATAGATGGAAGTGGAATTAAAAACTCATATGGAGAGAAATTAGGAGTTAATCAAGCATAGAATAATTATGAATGGAAAAAATATCTGATGTGATTTTTATTCATTTGTTTTTTTTAAAATATAATATAAATAATGAGATCCTAAAAATAGTAGCAATAATATAAATAATCTTAAAAAGACAATTTTATGGATGTTATTGCTTACTAATCAAAGTAGGAGAAGAAGTGTTTATCAGTTTGATCTAAAAATAGAACTAAACTAAGGATTTCTAGAAATTAATGGAAAAATATCTTACTACAAAGCATAAAATTGATTGAAGAGAAATTAATAATTAAATTTAACTAAACTTAGCAAAAACCATGGTTCTTCCTAAAGTGAATATGTTTGTTGGAATCTGCGCATTAAGCTTTTAAGCTTTTGTGCTTTACCCTTGGCACGATGTGATTTCATAATAAGTTGAAAAATTGGATAAAAACATTAGAATACTAGAGATAATGCAATAATAGCTGGTTAAGGAAGCTGAGCAACTACAAAAATTGAACCCAATTTGATACATAATCATGTATTTCTTTCGATATCACAATATACATATTATATAATCTGTTTTTCATTGTTGATTCTATTTTTAGATGTTATATAATTCAAATTATTTTGGTTGTTAAAATCAAATCCAACAAGTCAATTTTGTAACAATCATTATGTTTAGAGTAAATAATACTATGAATGGAGGGAAGAAGATGATTTGAAGCAAATATCATGCTCCCCCATTTGTAATTGATTAATAAATGATTTATGCTCAATTTTAATTACATTATGATTATAGAATTAAGAAAAATAATTTAATACGTATAAATTTAGAATCTTGTTTATTATTGGAGTAGGGATGAGGCTTAGAAGAGTAAAATTTTGTGGAATTAGATGAATGTAAACATAAATCACATTTTATAAAAACATAATTGTTTTCATAATATCCAAAAATGATAATGAGTTTAAAGGAGGCCTGATCTAATTTCTAATTTAATTCTTATTTCAAATACCTAAAAAAATTCATACCTAAAGGGATTTTCTCTTGATCAATAAGGAAGGTGAGCGCTTAACCAATTCTAGATTATTAAATCAATAATGTTTAATATTAGTATATTTACTTTCCATATATATTCAAATCATATAGTGTTCATTATAGATTATATCATAAAAAATTGATATAATAGAGATAGAATGCACTAATTGAAATATATTGTGTGTCAATATAAATTGAAAATATAATACTACATAAAATAAGTTCTTCTAAAGAAATATAGGAATTAAATTATCACAAAATACAAAAGGATTCGTAGATTTACAAAACTCAATTAGATATTTACAAAACCATATTAATTCCAAACTATTTGAAAAAAAATTGTTATAATTTTGATCATTAACATTTTAACACTATCATTCCTCTATAATAAGTAGGATTGAAGCTGAAGTTAACATAGCCTGAAACTAAAGGTTTAAATTTATCTCTTAATACATAATTTTTTTTCTGGATTATTTTTCTTATTGAATGGAAAATGGTCTAAAATTATTATAAACAATTTTTGTTTCTTTGCATTTGTACTATAATAAATTGGTTATTTTTTTACCCGTGAGAAATGTTAAATAACTAAAAGAGCATTAAATTTGATAATGAAGAAGATGAATGAATCAATAATTCAAATATAATCAAGAAAAAATCCAAATCAACAATTTATTATTTTATATACTGCATTATAAACAAGTGTTCTAATATCAAATAAGGCAATACAAATCGATAGTGTTTACAGATTTTTTAATTGAGATATTTATATAAAATAAAGATATTTTTTTATCATTATTGGAAATCAATACTTAAATTTTCGATACTATCTTTCCCAATCATATAATTCTTATTAATCTTATCTAATTTTATATGATATATCTCTTTATTATTCTCTTTTCTTATACAATGTCTCCTCTAAATCTCTAATTTCCCTGTTTAATATTTCTTATTATTCTTTATCCTAAGCCATTTAGGTTTTAAATTTCTATATTTAATCTGCTTCAATTTGCTTGCTAACGTTTATAAGATTTTCTTTCATTTATTATTATTATTGATCTGCAATCTCATTTTCTTATTCAAAAATTGTATTAGAAAAATCAAATCTTTATGCATCTACATTTTCTAAAGTTTTAAACAGGGCATTGCATATATCTTAAGGGGAATCGTTTGAAAAAAACTCTATAGTTTTAAAGCCAAAGTAACTAAATCTTTTTTGTAACTCTAACTTTTAGTATTATTCACATTCACATTAATTTACAATTAAAGCTATTCTGTTTCTTTCTAAATGATAGATTTTCTTAATTATTTTAGTAATTCTTTAAATCATGATATCTGTTCTTTCAAACTTTATAAAAATGAAAAAAAAATGAATAGAATTGTTACTAAAATAATCTCTAAAGGTTGTTATTGTATTTTCACTATCTTTTTCAAAATCAAATAATGGAGGATTATGGAACCGGTATTTATTATTGATTATTGAAGTTTGCTCAAAATTAGATCTCTATCTCGAATTCTCGGTTGAACAATTTTCTTAGATTAAGTAAAAAACCTTTTTTTTTTCTTCTTCTTCATTTGATAAAAACATAATTTATAGTATTTCGTTTGAATCTTATTATTAATATGTTTAACTTATTTGATCAATTATTCTAAATTGAACCTCTTCGTAAGCAGCATCTACTACTTATCTATAGATTACATAAAATGTTTTATTTTAACATATAGGGCAATAATTTAAGGAAGGTGAATTATTATTCAGCAAAATTTATATTTGAGAAAGCTTCTCTAATTCAAATTAAGGCTTTGAGTCATACAACCAAATGCAATCATAATTTGAGCCAATATTAAAAGAAGGATTGTAACATTGACTTGTTCTAACAAATTTTTTCGAATTCATTTTTTTTGTTGTAAAAAATTTCCCTAATATAAACTTCTATAGTAAACAAAGAAATTTCAGATGTGAAATTTAAATTTGCTTTTGGCAAAATCTAAGAAAATACTTATTCTTAAAGAATGGTTTTAATAAAATCTGTTTATTTGTAACTTTTCTTCACAATTTACTGTATTTCCAAAAAAATAGCATCACAAATATCTTTTGCAATATCATAATATCTATTCTCTTTTTAAAGTTTTAGCCTCAAATTTTACAATTTTATAAATTTTTTTTTTTAAATTTATTGTAAAATGGTCTGTGGTTTAGCTGAATTTAGTTGAATACATTAAAAAGTATTGGTATTTGTAAAATTGCACTTTTGATCGACTAAATTTTCAGATGATGTTAATAGTATAATTTCATTTTGATCTAATTTAAAACCCATTTATTTGTGCAAATCATTTAATAATTAATGTACCTCTATAATAGGATCCATAAAACAATATATAATTGTTGCTAACTCCAAATTTTCCTACTTAGAAATTGATATTAGATTTTTCCACAGGGAATATAATTCATCTTTTTTATTTGTACTTGGAGTATTTAGTATTTGATAATTATGATATTAATCTTTAAAAACACTACTTGGAACTGGATTTGAATAGGGTAAAGCAATATATTCATTCTGATTGTCAATTCCAGAATATTCATAAAAAATAGAGTCCTTTACCTTTTAATCATTTCCTAATAGGATAATTAATGATCTTGCCATGTTTCTAAAATTAATCTTTGAAATATAAAGCAGTGTTATAAACCGAAATTGATAATAATTTCTATAATAAACTATTTAATAGAATATTTTTATATAATTTCTAATAACCATCTTATAATAGAATTGAAATGGAGTTTTAAAGTAATTCTAAAACATTTCATGATATAAATAAAAAATTAGAGAAAGTAAAATGAGTAGAAGATAGGCTGTACTTACAGGGTTCACTGGGAGTGGGAAAACCACCTTTTTCAATAAAATATGTAAAACAAACTAACCTACACAATCAGGAGGTATGTCACTTACGAGATAAACATTTTTAAAAGAGGCTGCTTTTGGAAGTGGATTTCGAGTATTAGATACTCCAGGTTACGGATCAAAATCGGAGAAAATTATTCATGCTGTAAGTGTTTTAAATGCACTAACTGAAGGCCCAGTTAATTAAATATTTATAGTTGTTAAATGGGAAAGAATAGACTTAATGTAAGACTATATCAAATTCATTGTTGTAAAATTTTAAAGATTTAGACATCTTTTAACAATTGCTGTGACACATTGGGATACTGCAGATTTGTCAACTATATAAAAAAATGAGGAATAAGTAAGAAAGTTGGCAGCTTCATATAAAATAAATTCTGTGATATTTGTATCCAAATTTGATACTGGTGAAAAGATTTGTGCATAAATTGATTCTATTTTGGATCGATGCTAAGCACAAGATGTTAAATTAACGGATGCAGAATTTTATTCTAATTTTGAATTAGTTGAATTATAAGATGAAATTGAATTTGAATTAGAATGTAAAAAGGAAGATGTAATCTAAAACTTTAGAAAATTAGCAAATGTTATAAGGTAATATATTAAAGATTTTGATGAGAAAGACAAATCAATGCATGAAATAATGCATTATTTGGCTTTAGAGACAAAAAAAATAGCAGAAAACTTAATCACAGATTTTGAAATAAAAAATAATGCAGAATTTTCTAAATTGTTTGAGTATCATTAAAATCCTAGTCTTGCCTATCTAGTTCATTTTGAATTAAAGAAGGCTGTGATGGTAGATATTGAAGATATTGTAAAGCTTACTCAATAAAAAATGAAAAATAATGAAGAGCATTTTTTCAATTTTATTAAAGCCTGCCCTCACTGTGGACTTATTTGGTTAAAAGTATCCGGATGTTAATATGGTACAACTTGTGGAAATTTTCCTGATAAAGATGATAACAAATTTGAAAAGTATAAATTTCATTCAAGATACACATTTAATATATCAGATAAAGGAGTAAGTTATACGGAAAACAAAGACTTTATGTAAAAATCATAAATTACTCATCCTAAAAAATATGTTGATCCCTCTGAAAAAAACCAAAAAAAACTGGGATGCGGTAAAGAAATTATTTGGGTTGATATTCCTGCTCTTTCACCTTAATAATTAAAAGAGCTAATTGATCCTGGACTTATGGATTATTTCGCTTAAGAGGTTCCTAAGGAAGAGTTGAGGAATATTTTAATGAAAGCTTAAAAATCTGTTTAAAGTTAAGTCGATTAAGCAAAAAGTGAAACTAAAGTAATTAGATTATGAAACTGATAAATATAATATAATTATTTTAAATTCTTAGAAAATGAGATATCTTCAAGAAAATTTATGAAATTCGTTTTTTAGTTCTTAAAAAATTCTTAGAGTTCTAGTTTACTAAATGTAATTTAATAATAAAGAAGATTTCATGATAGATAAAAACATACAAAAAAAATATGATATTTCATATAATTTAAGTTATAATCAAAGGTTGTTTGATTCTGAATGTAAAATTAAAAAAAAATATAAATTCATTTAATTTGATATAATCACTGTAATAGAAGAATTTTAGATTCTGACTTCATGATAAGTCTCAAAATCAATTTGTTTAATTTTCAAAATAAATTTCTTTGTCCTTTTTGAGGTAATTGCGTTTCAAATAATTGGATCAATCTTAAGATTATAATTAAATTAAATAATACAGCAAAAAGATTTAGATGCTATATTGTACTTTGTTTCATATTAGCTAGAGCTTAATAATAACAGATCATCTAGAGATTATTGTTTATGTCGTGAAAGCTTATACACTTTGCCAGATCTCTGCTATTTATAAGGAATAGAGAAAAAACAAATAGGTAAAAGAATTGGTAACAATTATCATGAGTTGGAATGTATAAAATATTGAAGAATTTATACCGCAGATAATAAATAATGGGATTTTTATCCTAAGCTTGATTTAATTTATGTTAATAGTATAAACATAACTATTTTACAAATTTCATTGTCAATTTCTTTTATATGATTTTATGTCATACAGATTGTCGATTAATCTTTGGGCTTCTTCATACATAGATTATTTAATGGGTGTTGTTTCTCCTATCTTTCTTTTTGGAGAAGGTTAATAAATACTGGGCAGTTTTTTAGTTTTTAATCTTTCTGATTTAGTGCCTTTTCCAAAGATGTTATACATTTATTTATAATTCTCAAGTTCATTGTTAAAATACTTTATAATTTCTGTAGCCTTGGTTAGTTAATGTTATAAATTTTCACTTTGGGAAATTTGATTTTCTAAGTGCTTTTGCAATTCAACCTTTTTCTTTATAACCTCTTTCGGTTTTTCTAGTTATTTTAAAAGAGTTTGGTTTTCTTGTGAACTCTTTTAGATTTATTACTTCATTTATTTTACATTTTCTTTCATCCTTTCTTACATTTACAAAGCCTTTTCCTATAAATCTGTTATATTATGAGCTTGAAGTTGATTTTATTGTTGAAGTGCAGCAATTTGTTCTTTTAGAATAGAGACTTCATCCTTCTATTAGAGCTAAAATTCATCCTAATCACTTTGCAATATTTAAAGACTAAATTAATGCTAATTTTTAGAACTATTATCTAGCATGGAAGATGCTATTTGATTTTTTTTATTAGGTGAAAAATAGTAACTATTCGACCTTTCTTGTGGATGTGTATTAACAGTTTTTTAATTTTCATTTATAATCAAATACTCTAATAACCAATCTTCAGTTTAACAGGAAATATCCTATGTTTGAATTTCCTGATTGATCTCTTATTCTTGAATTTGATTATTTGAAAAGTTAATCTGTAATTTACTTCTTCTTCTAAGATTTGAATGATGAGTTGCAAAGGCTTAAGTGAAGTTGACACTAGCAAATTTAGAATGTGGTGTTTCTTCACTTTACTTTGGAGATGGTCCAGAAATTAATTCTTTTGGAGTTAATACACTATTGGTATGAATATGATAATAGAATTGGTCCTCTCTATTCTTAGATCTTTGATTTCGCTTCTTTCTGAGTTTTTTCATTAAATTAGTTTATTTTTTGGATTCTTGTACTTCATCTAAATCTAAATTGGGAACTTTCTCTTCACTCTGTTTAAAATTAGAAATAGGTGAGATTTAAGTTGTTTATTAATCAGCATGTTTTAAATTCAATTTGAATACATTATCGGGTGAGAATGCACTCACTTCTTAAGGTCCCAAGGTAGGTGATGTTTATTGTTATTGATGCTCAGTTTCTTATTAATATTGTGTCTGAGTTGAAAAGTGATTCGTAGGATTGGATAAATAAAAGTTTTCCAAGGATTGCTGTATTTTTAGTTCCGATTAAATTTATTCTTCATTAAGTACGATATTATTATTTTTCTTGAGATTAGCTATCATGGCTTAAGTTTAATGAAGATACAAGGACTGTTATTACATATCAGCTCTTAATTATTGAGTTTAGGATTGCTGCTATTATAATTGAATTTATTGATTTTTTATTATGATTAGTTATTGTTCACTTTTTTAAATTTCTTATTCATATTTATTTCTTACCTACTCTAATTCTTTATTGGCTCTAATAGATGCTTTGTTAGCTTCTGAAATTCTGAATTCACTGTCTTTAATCAATTTGTCCATACGTTTTTCATATGTGTTTCTCAATTCTCCCAAGGCAAATTCATATTGATCTTATTTGATAGCCACTTGAGTGTGATGTTCATCCTATTATTATTGCAGCATTTAAGTATATTTAATCTTCATTTATGCCTACTTGTCTATTTCTTCATTGATTTGATTGGTAAGTTCTTCCAACTTCTCATTATAAGAGTCTACAAGTTCAAAATGTGAGTTTTAATTCTTCTTAAGTCTTTTGTTCTCATCCTCGATCAATTAATTTAGTTAATATATGGTTTAATCTTTTTATTTTATTAACTCATCCTAACGAGTGATAATATGTTATTGTTCTATTGATTACTTTGAGACCTCCATCTTGAGTTGTTCATAATTAGAATTACGTTCTTCATTTAAAAATAGCAACTCGCTAGCTTATTGCGTCAATATTTGTGATTCTATATTACGTATTAGAGTTTGAAATACATTTCCTAAGTGTTTCTTACATGGATCTCATATCCTCCTACAAAATAGAAATCAACGTTGGAAAATCTGCTATTCTCTTCACCAGTTATCTACTCTCAGTCTCCCTGATAATTAGTGATAGATTCTCTCTTTATTACTACATTACTATACGATAATACCTCTAAATAAGTTTAGGTAGCTAGTATAGTATTTTTAAGTTCAACATTTTCTTCCCTCAAGGGTTGTAATTACTAGAATACATGAACGATATTCTCCTCAACCTTTTGATTGAACAATATACTTGGTTAAGTGAGAAGACTTTTCACATCATTAGATGTTTTGTCTCTTTTTTTATTACTTCTTTCGTTGTTCATTATTTATGTACACAAAAATTTTATAAAAATTTTCTTTAAAACCCCTAAAAACTATTTCTTTGATAGGCAGGTTTATTATTTGATAAATCATTACTATTCAATAACTTGTAAATAGAAGGGAGGAATGAGGTAATCACATCAATTCAGTAGAACATTAAAAAGGATGGGTGGAACAAATGGTATTCAAGGCTACCTATTAAATAAATGCTACTGAATCTAGAATGTAATGTTTGTGTTTTAATATTGATTTTCCAAGAGTATTAAAAGAAGTAGATTTTGAACCGGCTTAAGAAATTGTTAATTAAGGTAAAGGGATATTAATAAATGAAAATAAATGAGCCACGATTGATAGGATTGTAATGCAAAAATATAGTTAGCTATTTAAAAGGATAGTTAGAGAAGAATTTTAGGGGAAGTGACAAATTAGACAAATAATTATAATGAGTGTGGAAGAGCAGATTAATATCTATCTATTTATGAATAAAGCTATTTCTGATAGAAGAAATAATAGAGTAGTCTATAACTTGATAGACAAAAATAGAAATTAGGAAAATGAAAATAGAAATTTTAAGCGAAAATAATTATTTACTTATCTTATAGTTATTTACATTGTAAATTCTTTAAATTTCATGAGTCTCCTTCACCTGATCATATATGGATGCTGTAATGTTGATGCTTTAATTAAGATTAAGTCAATATCTTAGGCAATTCATTTGGAGTTAGCGTATAAGCTAAATATAAGTTATATAAAATTCATCTATGATGCAACTATTTTTTTAATAAATAACAATATAGAAATTTCATTAATTTATTTCATCCTTAATTAAATTAAAAGAACCAATGAAATTGGTAAGTTTTTCAAGTGGATTAATTTGTTCTTGTGATGATTTATCAAATTGTAGATTGGTCTACATAACTAGTGTGCAATTTTTAGGTCTCATTACAAGGGTTTAACTTTGCTCTCTCGTAGTCAATGCTTTGTCTCTGGTCATAGATTACATGAAGGGATTTTTTGAAAAGGTTGGCATAGCTGATTTTTTAAGTCTTGATAATTTGAATTAATGATTTACATAGCCATATTAACTTATTTAGGATAATCTATTTCATTTTCAATTTGATCATCAGATGGTACAAAGAATTTGTGTTTAAGTAATTCGGTTGCCTTCCATCTATGATTTGGATTTTTGGCCAACATTTTGGACATCAGATCTCTTTCCACATCATCCAATTAATCTTATGAGAATCTTTAGAAATTAATTTCACATCTTCTATTTAATTCCAATTATTCTCTTCTATCTTTCTTTTCAAATAGTGGTTCTCCAACTAATCTAAATTTGCATAATTTAATACAAAACATAAAGGATGACACCAGCACTGAAGATGTCACAAACAGTTGAATATCTAGCAAATTCTGAGTCTGACTCCAGAATCTCTGGAGCCACAAACCCAGGTGTACCACATTTAGGATAGGTGTAAGGATGTTAATCACATGATTATGCCAATCCAAAGTCAGCAATCTTGAGGGATTCCAAATCTTTTGACATGAATAAAATATTCTCTGGTTTTAGATCTCTATGCATAATATTGAAGGAATGTATGAATTCCAGTCCTTCTAGTAGTTACCTCATGATTATTCTAATGTCATTCCTACTAAACAAGGTGGATCTCTTTTTCATTAGTGATAACAGAGACCCACCCTTGGCTAGTTCCATAACTAAGTAATAGTTCTAATTCCCAATGTATAATTCATGCAATTAGAGGATGTTCTGGTGTTTGTGTTCAGAGAGGATGCGCATGGTCTCTACTTCTTGCATCAATTGACGATGCCCATTTTTTTTTTCATTTATTTTTTATTAATCTATGCATTTGGCCGCAAATTATTATTTATTGGACAAATTGGTGAGTTCAAGCACAGTGGCATAAGAACCCTTGCCTAAAACGGATTCAGCCTAGTATTCATCCTGTATTTTCATTTGAAATGCATACAAAGCAAGCTTTTATTTGATTTCTCTTAGTTATTCATTGCTTCCGAAGTATTCATATGAATGACTCCCTACTTAAAAGGTTATTGACTTAAGATTGCTTTTCGAGTATTGCCACTGAATTCGAGTGTCCGTATTAATTACGAATTATCTCTCAGGAATTTGCACCTTCGGAGACTGTTTTCATATAATAATATCCATACTTTTCCAATACAAATGTGATTCTTAAATAAGTAGATATACCTTGGACTCTTACCAATAAACTTTTTCTTCGTGAGAATACATTAGTATATGCACTCGTTGTAATCGACACTTTATAAGGTATTTTATATTCCTTCGTGGACTGTGCGAGATTTTTGTCTCATTTGTAAAATAATAATATTAATATGCACAATATTATTGGAATAAATCAGAAACTAATGCTTTTTTATAATAATCAAAAAGATTTATGACATGAACTAATTATAATATTAATTTAATACGAGAAAATTATTTCGTTATATATTATAAACATAATTCAATCAATCTCAATATTGTCATCACAAATTTCACTCACCAACTCTTGAATATAAAGTAAATCCTCAGGGATTAGATCAGCTGCTACTTTACTTAAGTAAAGTGCCTTCGTATCTGCATCTAAGATCCTATACGAAATCCAAAAACTTTCTTTTAATTCCTTGTTTTTCAAAGCCTATCCTATTAAAACATCAAATTACTTGATCCAACTTTTGAATTATACTCTGATAGTAATCACCTTCGTTTGGCTCACTTAAATTTATCCTGCTCATCAACAACGATTAAATATTTAGCCAATTCTCCTTCAGATCATTCAAATTCTTAATTGGATCATTAGAATCAACGTTTTTTGAGAATTTCTAATATGCTATAGCAGTTAATTAATACTGAAAACTTTTCTTCTGAAAATATATTGTTTTCTAAAGAGAATGTAACAAATCGATCGAAGGACATAGCTTTTTCCCCACTCTCATTTGATACAGTGTCACATCTTTCCATAAATTGTGTTCTAATCATCTTTTTATTTGATTAAGTTCCTTAATTAATTTCAAAGTGCAAATATAATTTTTGAAACTCTTGGAACTCTATCATCCCATCCATATCCATGTCAGCTGAATAAAATACTTCTTCGAAGTGAGCTTAATGTGTTAATTTGTACTAATGATAGCCATTCAACAATTTGCTAATAAAGAAATCTACATCCACACATATTTTGTTCTTCCTCTCATAAGTGTTGGAACGTATATCCTTTATAATTCGATCCTTGATTTCCAATCCCAAGCATTAGTGCTGGATATCCAAGGATGCTATAGCCTTTTCCAGTGTTACTAGTACACCTTTTTCATTTACGACTGATGCCATGTGAAGAGCTATTTCATTTTCATCCAGAATTTTCAAAGACTAAATGTAAATATCCAAATCATCCAACGTTAGAGGACTCAGTAATTCCAGAAATCTTCAATCAATAATATCTTTACCTTCCAAAGAGGTTGATTCTGAAATTCTCTCTATAAAAGTATACAGATTGGTAGAAATTTGTTAACTTTTGTTCAGCCATACTCTTGAATCCATAAGTATTGACAAAATGCTCATAACATATTTGGTGTAGTGGAGTGTTTTTGTTCTAATATTGCTTAATCTTCTCGCAGTAGAATTGTGAAATGAATTTCAAAACATTTATCCTCTGCATCTTGGGCGTGGCTAGCTTTGGATTTTTAGCAAAACGCTCAGCCAAAAAAGTAACCAAATATTTTGATCTCTAGAAGTTGAGTTAAGATGTGGATTCAGCATTATTTCTATTTTGAAACTCTTAAAATGTTTAACAATTAATTACTTGGGGCTTATGTTTAAGTGATTTATCTCTTCTTCTGTTGCCTTTCTGATTTCCTTTTGGAATAAGCCTCCATTTTGGATGAGAATGATGAATCAATGCTTGAAGCCTCACTGTTATCTAGCTCCTCATTCAGAAATTTTCTCAAAGTGTCCGAGATCACCTTTAGATTTTCATTATTCAGATTATTTGGAACACTCTTCTTTGCTGATTTTAGTCCTTATCTATTGTTTCCATTATTCGCCTTCAATTGCTACAAATATACAATATTGAAATTACATTAATTCCCGGAGAATTAGCTTGTACCTAAAGTTGGGATGACCTTCGATTTGATGCAAAACTTCGTTATGAAATGACATCCTATATATAATAATCATATAAAAATACATCTTAAACTATTGAAAGACTTTATTAGAATGTAATCTAAGATTATGACAAGTCACTCTCATTATCAGATTCCTTTTATTGCTCCTCAGTATTTGTAATTTAAATATTCCACTTCTTTTTCGGTGCACTTATTTCCTAGCCTGAAAACTCTTCCCTTATGATTCCATTAGGTGAACCCTCTGGTTTATTTTATTTCCTACTGGATTATGAACCCAATTGTTATTATCTTCTAGGTGATGAAGCTACAAGGTATTATGATTGATTTGAGGGATTACTAGATAAGAACTATTATTATTAAAAATTCGAAGATATTTCTGAAGCTGATGGCAATTGACTCTATGATTAGGAGGAGTTAGGTTATTTCATCTAACCAAAACTGCTTATTCTCTTCTCTTAAACTTTCTTTTTCATTATATTGGTGAACTATTGGGTTTTTGTTAATTGATTGATTAAATTAGTGGTTTTTTCAATAAGTTATTACTTCTTGTCTTTTATTTTATTGTACTTTCTCTCCAATTTAGCGTTGATCTATGATAGCTAATGAATATTTACCTATTCTTATAGTTCTAAATGACTTTCCAATTCTATAATTTCATTTTTGGCAGATTCCAAATTTTACTAAAGATTTTCATTAGTAATTTTCTATTTAATTAATTAATTAAGATTATACCAATAATTGTAACTCATTAAGTTTTCTTTAATTTTCATCCTTCTATGCACTATTAACAAGCAATAAGCTGGTTCTATATTCCCTGGAGTGTTGTATTGCTTGTTTCATTTTAGATGAAGCATCACCTAAGCTTAATAGTAGAGATGACATTTAGTTAAGATCAGGACTATCTAATTGTTCCCCTTCCATAAGTTATTTATAATTCTCTTAAGTTTTAATCAGTTGCTCCTGGAATTGAAATAGTTGATCTTCTTCGCTTTTTATATCCTCAAGAATCTCTGTGGGTAGTTCGGTTTGTACTTCTTTTTCAACAGCATTGTTCATGCTAGAATCTGTCTGGACAACATTATGTCTAAAATCAGGTAGAAGTATAGATCTATGTAGGATAAGTAGAGAGTTACTTCGGTTCAGGTTGCGTATTGGATGCAAAAGTTTAAGTGGATTACTCTTTGTATAAGTTCATTACTGCAATTAGATCAGTGGTATCAGTAGCCTAATTCATGAGCATATCTTCGAAATTCGATAGATTAGTGTCTGAATCGCTTTTTAAGGCATCTTTCAATTGTTCTTCAATTTCGATATTGAATGATTAATGTGCACCTGCTGAGATAATTTTGAATTGCTATGGAAATTAAAGAGGGGAGTGCTCACTTACATTGGGAGAGGAGGCTCTTTAATTGATTTGGGAGGATTATTGGAAGTTGTGGATGTCAATTTCATTTTCTTTGATTTGTTATTTCAGATTTTCGACTTCATTTAGTAAATACTTATTGGAGGTAGTGTAATCGTTTAATTGGAATTTGAGTTCTCTGATTGTGTTTTATAGGTTTCTGTTGGTTTTCTTGAGGTATTTGCCATTGTCTTTTAATTTGATTAACTTTTCTGTAAGCTTGGATTACTCTTCTTTCTGATTTGAAATTATTATTTAAAAATTATCAATTTCGTATTGATACAATTAATGTGTTTTCATTATTTATTTGAGATTTTGTTTTTCGATTTCCTTCTTCTCGTTGACCACTTGGTTGATGACTGTTGAATTGATTTCTACGTATTGTGCCCAAATCTTCTCCAACAACACACTAAATATAGTTGTAAATTTACATCACCTCCTTTCAATGCAATCAATGCTGATTTGCCTGATTAATTCTTTTAAACAGAGAGTGAGAACATTTTGCACTTCTTCATAGAAATCAATTTGCTTTTGACCGCTGTACTTCTCTATGATCTATTGCACCATTAGATCAACCCAAATGGCAAGCGATTTAATGTCGTGCCTTCATTAATAATTAAGATTACTTCTATGGAATACCTCTATGAATTTTATCTCTTGGGTTATGCTTAGAGAGATTACTGCTAAAATTACCTAATGAGAGATGGGGTTCTTTTAATTCGGTAGGGATGTGCACTTCCACAGTAGCTTCAATATTAATCAAAGGAATTACGCTCTCTTAGTGATTTAGGGGAGAGATACAAGTCTGATAGGCGTGTAGGATATTGATAAGGATCAATACTTTTCAGTTGGCCATAGAAATCATTACGGGCTTAGCATTTCATCTTATCTATGATTTCCAACTAATTTTGGGCAAGCAATGGAGATCCATAAAATACCTATGGATTTATCATTCGAATACCCCTTGAGAGAGTGGTTTATGCTTTTAGGCTTGCCTGTAGGAAATGTTGGAATACTGTTACGAACTTTTTAAATTCGGGAGGGAATCTCGCTCTAACCTAGTAAGTCTCTCGTTGGAAGAATCAGATCTTTGAGTCGGCCATGTGGGTTAGTACTGTTACGTTGGTTAAATGGTTTTAAGAATGCGAAATTTAGTCTATTCGCTCATTTTCAATTGTGGATAAATTAATTATATAAATATATCATTACACTAGAATTGGCTATTTCTTCTTCAGAACTTTAACTTTCTGCAAACCAAAAAGAGCACAAACAAATGCTATCATTCTTGAAGAATAGAGATATATTGTTAAGTTAATATATATATCTTGTCTATTTAATTAGCCTACAAAAAAGGTATTGAGTATATATTTTTATTGCTTTATTAAATGGATATATCTCTTTTCTATTTTTCTATTCTATAAGAAAGTTTTTCCATAAGAAATATAATGCTCTTTCATATTTAAGTTTTTCTATATTCTATGATTTTTATCATGTTTTAGTCTATTATTATTATTGTTATGATCATCATCAAATTCAAGATGATCAACCTAAATTTACTCTTTTTCAAATCATTTTGAATGATTTTTAGCCAATCATTCTGTAATAGTTATTGATTTTCCATAGTACATCAAAATCAATGTTTTATTTTGTTTTATCTTCAATTTGTAATGAAGGTAATATTCAGAAGAGAACGAAATAAATCATGTTATTGAATTCCACAATTACAATAAAGTCTGAATCAGCGTATAATTGATACGATTAATTCCATAAAGCTACCATTGAATAATGCTTAAAAATAACAAGAGGATCAACTAAACTTATATCTCACATGTTAATCGCTTATTATAAGATTCTCACATTCAAACTTACTAAATTGATCACCTGAGAATGATTTGACATTGTAATTAGAAAGTAAAATAATATCATAATAAAAACAATTATTATTAATCAGAATACCATTGAACAATCTCTTTCTATTATTCCCTTATGAGTCGACAGATTTCTTGGTAATCTTGCATGATCCATTTTAAATCCTTCATTCTTCTATTGAATAGTTGATCAGTCATTTCAGCAACTGTATTTTGGTAATTTCTTCTTTTCTTGAAGAATTGCTTCAATATAGCCAGACACTCCTTTGCCCTTCCATTCGTAAATGGGTTTATGGGATATTTGGTTAGATAATAAAATTACTCACCAATGGCTTGAGTCAACACAAGCATTTCATGGGACACCCTCAATTTGTCAAGTAAGACATAAGCATTGAATTGATTAGAGGCCATGTAGAAGCGTTTGGCTATGGCAGCAATTAACAAGGAGGTGGTGGCAAAGCCAGAGTATTGCGTGAATGATAAGACAATTTTTCCATAGACAGTGTATGGTTCATACTCTTCATATGAGTATCTGATCAATGCCAGAATGGTCTCGTAGAAGGAGTGTTTCAACAACAACATTGTGTTGGAGTTCTCCTCTCTCATGTATGGACGTTCTACTATCCAAAATGCCAAAGTGAGATAACAAACTTATATAGTAAAAATGGTAGAAATTACTAGAACTGGTTCTTTGTCTACTAAAGATTTGAATGTGAAAGTCCATTTCACTTTGAACCCAAAATACAATGATAACCTATGCACTTAACTGTTGTACAAGGGACTCAATCGCAATAGGATGAACATCAAATTCAGGCTTCTGAAACAAGTCCACAGGAAGAGTAAGTCGTTCAAAGTGAAGTAAAATACACCATCAACTCTATAGAGTGTGAATTGAAACTGAATATCTAGGTTAAGACTTAAGTTACTTTTTGAGAATACATTGGGTATTGGCAAATACACCAAAAATTCTAACAGAAAAGGGTTAAAAATATCGCTTTAATGAAATGCAAGGTTGAGTGGGATCAATTAAGTGGCCTTAAAGTAATTGAATTTGGCATGGTAGGTTAGGTAGGTACAGAGCAACAGGATGCAATTCAAAGCGAAGACTGTCCATAGGAATGTATTATCCTGCCAATCCTATATGAAATATTAGTCATCAAACTATATAATAATTGTCATACATCCAGGATGAGCAGGACTGTTATCACTAATAGCAATTGCAATCTGACGTGTTCAATCAAGCGATGAGTTTCAAATAATAACTTGGTGACTCTGGAATCCTCAAATCCATTCTGATCATCCTTCTTGATGCTGTCGTACTCTCCCATTCCAGATTCGGATGTGTGGTTTCTGTCGTATTCCAGTTCCTGAATTCTATCGCTTCGATGTTGTGACAGGACATTGTTTTCATGAAATCGTTTTTAATTCATAATATTTCACATATAAATATATATATAATGTAGTCAAACATGAAACTCCATCACAAGTAGATCAGACTCTTCCTGCTCTGAATCTTAATAAATGGGTTCATCTTTGCTCTGTTAATCACATGTCTACAAGTGATGTGAGTTTATTTTCTAACTGCAACTAGGATGTGACTCACACACATAGTGGTAATTGATGGTGTTGATCAATTGCAGGCGTTTGAATTCCTTCAGTAACAAGTAATACTCTTGGAACATGAAGTTGATGTCCTTGAACTTTCGTTTGGCTTTTGACATGGAGTCTTCGCCATCAATGTTCCTGTATTACCTCTTCATCTACTTGAGAGCATTGATAGAGTCTTGAATAAGGTGTATGTTATTATTTTGTAATTTTTTAATTTTCATCTTTTGGATCCTCACAATCAAATCCTGACTGAGATATTTCATGACGTTGGTGGCGCTGGTCTTTTCCAACAAGGCCCAGACCATCTCTTCACAATTCATCCTCTCAAACATTGAATCCAACATTGCTGTAAAGAGGGAAGTGTAGGACACACCCCAGAACACACAGATGGCCATCGAGATGCGACCCAAATCAGTAGTCGGATAGAACTCGCCATATCCGACAGTGGCAATGGTGGTGAGAGTTACCCACATAGAGGTCATCACACTATACACACTGTGTTGCACCTCGTTCCTTTGCAGAGCTCTCTCTGCGATCTCCATGCTGTAGCCAAAGAGAAGCATTCCAGTGATGAACAGACCCATCAGTGTGTAGCCAGGGAGATCCTTCATGCACAACTTGAACACCAAGTGAGTGTCGAAATCGGTAGAGTAGAGACGACTAAATATTAGAATATATATATGAACCATAATCTGCCAATTTGACTGCTGTAAAAGGATGAAAATTTAAGTGTAATGTTGATCAACAGAATTACTCTGAACGTGAGGATATAAGTTAATATTTCATTCAAATAGTAAAATCGTAGCTCACCTGTGTATCGTTGATTGAAGTCTACTCGAATCATTTAAGTGAAGGGAGTTGGAGTTGGTAAGATCAGAAGCATTTCAATGGCTAAACCTTACACCAAATTTGAGTCGAAGAGACCTGCTTGAGGTGTGATTACCATTGCTTTCTTCTTATAGGTTAAGAGAACTTGGTAGGAAATGAGAGTGAGCAAAACTAGACGATAGCAAGGGGAAAGCATGTACTTGCAGCAGCAGTCATCAAAAATATGATGTACAATAATGTTAAGGTCTCCTTCTCTAATTCTTTTGCAAATTGATCCGAAAACGAACACTCGTACTATGTTGTCCTCATTAACACTCATACTTCCAAGATCGCTATGATTTGAGTCCCAAATATCACACAAAATCTGGTCATCTCTACTATTCGATATTGTTCAAACAATAGCAATGTGATCCTGCTGTCCTCAAATGTACTCTACGAGTCTGACAAGATAGACCCTTGTCGTTTCACTCTCCATTTTTTGCTCAAAGAGGGAGTCTTCTATTTTGTTATCTCTACATCTTGAGACATTATTAATATTTATAATTCCCCATGAAAAAAGTAACTTAATCTACTGCATCCACCTTCAAGCCAAAGAAATTGCTGGCCAAAGCCAAGAGTCAAAACCAGTTCGAAGAAACAGACCCAGCTCAAAGAGGTAATGAATGCATAATATGAAGACAGGAAAATAATCAGAATGAGGAATGTAGTTGATTTGGGAGATGCCTAGGAGGACAATAAAAAAAATCAAAAGAAGAATGGTAATTCTCTAAATCTCATTTTTAGAAAACCAAAATGATCCTCTGCTTGAACAACTTGATCAATGGCATGAAAATATCATGTCCAAGAAAAAGTCCTATGCATTTGAATAGGTCAAGCAAAGTGACAACAACAACAACAACAAAGTGATTGAGAACGAATTCAACTTGGATCATGGACCCTAAATCAACTCCAACATCATCAATCAAATCATGAAACCAATTGAATTGCCCAACTTTAAAACTGAAGATAACAATGATGATGTCTAAGTCCAATTCCAAATGCTTAGACCCAACAAAGAATCTGGCAATGTTCTAAAGACACTCGATCAAGTAAGAATAGAAATGAATAAACAAATCCTCAATAGTCTTCTCCTGCAAAAGGTCACCAAAAAACTGGATGAAATGAACATCAATAGAAAACACAAAACCAATTGGAACATACAACGCATGGACGAAGAAATCACACAAGTATTCAGAGATCAATCTCATGCCTTGAAACAAAGAACATTAAACAACTTCAAAGGCCTAACCGAGTACTTTAGTAATCCTGCATAATACATCGATTACGAAGTAGTCCTATCTAAGGCCAAATATCATTCCAATCGACCACCAACCTCATTTCCTACCACCTAAATCCCCCAATAATAACAAAATTCTACCTCTGCTAAGTCCCTGATGGAGAGTTATCAACTATTTCAATAGTAGATTAAAGAACATAAAAATATATTGTTTCAAATGAGAATCGAAAACAACACCTTGGTTTAAGAATTGAATCGTTATGAGGAAGAAGTTCAGGATATAAGGAGGAAGTTCTTCATCAAGGAGGAGAAGGCAAGGCAAGGATGGATACCTGAATAGCAGAATGATGGAGTACCAAATAAAAAACGAAACCTAATGGATATTATTGAGAAAATCAGAAATCAAAGGGATGTGGAGATCAGATAACGAACAAAGGAAATACAATCATTAAGAAAACAGATGCAATAAAACAGTGAAAAATAACAACAAATTCAGAAGGAACTCGATGAGATGAGACAAAAGAAAAGGAGATGTAAAATGTTGCTTAAAGATATCTTCCTCAAGCAATTCTAAGATTCAAATAACTCTCTCGTTCCTGAAGGCTTGGTCAGCATTATCAAGAATATGAGAAAGATCAATGAAAGTGCTAAACCAGAGTATTTCCCAAAATTCTTAGATGATATTTCCAAGAATTATCTCCTATAGGCTGCTCAATTGGAGATTGATATAGAGGAGACAAGGGTATTGTCTTAAAAATACAATCAATAATAATTATTACAACGTGCAACTAGTGCAAGATAGCAGATAACCACGCAAAGACAATAGATGAATGTTTCTGAGATCAAAAATTAAGTGAAGGTGATGCTAAAGAAGAGCAAGGTCTCTATCAAGAAACCTGTGTTTGTTTAAGGCATTGATCCCATCAATCCAAGTTCATTTGCTCATGTAATTAAGTGGGAACATTAAGATTTAGAAAACTAATAGATAACTGAACCCATTGAAAACAACTTCAAGAATTAAAACATCTCATCGGAGCGTAATAATACTATCAAGGATTACAATTAGAAACTAGTTTAATTACAATAATAATTAGAATAAGTTACCAATGAGGAATGTTAACGTATATTAAAATCATATTCCAACAAAAAATTATTATCAGACATACAAGAATTGAAGATGGTCATGTATGCACTATTTGGTTAGACACTTGGAGATTAACAGTGGATCCAATTTGTAGTTGAATGGACTGAATAAAAATAATTAAATCCCCTATATGTTTTGAAGCAGGAAGAACAATCGAAACAGAGTGATACACGCAAGGATTAACATTCGATACCAGAAAGGATGAAAACCAAAGTGTCTTAAACCCTAAAAAAGTTAACAGAAGTTACTAATGTTGATTATAATTTTGAATTATGTTTTTGATTTATTTATGTTTATGTAGAGGATATAAATATATAATAATGAGAATATTCAAACGTAAAATGTATCTCATTTTATAAATATAGTTAATCTCATAACTTCTTAATATCAGTATAGATACAATAAACTTTGCCAAAGACAATTACAATAACTGAAAATATATCGCCAATTATGTTTATCCATTTATTCTTTGGTTATTCTGGAGCTTACACACTCTAAAGTTATTCTACACTTGTTTATTGCTATACTCTTTAAATTTAATCTGTCATTTGTCGTTGAGAGTTTGAATTTTATGATAAATGATCAATAACACTATTGAATCTTGTAACTTCTCCGTCTTCATAATCACTCATACAAGAAAAACATGATAAGTGTTGTCCATACGGCAAAAAATATGTATAGATCTTCTTAAAATTCTGGAAGTCATCATCATCATTTAATCCAGTTGTCTCATTGGTAATCATATGGCTATATAATATATACAAGCCTGCAATAGTGTCTGGTACGCATGAGTTAGGACTGGAGTCTTGTTGTTTACTTGGGATGAGTTAAAAATTATGCCTTTGTTCTATCATCGTCTTTATTTATTTGAACATTTCTTTAAGTCTCTTAAAATAGAATGTGCTCTTTTACATTAAATAGTTATTTATGATCTCACCACTTGATAATTATGGTACTTGTTAATTCTGCAGAGTAATCGCTTCAGATTGATTCAAACTGAGGATCAGACTCTTTTTAGCCTGCGTTGAGAATACGACTTAAATCATTTCGTTGTTTTTTATTCTACGTATAATGTAAATCTTCTTGAGCATTCCTTATTTGAATTCAGATCTTCCTTCCAATTGTTCTTTAATTCTTTTAATTTGTACATCATCAGCATCATCTTCGGAGTATTTATTAATGATCAGAGAAATGTTTTATATATTATGTGGATTCTGCCCAATTTATTAATTGATGAATTGAATCAAATCCTTTCCTCTATTCTGCAACTCTCTTTATGGACTGTCTAATACATACACTATTTTAGTTTTGTATGATGTTGTTATTTTCTGAAAGAGCAAATCAATAAATAACTTATGGTAAATGTCAATGGTGCTTTCAAATCCAGGTAAATCAACAAGAACATGATCCAGTTCTACAATAAAATCATAAATTGTAGTTTAAGTAACTGATGTTGAACTTGTTCCCATTTTAGAGATGTACATTTAGTCATTGGTATGAGTAGGTTACAAATATCCTATTCCATCCTTTTCTACTATCTAGAAACCAGCTCCTAAAATCCAATTATAGATGCTGCTCTTTCCAGCCCCTGTGATTCCACATAACAGAATAACCTGTTTGTTTTTGTAATTCTGCATGAATTTTTCGAATTTAGTGAAGTTGCTCTTAACCCTCTAAATCACTTCAGATATTATCGATTCACCTATCTCATCCAATTCTTCCATCTATGTAGTGTTTTACATTGTTTTTATTATTTAAATTCTAAACCTCTAATTCTATTAAAATATTAATAACTTGGGTACAATTTGTGTCATATGTTTATCATCTTTCTCCGTGTAATGCTAATAAAATTAATCGATATATCTTCATTTAGGTAATCTCAGATGTTCTAAGAAGAGTTAACAATTATTTTAAGAAGATTTTTGGTGAAACAATTTCACTCAGAAAGAATTCCTTTTGAAAATAATTTTTTAGAATGGTCAACACTCTGATTCATTCTAAATTATATAATAGCCTAGTATTTTTTAAATTATTAAACCCCAGATAAATTAATATTAAATGAAAATAATATCTTTTTCAAAAGATTTTTAATTACTATCTAAAAATAATGAACTCTATTTATTATTTGATATTATTAAATTTATAATTTTATTAAAAAGGTGTAAATGGTTAAGGAAGATAAATTTCATGTATCTCTTAAATACATCTTGGAAAGTGAAGAAGGAGCAACCAGTCAAGGAGTGAGCTAAAAAGCTTATGCTGGTCAACAAAGAGAGTTGGGTAATAATGGTCCGACCAAGAAATAGAGGACTTTTATTATTAGTAGTATAAAAGATACTATGTTGAGATAATTGAGGACATCAATTCTAGGTACCTTTATTATGACGTCACCGTTTTTTAAGGACCTGGGAAAGCAGCTAAAATAGTATAAAGTGTTTGTAATATAAATGCCGATGGCTGTTTTGGCAAAAACTCAAATGCATGTGTAATTTCTATGGATTAAAGATGGAATCATTTTATTAATATAACAATGCTAAATGTTAAATTAAGTACTTTTTATTTGTTAAAAGATATATTTTTATGTGTTCATTAAATGGAGTGATGTAGACACTGCTTTATTATTAAATAAGATCATTTCTTTAATATTTGAATGATGTGGGTTCAGGATAAAATAATTTTTATTAACAATTTATAATTTATAACTTTGTCTTAGTAGATTATCCATATAATTGTGAAGGATTTCTATGTTTTCATAAGTTTTTTTCCAATTCTTTTTATTGAACTTCTTGAGTAAAATAATCGATAAGTTCTGGATCAGCTTATGGTTAAGGATAGAGTTTAGCAGTTTTCTATAATATAGAAACTTCTTTGATTATAGCAAGCTTATTCCTTTTTTTAAATCTTGAATGTGAATCCTTATGAAATGTTTTATTTTTGAAAAAAGAGTATTCATCAACTTCAGGAAATTATCCATATTTGTTAACCCACAGATCCAATTACAATAGATTTGTTAAATTAGTTTTTACATATCTAAAGTACCATGATTGTAAACAAAAAAGACATAAGGCCTTGATAAAATTGAAAAAAAGTGCTTCATTTATTATCCTGTAAACTACTTTGGTCGCCAAAGCGGGTAAATTTATTCTTCATGCATCAAAAGATTTTCTCATGAAATTCTCTAACCAAAATTTAGTTATTTTAATTACTATTTCTTTACTATTTGTGAATATAAAGTACCTCTTCCTTTTATAGTTAATTAAGCATTTTCAATTGAAAAATGAAATAACATTGAATCAATTTATGCATAAATATTTTCAACAAAGTCAGATTTGAGAGTAAATATTATGATAATGCAAACAATACTTATGATGCTATTTTTTTGGGAATGTAGTAAATTATGAAGAATGTTAAGACCATTCTTTTAGAATAAGTTTTTGCCTAAATTTTGCAAATAGCAAATTTAAATTTTCTATCTGAAATTTCTTTACGATGGAAGCTCATAGAAGGGAAATTTTATAAACAAAAAGAAGTAATTTGAAAAAATTTGTTATGACAAGTCAAAGTTAATATCCTTCTTTTAATACTGCCCAAATTATGATTGCAAATGATTTTATGACTCAAAGCCTTCATATGTTTTAGAGAAGCTTTCTCAAGTATAAATTTTGCTGAATAATAATTCAACTTCCTGTAATTATTTGCCCTACATGTAAAATAAAGCATTCTATGTAAGCTAAAGTTAAGTAGGAAATGCTGCTTACGAAAAGTCTCAATTTAGAATAATTGATCAAATAAGTTAAACATATTAATAATAAGATTCAAACAAAAACTATAAATTATGTTTTTATCAGATGAAGAAGGAAAAAAAGGCTTTTAAAATAATCTAAGAAAATTTTCAACAGAGAATTCGAGATAGAGATCTAATTTTGAGCAAATTTCAATAATCAATACCAGTTCCATAATCCTCCATTATTTGACTTTGAAAAAGATAGTGAAAATACAATATCAACTTTTAGAGATTACTTTAGTAAAAATTCTATTCTATTCATTTCATTTTTGTTTCGTTTGAAAGAACAGAGATATTGAATTATAAATAGTTTACTTTTTTAATGTATCATGATTTAAAGAATTATTAATATTATTAAGAAAATCGATATTTAGAAAGAAACAGAATAGCTTTAATTGTTAATTAATATTAATGTGAATAATCCTAAAAGTTAGAGTTACAAAAAACATTTAGCCACTTTTGCTTTATAACAATTAAGCTTTTTATCAAACGATTCCCCTTCAAATAAATATAATGCTCTGTTCAAAACGTTAGAAAATGTAGACGCATATTAATTGACTTCTCTAATACAATATTTGAATAGGAAAATGAGATTGCAGATCAATAATAATAATAAACATTAACAAGCAAATTTAAGCAGATTAAATGAAGAATTTTAAAACCTAAATAGATTATGATAAATAATAAAAAGAAATAGTAGAGAAGGAAATTAGAATTATAAAGGATACATTGTACAAGAAAGGAGAATAATATAGAGACATATCATATAAAATTAGATAGGATCAATAATAATTATCTGATTGGGAGATATAGGATGAAAAATTTAGGTGTCGATATTAAATAATTATAAATATAATAATATAAATCCTATTTTATATAGATATCCCAATTATCATTAATTATTTAGATATTAAAATAACAAAAATATTAATTTACTATACAATTATGAATTATATTCAATGATATATAAATTGTTTTTTGAGAGGCAGTGGGAGCATTTTTTAGAATTTTAGTCTAAATTTTAAATTAATCAGATCTTGGTAATATTATCCAGCTACTCAAAACCTAATTCAATTATTCTTTAAAGGGGCAGTAATATAATGAGAGAAGTGATATGATTTTATGTTTTTATATGTTAATACTATTAATACTATAGTAATGCTAAATTATGTAAACGTAGCATTCTGGTATGGAAGCAATCTTTATGATACTCAAACTTAACAGTTTAAAAAAGATTTGGAAAGAAGTAAGGGAGAAATTTCAAACTATTCTTGAATGAATAAAGAAAATTGATAGCCATTTATCTTTTTACAAGATTCTTTGTAAATCAGTATAATAATTATATGTTCATCAGATTATATGAATTTTGATCTATACTCCTTGGTTAATAAATTAGATTGTATTCATCTACTCAGTTTTAAAGCTGTTGTGTTACTCTAATTTGATAGAGCATAATTTCAATTCAGAATTTTTATAATTGATAAATACTTTTATTAATAATTTCATAATTTAATTACTTTGGATTTTTGCTTTATCTCTTCTATCTAATTGCTTAAAGACTGTTAAGATTTCCTTAAGGTTTCCCTCAATTCGTATTATTGAACTTCCAAAGTTAAATAATCCATAATTCCTGGATCAATTAGTTCTTATCGTAATTTATTTGATAATGGTCAAAAATAATAATTCAATTCAATTAAACATCCTCCTCCGAGCAGCTAGGCTCGACCGGGTTTAGGGGGGCACCATCACCTTTAAACCTCACCTTCTTTCCCCTTGTTTTATCGTTTGCTTCTCGACGTCATCATGATCTCTCTAGCTCTTCCACCGTCCCTCAGGCCCCAGGGAAGGGTTAGGGGAAACATTTCCCAAAGCATGCCCATTTATGACATCACGATAAATTAAAAGATAAAAACATTTTTAAAATAATAAAATTATTAAAATATCACAATCTGAATTATTTTGAGTGTACATCGTCTTTTGAAAAGTCTAAATCCATTTCAACTTCTTCCTTCTATTCAATTAAATCAAAATTGGAATATAACTCTGCTTCAGTTAGTTTCCAAAATTTTCAGCTTTAACATTTATTTAAAATTGAATCAATTTAAGCACAAACTTTTTCACCAGTATCAAATTTAGATACAAAAATAACAGAATTTATTCCAAAGTTTTTGCTCAACTTGATAATCAATTCTTCATTTGCTTTCTTGGTTGTCTCAGTTTCATTTGTATCCCAATGTGTAACAGCAACTGTTACAAGATGTCTATATCGCCTAAATTTTACAATCATTGTTTTCAAATATTCCTGTATAATTTCTACTCTTTCCGCTCTAACTACTAACAATATTTAGTGAATTGGGCCTTCTAAAGCGGCATTTAATGTGCATACAGCATTAATAATTATCTCTTAACATGATCCGTAGTCAGGAATATATAACACTTGAAATCCACTTCCGTAAGCAGCTTTTTTAAGGAATGCTTCTCGAATACTAAGAGATAAACTTTTAGGTTGTTTTGTTTAACATATTAAATTATATAATTTTGTTTTACCACTTCCTGGGAATCCAATCAGAACAATTTAACTTTTATTCTATTTCCTTGATATCGCTAATTGCGTTTTTTCCATTTCACATTTTTCAATTTGTTATTATTATTTAAGTTAACTTTAGAGTTGTTCAATACCAGAGTTCTTTGATTGTAATTATCGATCCTTTGATTTAATAATATCTTCTAATTGTCTTTTTTCTTTTTCTAATTTATCAATTTATTATTATTAAAGTGAAGCTTATTTCTCTAATTGTTAATTAAAGGATATCTTCACCTAATTCACTTGATATTCTTTATATAACTTCGTTAAAGATATCAACTCAAGACTAAGTTATTCATTATGAACATCTGGTAAGTTTGATAATGGTAAAATAATATCTTATTAGTGGACAATTGATTCTGTGTAGTTACATTTTAAATTTTAATCCAAATTATTCTCCAAATCGCAAATAATTGAGTTAATTTAATCATTAATTTTTTCAAAGGAAGACTTTATTTAAATTACAGAATTACATCAAATCTTAGCTCAACTTCTTCAAACAATTTCTTCATCTCCAATTAATATTCGTTCTAATCCATAAGAGTGATCAATAAAAATTATATATTTATTAACAAAATATTAGAATTTCTATTAAATGAACAAATTTTATAATAGTACATCATTTAAAAATCATACGGATTAAAAATGAATTATATTAAATAGAATTAAGAATTAAATAATTGAGTACGCTTGTTAATTGACAAATTATAGCCCAAAAATATTTTCTTATAATGCCGACTTATCTAAGCTAACTTGAAGAATCTGAACTCAGAAAATAATTGGAAAATTTTTTCAAATAAAACTTTAAAGAAAATAAATAAAGAGAGAAAAAATATAACATACAGAATTGCAAAATCATCTATTGCTTGGATGAATTTCAGGAATATAAAAGAAAAATTATAAGTTAAGGGTGCATTCAAAAAAGTGTTAGCAAGCATTTTTATGAAAAATGGGATAGCATTAAAAATAAAGGTTAAAAATGGGCTAGAGGATGCATTTCAATAGACCTAATAACATACTGAATTGGCTACCATCCTATTTGATGCCGATTATTTATTAAAATAGATGAGTCTGGGTGTTGAAGCTGATGGAAAGACTCCTTTCTAATATCCATAGGAGTTGCAATAGTTGGGATTGAAATCTTGTTCACAAATGGGATAATCATTAGAGCAACGAAGGTTATGCAGATTTTGGCTTGTTCCAAAACAATGTTTTTATTCTTCAGTTAACAACAAATACATAATTGATGATATTTAGGTTGCTTGTTAAGCTCGGGTGATGGAAAGAGTAGGTAATAGCTTACAAGATAAAGTAAGCCAGGATGTTAATGATGCACCATATTAATTTGCAACAAAATTTACTTAAATATACGATACTATAGCTAAATACTATCCCATTTTTAATAGGTTGAAGTAGTTATTCAAGGCAGTAGCATTGGGGAGATGGATGTATGAAAATAATGTCAAGGGAATTTATTAAGAAACCTTAAGATATTGTAGGAAAGTCAATAATTCTCCTAAAGTAATACCAATTCTAAAGTATGAAAAAGTAACAGAGGAAAATAAAACCCCTATTTATTACACTCAGGCTGAAAAAGTATAAGTAGCAATCGAACATCTAAAAGGAAAGGGTCATCCAACGACTTAAAATTATATCGATTAAATTGTTAAATAGATACCAGATTTGAAGGGATATTCGGTATCTTCGTCAGTGCAATATAGTTAAGGAGGAGTGAATACTCATTGTTAAAATATGATTGAATCTAAAGCTGATCCTAAAGTGGATAAATTTAAGAATTTGGAAGAAATTGATATTCCATTCTTCCCTTAAAAAAAGTGCAGTGCTTGCAATAGAATGATTGAAAGCCATTTATTGAATTTAAATCAAAATCAATGCTCTATTCACAATGACTATACTTGTTATTTGTGTCTTGAGTTAATAACAGCTTAGGATTCATATCCAAAAAGTTGTATTATCAATAACTACAGATACATTTTTCACTAGTCTTGTTATAATCAATACGAAACGGTTATAAATAGCAATAAGAAAGATGAGGATTGGAATTGAAATATACACATATCCAATTATGAAAATATTTTTAGATTTTTTAATATATTAGTATATATATATGTGGATATAATATCCTATTGATTGTTACAATAATAAAATAGTATTTCTTAAGATTTGTTTAATTTTAAAATGACCTAAATTATATTATCATTCTTGTTTGACTTTGTTTACTTTTTTGGCTGCGCAATTGGATGATGACCATAACAATAATCCTCCAACTAAGGCTAAGGTTTTCAACAATTCGATTTAAGTAGACTAATCATTGTTAATTAATGGGTTGGCTGTTATAGCTGCTTACAAGAGGAGTCCGACGACTGGGAAAAAGGCTAAACTAGAGGATTAAATGAATTGGGTTTACCATCCGCAAAAGAACATCAATGCAGAACTTGCAATAAGTCCAGCAATAACTTGTCTGGCTAAGACTGCTGGCAATAATTTAAAATAATCAGGAGCTATGTACTTAAATAAGAATGGGAAATTACTGATTTGACATGATGATTCTTCTAAAATTCAGCATATTTAGCATCAAATTGTTTTCCCAATTGGACATCAGTGAATAAAAGGAAACTGTAACCAGCTAGAGCTGCTAACAATAGGACTTTCCCAAAAAATGCCATAAATAAATAGTTTATTTTATTTAGACACATGTGTGAATTTGATTAATCAGAAACGAAGATTATGATGAATATTAAATAATATATGATATATGTTATAATTCATTTATTATTTTTCTTCTCCCTAAATTACACTCTTAATGAATATATTTTTTTATCCTTATCCCAAACGGGTTGAAATTTGCCTTCCTATAAATTGAAAACCCAATACATACTTGTGTTTCTATCTCCTGATTGGGAATTTTAAAGCTAATATTTTCGTATGGTTCCCCTGCGAAGATCAAATACTGATAATTCTTGTCTGGCTGCTCGATCTTCTGTTCGAAGGCTGACATAACTCTGTGTTTTGGAATGAATCCTGGTTGAATGTCTTCATAATAAAGCTCAAAATATAGCACTTTAGAAGTGTTTTCGACAGTCCTTGTGACCTTGTACCCTGGACGTCCGATCTTGATGGTTTTGTGTTTCTGGGGTTTCGGTTGATTCTACTTGGCCATGTGCATCATCGCATTGAGATCCTTTCCCTCCCTGGCTTTTCTGCGCAACAGATTCTATTGATGTTTCTTTCCTTGGGTGTGTGCCAAATACGATCCTTCATTGGTATGGAGAGTCAAACATAATCTATAATTTGAAATATATGTATACTTGCATTCATAAGTACCAAGATGATTGATCATGAAATAAGGGTCTTTTTGAAGGTCTATGATTTCCATGGCCAGCTGTTTCAGACGTTCTCTTCTTTCGACGTTGGCATCTGCAGCTGATGCCATAGGACCCGAACCGGTCCTACCTCCTGGTCGATTTTACATGTCCATTAATTTAATTAATGCTATCAAACCCTCACTTAAGCAACTATATAAGGTTTTTCTAGATTATCTCAGACATGGAACAGGAATGTCTGATTACATAGAAAGAGAAGCACCAATTAAAGGTGAATCTAACTCTCAAGGACATGCAATTGGTTAACATGATTGCTCTCAATACAGGTAGTGAAGGATTACAATTATTCATAAGATGCCGATGACGAAGAGTTCAAATACAGTATAATCAACATTTTGAGGAAGCAAAACCAATCTCCTCGTCAAAGGTAGGGGTAGAAGATCAGATGCAAATCAACTGGGATAGAAATGAGTCCGATACGTTTGATTAGACGAAATTCAGTTAGCAAAGAAGCCAAAGTAACAGAGGAACAATTGATCCAACAAATAGATGATTTGAATGAATCACTTGTAACGATTCTATAGAACGAAAACAAAAGCGTAATTTTAGTCCTTTTAATGGTTTCATCTAGATACTTACACCGATTGTAACTGAAAAATTGAAGAGCATCTTGGAAGTAATACAAAAGACAACCATTTCATCACCTTCTACAACTACTACCAAAATCTTTTAATCTGATGAAATAGAGAATTGTAAAATCGTGGATAAATTTACTTCACTCTATACAGATATGAAGGTATTCATCATCATCATTCCAAATAGAAACATTACACTGATTATTTGAACTGTCATCTCTTATTAATGGATAATAATCTATCCTATGAGATTCTAGTACAAAGTGTCAAAAATTTCGTTAAAAAATTAATAGATGCTGACTAAATCACTTATTTACACATACGAGAAGATCAATCACAACAAACATACTACTCTGCTGATGACTCATATCTCATAACAAACGACAAGTAGATCTACAATGAAACCTAATTGATTCAACCTAATAAAGTGCTACTCCTAGATGAGTGCAACTTCTACCCTGCTTTGAGTGAACAATTCAAGATTAAACTGTACAAACGGAATTATTTGATCAAATTAAATAATCAGGATGTTTTTGTCTGTTTCCACATTAGTGATCAAACATCCATCATCAGTGAGTTCCTTGCTTTGGCTGACGAATTCGATATCTTCGAGGATCTCAATTAATTGTCTTCCTTCTTGATTGACACCATCAAACAAGCCAAGGTCCAAATATTTAATCCACTTCAACTTTCGCACATGATCTAAGGCATCGGCATCGCTTTCATCAGAAGTTCTAAGTACTTATTCATCAAGAAGTGTATCCATATCTTGCAATCCAAGTATTAGGTTGAAATGTAATTATCACTATATATAATATGCATAGTCACATCAATTCTGGAGATGGCATGTCAGTGATCAGTAGTCCCAGTTTCTTTTATGGCACTTAGAAATAAGTGGATTTCGAATTCAAGGATGAATTGAATGTATCAATTACAATAAATGGCATGGATCTAAATAAGAAGGCTGACCTCATGATTTACAAGTAGCTGACTCAGAGTTTTAACAAGTATCTAAAATTCATCAGACAATGTTATGATCGAACAACCTTTTATAAGTTCTTCGTGAAATCATAAGAGACTCTCATTTTCGAATTCGATAAGTTAGGCAGATTGATATTCTTGTCTCGTCCCATCCCTTCAGATATAAAGAAGGAATTCAACATTGATTTCGATCCCAAGAAAAACAAAGTGACCTACTCCCAACTGTTTTAAAACGAGGAGTTGCTCAATTACATTGAAAATTTCCTGCAAGAACACAATGTCCTCAGAGACAGTGATCAACAGTATCAGGTGTTCATGAAGATGGAAGAACGCAACTTTAAAGGATTCTTTATCATCTTTCAGCAAGGTTGGCTTAAATACGATCAGAAGAAATTCAATCTCAATGACCCTTCATTGTAGAAGGAACTGCAGAAATAAATTATCCAGCAAGAGACCATGAGATTCATTGATAAACTAGAATAAAACAATCCTTAGATTTTGAATTCGGTTGTCCAGATGTTCAAGCCGAGATCCACACAAAGACAAACTGTGCATTACAGGAATTCCATTCTGTAATTTGAACCTGCTAAACTTGGAGTTCAACACCAATTCTCATTGCGAATGGAGGATTTAAATACTTAATGTACAGTTCCTAATATTGATAATTTCAACTTCAATGTTTTGGCAGTGGATGAAATGGTGTAAAAATAATTGGCTGTGGTGGAAATACTGAAGTATCACAACCTAATCAAAGAGTATGATATACCTTTAGATACACTCTGTCAATTCCTCAGCGAAGTGGAGTATAAGTATAATAAGAAGAAGAATGTGTTCCACAACTACGATCACGGCGTCTCAGTGATGCAGAATGTTCATGCTATCCTCCTGTAGTTGCACTAGACGAGCAATGCTGCCATCATATCAACCTTCAATCAATTTGCTTTATTGTTATCTGGATTGTGCCACGATGTGTCTCACACAGGCAGAACTAACACCTTTGAAATCAACAGTCTATCTAATTTGGCTATAAGATATCATGACAGGAGTGTTTTAGAATAGCATCATGCAGCTAAGTCGCTTAAGTTGCTTTGTGTGCCAGCCACAAATATATTATAGAGTTTCAAAGGGGAAGAGTTCCGTAAATTCAGGAGGATGTTCATCTCCAATATTTTGTATACAGATATCACAGAACACTTTAATTTGATTAAGAATTTTGAGTCAAAAGTCTCAGAATCCAATTTCGGATAGCAGGATGAGGACATCAAATTGTTGAGTGGCATGATTATTCATACATCAGATTTCACCGGAGGAGCCAAACAATTCGAGTTGTCCAAGCAATGGTCATTCAAAGTGAACAAAGAATTTGAATAGCAGTATGAATTGGAAGGGAAATTGGGATATCCGCAATTGCCATACATGAAAGATTTGTAAAAGGTAACTCTTCACAAATTAAGTGATTTTAGTTACCTGTGATGGCTAAATAAGAGGCTGGGTTTTTTAAGTTTATTGTGAGACCATTGTGGCAATCGATGTCCAAATATTTGGATAATAGACTTTAGGAGCAGGTTGATTATCTTGACGAGACAATATAGAAGTGGGAATAAATTGCTAATTCTGAATGATATTAATAATTAATGATTACATTTACATAGTCAAAGAGTCGATTCTCTCTTTATTATTTGGAGGAGAGCGAGAAGTATTTGTAAGATCTTTCTGCCAAGGTGCGTCAAGTCAACATGATGAAAGGTGATGAGCGGTATAAGCACATTCTTAATAGTGGAATAGATTGGAAAGGGGAAAGGTGCACATTTGTTCACGGACATTGATATTCGAGCCAGAGAGGTAGGAGTTGCCCATTCAGAAATTGTTCTACAAAATGATAACAACCCCTTTGAAGCAATCGAATTGTATCAGCTTTCGAATTAAACGCATAATTGAGATTCACACCCAAGGACCACCCTCTCCTTATGTTTATTTGGATGACATCGATATGGAGTTCTAAATTGAGCCCCTGTTTGACAACATCAAGATCGTGTTTGAGTTGATAGAGAGGATCTTGTAAATAAATCAGCAGAAACATGATGTTGAAGGGGAAGTTGAAAAATTGGATTCAGAGAAATTGCAAAAAATTAGATTCAACATGAGTTTTGTAGAATCAGTCAGTGAGAAACCCCTGATTCAAAAGGAGATGTTGGTGCGCAAAATTATGCCATTGATTCAAACCAAGGGTAACACTTTATTGTGCATCATCTTAGGCATTTTGTACATAACCAATAAGATCATCTATTTCCAGCCGTTCTTCAAGGTGACATTGAAACCATGCAAGAAGATCCCTATCGAAGAGATCAAGATCCTGTACAAGAGAAGATTCGAATTGATGGACATTGGTTTGGAAATCATTTTGAATAGCGGCAAAACCATCTATTTTGCATTTGAAAATCAAGATAGAATGGAGGAAGTCTACAAAGTGCTTATAGGTATCCATCACTTACATCCTCTTAGGGAAAGTAACCATCGAGGCTGAAACCAGTTTGGAAAAGATGCAATATTTATGGTAAAGTGGGCAAATCTCAAATTTCGAATACTTGATGCGATTAAATCAAGCAGGCAATAGAAGCACAAGTGATTTAACTCAATATCCTGTCTTCCCTTTGATCATTATTGATTACGAATCCACAACATTGGATTTGAATAATCCATCCACGTATCGTGATTTGAAAAAACCTATCGGAGCTTTAAACGAAAAGAGATTGAAGGAATTCCTGAATCGATATTAAGAGATGCCTAATCCTAAGTTTCTATATGGAACTCACTACTCCACTCCAGGATACGTCATTGGTTATTTGGTGAGACAGAAACCACAATACATGTTGAAGTTGCAATCAGGAAAATTTGATAAACCCGACAGATTGTTCAAAAGTATCAAGGGAGATTTCAAAAACATCATGAACAATCCTACTTCGCTAAAAGAATTGATTCCTGAATTCTTCTTAGATGATGACTCATTTTTGGTCAACAAATTTAATTTGGATCTTGGAATCAGACAAAACCAAAAGAAGGTTGGAGATGTTAAATTACCTAAATGGGCTAGTAATGCTAAAGAATATTTGAAATTGAATCGAATGGCCTTGGAAAGTGAATATGTGAGCAATTAGTTACATCATTGGATTGATTTAATCTTTGGGTACAAATAAAGAGGACCTAATGCTGTCGATGCAAACAATAGTAATGGTTCTATTCTAATTTAGTATTTCACTATCTAACTTACGAGGGCACTGTGTAGATCAGTAGTTTAACAGATCCCATTGAAAGACAAGCCATCGCATGTTAGATCAATGAATTCGGATAGTGTCCTAAATAGTTGTTTAAGATTGAGCATCCACCTAAGTATGCTTTGAGAAGTGGATAGATGATCTACAAATCTATTGAACAAATTAAACAATAGAAGGAAGAGGAGGTTCCAATTAATGTAGAAGGGTTGATTTGGGAAAATTTGGATAAGAAGGACCAATTCTCAAACAAGGTCATTTCCAAGGCACATAAAACGTATTTACTTATATATAAAAAAGTAATATCACTGATATGGTAGTGTTAGAAAAGAAAGGTCTCTTAGTGACCATAGGCTAGGATGGTTTCTTAAAAGTTATTGATTTAAAAGAATTCACTGTCTTGAAGTCCTTTAAAGTAGATGAATTCTGTTTAAGTGTGATAGTTGTATTGAAGCCAGATGAAATATTTGCAATTGGAAGTTGGGGTTCATAAATACATGTGTTTAATATCAATTATGGAAGCAAGGTGTAAGTTGTTTAAAGATTCAATAATTCTGTAAGTTCCTTAGTGTACTTGCAGAAGAAGAAAATATTGATAACTGGATCATGGGATTGTTCATTGAAGAAATTTGAATGTTCAGAAAATCAAATTAAGTAAGACACTGAAGAAATGATTGATGATTGGGAGGCTTAGATCACTCATATCGCAGCCACTGAAGATGAATCAATGATTGCAGTCGGAGATGTTGATGGTAAAGTGATTACAATAAGTACCAGCAATTGGACACAACAAAATCAATTTGAAATCAATGGGGAGAAAATAGTAAAATTACTATTTTTTAAAACAAGTTTGCTTGTAGTAGGTGATACTTAAATTAAGATGTTCAACAATACTAGTTAATTATTGGATTTCAAGATTGACAAAAACAATGGAATTGTAACAGATGTATTGATTGATCGTGAGAAGTATCTTGTCGTTAGTAAAAATTTCTTGCTATTTATCAAGGTACAAAAAAGGGATACGTAGCTGTATTCTCAATGTTGTTGGAGAGCAAATTAGGATATCTATTCACTGATTATTAGACCCAGCCAGATTTGATTGTAAATTAGGATTAGCAATTTACAAAGATGTCCTTGTAAGACAAAGCCCTGGTGTTGGCAAGTCAGAATGGTAGTGTCAACATATTACAATATTGATATAATATATTGATATAATATATATATATATAATATAATACAAGCGAATTTCACATTTATCTTCCCAGAAATCTGTATGACATTTTGGAACAACAATAAATAAGTTATGATTCTTATATGAATATATGTATATATTAATGCAATCATTTATAAGCATCTTGCACCTTCCTGAAGGAATCGATTAGATGGTTTGTGCATTTTTCTATCAATAGAATAGAAGAATTACCAAGACATTAATGATTTTCTTTTGTCAAAACATCATCTTTGGAAGACAATACTCCGCATCTAACTTGGCAGATACTTGTAAATCTCAAAAACAAACCTAGGGTTTCTCTCTATTAAATATTGTCCATAATAATATAATTCAAAAGTATGAATGAACTAAAATTAAAATAATACAGAAAAGAGCTACTAATATTAAATTTAATGGCTTGTTGGAAAATAAGATGAATCATAAAAGACCAGCAGTGGCAGTAACAAATAGGCAGTTGAGCCAGAGAGAAGAGTAAAAGCCAGAAGTTAATAGTAAGGAGTTATTCAGATACAAAAAATTCAAGACTTCATTTATTAGACTATCAGATATGACATGTTCTTAATTTCTATAGGAGGGGATACATTCTATTGATTGATTGAGAATGATATTGACATCAAAAAGATATTCATTAAATATTTGGGCATTTCTCGAAAGATCATGTAATTGTTGGCAATAACAAAATTGATTGATTTTAATTAGAATGCTTAGGAGTGTAAACAGCTTTTATCTGGAACATATAATTAATTTGGAATATATAGCTTTTATAAGATATTCACTTAATATTGATCTATGATTTGGATAAAATGGGAGCAACAAATGCCATAATAATTATAAATTAATTAGTTTTCTAAATAAATTTCATGATTATGCTTAATCAATTGCTATCAAAAGGATATGGAATAGGTAATTTGAGGACTTTCCTATTAAATGATATCGTTCTCTGTAAAAATATTAGGTAGAAGTCATGTTCTCTAATTACTTGCTAAATTAAGTGGAGTAAATCGCTTTTCTCCAAATAATATTAATATGAAATTATAAAATTATCTTCATTTAATCATCAATTATGAGAGACTCTTTGATAAATCTTAATAATTTGTTGCCAAACGTCTGATTGTTTATGATTGCTATATATATTCTAAAAAAAAAATTATGCATCTGTTTCTGTATTTAAGAATTTTAATGCCCTCATAGAAACTAGCAGGCTCTTCCCTATCGCTATCAACTATGGATTTTGAAACTCTTAAAAAGGAAATAACCAGGTACTCTAGAAATTTAGATTTTTATAATATAATTTGAGAAAGTTTTTATATACAATACTTATTGTTTGAATTTATTATTAATAGTAGATTGTAAGAAAAGTTAAGTGGAAATTATTTAACGACTTACTCTGTTTCTCCAAGATTATACACTACTGATTTCAGTTTCACTTTAGTGTATAAAGATATCCTCCAATACTCGTTTAGGAACATCTCAGCCTCATGATAACTCACTTCAAGTTGTTTAACTGAGTCTTTCTGTTGAACTCCATGATTTATGAGGAGATTCAAATCTTATTGTTATTCCAATATTAAAGCTCCCAACATATTTTTTAAAAGAGTAGTCTTTAAATTTATTTTATATAACCTATATATATACTGATCCTCATTTATTTCATGATTTCTCCTTATCTATATCTCCTGTAGAATTGAAGTCTTTTTTTCTGAATTTGATTATTTATGGTAAGAATAGTTCTAAGTTTGTCGTTATTATTTAAACTTTATTTTATTTCATTCTATAAAAAAAATAGATTAAATAAACTGTGACTTAAAATATCAATATAGCCTTATTGTTATTATTAGTTTTATATTGAACAAATACTTTTGATTCAATTATCTTATTTTTTTAGATATAAAAGCATCTTATCGAATATGTGTTAAATGGAATAACAAAAATTTATGTTCATCCTAAATTTTTGGATAATCTATAAGCTTTATTTTCCTAACATAAGAGATTATTCTGAAAGTTGATTCATTTTTAATGGGTATAGATTTAGTGTTTGAATCAATAATAATAAATATAATTTCATAAATTTTGTTAACAACACTTGTTTTATTTATAAAATATAGAAAAATTTTAAATATCTAAAATTTATAAAAAAAAATCAGGTATTCATTATTTATTTTATTCAATGAGTGAGGACTAAGTCACAGCTCTATTTTAGAAGAATGAGGATCAAGAAGAGAAGCATTATTTTAGTACCACTCATGATTATCAGCCTCCTTAGATGAAAATGTATGATTCTGATAATGAAAGTCAATAAGAATATCATTAAAATAATTTTAAGAACGCAAACATTACTACCAAGGATGGAGGGGAAGTAAAATATATATAACCTATAGTCTTCTATTGAACAATCTACATTTCAGCATGATGGATAATATGAGAATGATCAAATATAGATTTAAGAAACGGAATCCTAAGACTAACAAGAGGAATAATCCTATGATTAGGAGAGTGGAATAAAACCTGAAAACGTTAATGAAATTCCTTTAAAAAGTGTGAATTTGACATCAAGCCAAAAAAAGGTGTTTTAATAAAAAAAATAAAAAGAATTCTAAGATATGAAAAGTGACCCGCAAAAATATGAAGAATGTGATTAAAACTAGTCATAGGCTGTAAAAAGGAATTACTCCAAAAGTATTAAAAAGAATCGGAAGTCCAGGTGTAAAAATTTTAAAAGCTTGTTTATATCTAATAAATAGAAGTAAAAGGCTGGATTGGGTGGGTAGATATCTTTTTAATAATACGATATTTAGAATGTAATAAGTATATTTAAAAGATAGCCTTCTTTGTAAAATCCGGAAGCAAAGAAAGCTGAAAAAAAAAATAAGATTTAATCTGTTAATGAAGTTGAAACGCGCAGGATAATATAAGCATAAACATTGACAATTTCAAAAATATTATAAAAATTCTAAAAATGCAAAACAGAAGAGAAATTCTAGAGATTCATACAAAAAACATCCAAATGGAATTGCTTTTCTAAATACTCTCCTAATGTATTGGTTCATCTCATTTGTGACTCTGCTACTTCCCTGGAACCTCTTAAATAAGTTATTATATTTGATGAGTTGAAAGCTCAGTTTAAATAGATGGATAAAGATTGGGATATCAGTTTTAACCTTAACTTATAGATAAAACTTCAAAGAGATAGGATAGATTTGAGTTAAATCGATACTAAATGGATTATTGAAAAGAGAAATAAAAAACCAGGTGAAATTCAAAAATCTTCTAATTTTTGTTTTCTTTAAAATTTTAGAAAATTATGCAAAGAGATAGAGATGCAAGAAACAGAATTTTAAGAGACTGAACGCTTCAGTAATGTTGATGAAAAACTTTAAATTCAAATTCAAAAATCAGAAATTCCAGAATAAAAAAAACAAATTTAGGGTTTATTGTACGTAGTTAAAGAAATTCAATATCATAAAGAATAATAATTAATGAAAAAAATTATAGATTTTGATCAAACAGACATCTATATGCTTTATAAAGTTCCAGAGATTAAAGAGTTAGTTGATAATATCTAGAATGTAATAGCAACATCACCAGAAAAATTTCTTTAATATATTAATGTTAATAGTATTAATGGTTATGATACTAAGAATATTAAGTCCAAAAAGACCAATCTATAATATTTATAAAGATTTATCGAGAAAATATAAACCCTTTTTGTTTAACGAGGAGGCGAATGAATAATTATAATAATACATTATTCAACAATTATTATTTTATATTATATTTAATTAATAAAATTTATATAATTGCATTTATAATTACAAGACAATTATGGATGAATTATTAGGCGCTGTAATGTAAAGAAAATCAAAGATAAATGAAGTAAATGAAACAATTCTCAAATTTAAAGTTAAAAGTAATATTTAGAATTAACAATATAGATGCTATAAATTAATCTGATAGATCAACAATATATGCCATCATTCGTAAACTTAAAGAGGAAGAAAAAAATAGAACAGAAAAAGAAAATTGGATAGTCACTATAATGAGGAATACGAAATAATACAATGAAGAATAGATGAAGTATGAGCTTATATCTAAAGTTAGTCATATATTTGTTAAAACCAATGATATCATGAAATTAATTAGTGCAACTTTTATTGAATTTCCTTATTCCCCTCCTAATAGTCTCAATCAATTTTTAGAGTAATACTACAATTTACACCAAGGGTTCTTTCAACAAATGAATTAAGAATACCAATTAAAAATATAGCACAAACAGGCCATCAAATAAGGAAATGTAAATGATCATTAATATCCCATAATAGATCAATTTGATAACTGATTTAATCAAAGCATTGTTAACATCTTCACGAAAAATTCTGAAAGATAATATTGATGATTTGGCTTATTTAGTAAACAAAGAACTATCACCTGAGAAGCAAAAGATTGTTAAAAAAATTGTACCAGACGCATTGATTGAGCACTTAAAAACGAGATCATCGACATAAAATGGAAAAAAAGATGGAGCAGTTATTAGTATGACCAATAGCTTAATTCAAAATGAAGAGCCTATCAGGTATAGCGATAAGAAAGATTATCAATTTATCAAAGAGAAATTGAAATTACAATAAAGAAGATTTGTTTTATAACCCAAAATAGCTAATCAAGAGATAATATTGATAGAATCACCAGTCTATTAATTAAAGTTGAAATACTAACAATATTATAATTGCACTATTGAAAAAAATTAATTTGCTTCTTTATTTAATAATGTGAATCTTGATGATTTGGATGATCAAAACATTTGTGTTTTGGATTACCAGACTATTAAACGACAATAATAAAATTTTGATGAATTTAAACTTAATTTCGAAAGTCTTTATGATAAGATCAAGCTGAGAAATTCATATATACAATAATCAGTAATTGATTATAACCAATACATATCTAAAAAGTAAGAATTTATACAATATTGATAGATGCATTAATTCAACGTTGATGGTAAGTAGTCAGTGCAATACTAATTTAGAAAATGAGTTTTTTAACGTTATCAAAGATAAGTACGAAGAACTAACCAGCTTGAACCCAGAATTCTAATAAAATATGTGGCATTATCATTTTTGCAGGATCTATCTCAAACCCCATATCAATCAAAGTTGTGCTTGTTTCAACAGTACAAGTAATAAATATGAATTAAATTCGAATCCCATTAAAAATAAAATAGTAATCCGAAAATCTGTGTAGAGTATGAAAAAGTCAGCACCTATTCAATAAAATTAAAATTCATTTACTTCAAAGAACCTTATAGATTAATTAAAGAAGGAAAGGACTTTTCATTAATCTATCATGTTAGAAGATACCAGTTATCAAGACAATAAGAAATACAATAATAATAGTAGCGGAATTAGTCCTTTAAATAATTCGATACTTTAGATAAGGAAATTTGATTAATCTCAAAATGTAAATGGAAGTGTTTAATATAACTTATACACTCATAAATTCTCAAGCGAATTTTAAACATTTAAATAATCTTCATTACACCATAGAGCCTAATCAGCTCATGGAGATTAATTCAGTATTCCTCCTCTCAACCTAAGGAATTGTGCTGAGTGACATCAGAAAATAGATAAAATGATACAATTTAAATATTATTTTCAACTCTCATATGTATTCTAATGTCTTTATTTGTTATAACTTAATGACTTTTCTGAGCTCACCTTGTACCCTTGACTAAACTTTCTAAAATTCAGTTCAAACTTTTTGTTGTGTAAGATAATCATTGGAGGACGACGATACTTATAATTACTAGTCTGTGAGACACAATCATCAGATATAAATGATTCTTCATTAGATATTTGTAATAGCTATCCAAATAACTATTTGTTGTTTTTATTTTCGAGATATTCCTAGATGATATCAATCATTCTTTGATCTTATTAAATTACAAGATCTAAAATAAAATTAACACTATAAATACCTTTCAAATGACTTTTTTGCTTAATACTCAATTATTAGCTTTTAGATAACATATAGATTGCGCATAATAACTTTCCTGGAATGGAATCTATTTGTTCCATTTAAGTCTTATCTATTTTTATTACTATTTATAATTAATTATATTTTGAAAATATCTTGGATGATTTTTAATTAATAAATTTTATATCTTAACTTTTTATTAATTAAGATCGTTTATATAACCTTTTAATGGTTAAAATCTCATAATACAACCAAAAAAAAGAGTACATATTATTTGATTTAATTGTTATTAAAATGCTAATTAAAATATTCTTAAATGAAACTGGATGCAATCAAATATATATAGTTTATAACGAACTTATTGCAAAAGCGAAATCTTATAATTAAATCATTAATTTATAAAATTGAGAATAGAATCTATTTTATTAATTGAAATTTAACATAATAAAATATATTTTTATATTTATTATCGTTAAAATTCCTAATTATTCTAAAATTTATTGATAAATTATATAATTTATTATAGAATATTTTAAATTCAATTTAGTCTTGTAAAATGTTTTGTATTTATATTAAAAGGTATGAGATGGAAGAACTTAATCATCTAAACCTAAATGTAATCAAAAACTATTAAATGTCAAATAACTAATAAAGCTGTAGATGAAAAATAGGTTAGAGCAAGGACTGAAAAACCTCTAATCAAAACCTTTGATAACAAAGATGCTATGTAAAGAACCTGATTATGATAAAAATTATTTTTTACACATATTCATAAAATGTACAAAAAAATTTTTCACAAAACTCGTATTGTTTCATTTGTCCAGGAATACTTTGATTTATTTATTTATTTCTCAAGCCTAGTTGGTAATTAGGAGTTGACTTTACAAGTAGTTCTGTTGATGTTTGGATAAATATTGGAACTACATATAGTTTAGTTAAATATTTCAATTATTTTTAATACGTAACAAACCAAATTAGCTTTTTACAGAGCAAAGAAAATTTATAATTCAGTTATAAATTTTTCTAATGTTGTTAAAAAGAATGATTTATAAATTTATTTAAAACATATAGCAATAAAATATTGTATTCTTAAATAATGGCCTATATAAAAGAAAATTATAATATATGTTATCAATTCAATAATCAATAAACTTTCTAATTAATTAATTTGATTTCTTAATTTTTTAGTTTATTGTTTTTGCATTAAACCAATTAGTTATTTTCATGAAATATATGTAATGTGTAATGATTATATCTATTATTTTAAAGTTAGTTTTTTCCAAAAATAATAAATAATTACATGAATTCTGTTTCTCAATAGAATAGCCCAATAATTTTTTATATACTTTAAAATGAAAATAACTACTCAAACTTTTGATATTTTTGAACTTGCAATGTCTCTATTGCATCAGTTATATTAATTTGTTTTCGATGACAAGAAAAAAGAGAAACTCTCTCAATAATAGCTCATAGACTATGATTTTGTGGTAGGGTAAATAGCAAAGATAGCCTTATTTCTTATGCAGATTATATACTATTTAGATTTGAACAAATTAGATCCAATATCTACATCTCTACTAATCTAAGGGTACTATGTTTTTGCAGTTTTTATTGTGTTGGTCGAATCAAAATACATATATGGAGGATATTCTTACACATTTCATAGAATAGTTGCTTATAGAATAATGAATATAGTTGTCAATTTAATTAGTCTATGGAGAATCCATTAAGATAAATCCTTACTTTATAATTGGGAGAATATCATAGATTTTTATTTTGGAATTGCTGAGCTACTACTAATTGGACTTGTTTTTTTTACTGCAGTTGAAATTGTACAATTATCGTTTCAACTATGCACAAAACTGTTCTCTTGTATGAAAAAATTTGATAATACAAAGGAATACGATTCTCCAGGAGGGTGTGGTTATGTATGTGTTGGTTAAGGTTCAGGAATTACTTTAATGGGAGGTATTATTTTGCTAATATTTTATTGGAAAACCATTCCATTTTCAACTCTATTCACTTTGAAGGTTATTGTTCTCGAAAGTTTGGTAGGTCTTGAATTTATATTATCCTGCGTTTTTTATTGTAAGAGTGGCAAAGTTTAAAAAGATCCACCAAGATCTAAAAAAGTGATTTGTTTTGGATATGGATTCTGCATTGGAGCTCTGGGTGTGTTTTCAGGCCCAGCAATTCTGGTAGTTGTTATCATATATGCGTTTATCAGAACACTTTGTTTTTGGCACTAATTTGATTGGAGGTGCATTATTTGTTGTTGGTGCGCAACTATAGAAAAAGGCCATAAGTATAAACAAACAAATATTTCAATTAACACAAATAATGGCTGAGCAGCCAAAGTTTGGAGTAAATTTTTGAATAATGATTTATGTACATTCATTTTTTATCTAACTCTGAAAATGCATTGAATTTCTTTTTGATAGGATTCTTACTTTCAAAATCAATTAAAAAAGATACAGTCATATTTTAATTACTTTCATAAACGTATTAAAAATGATTAAAATTTAATGATATTTCATTATATTCCAAATTGTATTTAATTGAAGAAGAATATTTAGAGGTATTATTTTGTAGGGTAGACCTATATAATTACATTACTCAATTTGATTTACAATAATTACTAATTTGAATTGGTGATATTTATTATGGAAATATTAGGTTAAACAATAAAATATGTTAAGAAGCATTTAGTGGGTGTATTTCTTGCAATTAATTTGAGGGGTGGAAGGGTGGTGAATATAGGTTTGATTCGATGCTGATGGTGGAATTAAGTTAATTTTGAATAGAAAGTGAGAAGTGTAAATATTTATTGATTAATAAATAAAAATGTTATCAGTAAAATAATAATAATTTTTGATTTTGAAAAGTGGATAAATAGTTGACTCATATATTAAATATAAATAATATAAGATTAATAAATTAAATAAAATAATTACTTAAATCATAGGGATGGATAATATATACAAATTCAAGGCGAGCTCTTCAGTGGGACATCTGAAGAATTTGAATAACGACAAATAGTTTTATTCTGAAGAGGAAACCAGCAAAAAGGAGGAGGAGGAGAAACAGCTGAAAAAAGTTAGCAAACCCCCTAGTAAAATGTCTCAATTCAGCAAAAACGCTACAGGGTACTAGACTGATGATTCCGACAAAGAGACGCCTCGAAATAATAAAGTAGGACCCTCAAGTAAAATAATGTTGAAAAATGTTAGATCAGAAAGTCTCTAAATTTCGTAATCTTGTGAATGCAAAAAAGATTGAGGGAGACAACGACGATCCCAATTATGACGATGATGATGACAAGCCAACAACCATCCAATAGTAAATGCAACATGTGCAATAATAAAATGAGGATCAATACGATATAGAGTAGTAAGCAAAATAGATGCAGTAAAAATATGCAAAAACAGATAAACCAAAGGAGAGCAAGATGAAGTACATCATATTTATGAAGTTACATCTAGACACTCTAACACACAGTAACCACTGGATGTGAATTCCGATGTTGAATAGATGAAAAACAAATAACACCAGGAGGGTAAATTGAAGAATCATCCCTTTCGACATTTGATATATGGTCCAAGTATAGGTGAAAATTCGTTTAACAAATTTTTATAACTCACTCAACGAGGTTTAGTATATGCTAAGAAATGTCTCAAGGGTCCTTCAGATAAGTTTATTAAGTCAAAAATGGTATAATTGCCAGAATGCGTTATTGTGAAGCCAAAAACTTTGTTGTTGGATTTGGATGAAACCTTGATCCACAGTTGTTCTCAAAGGGAAGGTCCACAAGTCACAGTAACTGCATTCGGAGATTATGGTGAAGAAGCCAAAGTAATATTTATCAATTAATTAGATTCATTTCAATATTAGGCCATTTTGTGCTTGGTTCTTGCAATAAATGAGTCAATTGTACACCATCTATGTCTTTACTGCCTCCTCATCTGCCTATGCTAATGCTATTGTGAATTATTTGGATCCCAAACGACAATGGATTTTAGGAATTCTCTCTCGTGGAAATTGTATGGAGACAAAGAATGGGTTCTTTATTAAGGATTTGAGAATTGTTGGCAATAAACAATTGAAGGACATGGTGATTGTTGACAATCTGGCTCATTCCTTTGGATTCCAAATTGAAAATGGTATTCCCATCTTAGAATGGCACAACGATTAGAGTGATTAAGAACTTAAATACTTGGCCACTTATTTGATGGAAGCAGCTGATTAGGAAGACATCAGAGTGTTCAATACATAGAGGTTAAAATTGGATCAACTTATCGAATATAGTTTAGAATGATCTTATTATCATTAATAAATAAATTCAATATAAATAATAGCTTATCACAAATGGGATCTTGCTGTTCAAGTAATAAGGTGGTCAAGGAAACTTATGATTACCCAGATGGAGGAGTCTATACAGGGGATATGGAAAACAATGTGCCAGTATCTATTTTAATATTCTTGTAAGCATGGAAGAGGCACAATCAAGTGGGACAATGGTTCACTATTTGAGGGATAATTTGTGGAAGGACAGAAAAATGGAAGAGGTTTGTTTAGATGGAATGATGGCTAATACTATGATGGCAATTTCAAAGATGAAAAATTTTATGGCTATGGTGAATATTTTTGGACTGACGGAAAAATTTATAAAGGCAACTGGATAGATGGTGAAATGAGTGGATAAGGCGAAATGATTTATCCAGATGGGAGAGTTTATTAAGGTTCCTAATTATTTAATCTTAAGGCAGTTTCAAAGCAGACAAAAAGGATGGCGATGGAGAATTGACTTGGCCTAATGGAAACAAGTACATTGGGGCTTGGAAGAAGGGCAAATAACACGGAAAAGGCGTTTTGATAGATCGAATAGGGACTAAAACAGAGGGTACCTGGAATAAAGGAAAAAAATAATGAAAAATTATGTATAAGCATTGTGAATCTTGTATTAATTAAAAATATTTAATCCTCTAATTCTTATTTCTTAATCCCATTTATTTATTGAAATACTGCATCGTTTATCGCTATCTAAGTTTTCAATTCAAAGAAAAGTTGTATACAATTATTAGAATATTAAAAGTTTATTAATCGAACTTGAATATTATCTAAATATATGTCTTGTTTTAAAATGATTATAGCTTGAATCTGAAAATAAAAGTAAAATTAATTTCACTATAATTATGTTTTTCGAGTTAAAATATTATATTTTGGCTTTAATTATAAAATAAACTTAGATTCATTATGTAATTATTTTATTTATTAAAATTATAATATTAGATCTTCTAATTTGTTTCATCTAACACTCTCAAACATTATTTAAAGTATATTCAAGCGATATTTAACTAAATTTGGTAAAAGAAATATAATGCCTCATTAAAGGTTCCTAATTTATTTATTCAGCAAGTTAATTTTAGTGCTCTAGAATAAAATAATTTGATGTTCATATTAATTATTAATGAATTCAATCAACCAATCAGCTAGTTTTTATGAACATTATTATTATTATAAAATTATACTATAAAAGATGATTCAATTTGAAAGTTAGGTCTCTAAAAATATTTGACACTAATTTTCAAATTCTTCTTCAATTGATTTCATTTTTCCAAAGGTGTTTACATTAATTGAACATAAAATCAAATTTTTTCTATAATAATTCGTTGGGTGGATCCTTATTAATTTATAAATTCATTTAAGTATTAACTAATCGAACTTTCTGTTTCTAATTCTTAATAATTAAGTTTATTTTTTAGAATGATGCTCGAATTTCTGTTGGTGGCAATAACCCAAGGAATAATCACAAAGACCTATGGAGAAGTAGCTGATTTTTCGTACACAACATCAGGATTTGTATGTTAAAATGGGTACTCAACATCCAAAACAATAACCTTTTCGGGTTCCTTTGCAAATGTTCCGAAAATAATTTTTGTGCCAACGATATTTGACTTCGCATCCTTCAGCTCAAGTCAGTTTACAGTAAAATTAGAGATTCTAAGTGTCAGTTTAACAAGTTAGAGATTATTAAATTATATAGATTTTTAAATAAAAATTACATGCCCAACCAAAAAAGTTAATACTTATAAATTGAGTTGGTTTGCGATAGATGATAATCGTTTAGAAGTGATCAATGAGGCTATCAACGATATAAATATCAATCCTGTCGCATCTAAATAATACTCAATTTAAAATCCTAATATTAAAAAAGCAATAGCGTCCATTCACTCTTATGGAATCAATGGGGCACTTGATATAACTCTGAGTGTATTATAGAATATTATGCTAGATTTCAGAATTAACAACAACACAGGTTACAGTGAACATTGCTAAAAACAGTAATTTACTCTATCTTGGTTATCAGGTAATATTAGGAACTGATGAAGTTATCAGTTATATTGATGAAATTGCATCATCAAATTCATACACAAGTCAAGTTTACAACTTAATCTCAGATAACTATTTTGTGGTTTCATTTACAAAATTGACAAACTCTGGCACTAATGCTTTCAGATTATAGTACTTCATTACTAAAACTAGTACTACAATATATTATGACTGCTCGACATGTAAGAAATATTATTAATTAATAAGGGGGCGGTGCTTATCCATCAAATATTATGAAAGTATTTTGGTTGCAAACAACTCTAAATTAAGAGTTTTTGGCTATGGAATGTTTGACTGTGAGAGTTAGCAAGCTATTTGACAGATATGTAGATTTAAAACCAGCGTTTTAGTTGGAAATTTTAGAGATCAATAAAGTACTTAATACTGTTGGTTCAGAATCTATAGTTCTTAATGAATCAATCTAATTAGTAACTATCCATGTTTTTTATAAATGTCCATCAAACAATAAAAAGGTTCATAGTTAGTTGAATAAATGTAATAGCTGCACTGGAACCAATCAGATCCATAACTTAAACCATTATTGTCATGGATCAGTCAATTCAATCAATATCTATGCTAAATACTAAGCTTAAGCCAATTATAAAGAGCTGACCTTAACTAGAGCTAGCAATGGCGTAACTATTGCTTAAACCTTAAGAAATAGAAGTACCTCCTAAAAAAATATATTAAAAGTAGACTTTTTAGATATTTGAGATTATCAAATTATAATATTATATTCATAGATCCATCTGTTTTCTATATTTAAACTCCTTTAAATTAAATAATAAAATATTTTTCAACCTAACAACTTTACTTCTATTTTTAATATCAAATTAATCTTGGTTCAATAAAACTGTCAACTATAGGTAATTATAATTTAAAGATGGCATTAAGGATTGAATAATTGATAAATTGATAGATACAATATAAATAATAAACTAGAACAATCCAACTTGTTAAGGACATATTCTTTGAAAAATTGAAATTTCAGAATCTTAAGACTTTTAACCATTTACAACATTTTAAAATATCATTGTCATAATTTATTATAAACGAACTCAAAACAAATTATAAATATATTGGAAACTAATATTTATATGGGAATAATGTATTCCATATATAGGTTTTTCATTAGATAGGTAGAAATTGATGCCTTTCTAAATATTATAAATAAATTTCCACAGCCCACTCATTTAATCTAAATAATTTTGAAGTTTTATAATGTTATTTTTATTGTTGAGTCTTACTTATAACTCTTTTTTCTTTTAAATGGTTAGATCAAAAGTAGTAATTTTTCTTTCCATTTAGATTAATAATAAATAATTATTTTCATGTCTTAATCCTTTGAAAGTTAACAACAATTTTCATCAAACTAATCAAAGGAAATTTTAAAATAATCATATACATTATCTATAAATATTATATAAATTAAATGAATTAGAAATGCTTAAGCTTTGGTCATAACCAAAGATAAATTGAATTCGTTTGCATACAAGCTAAAGAAATTTTATGGGGTTGCTCCAAGTGTTTTGAGTAAAATAAAGTCCAATATAACTTTAAGCCTATTGTTTAGATCTAGAAAATTTTAAACTAAGCAATTCAAGAAATCAAAAATAGTAATTGTCTCTAAGAAATTTAAAATAAAAAAAGTCTATTTGATTAAGCTATAGAATAAACAAATAACATTTTCATTCAAAATATAAGTCTTTTAAAATAATCCTTTGAACTTCAATATAAGGAATTGTTTGATTTTCTAGCTTTTGTGAATGATTTTTCACCAGATAATTTGGACTCTGTGAGTAATGAAAACTCTAAATACCTCCTTATTGTATTGGATTAAAAAAAAGCTCTTTATGACAAATTTGATGTTTAGGCAACATTTACAATTGAGAGGCTAGAGATAATTAAAAAAGATATTAAGAAAAATATCAATGATGTTTTTGATTAGGGATGTCAACAAATACTAGATGGTTTGAATTATAAATATAACATGCCAATTGAATTTAGATAGTAAATCTAAAACCTTAAAATCCCACTAGAATATAATGTCTATGAACATCCTGATCTCACATATTCTATAAACTATAAATTGGATAAAGAAGCCTACTACTCCGGTTAATTTTGCAATAACTAGATATAGGGAATTGGAGTATTAGAATTGCAAAATTAAAATATCATCTATTATGGAGCATTTATTGAAGGTCATTTTACTTATGGAATTAAGATCAAGCTAGCTCAGAATCAACTGTTTTAGGGACATTTCTATTAAGGTCAAAATCAATTTGAATATATTATTGATTCGAGTGGAATCATGATTTTGGCTAATATAGAGAGGTATAAGATTATCGTTATTCAGATACGATGGGAGCTTCAAAAATGAATTGTAGGAAGGATATGGAATAACAAATAAAAAGAATAAAGATTCGTATTAATTCATAATAATAAATAGGTATTATGGCTATTGGAAAAATGGGAAGTATGAAGGACAAGGGTGCTTAATTAGTGAGGAATATGGATAGTATATAATTATTAAATTATCAATAGAGTTGAAGGCACATTCAAGGATGGAAAGCTCAATGGGAAAGCAACTTTTAAGAATGCTGAAGAGAAGTAAGAAAATTGAATATAATTGATATGAGGGCGAATATAAAGATAATCAAAGGGATGGAGAGGGCATCTTAGAAAATTTTGTGAATAAAACCATATATTATGGATAGTTTAGGAATGGAAAGAAAAATGGATAAGGAACACTCAAAGTTTCGGACCAACTATAGTATTTTTAATTGATAGGTAGAATCGATGGTACTTTCAAAGATGATAAACTCTGTGGAAAGTGCACTGAAACAACGAAAGTAGTCGTAGTAGTAGATCTAAAATAAACTGTATAAGAAACTGTAGAAGTAGGCGAATTTAAGGATGGAATCAAAGTAGGAGTTTTTACTTCAATAACTACTTGCAATAACATAAAGACATAGTAAGCAATTAAATGATTGATAGGAAAACAAAATACTATGAAGATGATAAAATGATATATGAAGATGAAGATGAGTTTGAGACTTGATTATATTTGTGATAATTATATTTAATCGGATAATAAAAAGAATGACAATTTGAATAGAATAATTAATCCATATATTATTTTGTTGTATAAAATTATTACTTACTCCTTGATAATGATTTTAGTAAGCGGTTTTCCTGAAGTAATTCCTTAATTTATCCAAGAATGTTAACGAGGAAATATTGTATGAGACATTTAGAATCTATGGCAAAATGCTTGAAATAAAGATCAAGAAGGAATATTATGAATAACAGAGTGCAATTATAGAATTTGCAGATTCGATATCAGTTCATTAAATTTAACTAGAAAAGAAAGAATTTAAAATTGATAATAACATCCTCAAAATTTCACTTCATGATGATTAAAACTAAAATGAGTTTAGAACTAATAATTTATTTGTAAATAATATACCTTCAAATATTACCTAAGAGTAATTGTCCATGTTTTTTGAGTAATTTGGACAAGTCTTCAATTGTAAAATAAAGAAATCAAATTATTTGAACCATAAACCTTAATTGTAAATTAGCACCTATAAAGTAGTTCCGGCTTTGTGGAATATAAGAATCCTTAGACTACCGTAGATTTGATGGAAATATACTTGAGGTAACCATTAAAAGTCAATGGAAAAATATTGATCATCCAACCTTGTAAAGACAAGACTTAGCCAAGAGTGTCGATATAAATGATAATATAGGGTTTTTGTAGAAAGTTGAATTAGGCAGAATCATAGATTTTTGGAATCTCAAGATTTATTGAATTAATATGGGAATTATTAATAGTAGATTATTTTAATTCAAGAAAATTGTAGATGAAAAATTGTTTTGTCAAAATGAAGAACGATTAACCATACATAATTTTGGTATTCCCAACCTTAAGTGATACCATCAAATTTATGAAATTAGCAGACCAAATTAAAGGACATCCTTGCTTTTAGCATGATTCAGATTGTATCCCAACAATACTTAAAAAATATTCAGTGGATTCATCTCTATCTTAAACATTTCAATAGTTTCACTAATAGCATTTGTCGATAAATGAATAATTTTAAAGTAGAGCAACTCAAGATTATTTTAGTGGGAACTTCTCAAATTTCAGTTGCAGATACCATTTCAACAATTAAGATTATTATGATGATAGAATACTAGTCATTTCAAATTTAAAAAGTTCAGTTACTATTGTATAATTGAAAGAGTATTTCCAATAATTTGGTTTGATAAAATCAGTAGTCTTAAGAAATGAATAAAATGGAAAAGCTACTAAGGTATGTTTTGCCTTAGCACTCACTTCATTTGATGCTTAATTAATATTGTAGGAATATGAAAATCAACAACTTGGATCAAATTAGAATATTTCAGACTCTCCAATCAAAATCTAAAAGCTTCACTATAAGCATTATGAATATGAGAAGATATTTAGTGAGTTATACGAAGAAGTATTCTATAAAAAAGAAATTTAAACACCTGAAACATAAAATTGTATTCTAAAAGATAAAGAATATTTTTAAAGTTTTAATCAAATAATTGAAGAATTGGAGCATTTCCAATAACTCAGTTTATAGGATTAAAAAGATATTGAGTAGTAATTAATTGATTAAGTTGTTGCTAATTAATCTTATTTAAATTTGGTAGATTAAAAAATAATATCATGTATTCTAATAATAATAATAAATTTTAGGTAAAATAATAAATAAATATCAGAAATTAGAAGATATAATAGAACTTTACAAAGATCCAGCCAAATTTATCTTGGAAATAGAAGAAGCTGAAAACAATATCATTTAGGACTAGTATTCAGAAACTATTTAGTAATATTCTACATTGGATACAATTATGAATAACTTTGAAGCATTTTATTCCTTAAAAGATGACCAAAAGATTAACATCATAAAGTTTCTATTGAAGTAACACATAATTACAGAATTATAAATGGATGATAATTAGGCAAGCAAAATCTCTAAATAAATAATGAAGCAGTTAAAATACAAAATTCAGGATTTGCTTTGCTTATTGGAGGATAATACTGAATTTTTGAATGCACTGAACAAAAATGATTGATATATATATACATATTTATTGCAACAATGGTTATAAATTAAAAATGATTTCAGAGTATAGTGTCTGACATAAATCAAAAATTTTTAAAATAAATAAATAATAAACGAAATAATCATTTAATCCTATCTAATGAGATTCCTCTTATCTTTGTTTCTGTATTATGTGAAGATCCAAAATCCTTTTCTCTGATGTTTTTTGTTGATGAACATAAATGGCCAAATTCTTTCTTGATCAAAATACTCTTAGATTATATTTTCTTTTTTGAACTTCCAGATAAAGATCTCTTGAATTTGTAAGGCAATTCAGTCTAATAATTATTATTGAAATATTTACTTCTCTCAATTCTTGATCTTCCTCTTCAAATTTGTGCTTTTGTTTCTCATTCAATGATAATACTTTTTTAATTGAATTACGAGCTTAATCTAATGATTAATCATAAGACATTGGTATTATAGTATCTTATTTCTAGGATTTATGCACTTTGTCTTGCATGAAATTTAAAAGTGCTATTCTAGACTATTTTTAAGTTGATTTTCTTTTATCATAGGTTCTTTTTAATAAATTCTCTGCTTATTCTGCTATCTATTGTGCTTATTGAATTTATTTAATTTCTTCTTAATCAATGAAATTTAGTTTTTTCTTAGGAATGAAATTATCGGAGAACAAATTCTATTATGCAATTCGAACCTATTTATTTTCTTATTAAGCTTTTAAGTTGGTAACTGCCAAATCTTTATTGGTTTAAACAAAATCAAAATATTCTATCACATTAAATTCAAGTAATTTATTGAATTCATTTTCTGCTTATTTATCCTTAACCATAACACCCTAAGGGCAGGTCATTTTTCTGGCTTGTAATAAACTTTTTGTGATAGGTACTTCTTTGTGAACTTCAGCTTCAGCTTAGCAGATTTGTTTGGCATTCTACTTTACTTCATCTAATGATTAGCATTTTTGATAGCTCACAAGATTTTAATTTATATATGATTTAACAACTTAATCCAATGGCTAATAGGCATCTAAATATATTGAATATATAGTAACTTTTATTGCTGATTTTGAAGAGTAATTCCTTTTACTACCTGAAGTTCTTCTCGATTTCGGTTTCAACCTATTTTTCTTTTTCATCTGATTTAGATCCTTGATTTCTTAAATGAATTAATTCGCTTAGGAAACTCTATCTATGATTGGAATTGACTTTTAAAGTCTTATTCAATTGAGTTTTGATTGATGAATTATGCGATGTATCAATTTGAGTTAAATGACTCTGATCATTCTTATTATTTGACAATTGTAATTGACTATCATTGTAATTTGTTGAAGGCTACTCAATTGAATGTTAAGAACTGTTGTGCTTAAGTTTGAATATTTTCATTGATTAATTCTTAACGAAGTATTGCGATTGCTATTACTATTACAGGACGTTGTCTAGCATCAATTGCTTCTGCACTTCCCTATTTTTGATAAAAAATGTTTAGTTATTTTGTGAGTATTAGTACTTCTCAAATATTTTTTGTTCATATTGCTCAACTTGGCTTAATTGTTGTAGATCAATTGAAGATTTGCTATTTTTTAGATGTTCTTTTAAGGAGATTTGGAATACGTGAGAAAGCAGCCTGCTTATTTCATTAATTTCATCAACGTGATCCTTGTAGTTTTCTTTAATTTCTGTACTCCTTGTCTCGAATTGTGAAGTTACTTCCTTACAAATTTTGAAGTGTTCTAGAATCTTGTTGAAATACACAGCGAGTTAGACGATTTCTAAGCAGCGATCATAACTATATTAAAAGTCAATTACTACTTTTCCATTTGTTGATTAACCAAGGATTGCAATTCAAAATTAACTAAAATCTAACTGATCAATTTGGCTAATTGAATCTTAACCGCATTGAGATCAATATTGCTTTTCATTTTTTCAATCTCACCCAAGATGATTCTAACAGCCTCCATTGTTTATTCAATCGATTAGATGTAATACTAATCAGCCTTATTGTACTCATCTTAATTAAAATGTAATTAATACACAATTCAAAGTATGCATTTCCTATCAACGTTTGTAATTCCCCTCTGAATAATGATTATCTATTGTTGGTTATTGTAACATTCTCAACGACCTGGGTGATAAGGTTAAGGGTTAGGGCGGCGTAAGGAGTTCGATTATATTTGTGAAAGCGATAAGTGTTGAAGAGGGTTTCCATTAATAAAAAATAGCAGTTCTGGCACTGGGAATGAAACCAGATATTGGATTTCGGAACGTAATTGCTCACGATGTCTTGGGAAAAGAACATTTCCATTTTGTGGGCAAGACTTATCTACTCTGCGTAGAGTTCTTTAAAAAGTTATTTTTTTTTCATTGTTGGAGAGGGAGATGCAGTTGGAGAAGCATCTTTTTGAATACTTTCTTTTGCATAGATCTCTAGGAAATCGATGTAAAAGAGACTCAATTCGATGGTGCGATTAAGTAACGATTGAACTTTGTGGGACTTCTCTGAAAACTTTTGGAAATACCTAGAATTGTTATGGCATTGTGATACTTCTTGAGGATTTTGTTGCAACAATGCAATAGTCTTCTGCATAGCTAAATTTGTAATTATAAAAATTATGGCTAACCCTTGGCCAATTGAGGATCAAAGACCAATCGGTTGATCTTCTGTAGGCATTGTCTGTACTGTCCCTTTTTGATTAGGTCATGCGTATCGAAGACCAAGTATTCTCCTGAGATTATTGATTGTTGTCTTATCATAAATTTTATTTATTTCCAGATTATACATAAAACTCGTATTGGATAGTTATATTTTTCTAAATAATATTACTACACAAAATCATAAAAACAAAGTGACACCCATACTTTACAACGAAGTCTATCTCTTCTTCAATAGATTTAAGTTACTGAGTTTGCAATTTGAGAGGTAGATGGTTTTCCCATGCAATTGCTGTATCATTCTTTCAATCAAATCTATTGATTTCTCAGTGCATTCGTTATTGGATAAGTTGAGAGTGTGAATGTCTCTGCGTTTAAGCAATAGATTTAGCAAATGGCTGAATCCATTATCAGTGATTCTATTCTTGGTTAATTTAAGAATTTCAATCTATGAAGTAGACTTTTTAATGAGTTTGATAAGATCTAGGAGATCTAGATCATTCAAATCTAGAGATCAAATATAGTAATTTACTTTGATTGGTTAAATCTAATTTCTCGATAGGCAATCCTTTAAATAGAAGGTCTTGGATGCGAGCAATTCCAGTGGCTTCATTGAGTTTGCTGGATGACAAACTTCTTGAATTTTTGGAATCACGAGATTTGCTAACCTAGCCTTTGCCTCCAAAGGTTAGTTCCCTTGGATTGAATCTTTATTAGGGAGGTTCTTCTAAATGATGGGCATTTTTAGAATATTAAAAGGGTTTTTATGAGGAATTGTCATGTCCCTTAGGTTTTGGGCTGTTATCCGAGAGGGATTAGTTAGAGTGAGTATAGGCATAGTCATTTGATTCGGTTAATGTTTTGACTCTCCTTTGTTATGATTGGTTCCTATTATCACAGTTGTATTTTTTGAGTGTACAAAATGTAGGCAAGTAATCATAAACAGATAGATCGAATTTGAGTTGCATTTGCTTAGTGATAATATGTTAAATGTTGAAGGAGGGTTGCTTGATGAAGTGATTGATAATTAATTCAGTCTGGCGAGTGAGGGTGTTGACTAAATCTGCTTTAGTGTTTAGATTCTCATCAGAGAGGAGTAACAATTACTGGATTCTAACTACTCATAAATGTGGGGTTTACCTTTCTTGTATTAATTTGATTTCGGCGATTGCCTTTTAGTCGGTTGAAATATGCATTTACCTGATGTCATCTTCTAGTTTCAAGGCTACGATGTTTAGTTCATTAAGGAGTTGACTTTCTATATTCCTGAGTTTCATTTGTAATTCTGAGAAGTTCTATTCTATTTGTTCGATTAGGCTGCGTTTCTATTGAAAGATCATTCTGAAGGCTTCGTTGAAATAGGTTTACTGGTTCAATTCAAATTGTTGATGCGATTCTTGTAGTTGTTAATGACATTGTTGCAATTGTTCTCTATTCCATGGGATTTGATGTTGCTGATGGGGAGAGAGTGGTTTTTTGATGGTTACTGAATTTTCAGGAAGATTGGTGTAGAGTCGAGTGGTGGATTGGGTGATATTCTCTAAAGAGATGTCATATTGGGAGGAATGTAGAGTTCTTTGGAGTTGGGGATGCAATAATTCTTGGTTGGTAGCTAGTTAATGGAGTGAGTCTACTCTGAAGGACTTCCTTGGGGGGTTATGGAGAATATTGGTTACATGTCATCTGGACAAATTATTCGATTGTTCTTGAGAAGACGTTGGAGACATTTAAGACAAAAGGAGTGTCCACAATCGAGGAGTTTGGGAAGACATTAATTTTAGTCCCAAACGTTGTAACATGATGTGCAATAGTATGGATTGTATGTGTTCATTGTATTAAATAAATTAATGTTATAATGTTGGTAGGTAGAGAATACGATTATCATAATGATTATAATTATACAATTAATTATTAAATAAAATAATTAAATATATGAGCATGTTCCTGAGAAGTAAGAATTCAAATCTGAAAGTCGTTAGCAATAAGAAAGATGGATATCTTTGGGTAGCCAATAAACCTCAATCTTGATCTGAGATCCAAGTACCAGACTTTCTTGGGAGGATTGGTTTCAATGTTCATAGTCTTTCTGTTGATTGGCTACAGTGTGAATGAGATAATTGGGTACACCATCCAGAGAGGCATACAGATCACTTAGGAAGTAGTATTCTGGATTTATAGGGGGACTAGACGAAATTCAATTATGATCCCGATGTGCTGGTACTAAACAATTAGAATTTCATTTTTGCCATCAGAGTAGAGCAAGACAGTTTCTACCAGTCCCCCTAATTCGACATTCAGGTTAGATAGCATCAAAACAGTAACGAAGTTTCATTGGAGTTGTAATAATGCACTTTCCAGCAATTCGTGAGTGTGTTGAATTCGAGTTAAGTGCTGGACTTCTTGGAGGCTAATCAAGTGAACACTTGGTTGTGTCCCAAATCTGAGTTCTCGATTGAATTGGAGGGGACACCGTTTTGTAAGTTTTGATGTAGCTAGGAGGATAGCCTCAACATTTTCGAGTCTGGTGATCGAGATTAGTGAATGTAAGTCAAGGAGTTCTTGGGGCAGTGAATGTCAGACCAGATCCCAGAAGGACAGTTATAAGGTGCAGATGATTACAAAGAATACAGTATTAATTTGAGTGATGTAAAAGTTCATTAACCCATTCAACAATGAATTCGTGGCTGAGGATTACTTGGACAATTCGATGAGTTTGTACTTCTAACCGGGAGATCTGTAGAGGATAGATTACCAATTTCATAAGCACATCACTAAGGATTACCAGGGACAAATCAAAATAGAGTAGAGATCCCAATAATATTAGAGGATTGCTGGATGAGTAAGAGTGGAGTATCTTCTCGACCAATTCGTTCAAACAGATCTACGAAGGTAAGAACACTGCAGTCTGGTCTCGTATTGTCTTTGTGCGCAGTAATTTCTCAACCAGTTATAACCGAGAATACCAGACGGTGACTGACTTGTTATCCAAAATTGGAGGCTTGTCTCAATCGGTGATTTCTATTGTAGGAGTAATAATTACTTATTATAATAGAGCACAATGTAATTAATAAGTAGTATTTAGTTTATTTGGATATATCCAATCGTCTTTACGATTATGATTTCAACGGCGAACATGATCAAGGTACCAAAGGTTCTGGCTAGGTTGACCCTCTCCAATTCAGTGTCTAACTCCATCAGGAATCTTCTCAGCCCCTTAAGAAGAAGAGGAAAGCTCAGGACAAAACAGATGCTATCAAATAGCCAGTAGAGGATTCAATGGAGGAAGACCCCCAATTCAAAGAGCGAGTATTGAGAGTGGTCGAGGAGCAGAAACAAATCATGGACAAATATTAGTTTAAGAGTAGGAAACACTTCCTATTGGCAACCTTCCAACAAACCATATTGATGAAGAAGTCCATCTAACTTAGTATCAAATACTTCTTCTACAAACTCTTCTGTCGGAAGTCAGATCCCAAAGAAGATCCTCATTTATTCGTTTTGTAGAAGGCGTTGAATTCAGTTAGACAGGAATTAGATGTATTCTCGATTCTGAATCGAATTCATCAATTGGAGAAGTTGAAGAAAATCCTATTGGACAGAGATCAACTGATTCTGTTTAATTATTCCCCCAAGCCAGTGATTGCCGTTTATGAGAAGGACAAGGAAACAGATTTCCTACACTACTCCAAACAGCAATCTCTGAAGCAAATGACCTTGATAGAGGTGGCAGAAGACATTAAGAAGCGAATGAAGACAACTTTCTTATCAAAAGAGCATCTTAGCATCGAAAATGTGTTCAACTCTTACAAAGCAATAGCTGCCAAGAACAGGAAGTCCAATCGCTATTATTACAAGATCAACAGGAAGTTGAAGTAATTCCTGGGAGATCAAGTGAAGGCCATCATCAAGGCCTCCAAGTTATTGAGATTTCCTGAAGATGATTAGATACCAGACATGGGTGTTCTGGAGATTATGTCAGTGGGAGGAGAGACTGCAGCTCAATACCCATTGAGTATGCGTCCATCTGTGAATATAAATCATCAATACTAATGATATTTAATATATATTAACGAATTAATATGTCTGTTATTTTCGAAGACATCGAGGTATTTATACACACTACCAAGCTAGAATTTACACTATCTCCAATTTCAATTCACCCAAGCCTTACGCATAGGCAAACTCATTTACTACATAGGTACTGCTCTCGTATACCTTAGAGAACTCTCTCCTTCGCAAGGTCAGTGTCCTTGATAGCACTTGTTCCGACAGCGTTATCGTTTAAGCTGAAGTCTCCATGATTTGCACTGATGGCTAACTCATATACTCCTTGCTAGGTAACTTCGATTGTATAACCACATTTAGAGAACGGAGACATCTATTAAATCGAACAACCACCTCGTCTACTCAAAAGTGGAAATCATTATAAGTGGATCTCCCCTATCGCAGCCATCGATCAATCTCACAGAGGTTTCATCTGGAAAACCAATAAACAAATTTATAGTCATTGCAAACACATCTCCTCCTACTAGAATCGAATCACTCTCATCACCATCGGTGGCAAGATATTCAACGTTGTCGACAATAACACTCTCCCCATACCATAACTCAATGGATTGAAATTGAACACTTACTTTAAGAAGTCCATTCTCCTCTCTTTTGGGGGAGTGGCCATAACTGAAAGTGGAGAATTATATCTCTTCAATTAAAAGATGATCAGAGTCAAAATGAAAGACATCCAAGACATCTTCGCAACTGATAAGTACCTCTTTGCTATCCAAAATAACAACACCATTTTACAATACTCCATTGAAGATATCCAAACTCATCAATTCTTTACTAACCAGTAGATCTTTCAAAAAATGCATTACTGCAACGACTTAGAATTCAAATTCAAACAGAGATAATTTCAACACATTTCTCTCCTTCAATCAGAATACTCATTATGCTCATTCGCTTATATCAAAGAGAACAAGATCCTAGACACCAGTCTCAATCTAACTGACAAGACCAATCAAACCAATCAAATCCATCATAAGAGCAATGTTCTTATACTGAAGCAATCCTTATTTGAAGACTGGGATTGCAAAAAGAAAACCATGGATTCCAGAAGATCTACTACCATTGATAAACCATTTCAAATAGAACCAGAAGGATTAACTTTAGCCTAAAAGCTAGCAACCATAAGGGAGAGTTTAAATTTTGAAAAACCCATTCAACCACAAGATAATAAGGATCGCTGCAGATAAAAAAGTCTGATTCAATTGCATCAAAGTTAAGTTGAAGATCTACCTCATAATCCTACTCCAATCAAATTAGACAACCTGCTTCATAAAATTCATGTCAACAAACCAGATAAACCTATTGATCAATTATTACTGAGTCAAAATAAATAAGAATTACAAGATTCCTTACCAACCTTCTAAAATGATAATCAATTCACTAATTTTAATGACACTCTGAACAAAAAGAAATCTAAATAAAACAATTGCAATTCAAGATCCAATAAAAGATTAGATAGTATGTCTGCATAATCTGGTATTGATTTACAAAATAATAGTGGATTCATCTAATAATAAGATAGCTTTGTTGATATCTTGGATACTGATTCAAACAAAAAAGATTTTCCTCTACAATTACAACCCTTTGATAAACCTAATAAATATAAGAAGAATACTTTGGAGACTATACAATCTTATGAAAATGATTAAACTACTAATCGCTTGTCACACAAAATGGATTTAGTACTGCAATAGAGCAATCGATCACCAAACAAGAAAACCCTTAAAGATCCACTGCTGACTGAAAGAAGCTCCGCCAAAAGAAACATAGAATAAGCAAAGTAAGATTTAGAAACCTTGGTTAATATGATTAATAAACAAAAAGAAAACACCGAAACCTAAAAATCTATTAGCTACTGTGAAATCAAGTATAAGGATGATGTCTCCTCCAATCTAAGTAGGATCTGCACTGATTCGACCAGAAAGTAAAATTACTCCACTAAAAAATAGGAGATCATCTGTTATTAGTGAAACCTCTCAATAAGAATCTTTTAAACTGCCTCAGAGAATCTCAAAATAAAGCCTATCTTAAAAATTAATCACTTAATAATCATTCAACTCATCAAGTTAAAATTCTTAGTTCTAATTCGATTCTCACAACTTTCGACAATTGAACACCTTATAGGATCAAGAATCATAATTAGATCTCAAAAATGCAAACAAACTATTTGATTAATCAATCACTCAATAAATCAAAAAGCTTGATCAAATTAAAGGACTTAAAAAGGTTCAGTGCTCATCATAAGTCAACATACTTCGTAATAATAGCTTGAGTAAAAAGTCAACCATAATTGTCAACAATCAATAAATAGCCAAAATGAATTTCAGAAAGTAAGAAGCGATCTTAAAGAAATTATTCTTCCGATTAGATGTTAGATTGAAACTGTAATAATTAGAGTTTGTAAATAACTTAAAATGTTTGCTTTGAATTATACTTTTTCATATTTTATTAATTTTATCAATATTATAATCTATTAAATTAATAATCATATATAGATAAATACAAATTGAAAAATAATAATCAATTATTTTACGCTTTTGAAAAATCGTAAGAATTCAAGATAATAATTATTTCATAAAGCATTTCAAAAATAGTAAGAGACATTATTATTCTTCAGATAAACAATTAATAAGAATGGGAAAATATTTATTAACATTTGTATTTACATAAGTGTGCTAATTCTAGTTCAACAGCTAATTACGAATATTTAATTGCTCCTTAAAATAATCTCTAATGAAACTTATGAAACGTTATAAATAAAAGTCTTAAAATAACAAGAATTGTATAATACTCTACTGCTGCTAATTCAATCAATGATAAATTAATGTGGACAGTAAGAGATTAGATGGATTTAGATGACATCTTTATGTGATGAGTATATCCAGTTCAATATGGCGACATATAATTAGAAAGATAGCAATCGATTTTAAGAGAAATATAACAGTTATTTAATTAGTTAGAGTGTTACATGTATGTTGGAAACAAGTCATATGAATGGTGTTCACTGAATAGGTAGATAATACAATTAGAATGAAAAATAAAGAGCAAAATTTAATAATTTGAATTAAAATATTTTCATATACAACTGGCTATGATTGGGAATAGGGTTTGAATGAAGCATAAGAATTCACAAATATAGTGGGAGAGGCTCGATATTGAAGATAAATTTCTACCTATTTTATTAAATAAATATACTATAATTTAATTATTTTTAACGGGGTAGTTAATTCTCATTTTTAAATAATATTATTAAAATGATCAAAAAGATACTTGTTCTTATATTACTAATGGTGGTTGTTACTTCCAAGGTAGATATCGAGAGGGTTTAGACTGTTATTCGAGATGCCAGAGAAATCTGTTGGAATGAATTAACAGATAATGAATGGGTCTATCCCACTTACTTGGGTACTCTCTTTTTGAGTGAGTATTATTTTGAACTCAAGGCACTTGGAATATAGAATTCTTAATTTGAAGAATCCAAATTCACTTAAATTTTACTTGGCTCTCAACTTCCAGATGGCTCTTGGGTTTAAGTGGAGGATGCATACATTTAGACTGGGTAATTGGATGCCACCATATTTAATTATTGGTATTTGAAAGCTGTTGGAATTGACATTCACACTGATACAATGAAGAAGGCATAGGAATGGATAAAGGCAAATGGAGGGATAGAGAAGGCTCAAACTATGACCAAGTTTAAGTTGGCGATGTTTGGATAATATCCATGGAAGAAATTGTTCAAAATTCCATTAATATTATTTTATAAAAAGTTCAATCCCCTTTATATCAAGGACATCACTGCTCAATGGGTATATCCTCATATGACTGCTTTGGCCTATTTGTAGAATTAGAGGATCATTTTCAATGTGGCTGTCAGCATAAGTGAGTTGTACAAGAATAAAGCACCAAAAATTAAGAATCATCAGAAAAAGGGTAGACCTTCCTTCTTTATCAACAATCTTGTTTAAGAAATGTTGAAACTAAGATAACCCATGGGTAGCTTTGGAGGGTACACTGTATCTACGCTGTTATCGATGTTGGCTCTGAATGATTACACCGGAAGAACGAATAAGCATAAGAGTGAGATTAGTGATGCTTTGAAGAAGGGACTTGACTTTGTCGAATTCAATTATTTCAATTTTAGATAAGCTTATCATGGTAGTTTGGATGATGGAAGATGGTGGGATACTATTTTGATTTCTTGGGCTATGTTGGAATCTGGAGAAGACAAAGAGAAGGTCAGACCAATTGTTGAGAATATGTTGTAAAAGGGAGTCTAACCAAATGGAGGAATTGAGTATGGCTATGATTTTGGCTATGCTCCTGATGCTGATGATACTGGTCTCTTATTGTAAGTGTTATCATATTATGGGACTGATTATGCAGATGCCATGGATAAGGGAGCTGAATTTGTTTACAGTGTTTAGAATACCGATGGTGGATTCCCTGCATTCGATAAGGGTAAGATGGGAAAGAATCCTTTATATAAATATGCATTCAAAATAGCAGGAATAGCAGATTCAGCTGAAATATTTGATCCATCTTCACCGGATGTCACTGCTCATATTTTAGAGGGTTTAATAAGTTCTGATCGAAGTAATTATGATGTAGTTGTTAAATCTTTGAAATACTTTATGGATACCCAAGAGAATTTTGGTTCTTGGGAAGGTAGATGGGGCATCAATTACATATATGCTGCAGGTGCTGTGTTGCCAGCATTAAAGAAGATGAAGTATTCTTTGACAGAGTAATGGGTGGGCAAAGGCTGTTAATTGGTTGGTTAGTAAGTAAAATGCAGATGGAGGATTTGGAGAGACTACTTTGAGTTACCGTGATCCTAAGAAGTATAATGGGATTGGAGTGTCGACAGTCACTTAGACTTCATGGGGATTGTTGGGATTATTGGCAGTGGAAGATCATTACGATGTGAAGGAGGCAATTGAGAAAGCAGTGGAATTTTTGTTAGGACTCCTTTGAGAGAGATGGTGAGTTCAAGGATATTTCAGTAGTGGGTACTGGTCATAGAGGATTACTGTATTTGCAATATCCAAGCTATGCTCGTTCCTTTCCAGTCATTAGTTTGGGTCGTTTCCTAGATTAATAGAGATGATGTTATATTTAATATAAAATTTTAATTTATGGAAATTTAATAAGGGGATCAATTGAGAGTGGCTGCCAAGCATCACATTGAGAGTTTTAATTACTTGTACACTCATGGTTTGATTGAGATATGTCGACATCTAAGTCCAATAGAGGTTTGTGTGCCTGGGAATCGAGACATTCGGTTGCCATTCAAGAATATGAAAATCTGGATTGAGGAACTATAGATAGGGATGCCAACATAATAAGGAATGTTGGGAGACAATAGAGTTCTGCCAACTCAATGTAGATAGATGAAGAAGAGTTACACAGCTCCAATGTTAGCAACTATTTGCAGAGAGATAGATGATAATCCAAAGGAGACAGTCCGTTTGTCTCTGGGAGAGATACCAATATTGGTGAAGAGTCAGAAGTGTCACTTGAATGGGCTGAGTGCTGAAGGTATTTTTGATTTGGTTAAAAGAAAGAATTGGTGTAATAACAGGAAGATTGCAATGAATTCGGAGGTTACTTTATAATCAATGGCAATGAGAAGATTATAAGAATGTTGATCATTTAGAAAAGGAACTACCCAATTGCATTCAAGAGACCTGGTTACAAGAACAAGGGATTCAACTTCTCTCCATTTGCAGTTTAGATGAAGTGTGTGAGATCAGATCAATATGCAAGAACTATCACACTACATTACTTGATGGATGGTAATGTGTACTTGCGTATCATCTTGAAGAAGAAGGAATTGCAAATGCCAGTAATAATATTATTAAGAGCATTAACAGACATGAATGATTATCAAATTTATTAATAGATAGTGCGTTCATAAGCAGACAAGTCAGATATCTCTGATAGAGTGGAAGTCATGATTGCAGATGCTAAATCAAGAGGAATCAACACTCAAAAGGATGCCCTTGAATATATTGGTAGATTACTAAGAGTGGAACTCAACATCTTTAATCCTGAGACCACTGATCTCTAAGTCGGACGCATATTCTTGAGAGAACACATTTGTGTTCATCTTGAAAATGATTAAGACAAAGCCTCTATTCTCTTATTGTGCATTGAAAAGTTATATGCTCTTTTTATAGATGAAATCAATCCTGACAATCTTGATTCCTTAGTCAATCAGGAAGTTCTCCTGTCTGGTCATCTCTATACTGCATATTTGAGAGAAAAATTAGAAGATTTATTAGTCGGAGTCAGAGAGAAAATATTGAAAGATGCATCTAAGGAATAATCAAAATTGAAAGACTTGGCTTATTTTAAAAGATGCTTTGATTTATAAACTACCGTGGGTGAAAAATTGGAAAATTTCTTAGCCACTGGTAATTTGAGATCATAAACTGGATTGGATCTAATGGAAGCAAGTGGATTTACTATCATTGCTGATAAATTAAATAATATGAGATTTCTCTCTCATTTTAGATCAGTTCACAGAGGATCCTATTTTGCATAAATGAAAACTACAACTGTTCGTAAATTACTTCCAGATGTTTGGGGATTTGTCTGTCCTGTCCATACTCCAGATGGAGGACCTTGTGGTCTACTCAATCACATTACAATGAGTTGTGTACCCTTGACTCATCCAGATGAACAAGATGTTGAAGAATTACTATTTCCTTTAGGAGTGCAATCTCAACGTTTGATCTACTCTAAAAATGATCTTCCAGTAGTATTGAATGGTAAATTAATTGGATATTTAAATTCCTCATTGTTACCAACCTTTGAACATACACTTAGAGTGTACAAATCAAATGGCACAATTAAGGAAACAACAGAAGTGGCTTGTCTTCCGAGATAGGAGAACAAATCTCCTCTGTTTCCTGGAATTTATATAAACACTACTGTGGCCAGATTAATGAGGCCAGTTATTAATTTGAAGTTGAATACAATTGAATGGATCAGTCCTTTGGAATAGATCAATATGAGTATCGCTTGTACTTAGGCTGACATTCGTACTGACACCTAGTATCAAGAAATAGATCCAGCATACATTCTAAGTATTTTGGCTTCCAATGTTCCATTCTTAAATTATAATCAAAGTCCAAGGAATATGTATCAATGTCAAATGGCTAAACAAACTATGGGATCTCCCTGTCACAATTACCCTTATAGATTTGATAATAAAATGTATCGAATTCTATTTCCTCAAAAACCAGTTGTCAGATGTTTCGGTTATGATGATTACTAATTCGCTGATTATGCCAGTGGAACTAATGCAATAGTGGCAGTCATCAGTTATACAGGATACGATATGGAAGATGCTATGATCTTATGCAAATCAAGTTATGAGAGAGGATTCGGCCATGGCATTATTTATAAATCTTCAGAGTATTCCTTGAATGAAGACAAGGAAGTTAAATACAAGTTACTAAGTCAAATACCTATACAATTATACAATCAGATTAAAGCTCAAGTTCCAGTAAATTTGTTACCTTATGGATTACCTGAATAATCCTAAGTTGTTACTAAAGGCTCTGCAGTATTAGCTCTCTATGACAGCCAATTGCAATAGGTCAAAGTTTATCATTCAAAAGACAGTGAGACAGCTAGAATTGAATAAGTGGCTGTGGTGAATAAATCTGAAAATGATGTGTCAGTCATGATCAAATATAGAATCAATCGTAATCCTATTATAGGTGACAAATTTTCATCTCGTCATGGCTAGAAAGGTGTGATGTCCTTATTGTGGCCATAAATTGATATGCCATTCTCTGAATCAGGTATGGTACCAGATATCATAATTAATCCTCACGCTTTCCCATCTAGAATGACCATTGGTATGTTAATAGAAAGTATGGCTGCTAAGGCAAATGTTTTATAAGGAGAGATGTTTGAAACTCACCCATTCCAAAATTATGAGAATGATAATGTTGTGGATTACTTTGGTAAACAATTAATTAAACATGGTTACAACTATCATGGAAATGAGACCTTGTATTCTGGTATTTACGGAACTCCTCTTAAGGTAGACATCTACTTCGGAGTGGTCTATTATTAAAGATTGAGACATATGGTATCAGACAAATCCCAAGCCAGAAGCATGGGACCTGTTGATGTTCTCACTCAATAACCAATCAAAGGTAGAAAGAAGGGAGGAGGTATCAGATTGGGTGAGATGGAAAGAGATGCTCTCATTGCTCATGGAGTTGCTTATTGTATCAATGATCGTTTGCTCAAATGTTCTGATTACTCTGAAAGTATTACATTATATATCATTCATAGCCTACATCTGTGATAAATGTGGGAACATGTTAGCCACTTATCAATTTGTATAATTATTGTCCCTAGAGAATATACAGTCTGTGTAGAGTTCTCATCCTTATTGTGTGAGATGCAAACAAGCAAAATGTTCTAAGGTAGCCATACCATTTGTACTCAGATATCTTGTAAATGAGTTGGCAGCCATGAATGTTAAATTGGAATTTTCTGTTGCTAGATGAATTTCACATTATTTATGTTTATATATCAATTATTATCTTTACACATACTTTCATTTTGAATATAATGACCATATTTATAATTCATTCTTCTTATCATTAAGGAATTATCTAAATTATTTCACATTCATTAATATTTGGCTAGTTCTGACTTCCAAATATCAGTTGCGGTTATCCTGGCAGGATATCGTTAGAATAGGTAGTACCTAAATTAATGGTGCCTCCCTGAAAATCTGCATTGATATTCAGATCGCCTCCAAAATTTGGACCTTATGATGAGTTGAGGATTATGGCTGGTTTATTTTCTCTTTTGATTGGGAAGAACTTCAAATCTTCACCATTCAAACAAAACAGAAAGGAGATTGAGTTTTCATCATAAACTCCTTATTGAAGTGGAGTTGATAGTTTTTTCCATTAACAAGGTGTATAGCCACCAAAAATGGCTTTGTTTTTAGATTTAAATATCATCAAGAGATTGATCTTATTGTTCACACTATTCCAAAAGGATTCTGAATTGATTCCTTATTATTATTAAGCTTGGTAGATCAAATTAGTTGTGGATCTTTTTTGATTGGTAATTCTCTCTAGTAATTTCTCAAAGTTTCTCTAAGATAGAATCTTTGATGATTGTTATAGTGGTAATTATGGTAATTGTGGGAGGATATCAGGATTACATTTTTACGAGTACTTAGTAACAGTTGATTGATATTCATTCATTTCTGAGGTTATTTTGCTGAGTCTATCTGTAATAGAAGGAATCTGAGTACTTATAAGTAATGATTGAAAAAGATTACTTTTTAATTTTTTCTTTGTAGCCATTGATAAGATTGAGAATGTCTGTTTTTTTTTAACCAGTTATTCCGCTTTCTAATTCTTTTATATAATTTACTATTTAAATCTCTTTATTGGTTTATTAATCATCCTAAATCAATTGCTCAAATCGACTAAAGTTCACAATCTAGAAATAGAATATTAATTCATACTGTAACCAATCCTTTTCTGAACTCTTCTAGTTCTTTTTTTAATTAATCAAAGTACGTTTCTGTCTCGTTTATAAGTTTATCAAACATTTATTTAATTGCTTATAAACGTTCGCTCCATCTTCTTTTTGTTATTTTTAGATCGTCTTCAGTCGCCTTAAGAAGTCTGGACAAGAACACTTTGACAGTGCTATCTAAATTAATTTTACTGAGTAATTCTTCAGGTTGTTTTTTTACCTTCAACTATGAAACAAGAGTACTTTTTATAGTAACACCAGTTATTCAAATTTCGTTGTAAGTCCCCTGTCTTCAACACATTCTTCACAAAGCAATTGAACTGTTTGAAATTCAGGTTATAAATGGATTCTAGTAATCTCTTAATTGTGAAAACATTGCTGCTACTATTGCATTTAATATTTATTAATGAATCAAAAAACAAAAATCAACTAAATTTATATTCTTATATGTCTACTAGAAATCATAACACTTAATAGAACTCTAAATTAATTCTAATTCAGATAGACAAAATATACCTGCTTATTTTCCCCTTAAATTATGTTTTTAAGAGAAGATTCGTACAAATACATTAGCAGACACTCTTATAATTATTTAATCTTCACTAATTTTTATTATATTTATCAATTGTTAATTCATAACTATATTATTATTAAATTGCTCTATTATGCAATCCAGGTTCAATCCCTGAATACAATTGCTTCATTTCCCTTCTCGCAATCCCATACACATTTATGGTCAGAAAGATCATTATTGATGGCAAAAAGTTATCAATCAACGTCTATAACAAGTAATCTCCGTCTGATTTGAGAGTCAAACCTACTCCAATTACATAACTCAAATATCCCAACTTAAATAATATGGAATGTGATCTTGTCTATCTTCTAAAGTATCTTGTATAAGTTAGCAAAGAGCAGGGCAACATTAATTGCAACAAAGTAGTACCTGAACATGTCAACTTTGGATTCTCTAGGAAAAATGTGTTTGGGAAATGCAATTTCGGAAATTCAATCCCAAATTAATACTAAATAACATATGATAACCCAAGAATAACACCATATACTGATAGTAATTGTTGGAGATTGTAAAACTTCATGAACTAAATTAATGAATAATTGCAATACTCTAATTAATTAAAATAAAAGGCAAATCGAACTGAAACTTCTCAACACCCAATTGTCTGTCAGAACTAGAAAGAAAGTGTATACAAATTGCAAAAGATAAGTGAATAAGTTGATCAATTTTACTCTTCCATATAAAGGTAGTTTTATGTTGGGCGAGATGGAAGATGAAACTATATATATCAAGAGATCTGTATTGGCTATTTGAACACAAACAAAATAGATCCCGTATATTGGAATCTCCAGTATGCTGATCTCTCCCCATAAGAACAAAGCAATTAGCAATCCAATAACAAAGAATAGGTACAAGAATATTCTCAGGGTTAGATTGGTCTCTTTTCCTCTTCTAGAGATTATCTAAGCAGAGTCTGGCGTTGTTTGAAATTCACCCATTTTGATTATTTGCTCTGGTTGAGAATATTAGGGGGAGTATATTTGTCTCGCCTTATAAAAGGACTCACATGATTCTAATTCGTCGATTTGTTGTTCTGCTTATGCAGGTTTCAATTTAAATCTCTTTTATCCATATATTGCCCCAATGTATGTGATTATCAAGGCTATTACTGCCAATATTAAATCAGGGTAATCATGGTAATAGAGTTTGTCCTCACAAATCTTAATGTATCTAAAATTCAGAATAGTCTTCTCATATCGAACATGCAACTCAACAAAGGCCCAATTCTAATAACACTCATAATATATATTGTATGTTGATGTTGAACTCCCTTCAATTGTTATTTCTTATTGTTCGACTTAATTTGGCACATTTATCAATTGCATATCTCTCGGTCTTAATGATATAGGTATGATGCTTAGATTTAAGGCTTTGGATTGCAAATTTTAAATATAAAATATTCGACTACCCTATTTCTAATCCTCTTCGAATAAGTCCGATGGATGACATTGATACTATTCATGCACGCTAAATTAGTGATTCTGCACTTCATTTTCATATATTGAAATATTTTTCCCTCCAATTGTGGTTAATATATTAAATTGAGCATAGCATTAATAGATAATAAATAAAACAAACATTATATAAAAATCCATTTAAAATATACACATTATTCTAATAAGTTTTGATGTTTAATTTAATTTGAAATTGACCTAGCATCAAGTCAGATTCATTCTTGATTTTATGACTTATTATCCAATTTTAGAAATATCAATACACTTAAAACATAAGTATGCCATTTATTAAATGCTAACTATAGATATGGTTTAAAATTACTTTTTAATTTTGTATTTTGTAATGAAGATTATTCATAAATTAAGATTTCTTAAACTGAAAAGTAGATATATTGTAATTAAATATTATTGGATGTGATTAAAATGAAAGAAATTAAATTCATTTTCAATCATCATCTAATTTTTTTATTAAATACGTTGTAAAATCTTTCTCTAATATAATATCAATCTCTTATTTGATTTAGTCTTAATTTTAAAAATAAATGTGTGTTTTTGCCTTTATAGAATAAATTTTACTTGACAATAATCTTCATAACTAGTGTGAATTTGAAATAATATTTTCATATGCATATCTAATTGCTCTTCCTAATCTTGGGAAAAGAAATTAGGATTAGGATTTTATTTAACTAAAAGCATGATGAGCATAGTTATAATTTCCAAATCTTTCTCACTATGCAAGACTATTTTATCCTTCAGTAAAGTTTTATTGTTGGAAAGCTGAGACATTTATGTTGAGATCAAAGTTTCCTTTTGAGAACAGCAGTGTTTTATCTAGGCAGATATGTTTTCAACCTATTTTATGGTCAATGACAATGAGTCTTCGATATCTGCTACTTCTATTTCTTTTACGTCGTTCAAATTCTGTTTACCAAAACTTTAACTTGAAATTACTTGTGATTCTTCAGATTAGTACGGTCCAGATGAGCATAGAAATCAGAGTAATCAGTGATAGTGAAATAGGAGTAATCACAAAATGGAGTATTGAAATCATCCCAATCTTGGGTTATGTTTAATTTTTCAGAGTTTTTATGGCCTTCCCCAATTTAGTTAATAAGTTCTCTAATATCTTATGATTCTTATAAATCTTAATTATTCATAAAAATATTTATAATTTTAATGAACAATCAAGATAGTTAAGACAAGTCCTATGAGTTTAAAATTGATTCTGATTTGCCGAAATTTTAAAATTTGCCGATGAACGAATACTATCAGATGGAATTCAAATAGGCGTTACAGAGTGGATTGAGGGAGATTGCAATTTAAAAGTATGGATATTAGATCAATATGTGAAGGCCATAAAATGCAGTTAGATTTTTGGGCGAGTATCTTCTGTCGTACAAAAGTAAGAAGTGAGATAATAATTTATATGTATATTTCTTCCCTGCAATATTTGTATTATGTATGTTTATATTTTTATCGAAGTCATTATTTTAATTAATGGACGAGCGAGCATCCTCTAGAAGGTAAGACACACGTGATTATCATAGCTTTTCATCGGCATCATCGTCGGTCTCGAATCTGAGTAAGGACCGAAGTAGAAGTAATTCAAAAAAAAGAAATTTTAGAAATAAGAAGAAGCCAACGAAACGAGTCAAACACACCATAGACTTCCCTCCTCTGGATTAATCATTGCTCAGCTTCGATTAATTCTAGGAATTATATGTATGATTTGCATATGACTGATAAATTAGGTGAGCAATGATATCCCCACTGAGAAATTACGACTTCTTTATTAGACCTACGAGAGGAAATGGGAAAACAAACAGAAAGAGTTGTTCTTTGATCAACACAAGGACGAGCCTTGGATCTAAGACAAATACAATCCGGTAAATAGGAGAGAGTTCTAAGAAGAACGCAATCAATTGGCATAGAATCGCTTCAATGAATTTTTGAAGCAATACAATATGGGAGGTTTCAACAACATAAATCTCACAATGACAGAAATGCAATTGATGGACTTCTTTGAACTCAACGATCACTTCTATAATGATGATCCAGATGTTCCTTTCTGGGAATTTTAACTCAAAGGTAAGCCCAAGCCAAAATATTATTAGAATCTATTGACATAACCAAAGCTCCCTTTTTTGGTTCAGATCCCAACCAAAACAGTGTGTTCATCAAGAACGTGCCCTTGCCTCTCTCCAGAGCAGATGTGGTCAAGGCACTCTCTTCATTGCCTGGCTATGTGAGTCTAACCCTATCAGAACCAAACAAGCTATAAAATTACACTAGAATTGGGTGGGTCAGCTTTGATGGAGAAGAGTATTGTAATCGTTGTGTGAATGATGAGAGCATCACCATCAAGGGACATTCACTCCAATTCCAAAAACAATAAGAGAAGAGGTACTGTCTCATTCATTAAATTTTATTAGGAAATTCGTGAGAGTCTTCAAGTCAGTCGAATATAATAAATTATTGAAGGACTTGCAACAATAGAGAGAACTCATCAAAGTCTTGGATAAAGAAAAGGGAATCAGTGGTAATCCACTCATCGAAGGACCACTCAAAGATAGAGATGACCCAACATTCAATAGACAATTGGATATTCAGACCTTGTATTTGAGAAGAATACACAACTATTGCTATTGGAGTGGAGCTGAATTCTCAGACTACAGATTACTTGTGTCTAAAGTTGGCTATGTAAGTGGACTCATTAATAAATTTAGCATTTCTTCAGATTGGACTAAAAAAAGAAGTGCAATTTAGAGTGGTAGGACATCATTCAGGCTCTATGCAATCGTCGTAGAGAAGAGAGTAGTGATGAATTACCCTTAACTGAATTGATTGACAATGAAATCATTTAAATGGGACTGAAACTAAGAAATAATCGCTAGAAAGATGCTTATCCTTGTATATTCTGTGAAAAGCAATTCCAAGGAGGAACCTTCTTGATCAAACACATTTCTCTTAAGCATGAGAAATAGTATTGGGAACATTAGCAATCCTTAAGTCAATAAGTTATTGATCAATAAATGGCTAATAATCACAAAATAGAGAGAAGCAGCAAGGCCACCATCCAGAGACAGATCTTTGTCAAAGGACTCATCGATGAAGCATAATTATAAGAAAATAAGTATATTAACATTTCATTCTAGAATCCAATTGCCAATCAACTTTGCTCCCAGAGTTCAATAGAGACAGTACAAAGATCTTGATTCAATAGCATAAGATAAAACCTAGCCAGCTATTATGTTTTAAATGCGTGAAACAAAAGTGAATTATAATGATATATGAATTAAACAAATTATTTGCAAGGTATTCAAATTACAGAACAATTTAATCTCATTACACTTTAAAACATCGAACTTATAGATCCCAGTCTGTTGATATATATTTTAAGTTTGATTCCACTCTAAAAATTATTCAAAGTTCGAATTTAGTAGACCAAACTTGGAGTCTAACAATATCTTGATGGACACTTCTAAATTATTAAATTTCCTTTGATGATAATTAGCAATAAGATTAAGAATTAAAATAAAATAAGAAGAATAGCTAAATTTCAATAAATTTATACTCTCAAAGAATTAGATAAAGAATTTATTTATGAATTGCTTAACGAAATACTTGAAAATTGGAACCATATTGAATCAAATCAAGTAATGATAACGTTTTAAACAACTTATTGATATATATTTATATGTATAGATATATTTCTAAATCTGATTAAAAACCTTAATTAATTTTCTTAATGGATCGAGTAATTGAATTATTGAACTCAAAAAAAGTATAGGAATCTCCTGAGAACAGAAGAATACTTTTTAACAATCCTACCTACAAGCCTTACCTATTATTAACTTACAATGAATTTAGATAGTTGTTTAAAGTGGATGAGAATAATGTTACTCGATTCAATAAAATGATCATCTACACAGAGATGGATTACTACAACTATGTATATAATCAAACTTGGGCATATAAATGGTATCCATTGCTATTCAAATTTGGTTTGAATTGTGTTCGAAGAAGACCAACAAGCATCATCTTTTCCCTGATGTACTTGTACAGTGTTGAAGTATTCTTAGAAAAATTATGCCTCTTTCAATATGTGGATGACAAGATAATAGATCCCTCTGAGTATTTCACTGCAGCTCTATCCAAAGAAAAAAGTAATCCTCATCAATAGCATAGATCTGTAAAAGCAAAACGAGCTATTTCAAAAGTACAAGGACATCCTCCAACAGGATTACAAAGACAAACATTATGTGGAGGAATACAAACCAAGAGATTGGATCCTCATGGGCAATAAATTTAATATCCATAACCCATACATACATTGGACAGAATCGAAAGATGAGAGTGCCAATAAGATAATGTAAGAATTCTTTGTAAAGAACTTCCAATTGCTCCTCTTCATCGATAGAATACAGCGATTTGTTAAATTAATAAAAAATGAGGGATACACAGGATTGCAAAGAGAAACAAGAGCATGCGTTTAGAATTTGATTAGACAAAGTAAACGATTGGTTTTGGAGTTTCCAGTCTATAAGGAATACGTTCCTTATTTGAATTCATACTATAAGATAGAGGAATTGCTTTCAGTTCCTTATATTGATTAAAGAAAAAGATTTATATAAATGGATCACTATAAATTAATAGGAAGCAAGATAATAAATTTGTTCAATTATATGGTTTATGGAAGATGCGAATTTGTCAGATATGAATTCAAATGGTTCGATCCTAATATATCTGCCAAAAAGCCCATGTTAAGTAATATCAATTTTAAATATGAAATTAGGAGCTGAATCAGTATGGTATGATATTGTACCATATGTTTTGTTGTTGGTGTTACCCACTAGAGTAATGGGAATGAGGAGAGTAATTGGAAATGCTAAAAAATATGCTGACTATGCATCAACCTTGGGTTCCAAAGTTAAATAATAGACATTGGTTTGATGATAATATTCAAAGTAATTTCTTTTTTATTCATAATTATTAAAATTAAGAATATTACATCAATGTGTTATCTATATAATTTGATCTCAAAATTTGAGTAAAAAACCCTCAAATTGGAAATTAAAGAGATTATAATTGTGTAATTTAAATAAACAAAATATATATATTAATTGTTTATTGTTTGTTTATAGAAGATAAAAACCATTCATTAGAATTTAGCAATGTAACTTTCGTGCCATTATTGGAATATCTTCATTTTGGCTAAGAGTTTCTCTTCAGGTAATATCAAGATTGTCATTCTGAAATGATAGGTTCCTGGGTATTGCAAGAATCCAGAACCTGGTACAACAACTAATCCAGTTTCTTTGAGAAGGTCTAAACAATATAAGACATCTGGTTCATAGCCTAATTTTTTAGCATGCTACACGAATTTATCTAATTAATATGAGGATGAAGAATACCTGTTAAGAAGATTCTAGGGAAAGCATACATAGCACCTTCGATTGGTTAGCAAGATACACCCTTAGTTTAATTAAGATATTGAGTAACAATGCCAGCTCTTCTTTATAAACTAGTGAAGAGTGCTTTGCATTCCTCATTATATTATTCAACTGTGGGTTCAGAACATCCTTCATCAGTAGTTGGTGGAGTGACCATCAATCCTGTCATCAATTATCCGACTGTGTTTGAACATAACATAATTGCTAAGGGAATAGTATTGGTATACTATACTTTTGGATTTGTGAATTTGGAAATGGACTTCAGAATCAATTTTAGATGTGATTTCCATATATCCTCCTCTCAGACCACATTCTCCAGTAATACCCTTAGAAATGGAATGGAAGGAATAGATTTCAACATCCAAATTGAGTTCATTGGCCACTTTTCTAAATGAAATGAACTTCTTCTTTGGATCATAGATATTTTCTTAATAGACTTCATCTGCAAAGATAGTAATCTTCTTATCTGCAGCGAATCTTAAATAAATCAACAATAATACTTGATCATTTCCACAATGCTCTATTTATCAAACACTTATCCTGTAGGATTGCCTGGATTGATGCATACCAATATTCTTGGATTGATTCCATTTCTTTTGGCTTTTGAATATTATTCTGTATTAAATTGTTAGAGATAATACCTTCTAATTATTTTTGTTCAGCAGACCAATTCTTATCCTCAACCAAATAATATGGTATTTAGTGGGCTCCGCATTGGGCAATGACAGCAGAATAGAGGGGATATTGGGGGATTGGAATCATGACACCATCATTTTTATCTTTGAGCAATAAGTTGAACATTAAGGTAATGCCTGATGATGCACCATCGGTTAGAATGATATCATTAATGGAGGGTCTGTTTTTGGTGGCATCTCTTTTCTAGATGAAGCTTTAAGAGTAGTTTAAATTATTAGATATACTTTGCAACAGCTTCTCTAATTACTGGATAGCCTGGAGATTGACTGTATGCACCCACTTGGAATCCGATCTTGTCATTGTAAAATTTGACTCTTCTTTGGACATCTCCAGATTGATATTTCAAGATGTTTGGATCCAACATTGAAGCAAGAACACTTCTGTTGAATGTAATGGGTTTTTGACCAAATGTTTATGGATTGCCAATATTCAACTCAGTAATTGAGTCAAAAGGGTATTTTTTGCCAGCATTGATCTCCTCTTGAATAGTGGCTGCCATTGATGGGACCTATCCTCTTACGGCATATTAGGCTTCCACAAAGAGTGGATTGATGTCCTTGATTGTATTCCAATAGGCATATCTTATTGATTTTGATAATTATTTCATATTTTAATTAATCATTTGTATTCATAAATGCTCTTAAAGTACTATAGTTTTTTCAATTTTCTCCCTATTCTTTATGAATATGCGCTCAGTCTATATTCAATAATCAAATTATTGTAGCGTTTTCTAAACTCTTTCTCTAATTTCTTATGGTCATGGGAATTTAAATGAGCATTCAACTCATATTCATTTTTACCAAATTGTCTATCACAGAGTGAACAGCTGTAGCATTCAACATCACTTTCCATCTCTTATTGCACGTACATCTGATTCCATTCAAAAAAGTCTTCGTCTTCCTCTTTACTACGCAGATTTGCTGTTATTCTCTTATACATCCTTAATTAATTATAAATAAAAAACAACTCATTAAAAATTATTAAAACTATGTTTGAACTTCAAATTCATTTCTGCTCTTGCAATCTGATGATCCTTCTCAACACATTACAAAAAAGGATGACTAAGAGCCTGTTTGATATTAATCCTGTATTAAGTGTTATTCAAAAGACTTTTCAGAAAGTTAGTACCATGGGATGCAATTTCTGGATAAATCCCATTTGCAAAATCCACTGTATTTGGACTCAGACCATTTAAATACAGAACTACTTTATGTAGATCGAACATATCCAATCCCTCCACTTAATCTAGTATTTTAGCCTCACTAAATTTAATTAATTTGACCACATTCCCCTTATCAAACATGAAACTTTTTGGGCTGATTTGACCATGAACTATCAATTTATTGTTCAAATCGTCTAAAATATTTAATATTTCCTTGAAATGCTTTATGTTATAAATACTTTTATTATAATTTAATTTTCTTCATGAGTATAATATTACTCCAGTTTATGTTTCAAATATTCCATCACCATGTAATAATTATGTTATGATTCATACACTTCCAATATCTTGACTACGTTTTTGTTATCTTTCAACTTTCTCAAGATCATTACTTCATTTAAAAATTTTTTCTCATTTTCTTTAACCTCTTTTTTATATACTTTACAAAAATACTTCTATCCATTCAGCATCGATTTCACTATCATAGCCTATTATATGTATTAAAGATAATGATTACTTTTCTTTATTCATCTTCTTTAATCACAGCATATTATTCGTACATTTCTGCTGCACCCAAATACATAACTTTACAATCCAAAATGGATTTCAAATTTTCTAAATTTTCAGCAGAACCCACCAAAGAACAATTTTAAAATCGAACTTCATGGGTTTAACCTTCAAAATAAATCCATTAGAAATGAAGCTTCAGTGAGATGAAAAACCTAAGATTTTCAGTTTTTGTTTTCACTTCCAAACAATTTTGATCGCATGTCAAATACGCAGACTAGTTGTTGAAGAAACACTCAAAGTTGACATTGGAATTCATTGTTTTAGACTTTATTTAAATTACTAAATTACATTTTACAACTTCTAGCTGGTATTAAAGATTGATATTTTAATATATTAAAAATATATTTTAATAAATTAAATCATAATTATAATAAGTAAGAACCCCCTCAAAGAAATAATTCAATAATTTCTATTGAATCGCTCTTTTAGCAATAATCAATTATACTTAATCGACTAATTGGATTCACATTATCCTAATTGATTGATTAATTAGAAATTTGAGATCTAATGTAAAATTATATTGACACAATTGTCAAATTTATTCTTAATCAAAAATTGAATTCATCTTTTCTGTATATAAGTAAGTTATTAGATAATACATTTTCCCTCTATTTTTGATTCTTACATTTGAATAAGAGTATATGGAAACCCAATCTAGAGTTGGAAATCAAATAAAAATTTGAGAAATCAAATTACAATCTATTGAAGTTGAATATTTATTTCTCCATCAGATTAGGAGTTCTAAATTCTTAAGCTAATTTTAATTTGAATTATAAGTAAACATAATTAATCGAATTAAGAACTTCTTCAATCTTTTCTTTCGAAAAAACATTCTTCAACTTTGAAAGATTTTACAGTCTCAAAATATTTGACTCTTATGTTATCTTAGTTTTTCTATATAGCTAATCTATAATATGGTGAGACAGCACTTTTAGCATAATTTGTAGTGTCTGCTGATAATAACCATAATTTCTAAGTAGATTATATTTGATTCATTTAATTAGCAATACTGAAGAGATTTGAGAGGTATTGTTAAGAATTATTAAATGAGTTATTTCAAATTATTAGATTATAAATTTGTGAATGTAAGGGCATAAATTAATAATGAAGTAAGATCAAACAAGATTGTTATAAATATTTGAAACTCAAAATAATATTCCAAAATATTCCTGACTCACCAGAGAATGATCTAAAACTTGATTTGATATATTATATGGTAATAAAAGATGTTAGTATAGTTAGGAATATATTATGATATAGAGTTGAATTCTAAGGAGATTGGGATGATTAATTCATTTAGGGAGTGTTCTAAATTCTAGTTCTAAATATATGATGAATCTTATTTATATAATGTAAGTAGGAATGGATTAGTGAAGAGTGAAATAGAACTGTGTAAAAGAGTAAGGAACTTTAGAGTATAATGATTAAATTGTGTCTGTGCAATTAACACTATATATTGATACAGATAATGACTGATTATATGATCATTAGGGTTGCTTCTTAAGTGAGGCAGCGAATTCACGTGCTTTCTTTAAGTATTCTTGGCGGTTGTTTCTAGGGATGAAATGAAGTAGAATTACTTGTATTGATTGCATGGTTCATATTGAGCAGGACTCTCAATGTTGGGTTCGTCTTTGAGTAGCTTCTGAATGCCAAGTAAGATTTGTTTGACAGTGATACTAGATTTCCAGTCTTCTTCTTCGTTGAGAATGGATAGACAGACAGTTCCAGAAGGGTAGACATTTGGATGTGGTAAGACAGGTTTGAATTAACATTTAGGTGGTTTCATAGGGTAATCATGCGAAAAATCCATATGTAATGTGTAGGTACCCTCTTCCCAAGGACACTAATTGTAAAGGGGATTATACTCCTTGTGGTCCTGGTATTTCACATACCCATTTGAGTAAATCAACTGTTCCGTCTTCTTTGGTGGTAGGCTTGGCAACAAATCCATGAGGATGATCAGTGCGCCAGGCTCTGCGTTCTGCTTTTAATCTTGTGATAACCAATTCGCTAACTTCCTTAGACATTTATTTCAAGTGATTTTTATTAATGTAAAATAAATAATTGGTTTATGCTTTTTTTGGCTTCAAAATTGTATATAATATTTGTTGCTAAAATTATTATTCTAGAAAATCACTAGTAACTATGTAAGAACTTTTTGAGTCTCTCATTAGAAACAGATTAGCGAATGTAATTCAATTCGTTAACGAATAATCTTTTCTCCACTGGAGTGAGTCTTTGTCGTTTGTCATTGATGACACTAATTGATAAGATGAAATGTATACAAGGCCTTAATATTGTGTCTGTTGGGTGGTTGAATATAGGAATCATTCAAGGTGGGCAATCGTAAGCCTTCATTGAATCCCTTCCTCGATTGTTTCTCCTTCTGTATTTTATTAAAGAGCTGTTTCTTGTATTTTTCCCATCTGCCCTTCTCAATGATCATTTCCTTCAATTCCGACTGTTCTGGATATGTCTGTAATTTAACTAGGTATTGATCTAATAATTCTGGAGGCACAATTTATTTGATGTCAAATAGACTGAGAGTGATTATCTCAGATTGAATCGCAGTCATGTAAGTATATTTGGACTTCTCTTGTTTCAACATAGCCAAGTCTCCAAAGATCTCCCCTTCTCCCAATTCAGTTAATTCGAAGTACTCATTCAAGGGGAATCCGTATTCTGCTTATGGAGTGTAATCAGATCTGACTCCTGGTAACTTTTAAATCACTGTAACACATCCCGATTTAATAATGAACAGTTTATTTGGAACCGTGCCTGCCTTCAATAATATTGTCTGATGCTTGTGTCTATTCTGTATGCATTTGGTGCTTAGACTTACCATAATCTTATTGCTGAATCCTTAGAAGATGTCGAGTTATTCCAAAAACTTAATTGTCTCTTTCACTCTCTCCGTCTGCATATGATCAGCCAACATGAATTATTAGAATGCCTCATTCTCTAGGATGATCAAATCAGTGATCTCATTGGTAATGATGGTGGCAGTTCTTTTTAAATTAAACTACAATGCCATCTCTCCAAAGAACTCCCCCTTCTTCAATTAGGCCACCTCTTTCTTGATCATCACGTCCTTCAACGTGGTGGCTTGATCGATCAACACCCTAACACTTCCATTCAGAATCACATAAAACTTATCACCCTCATCTCCCTATTTGAAAATGCATGAATTAGGTTCGAATGTCTGCATGTAAAGGTGTTTGCACAAAGCAGTGAAGTAAGGTCTATCCTTATATTTACTCAAGAAACCTATTTGCTAGGATTCGTTGTAAATGGTACTTTTGCTATCGATGCAATCTCTGCCAGAATGTTAGTATCTCTATCAGCCTTTTGAATCTGCAATAATTTCTTTAACTTTTCTGTCTGCAGTATGAATAACTAAACATTAGTCGCCTCCTCTTCCTGAATTTTTATTTGCTCCTTACTCACTGAAGCCATCGACTCTCGACGTTTACTCCCAAAACTTCGTATATTATTATAATTCATAAGTAATTTTATTCAAATTATTTCATCCTCTTAGGAGAAATCTGATTCCTTAAAGATTCAATTTCCCTCGGGAACAACTGTTTATGCTAAGGAGTTCTGCAACTCTGTCTCAATACACTACAACATAAATCATTAACTCTTACAAAGTCCTCTGGAAAATCTACTGATCAGGAGCATCCACCAATTTATAACGTAATTCAGGTAACCGCATCCTCTTATCAAATCCTCTGCTGTTCATCTTATCATTCAACACGTTTTGAACTAACTACTTCTTGTACTCCTTCCACTACAGATCTTCTGCTTGCATTTGACACAGAGTTTCTGGCTCTGGATAGAAACGAACAGACTCGACATACTTATTTAAACTCTCTTATGAAACATATTGTTTTAAATCGAAACCGTTAAGATGAATTAATTCACTTGGCAGCGAAGTGATATAAGTGTACTCAGATGCACTATTGGTCAGACAAGCATGATCTCCAAAAACAGACCCCTGTTCCAATTCATCTAATTCATAATACTGAGTGCCAACCTCGATCTTCTTCATTACACGCACTCTCCCACTTTTAATTATGTATAATGATTTAGGTACAACACCTTATTTTAAAATAATGGTTTATTATTTAAGAGTTGATTTACGACATTTTGTACTTATCTAAGTAATTTCCTCAGAACTAAAAAATGAGAATTGTTAAACTTTTTTAAGGAAATGTCTAACATCCTTCAGATTAGTTGATTACAAATCGAAAACATCCAAATCTTCTTATATATATTTTTAAAACACATCTCTATCCAACATTAATAGATCACATTCTGATTCTGCTATCACCGTTGCAGTTCTCTAAGACCCAAAAAACAACGCTATTTCCCCAAAACAATTGCCCTTCCCCAATATAGCTACTTCTCTCTTTTTGAATTCTCCAGGAAAACAAGTAGGCTCATTAGCATATATTTTCACTATCCCACTCAAAATAACATAGAAACACGTTCCTTTATCTCCTTACTTGAAAATTGTTTTTTTTTATTGGAATGTCTTTACATATAAATTACGACACAATTCATTGTAATAAGGCTTCTCACGATATCGAGATAAAAATTTGACTCCCTAAGTGGAAATTAAATGTGGTTTTTTTACAAACCTGCACTAAAACACTAATTTCTCTAATGTGATCATCCGTTCTTTGCTTTGGTGGTATTGTAAGCAACACTCTCAGCTTTTGACTTTGTCTCAAGAATATGCTCATGTCAGCCTGATTGATGATCATATCTTAAAGGTTTTGGATGACTGCCTTATTACAATTCTATGGCTACATTAAAATTAATGATATAATATCATTTATTATTTTCATTTCAAGAAGCCAGGAACACAAAAGACTTAATCATTCGTACTTTACATATACTCTTATTGTTTATTAAATCATTTAGAAATTATGAAGATCAAAATATCTATCAACAAATGGAATTCAATTAAATTTTATTATATTCTTTATCCAAAACATTGTAATCACAACTTCTATATTTTGACAATCTAAAATCAAAGACCCAACAACCTTAGAATTACTCCTCGATTTCCAACAAGATTGCCCCTCTGTAATATAAAATATTTGAGAATAACGCATAATTTACATACTATACGCATAATTCACATCCTTAAGCATAAAATTTACGCAATTTAGAATATTATTTTTGCCTTTTTAAAATATCTTAAATATATATTAAAAAATCTTAATAAATACTATCATATCTACTTGTGAAACTAGAAAATAGAATAGAATGGTTTCTATTTACTCAATATCTTATAAGTTTACTCCAAGTAGGAATTATTCACTCTTTTATAGCTTTAGAGTCATTTTAATTAAACTTCTTTTCAGTAGTTACTAAGTCTACAGAAATGATGTTATTTTGGTGATGAAGTCATATATGGCTGACATCAGATGAATTTCAAAGTAAAACAAAAATTTGGAAAATCTTAAAAGTTGAAAAAAGAGAAACCATTTTTTAGATTTTTTTTAGTTTGCTTCTAACATTATAATGGCAATTTAATTGGAAAGATGATAAGGAAAAAACAAACAATATAGACTAGAGATTTTTGTTTAAATGTACATCTTTGGGTGACTTAAAAATTGAGCATAAAATACTATTAATAATTGAGCACAAATTATGGGTTCATTGAAATATTTTAGATTTTATATCCTAAAACTACTAAAGCTTAAACATCTTTTTCTATTCTTTTTTTGTATTATGTTGTTATCTTAATGAAAATGACCTATTTTTATTAAAAGATTGGGTCTTGGGTTCTGTTTTCATTCTCTGTTGATAGATCTTGTCTAAATGCTCTTTTGCCTCAGAGGCATATTATTGTTTTAAGACTTTATCTAATGGAGTTTAGGGTCTAATGATTAAGTTATGTTAATTAATACTTATATCTGATCCCATGGGTCATTAAGTTAATGTCTGAATTCTAGGCCCTATGATTTCTTCGCATGAACGATGAGATTTCATTTCCGCATTCTAAAGTAGAAAATTAAATTTAAATAGGATCTCTCTTACTTGATTTCCCATATCTAAAGCTATCATCTGGAAGATTTCGAGTGCTTGGCTTAGGTTTTCCAATATCATCTTTTAGTAATAGAATGTTCTTGCTCTTTGGTATTAAAATAGGTAAAACAGTTGACATAATAAATAATAAATGTATAAAATGATTTAAGTTAGGATTAGATCATAGATGTATTTTTTTTTATTAAGTTTCCTATTGAGGTGAATCTTCTTCTTTGACTTCAGTTTCGAACTCTTCATCAAAAATTTTCCAGAGATTAGATATACTCATTTCTTTTTAGAATTTGTTCTATGATAATTAGATGAAAATGCCATACTTTTTCAAGACCAATGAGAAAAGTAGCAATTTGAGTGGGAGTAAGAATGCCCCTGAGTTCATCTATGAAATTCTCAAGTTGGTGAGTTTTTGATTACAAATTATCTTTAACAGTTTAGAATTATTTGATTAATCTATATGATAAATATATTGAAATACTATTCCAGTTTGTCTTTGTCTGATTGAATTCTTTTATATTGTTTTTTTAAGGATTTGTTTTAGACTTCAGTGAGATTGATTTCTTTAGATAAATTAGTAAACCAAGCGGGTTCTTGGCTCTCAGAACTGGCTGCCCACAACATGTATCTTACATGAATAGGGAAACAGATTTCCATAATTTATTAAAAGAAATAGTTGGAAGCACTCACTCTTTCTTTGCCTCCTCCCCCCACTCTAAATCGCATCGAATCTAAGAGAAGATTAATTTCATTGTTATCTGTATGGTTTTTAATGGCATTTTCAAGCTTCTCAAACAATTGTTACCTACCCAAAAAAAAGTTTTATAACTTAGGTATTTAATGATTTGTACCTATTGATTTGAACCCAATTGCTATTAACAACTGGCTTGTCCTTTTATTATTCTCTTACATTTCTCGAGTTCTTCGTTTAAAGAGTTAACTCTAGTCTCTAATAATTCGATGTAGATCTTCTTTCTTTTTCTTGAATTTCTAGCACACTCTCTATTGCGAATGAGTTTGGCTTAAGCTGAATCTTCTGTGTAAATAGATGCCTTCCTTTCATATTTGGGAGCCACGTTCGATTTTGTCTCTTAAATTAAATTGGTGATCTTATTTATATAAGTATTCTTAAGGTTGTTTTTGTTATTGAGCATTGTTTCATCGATCTTCTTTTTTTTCTATTGTTTCTTACTCAGATCCTATGGTTGATGTTAATTGGCTCCTAGGAATTCCTATTATGGTGGACCCTCATAATCCAATATTGGATAATGGATATTGGAATCACTATTAACACGAGGAAAATTGTTTCTTGATATAAAATGTAAAGAGTACTGAGGTTAATCCATCAAAAAATTAACGAATAGGTCATCACCAACCAGTTCAAAATGATTATTATACATAATTATTTAATATATCATCATTAAAGCTAATTAATTCTAAAATACTATCATATATTATCTGATTACTTTTCTTAGTTTCCAACTAAAGATGGCCTGAGAAATAATACATATAATATTATGATTATACAAAGCTAACTAATAATTGTGATTCAAATTTAGATAGATATTAATTACAAATTTAGAAAAGATAATTAATAATTTGGGAATGAAATATTTTAAATAATCATTAAAACTTTCTCCTTGATAAATGAGGAGTAATATTAAAGATGGCAATATTGGTTTCCTCATCTGCCAATTAATCTAAATCATCAAAATCTCTATAATCATTATCTATATCCTATAATGCTTATTGACGTTCAGCTTTAGTTGATGTTTACTTTAAGAAGTTCTTTTGAGTCTACTCTTTTTTTTCAATCGAAAAATAAGATTACTCACGTTTTTCAAAAGCAAACTTTCTAAAATTCTCTTTCTAACTTTAATAATGATAATTGTTGATTTAACTAGTACCCATGCTAGATATATTTTAACTGCATCTCTAAATTTAATAAACTTATAATCCTTACTCTGCTTTGTTTATTTTTTTCAGGGGAAAGCTATTATTATTCATTTTCATAGACAGGCACATTTAGAAAAGAACTTCCTCTTTATTCTGGTTTTTCATCGTAACTTTTCTTAATGTCCAATTCAGGCTTAACTTCAGTTTATTTTTCTTATACAATTAGAGACAAGTACCTAGTTTTTATTTCAACAGATTTGCTATAACCCTTTGTTTTCTTTTTTTGAGTTCAGGTAAACGCTCCCACTCGAAATCCAATGGAACATGGTTCTATGAGGATTATACCTCGATTTAGTATTATTTCTAAAATTGATCTCTTAGAAACGAATATTCTGGTTCTCCTTAAAAATCAAGGCCACGTGCATAGATAAATAGATTCAAGAAACACTTATATGATGAATATGACGTTAAACTTTCGGCAATCCTTCACATAACTTCTCTAAAGTGATTTATTGTTTAAATTCTTTAATTTTTTAATACTTCTCTGACTTTGTAGAGGTGTTTAGATTCATCCATGGAAGACGACCTTTAGCCAGATAGACTAATACATATCCCAGACTCTCAATATCATCTTTTCGAGATTGTTCCTTTCCTTTAAATTAGAAATGATAATTGACCTAAATGTGCTGTTAGACTTGCATATCTAGCTGTCCCAATCATTCCTCTTCTCTCATTTTAGGGTATGTGATCACCCTATGAATTTCTATAGTACTTGGCCAAACCAAAATCGATTAAATATATCTAATCGATATCATCATACCCTATACACATGTTATCAGGTTTTAAATCTCTATGAATTAAGTTTTTTGAATGCAACATCTTGATTCTCTCCATTAATATAATTCCAATCCTTAAAACAGTCTGAATGCTAAATTTGTAATTGCATCTCTTTAATAATTATTCCAAATTGTATCCCAGATACGTTTGCATGAAATAATTGTACTGCTCATCCCTTCCGTAAAATACAATCTAAGGAAATCCTATCAAATTTATATTATCATTTACCCTCAAAATCTTGCACCTCAATCAATACCTTTATTTCCCTCACTAACAAACTAACTGATCCATTTGAATTTTCTTCTCTCTTCTCAAATTTAGTCGCAAATATTTCCCCAGTCTCCATATTCTCTGTCTTATAAATCATTCCAAAACTGCCTTAACCTACTTTATCTATCAATCTAAATTTAGTTGCCACTATCGATCCACTGGATAATTTGTTACTATTCTCCCCTGGATCCTTTTTTATTGATTTGTGATTAGTTTATATTTGAGATTAATTCATTATGATAAAATAATATATATCATAAAGACTATGTAAGTTATTGCAATTAGAAAACTTCAGATCTAAATATATAAATGTGTTTTGATTAAACAACAATATCTAAATTAATAATATCTTCAATTTTTAGAATAACTATTATTAACTTCTCTCAAATTTAATTTTCATGATTATTAAAAATTTAGAATGTAAATGTATAAATTATAGTTTAAGTGAAGAGAAATATAAGTTAATACTCAAAAATAATATAATAATTATTATAATGAAATCAACACTTTTTGTTTCCAGTTTATAATGAAATGGGATTTAAATAAGCTTAACTTCTAGGGGACTCATTAGTTCGAGTCAGAGATAACAATTTAGTAAAATTGATTGGTCTATCTTTTTATTTGGTTGAATTGGGATTCTTAGCTACAGTCGGAGTACTAATAAATTTATATGAAGTGATTACTGATAAAATTTGTCACATTTTTCATAGTCCTTCTAATTTTTATTTAAGTCTGTATTTAATTAATTAATCAAATTATCGTAAATTTCTCTAGCAGAATTAACTTTCTCTTTTTTACTTTCTTAATTCTAAGGCGATTCGCATAATATTTTCCTATAATAAAATGGATATAAAAGTTACTCTAATTTTTAAGCGATTTAGATGATTTTAGTAGTTTACAACTCTAAATTCTTTGCTGTTTAATTTTAAATGCCCATAGAAACTGCTTATTCAAACAATTAGTTTTTTTCTTACTGTAATTTATAAATGTGATCCTTGTATTCTTGTTTTAAGTAAGCGAGTTCCTTTTCATTTTCCTTTGACAAGGTTTGAAGCATAGAAGAGTAGGATTGTTCAATTTCATTATTTTTCTCTGTCTATAAATTGAATAGTGTTTCTTGGAGTGCCAAGATGTCCTATTTGAGTTGATTGTTTTCATTTTGTAAGGATTGAATTTGATTGGTAATGTTGTGCTACTCTACAAGTTTCTTTTTTAATAAATTGTTTTGTTGTGAGAGTACTTCAACTCGAAGTTAGAGCTTATTATTGGAAATGTGTAATTCATGGTTTAGAAGTATTAAATTATCTTGAATATTCATAATTAAGATATTATTAAATATAATTTTAGATCATAGGTCTGAATAAAGAAATTAAATTAGTAAAATAATATATTAATAACAATTTCAGAATAAAAACTATTCATTTTTTTGATTAATCCATTGATCCCAGCAATTAGAGGTTATACAGGATACTAGTTGCTTGATTTTTGAGGGATCAACTCCTTAGATAGAAAGACAATTCCCAAATATGGTTCCAATAGGATTCTTAGAGAAATCAGAATCTAAACATTTAACAATTACACTATCCGTTTTGACCTATTATCAATAATAGAAATTACCCTTAGACTATCTAATAATTCAGCTTTACAATAATCGCAGTCAATTGTAAGAATGGACGTAATAAATAAGAGTAAAATAATCTATTTTAACATGTATTTCTAAAAATATATATATATTAATCATTTTTTTTGATTTTATTAATCCATAGATAGAAAAAGTATTTTTGGGTTTTTATTTTTGGCAATCAATTACACGGTTTCAAAATACCTGATCTACATGGCAGCTTTAGAGTCCAACATATCAGCAGCTTCTCTCAATAATTTGGCAGCAGCGACGTCACTCTATAGATTTGATATATAAAATACTTGAGCTGAAATAATTTTGGATTAAGCAAGTCTTTAAGCTTTTGGAGCATTAGATAATGAGCTTTGCAATTCATCATTCATTAACATATCCTTAATGAAAATATGCTCCAAATAAATACCTTAATAATAATAAATGAATACCCCACTCAGAAACTACGTCAAAAATAAATCCTTCAATTTCATCTGCTATCTTCTATCTATTCTCAATAATGTCCTATAAGGTGTGTTCTCCACAAATGGTACGTAAAGTCTATGGGAATAGAAGGGTGCATGATTACAGCATAAGTGATTTCCTTTACTGCTTCAACAATCATTTTAACTCTATATGCAGACTTCATGACATCCACAACTCGATAGTAGACAATGGTGTCAATGTTGACAGTTATATTATCCTTAGTTAAGACAAGTTATCTTTCTAAATCTATGATACTGAAATATAATTTGATAATTATACAAAGTCTTGGTGCTGACTGGAATCACTCTATCGGTAAATCTAAGAATGAAAAATGAATAAATAAATTACGGGTTAATTTCATGAAGACCAGACTCCAAAGTTCTTTGATATTTACCAAATTTCTGAAGTAATCCTTTCTACCCTTACGTTATGAGATAATATGGATAAGGACAACAACAAAAACAGCAGGGCATCCATGCTCTTAAAGTCCCAAAACATGAACCAAGACAATTAAGAGTACTTTCGTAACATGTCATTTTCTAATTTTCATTTTCTTCTCTGAAGTTAGAAATTGAGGTAATACATAATGTCATCAAATTTGGATCTCTCTTTCCTAGACTCTCTCTTTTTTTTGATTTCCAATTCTTTTTCAAAGGAGATGGAGTCACTTATCATAATTGAAGAAAATATTAATAATATAGAATATACTCAATAATATTAATCTTATATTTTAGTAGAGGCTTTTGGTATTTCAAAACTTTGGATTTGAGCTTGGATGATATCGTTTTCTTGGAGTAGTTTTTCAATGGATTGATTGTTTTTGTGTTGAGAATTTTGATACTACAATAAATAAAAGGGAAAGTACACTAACAGTTCTGGAGATGTGATTGCTCTATTTATCTGTAGAATAACTGCATAGTTGATTGTTTTTATTCTGATAAGTTTGGAATTCGTCGTATTCTTAACAACTAAAGTCAATTACATAATTACATCGAATGAATTTAGTTATTAAATTACTCCAACTATTTGTTAACAAGATAATCTTAATAGGCTTTGTCAAAGTTCTCAATGAAGAGTTTCTGGTTTTCATTGACAGTTTTGATCTCTATAAATAGTCCAGTATTTACATTTTAATTCTTCATTGATCTCATGCAATTTCCCATTGTTAAATTAACTTCTTTCAATAGCCTGTTTTAATTATTCGAAACATTATTCATTCAAGACTGAAGACTGTTGTCTACATAAGGTTCCATTCTTTGAATTCTCTTTGACTAGCATATAATATTCCTTGACTTTCTAAGCGTTGAAATAGTGTAACTTAGGGAACTCTACTCCACTCTGTTTCAATCTCTAATATCTAAGCCATAGATCTCTCCATACATTTGACTGATCACTGGATTATGTGGATGCCATAAATTCCAAACAAATATGCTCTCCAATGATAATCTCACAAGAGTATTCCCTAAAAGCATCAATTATTAATCTAATTTTCTACATTAAACTACCTGGGTTCTCGCTGAAATAGTACTTCCCTCTCTCTCTCTTCTTCTAATCCCCTTTGATGATCTCTTCAATCAATTACACTATATTCCTTGTGACTCCATCCAATACACACTCATGATGAAGATCCATTAGTTCTTTTATTAACTGCTCAGCTAAATCAAACCAACAGACTTACTCTCATCCCTAAAACCATCTCTATAGGCTCTGATTATTTACAATAAAGAATCTCTTCAATGGTCTCCAACACATATCTCAAAGTAGCCCTACGTTTATTAAGAATTTACATACTCATCTTCTATATTATCCTTATATTCTTTTGTTTCCCTATAAGCCTATTCTGATTATAAACAGCTTCTTAAATTGTTCATTATTAATATATATTAATAAAACTGAATCACTTTTTCTTCCTCTCCTCTTCCCACTTCTTCGTAATTTCCAGTAACTCTTTACTCTTGGCATCCTTTGGAAGATAAGGTAACTTAAGTTGAGAATCTGTCATTGATTTCTTCTCCTGTCCTGGTTTACCATGTGTTCCTGGCTCTGACCATTTACTGTTCTTCTTTACCTGTGGACTCTCTGGCAATCCCTATCTCTTTTTCAATGATTGCATGTCTAATCAACTTTAATTTAAATATCTACCAACAGATTAATGTTTTGGCTTTGTCTCCTCTATAATATCATCTCCTTCAATTGATCTCAATTTACCAGCAAACAGATCCTTATTCTATGGGATATCCAAGTATGCCAAACAGGCTGCTAAGGTGAAGCTAGTAGTCTTATTCATATTGTCCTCCAACATTTCAACATATTTGTGTTTAATTTTTGGTTTTTTACTTTGTTTCTCCTTGTATATGATTAGTTATTTTAAATTATCATCCAATTTCTTACCACTTTAAATTGCATTGAAGTATTCCTGACCCATAATGGCTATTTTCAATAACACATATTCAAATTCAAAATATGTTAACCCTATTTCATCTTGATATTTTAAATTCTTTTAGACTGCTTCTCTATGAGCAACATAGTTCTTTTGTTTCAATGTATTCGTAAACACCTTTATTAATTATTCTTCACTGAACACCTACATTAAATTGAAAGCATTTGCAAAATCTAACCAACCTTGCAATACGATCTTTTTCCCACTATAATTCCAAGCATCAGAATACTTAAGGTAATGATTAAATGCCTCAATATATATTTTTAATTAATACCACACTTCCAGATGATCTAAAATGTTTAAATTCAGCTTAGACTTTTGGATCTTTATAAAAGTTCTAGAATTTCTCATTCAATCTTTCCTTCTTCTCTAAAGATGTTTTATAATGAGCTGCCATTTCAGCTGTTCTTGCTTTAAACCTTTGTTCAGCCTTGTCTTCTTTTGCTGGTTTCTTTTCTGCCGGTAAAGGTTATTGCTTTTATTTATTATCTTATTATGGTTATTATCCCTTTTTCTTTGGAGAATCCTTCCTCTCGTCTTATTATGGTAATGAACTTTTAATAACCACTTCAGATTAATTCTTTCTATATTCTTTTTTTAAGTTATTCATATAATTGATATGCCTAGGCTTTTAATCTCTCAATTACTCTCCAACTACTTGAGATTCATTAAACCTTATTTCTTCCTTCTTCTCTTTAAATTATTAAATTCTATCTTATTGTTTATCAAGGTAATCCTTTCTTTTTTGCCATTTTAAATCCTTCAATTCTTTCTTCAAAGCTTCTTCCTACATCGATACTATCTTTTCAACTATACTCTTGTTGATTATCTTCTCTTCAGACAATTAAGACAAATCTAAGGATCTATTCATAAACTCTTATTTTTCTATAGGCAATAGAGAGAGAGAATTCTTTAATTGTTCTTATTTCTCAGCCAAAGGGTCTACCTTAAATTCTGAATGAACTCCTTTAGCTGCAATTGGTTTGACTTCATAAATGAGATTGATTTTGAATGTTGGCTCAACAATATTGGTTCTATTTTAAATATTAATTAAATTACTTAAATTTAGATTAGATGAGTTCATTGACAATTTCGAAACAAGTTAAATAGGATTTATTTAGATTTTTCATTACATCTCTCATTTAATAATGTAAAGAGACTCTTTCAATTTATACTTTCTTTAATCTAGTTTCAGTAGGTACTTCTATATTTGGATTCTACAATAATTAGGCATTCCACTTTTGGATTGTACTTTTATCAGCCACAGTAGTGACACCATCAGGATCATCAAAAATGAGATGATTGTCATTCCTTCTTCTGGCAACAAAGGAGAAATATTTAAAGAATTCAACCAAAACATGACCAGAAGGCATCTTCCTAAAATCTTTAGGAGGTCTACCAAAAATAAGGACAGCAAATTATATAAGAAACTTTTTGAAATTCTCGAAATCTAATTTGTAATTGACTGTTCTAGAAGTAGTAGCTGAAATAGATGATTATTTTTCAGTTTGATTGTCTTATGGAAGTTATCTAATTTGAGAACTCAAACTGAATAGATTAAACTTATGATTCACAGTGGCAACAAGATTTATGATCTCCTCATATGTACTGAAATTGAAGATTTCATAGTCTTAAAGTATCTTAACAATATCAGATGATCTCAATTCCAATTGGCTTTGATCCAAACTTCTTAATCTATTCTTTGCAGCCTCTTAGGGAGTGGATGCATATTTATTAAACAAATATCTGAAGGTTTTTGAAAAATGTTTAATTGCAATATTCATTGATTCTCTATCAACATCTTCTTCAAATGAAAAATCAATCAATACAACATCTTAAGGTTTATATGCTAATTCTCCTTCTTCGTAGACACATTAGAATTCATCAAAGTCATAGTTTCTTTTCTTCTTTTTTGTTTATTGAAGATTCTTAGATTCATTCTTTTCTTCCAATAATAATGATTTGACTAGATCTTCTTCTTTTTCAAATAATTTCTTATTCTTCTAAAGGTATTAATCTTCCAAGGCTTATGATTAACTACCTTCCATTTACTGCATTTTCTTTTCGAGAAATAATTGAGATGTCATCTGCTGATCTTTGGTCACATATTCATCAACAATAGTATTTGGATCACCAAGCATTTACAACAATTACAGGATACCCTTGTTGTCCCTATTTTCGATACTTCTAAGTTCTAGATGTGCTCCAACAAATAATGGTTTAAGCATATTGTTCATCTAGAAACATCTCAATTAGATGATGTATTTAAATAATTATATAGTTTGAGCTCTTCTTTAAGAATTAACAACAGAATCATCTTAATAATTGGTGAGAGTAGTAGTTGTCTTCTTAGACCTGACAGAATTAACATATAAATTTAAACATGTCTGAGACATCCTATTCATGTATTCTTAAAATTCTGAAAGTTCTATGAACTTTTAAATGATTTATTGTATTGTTGGAAACAAAGCACTTTAAAATAAGACACTGCTATTGTAAATCCTGATTAATAATTCTAACATTGTTATTGCTGATTATACTTTTAAATTCTGATGTGCACTTAGTACATAATAAATGTCACAATCAGATATATTTAGGTGTTGATTCTTAATTAAACCATCAATCAGCAATTCTATTGGAATGCTAGGATATTTTTGAATAATGTAGGAGAATTATCTTACAATATATTCATTATTCTGACTCTCAATCAGAATTGAAATCAACTTCTTATACACAGATACAGCTGTGATCACTTTCTTTTGAGCCAGTCCGTCCAGTAATTTGAATGCCTATGTAATAGAGTAAGTTTTCAATATTGTTGAACTATCCTTGGCTGTTCTTTAAAGCATTGCCAAAATGGATTATTGATATTACATATTTTATTCCAGAAATGCATTATAATGGATCCATGCATTGCATAGAAATTGGATGGCCACATTCTTTTCATCTCTTGTACTTTGGTTATCACTTAATCTTATGGCTATCTGAATTTATTATTCATAATTGTAATTGATAAGCTAAATCAATAGTATTTCTAAATACATCGCAATTTAAATAAGGAATCAAAGCTCCATAAAATTCAATATATGAATATTTGATTCTCAAAATACTTCTATTGTCCAAATACTTGACTATAATCATAATTTGCAATTTAAGATAAGGCAGTTGCAAGTGGTTCAGCCAATTTAGGGTTATCTTTAGAGTGTTATAATCAGACTAGATAATCCAGAACCTAAATAGATCGATACTATTAAATACTTAATAACCATTAGAACATATGAAACAGCAAGTCAAATTATGCTAGATCGTATGCTAATTTACCAAGCAATCGTAATCCCCAATGAACCACTTCTGAGTCTTTAGAGAATATGGAGAGTTTAAGGAATGAAACAAAGAATCCAATTTGATGTTCTTCATCCCTTAAGAGTTCAATTAATCTGGGCATATTATTGTATGTTTCTTAGAGGAGTGTTACTAATTAAATGTACTACCCTTTGACTCCTTTGATAAAGACATGTGTGAGCAATTTGAAATTGTTATTGAGTAACTATTGTGATTATTTTGGTTTCAAGATGAGATTCTGACTCAAGGCTACTATTACAAATTCTAATACGGTTTCACAAGAACTGATTGGTTTTGCAGAATTGAGAGTTTCAATATCAAAAGTTTTCTTTTGGTTATCAATTTTGGAGGAGACTTCTTTAACAAATTTGGATTGTATATCTTTTAAGACTTCAACAATCATTTCTAAATCACCATCAATAATTAATTTCTTAATTTCAGTATCCAATTCCACTTTAATTTAATGTAATCGTTCTGTGATTATATTCCAATTATACAATCTAGCTGTGGGATTGGTTTGTATTTTGACTTATTAATTGTAGGCACCTGTTAATTTATCTAAAAGTTCTGACATCTTGAAACCGTTGTAGAAGGCTGATGTGGTTTCAGGATCTAATTCCATTCTCCCATTTTATTTTGGAATTCCATTTTAGATTACATTTAGTGACTTCAACCATTTAAACATATCTTAAGTGATTTGCATTTCGTATACAAGTATATTTTATATTATTAATAATCATATTTATTTTTCATTGCTCAATTAATTTAATTTGGTACTCATGGGTATTAATCTCTCACTTAATTGATTCAATGTGATTTTTATTAGAAATGACAAAAAAGTCAAGGCATCCTAAATGCAAATTTGGGATTTTGGATGGCTTACAAAAATTAACAAACTCACAAAATACTGAAAAGTAGCCATAGCATTAAAGATCAAATACAATTTCAATATACCATAGGATTAACTTGGTATCTAACATAATTATATATATAAATACCCAGATTGATTCAAATAAATTCGATAGTATTATAGTTAGTGGATAAGGGAATAAAATTAATTACAAACTCATAATATCTGCCTCTTAATATTCATCAGGAGAATACAATTGATTATACTTGCCTATGATTAAACTTAAAATGCTCTATAATAAGAACTAATAGTATATTAATACTGTATTACATTATCTAATAAGATCAATATACAAATCATGATGATGAGTGTATACTTATCTAAAAAGGTTCGTTTGTGAGAAAATGATTGGAATCTGATATAATCAAATATTCTAATAATGAGATAATAGGTTTTTGAGAAGGAATTGGGTCTTTGACTTTGCTTCTTAGTTATTTATTTGAACTAATGTTTTGTGTGTCCCATCTATTGATGATCCTTTTCAGTACTTTTAGACAAAAACTACTCTCTCAACAGTTCCACATCAATTACATCCTCATCATCATAGTTATATTCAATATTCCTAATAGAAAAATCCTCAATATCATTAAAACTAAGTTTTTGATTTTTTAATTGTAAATCAACCTCAGCAGGGTCTTATTCTGTATTAAAGATAAATACACCAAATTTGACATCTTGTAGTTTTTGAAAGATAACATTATTGTGAAGCTCTCTCATGAACTCTTTGAATTAAGTTTCTTATTTCATTTCAATCAATGTGATTGTAGATGATTGATGTTGAGAATCAAATGGAAATTAAGCAACCAATAATTGCAATTTCACATTATGATTCTGAAAAAACTAATTATTCCACTTCTCTAATAAATCAAATAATCTCTAAAAGTTTGATATGAAACTCTTGTCAAGTGCTCCAAAATCTAAAGTCATGGCTACTTTGTTGAATTTCTTTAAGAATCTTCTAATTTCCTTTGAGTTTTCTTCTCTTTCATCCTTACAGACTAGATTAGTCAATATATTTTATCTATTTTAAATAGAATTTTTAGTCTAATTCACAGCAAAGAAAAGAGAAACTAAAAATTAATCTGATTCACATAGATAAAAAGGTCTTAAGTAATTACCTTCACCAGATAGATAAATAATGAAGGGGCAAGTAAGATAAATATATTTTAAATCACAATTCTTGTAATTAAATATATCTATATATAAAAGAGAGTAATCTGCACTTTTAGTCATTTTAAATCTACCATATGTTTGATCTGATGATTATTTCCAGAATTTCGGTATTTCATTTTTGTTTAATAAAGCGGATAACAGTTTATACTTGTCCTTCTTTATTTTAGTCTACCAACCCCAATAAAGTGGATAATATAAAATAGCCAAAATGTTTAAAATAATGTAATTAGTCTTACTCCAAGAAGCAAGTTCATTAAAATTCTTAGCAAACTTTTCATACTCTTCTTTATTAACTGCCTTGTCAATTTCAACTGGTGGTTCAGAATGTAAGAACCATGGGTTGAGAAAAGTATTATTGCCTATTACTGGTATTCTATGGGCATGATACATTAGATCTCCTAATACAAACTAATCAGTTTCCTATAAACTCTCAGTGATTATCTTATCAGCAATGATTTCTTTAGTTGCATTCTCAAAGTTAAAGTTTTTTTCAGTTGTAGAATCTTTCTTCTTATATTATCTTCTCAATATATAACCCATAATGATCAACATCATAAAAACAACCAATTATATTCCAGTATTTCTAAGAATTTTGGAATCTTCGAAGCAGCAATCTGAAGTTTAGCAAATATGAGCTTAATTGCAAAATGTATTATTCTACGAAAATTTCCCCTATTTATCAACATTAAATATATACATATGTATATGGACAGGGTACACATTATGAACTCCACCATAGAGAGTAAAATTGTTACTTTGAAGTATAATCACATGGAACACAAGAGAAATTCTCTACTCTAAAACCAGGAGAACATAAAGGTTCAACTAAACTGCCATGTTACCCAAATAAACCTGCACTCAGCTTCTAGTTTCTTACACCTGGACCATTTTTTATGGTTCCGAGAAATTTACTGCTTGAACAATAGGAATTTAAATCATAGTATTGAAAAGGACTCAATGGACTAGACAAACACTTAAATTAGATTACTCCTCCTCCACCTTCACCTACTAAACCATTTTAATCACTATCTCCTCCCTGCAATGAAATTAGAGAATTTTCATCACTAATTAACTAGGTGGAGTATATTTTGATAGATCCCCCTGCACCTCCTCCAATACTATTATTAGTTGTATTATCAACATATCCTGGAGATCCATCCGCCGATAAAATAGATTATTCCATACTGATAGACGAATTCGCATACAGAAATATTGAACCCCCACCAAATCCATATTGGAAATTCTAGGTATAATTTTCTCCAAAATCTTTGACTATTTCTAATAAGTTAACAGAACTGCCACCAGATCCTTAATAAAGATTTGTTATTAGATAACCGTATGGGTATAAATCAAACATGAATCTAGTCGAGTTTGTAAGGAATATACAATCACCTAGATATGAATTACTAACATTCAATCCAATTCCTCCATATCCAGAATTAGAACCACCATTAGCAAAGCATTTTTAGTTGTAATTGATAAACTCAGGACCTCTTGCATTGCTATATATAAATAAACTTATTCAAGTACCCCTAGTTTATATAACAACCAGAATATGAAGTTGATAAATTACTATTTTGCAAAATTATAGTGCCATTATTTAAAATTCCTATTTGACTAGCTTTTACTGAAGTGGAACTTAATTATAAGTAAGAGTTAGTATACACAAAGAAAGTGTAATTAGATACCTGAAAGAAGGCTGTAAAACGAGTTGGTTACTATAAGTAGATAAATTAATTGTGCAATAAGTAATCTTCTATAGACTCAAAATTGACATTGAAAATGCTAATCATTCCTGGTAGAATATTCACATTATTTGTACAAGTTGAAGTAATCATAAAAAATTATGATGATTCGAAAGTCACTGAATTATTAAAAACAAAAAGAATTTTATTTGATATGACATTCAATCCCATAATTGCATAATTTTATGTGCTATTAAGAAAGAATCCAAGTAAATAATTCTTCATATTCATTCTTGTATTTGGAAGAAATGAAAAGTCTTTTGATGCTATTATTATTATATATTTGTTCTCAATAAATCCAGCCTTCTTTTGATTGCTAGTTATATTACCAATATTGATGGTGGATGTATTGATTTTCACACTATGACAATTTGTTGTAAAATTATTTAAATTCCATATTTATGAAGAATCTACATTCAACTCTACGTAATTATCTTAAGACTAACAATTCAGTTCTAATGAAGTTGGGGGTATACACTATGAATTGTAGTTGTAAGTCTACTAATTAACATTAATCGTTGAACTATTCTAACAATCAATATCTAAAGTCTTGCAATATTAAAACAATAATATGATAATTAACATATTAAAAATATTATTCAACTCCCAGGAACAATCAAACATACTAGAGTACCATTCAACAAATGGATTCCAATTCATTCTTCTTTCAATTATCACATTCTCCAAAACCCTATCTAATAAATTCTCACTTCAATACTAAAGAAATCATCAAAACCGAGAAGAGTCCCTTCGAATTCCCTATCATTATTTGCGGTTCCCAATAAAAATAAAAGATCTAACCTTTGCACTTTCGAAAACTGTGTAATAAAATTTGGATCCTCCTATAAAAAGAATATATTTTTAGCATTTGCAACTTACTATGTATGAAAATAATAATATAACAAGAATCTCAAGATTAGATTAGAGTATCCACTGAAGATAATTTATATAAGAAATATATTATATTTTTTAAGCTTTTGTTTGTAGATTTCAGATAATTGTATTCATCAGCCTTTTATTATATATTTGCTTTATTCTGCTAAAATAATATAGAATTATTCATAATAACCATTACAGCCAATTAATTAATGATATTATATTATTGTATTTATTATTACTAATCAAGGTTTCGTTAGACCAATAGTGGTGGCTCTTCTGAAAGATCTCCTAGAATCAAGAGGAGGTGGTTGATTTCTAAAGCTACCTTAATTTCTATCAGTTCCTGGCGGAATTCTAAAGCTGTTACCTGGAGTAACTTGATACGCTTATGTTTCTGGATTTGGTTAATGATGTACCATAGTAGGTATCAGTTATTACAAATTACCATACTTATGCCTCCAGGAATCATTTTCCTAAAATATTATAGATAATGTTTACATTTAGTAGATCTTATGTATTCTTATTTAACCTCTCTATTTCATCATTCAATTAATCAATGGTTACTCTTAACATTTCAATTTCAGCTGAATTTGAATTAGCTTTTCTTTTCCATCTTTCAATCTCCAAATCTACTGTACTAAATCTATTTTCCAGTTCCACTTTATCTTCTATAACCTTCTGTAAGTCTTAAGATAATCTCTAGAATTTGCCCTTCCATTCTTCAATTACCTTATCTCTTGTATTCAACGCTAATTCTAAATGTTCAAAATCTAATTTTTGATTATCCAATAATTTTGATTACAGTACATGATTTTATTTAGTTAATTGTTCATTTTCAGCATTTTTAGAATTCAATAATTCATTGACGTAATTCAATTGATTTGTTAATTTCTCTTTTTCTGCCTATTAGTCTATCCATTATTAATCATCTCTTTTAATATCTTTTACTTAATTCTCACTTTGTCTTAATAATTGTTTGATCTCACTGATTTCATTCTCCTTATGTCTCAATGCTTATTCTAATTACTCTAAATCATCTTTTAATTGGTTTTCATAACTACTGCCATTACTAATAGTTGATTTCAATTCATCAATTTATTTTTGCAATTATATAGAGTGTATTTTCAATTCTTCATTTGATTTTAATACATTATTCAATTCATCAAATAATCTCTTGTTTTCTACGAATACTGGTTGAACTTAATCAATTTGTGATTGATTCTAATGTAAAATAGCTTTATTTCCTTATATTTCTATATTTTTATTTTTAACCATAACAGATAATCTCTCAATTTCACTTGACATCATAGCACACTTATTCTCTAATCTCTCTTAATCTCTCTTTGCAGCATCATATTGATTTTATGCAATTTGTAATTTATCTGTAAGATCTGCAATTCTCTACAATTCAATTAATAGATTCTCATTAAGTTTCCTGAAATCAGTTTCAATAGCTGATAATCTTTTGATTTCTATATCTCTTTGATCAACATCTTTATTAAGTAGTTGATTTGCAACAGATAATTCCTTATTTTAGACATTTAATTTGTTATTCTAACTAATCAAATCATTAATGTCATGTTCTTGTTATTTTAATAGTTACTCTAATTCTTTTTGGTTTTTCAATTAAACTTCAATAGCATCAAATTTCTTTCTCCATTCTTAATTAAGTTTTGATTTGCTATCCTCCAATTCTATAGCCTTAGTTTACCATAAATCTAATTATCTTTATCTCTCATCTAAAATCAATTATAGACTCTCAATCTTTGATTACAGAGGTCCTAAACTTTAAAGTTTGACTGATTATAAGGTGCATTTGGCAGTTAATTCATCTCTTATTTCATTTGAACTTTGTAATGCCTTCTTTAATTCATCAATCTATTTGGCTTATGTATTCACTTTCTCTTGTAATTCAGGGAACATCTCTAACTTAAATTTATAATCATTGTTCAACTATTATAAAGAGTTGAGTTTGACTAATAATTCATTTACTTAATTATTTTAATTATTTGTTCTCTCTCTCAATTTCTCTATTTCATTCTTTTATTCTAATCCCAATTAATTTGAAGAATGAATAGCATTTTCTAAATCTCTTTGTTTGAATTCAACTTAATCACTCTACATCTTAATTTTATCGTTTTCTTTTTATTTATTTAAGTATGCAATTTTTAATTATTAATAATCTATTTCTATGGCTTACAATAACTATAATTCTATAAGTATGTCTTGCTTCTTTCTGTCAGCATTAGATAAGTCCTTAATTAATTATGTATTAATTTCAATTTATTTCGTCAATTCCTATCTTAAGACTTGATTTGTTTATTGTAATTCATCAATTTAATCCTCTAGTGTATCATCAATCTTTGATTCTAGTTCAATATTTTATTGTCTCAGTTTTTCAATTGCATCAGTTTTCTACGCAATACGAATGACAGGAATTTCTGCCAGTTTCAATTATCTTGTTAAATCTAATACTTAAGCTTTTAAGAGTGGAATTTATTTATATTGATTTTGTATTTCTTAATAATAAGCATCTGCTCTCTGCTTGAATTGATCTCTCTCTTAAATTAATACATCCAACTAACTTAGTTGCAAATGTAAATTAAATACTTCAGCTCTACTCTTTTCCAATTCTATACTTAATTACTTCAACTTCTCATTTAGACTTTAAATAATAACTTCCTAAGAGTCATATCTTAACAATAGAACATTGTATTTCTCATTGATATTCATTAATTTAACATTTTCTTATTCGGATTTCAAGTATTTTTGCTTCCAAGACTCACTTTCCCCCTTTTTGAGTTAATATTTAGAATTGATTTCATCAATCTAACTTTAATAGCTCTATTATTCAAGTATCTTATTCCTATAAACAGATTCTAGTTGTAATTCTACAGCTACTAAATTATTCTTTAATTTTGTAATTTATGACTCATCTTAAATAATTTATTTAGTTAATCTTTTGGGAATTGGAAGTGGATCTACTTTTATATCAGGCACTTCAAAATCATTCTTGAAATTTTTATTTTGCTCATTAAGTAATTATTATCTTTGTTGATTTACTTCTAATAATCTCTATAATCTTGTGATTTCAGAACAGCCTTAATTGTATTTCTGTCTCCATTATTCAGATTCAGCAAGTGTTTATGTCATCTCTTATCTTAATGAAGAATTAGTGTTTTGTAATGCTTTTATTCTTTATTCTAACTTCTTTAATTAATTGATGACAACTTCAGCATCCATTAAATTGGCTTTAAGTTACTTAATTTACTAATCTTAATTTTCATTTTCAGATTTCAATTCTTCAACCAGCTTCTTAGCCTATCTTAACTCAGGTTATATTTATTTTAATTAATTATTCGAATTTTCAACATCTCCAACTCTTCTTTTCAAAGAGATAATCTCTCTTTATTTTGTTTAGATCTGATCTTCTGCAAATGCCAAATGGAACTTAATCTTATCTAGATTCTAAAGTTCAAGTGTTTTTTAATTTAATAAATTCAAAGTAAATTCTTAATCCTACTCCTTTTGGTTCAAAGCATTCAACAAATTTAACTTGTCAATCTTTAATAATTCGATTTCCTCATTTAATGAAACTATTTATCTGACATCTCTGGATAACTAAAAAATATTTAGATTAAATATTACATCAGATATTATCTTTTCCTGAGTTTCTAATTTTTGTTGCAATTAAGCTAACTCAAACTTATATCTTTCGATCTCAAAGTTCGCCCTCTCTAATTCATTTGTCAATCTGACTTTTTCTTCATCAGCATCTGTTGAAGTAACTTTGACTATTTTTTCAACAGTTTTAATAATCGTTGTAGGTTTAGATTTTTATTATTCAGCCAAGCCTTCTAATTCCTTTAGTTTACCATTACATTAGTCTAGTTATGATTCTAATTAAGATAATTATTCATTTTTGTTTGATAATGTTTCTTGTAACTTATTAAGTTCATGATTAAGTAAACCCAGTCTGTGATCTTTTTCTTGAATAGCGTTTTTCATCTGGTTCAATAGGTCAGATTATTCTTATAATTGTGCTTTGAATTTAGCATAATCTTATGCAGGCTATATTGTAGCAACTTATGAAATGTTGATTTCACTCTTTGTGACTTCAATCTTAGAAGTTGTAGATAATTCAGATTTCAGATCTGCAAGTCTCTTTCTCTCAGCCTCTAATTTGATGTTCCTATCTTTATATACATTCAAATCATTCTAGAGGTTGGTTATCTTGTTTTGAAAGTCGAAATTTTCTAATTCAAGTACTTTCTATTCTGAATGCTTTAATTCTAATTGTCCATACTTTTCAGTTAACTTTTACTTAGTAAATAACTTTTTACATCTTTTAGTTCTTTATCTCTCACTTGCAATTAGTCGTAAGCATTTTTATAATCCTATTCTATGTCTCTCAATCTCTCCAAATTGGACTCATATTCAAGAATCTTAAATTTTGCAACATCCAACTCTTTCGTCCTTGAACGCAACAAAAGAGTCAACTGTTTGTTTTCGTCATTCAATATTTGATTTCTTTCTTGCAATTAATTGATCTAAAGAAAGATTATTTTGATATTTACTGTCTATTCATATGTTACATATAAATCTTATTGTTGCTCAAGCTTGAACACTTACTCACGTTAAGCATCAAGTTCGGCTTACAATTCAGTTATTCTTATCTCACAATATGCAATGTCTGCTGTATTTGGAATTTTTGCTTTTCTTACATTTTTATAGATTATTTCTTAAAATAACAAATAAAAAATACTATCACCATCGATTTCTTATCCGAAATACACACTAGCCCTCTCGTCACCTTCAGTTTTTTATTGAATGATATTCTCTGCCATTCCTATTAATTTTTAATAAAAAATATCTATTTTCTTTAATTTAGATATAAATTTCGATGGGAAATATTATATAATTATTCAGATAATGAAATTTTATATTGCATTATTAATTCTAGTCGTGTATTCCCAATAGGATAACAGATAAATCTCCCCTGAGGATTAAACATTTTTAGAAACATTATAAAAGGATTAGTTTGGTTTAAATGTATTAAATTCAATTCAAACAGAATATTAACGAGATTAAGGTAATTTTCATTATTCATTCTCATAACAGATACAAAAGCATAATTAAACAGAATTGAGCATTTATTGAACGAAATTGAGTAGTAGATTGCATAAGATTAATAAAATGATTTAGAACTCGAATCAGAAGCTTCTGAATAATGTATTAAAAACGAATTATTATTAAATAGATTATTCGCAATTACTTAGTCTAGAAGAATAAATTGCAAAATCCCAATATGATTATAGCACTATTGGAGCTCAAATTAGATTATATTAAGATGAATCTAATAGATATGACATATTATTGGATGAAAAAGAAAACATTATTGATGAATATTAATCATTGTCAACTTAACTAGATGAAATTAGACAATAAGAAGTATCAATCAATCTTAAAATAGCGTGATCATTTTGAAATTGCTAGAGATGATTCAATAACTGTTTGCAATCTATTAAAAAGAGCTAAGTATTTGATCAAGTAATTAATCCCTAAGACTACAGTGTTGGTTTAACAATCAACTAATATTAATCAAGATTTTTAATAAAATGCTGACTTTTTATAATAAATAAATTAATTATAGAGAGAAGCTTAGGAATCACTCTAAAACAACTAACCTTTCTTGAAAATAATTAGTAATTTATCAAGATAATAAATTAGCTGAATTTGTTAATGTTTCAACATAAACTGAAGCAGTCGTTAACACTAAAAGAGTTAATGCTATTGTCAATCTTCTTTAATAACTCTATGATTAAATAGATAAAACTAGTAGAGTTTAATATAATGCAGAAGACGATAGAGATCAACTTCATTCAAGAGTGAAAAATTAAATTAATGACTAACTACATTCAATTAATTTATAGGTAATGAGTGATTATGATTATAGCTTGCAACCTTACAAAATTAATAGGATTCAATCAATGCTTAGATTGTAGCTGAGTAATAAAATCAAAAGGATGAGGAAAAGAGGCTAGCAAATTTAAAGTAATAATTATTAGATTTATCTAAATGTTCTGATGATACTAAAGTAATTAATAGTCATATAATTTAAGGTGAATTATGGAGTTAGATAGAAAGAAAGAAAAGAATAATTAAAATTACTCAGATAAGTCAGATAAGTCATGTTGAATGATTTTGATGCCATTCGATGTTATATAGAAGATTATTTTAATAAAGCTTAACGTTGAAAATTAAGAATTAATATATCATAATAACTATATCTGGAATTCATAAATAATTTTTTAATAACTATTTATAAACTTTATCAACTTCCTCTCTTCTTGATCTATAAGAATTCTGCGAGATTGACCGATAATTATCTTCCAATTTTCCTTTTTTATTTGGAGTTGTGTTAGTGAAATGTGTGCGATAGGAATTGATTGTTTTATAAGCAGTTTTGTTACTTCCAATTTTAGTTCTATTGTTCTCTGAAGATGGTCCATTTACACAATCACTCAATTACCCATTGATAACTTTTACCATTTGATTAAATTTCTAAAATTACCCCTTAAATTAATTTAATTGCGATTCTAACATGGCGATTGATTACAATGCCTACTTACATTATTTGTCTTTATAATAATTTTCAGATGATTTTTGCTTCAATAAATTGTTTAATTAGTCCTCTTGATAATCTAATATTATTACATTTAATTGATGAGCCTGCACGAGTGAGGATTCCAATTCTTATTCTAAAATTGTAGGTTTTAATTCTTTTTATTCTAATTCATCTTAAAATTAAACCACATTCGGTTTCCTGTTCCCAACATCATAGGTATATTAGATTAATTTATCGATATCATTCATCTAATTTAAATAGAATTGATAAATCTAATCTATCAACTATTAAATAACTGATTCATTTCCTTAAATTTCTTTCTTAATCTCTCTTAAGAATTTCAACATTTATTACACGAATTAATCAACATATTTAAGCTTTGTTTCTCTGAAAGATGGCAGAGTTGAATCATATGATCCTTAAGAAATTATTGTACTTAATTAAGCTTTGTTCTATGGAGTTTCAGATGGATTAATATTTCCCAACAAATTTAAAAAAACATCCACTTCCTCTTCAATTTCATTCCTTTTTTGAAATGTTTAACCATTAAACTATTATTTATGCAAAAAATCTTCAACTTAAACAAGCAAGTTTTACCTTTCCTTCTTTTTAACTTCCGATGACATTTTTATAATAAAATTAATGAAAAAAAAGAAAAATCAGTACCTCAGTATTTATATGAATACATTCAAACACATTCATTTATCATGCTTATATTGGAACACTTTCTCTGTTTAGCTTGATTTTACATTTTTTTGACAAATCCAGAATAAATTGGATCACCACACAAAATACAACGATTAACAATATCGACAACACTGTTGCCATTATTATTCTCTTTGATTAATTATCCTTATTTTGTAGATCTAATTCACTTGCATAAATACCCAAAAAATTATAAAATGATGTTCCTTCTAAGTAATCTGCTATTTCTAAAAAGAACACCTAATTTGTTTGAGCCTTCTTTAATTGCTATTCTGACATTGTGTCTTCAGACATTATTTCTAGTGCTTCAATCTAATCATATTCGGTTTTTAAAGGTAGCTTAATGCATCTTACCATTGTTAACAAATATATCAATAAAAACATATTATATATTAATAAACGTTTTTCAAAATATTTAATAACTCTCAGCATTAACCATGTATAAAATATTGTCTTCTTGATTAATCAAACATATCTTTATAATTAAAATAAAGAAAGATATCAATAATTTGATATTTATAACCTACTTTATAAGTTATTCTTAATTTATGTTGAACATATTACTTTCATTTTTTGAAATTATTTTATATATTTTTCAAATATATAATGATATTTCTTCAAAATATTCAAATACAAATTAAATATTACAATTTGATGATATGCCACAATAAATCAAATTTAGTGTTTATTACTTTTAATTATTTTTAAAAAACATAAAGCTATTTTTTTGAAAAATAAAATAAAGATTATTTACAAAAATATATCCTGTTTCTTTATTTGATCATAATTGAAGTTTGTATTGAATATACAAATAATAAAATAAAAATATTAAAATTATTTATTAAAATGCAGACATTAAATGATTATGAAATAATAGAAAAATTAGGTTCTGGTTCTTATGGGGATGTAATGTTGGCCAAATAGAAAGAAAGCGGATTATTAGTTGCAATTAAAACCTTAGAGAAAAGATTATTAATAAAGGTTAGCTAATTGATTTATAAAAAGGAAAAAAAATAATATTAGGTTTTTATTGAAAAAGAAGTCTTAACTTAAGTGAAGCATCCTGGGTTGATTAATTTAATTGCTAGTTTTCAGAGTTCATCATAAATATATTTAGTGCTAGAATTTGTAGAGGGGGGGGATTTTGCAAATTTTCTAAAAATTAATAGTAAAAATGCAGTTTATCATACTAGAAAATATTTCATAATAAAATATAGTTTTTTATTCAGCAGAGATTGTAAGCATATTAGAATAGTTACATTCAAATGGAATAGCTCATAGGGATGTAAAAGTAAATATTCTATAATGATAAAAGCCAGAAAACATTATGGTGGCCAATAATCTACATATAAAGATGATTGACTTTGGAACTGCAAATTTTTTTGATGAGAGAGGATTAAATGAGAGTGTAAGAGACAAATTAAATGAATTACGAGAGATTAGTTAACAAGATGAAAGATTCATGGATGAAATTGATTAATATTAATAAAAACACAAGGCTACATTTGTTGGGACAGCTGAATATGTATCACCAGAGTTATTAGAGGATGATATATGTGGTCCTTAATCAGATTTATGGGCATTGGGGTGCATAATTTATAAAATGTTCACAGGAACAACTCCTTTTTGTGATTAGACAGAATATTTAGTATTTTAGAAGGTCAGGGCTTGCTAGTATTAAAACAGCAATAAAATTCCTTAGGATGCAATGGATTTAATAAGCAAACTATTGGTAAGAGATCCATTGAGCAGATTGGGAGGAGGATTACCTAGTATAAATTATTTATATTAAGATTCAAAGAATACCTATAGGGAACTTAAGAGCCATCCTTTCTTTAAGGAGATAAATTGGGATTAATTATGGAGTATCAAGGGACCAGATGATGTTTAAATTCATTTGAAGAAGTCGACTTCAACATAGGAATTATAGTTAAAGAAACAAAGTTCAGCTTTGAAACCAGAAGTAGTATTGACTGGATTAGTGAATAAGAAGACTGGTTAGTGCGATGAATATTATAGGTTGGATGATTTATAAGTTACGTAATATGATTCTATATGATTACGAAATTCCAAAATTGGAATATTTTGACCCTAATACAGGAATGAAGAAAGTAAGTTAAGAATTTATGATTAAAAGGGATAAATTATTTTGGATAAGAATGTGATAATAGAATTATTAAAAGGGCAATTCAATATTGATGTGCCTAATAAAAAAAAATATTATTTTAAAGTACAACTATTGCTAATTTAGGAATGTGAACATCCAGCATAATTGTGGGTTGACAAAATTAAAGAATTTATGAAGAAAAGACTTAATTTTGAATGATTATTTGAATAGTTATGATTCATTAAAAAAAGTCTTTAGGAAATTTATTACCCGCTCTGACTCTAATTTTGATGGGTATTTTTTCTTCTGATTCATTTCTTATGAGTTGACTCTTCTTGTTAAATTTATTATTTAGTTCTTGAGTGGAAAGTAACAATAATTCGAGAATGTTTTCATTATCAACTTTTTCAAGTTCAATTTTAAGATTGCGAGCCACTTAGAGGTTACTCTTACTGTCGTGTTCAAACCCCATAGATTCGTTGTTTTAAGGAGAGTTAAAGAAATATTTTTTCTTTTGTGTGATGACTCCTTCTCGATCTGGATTGTTATTCAACTTTTAGGTATTTATAGAGTTCCTTCTCATTTAAGATAGTATATCTCTAGATTCATTAAGTCTACTTGAGATAGGTTATTTAATACATTATTACTATTAGGCATTATTCTATAATAGCATATAAAATGTTACGATATGAATGGAGATCTTGGAAGATTTGCTTTGTATGTTCTATTGTTGTTATTTAAGTTTAACTTTCAAGATTTCTTTGCTTGTTATATATGTTTAATAAGATGTTGGTTATTTGTTATGTTTAGGACTTTAATTAAATACATCTATAACTTTGATTCGTTCACTTGATTTACATTTTTCTTCACTACTTTATCGCTTAATTAATTGATTTCTTTGTGTTTATGAAACAGATCTATATTTGTATGCTTCATCCCTCTTTGTTATGAGTAGATCCAATCCTTTCTTAGGTGTATTGTCGATGGATGATTGATTATTATTCTCTATGATGAATTTACTTAATTACTAGACAATATTTATTGTGCATATAGACTTAAATTAGTCTGTTTACTTTGAGGCTTAATAATTGGGGGATGTTGATTATCAATGGACCCCAAATTGAGTTTAATTTTTGGAGAACTATAATCTATAGTTCTTTAAGTTAAATCTTAATTAATGAATTCTAAGGTGCTACAATAATAATACTTGCTTTAGTAAATCCTTAAAAGTCTAGTTTGGGCTTTAGATTGACTTTTTTGGATCTTATTTATTCGTTAGAATAATACGACGAGAGATATTTTTTGAGCATTATTTTAACTATTTTAATATATAATTATAATAAGTATAATTGTGCAATTCAGTTCTTCAATTAAGTTTAGGAAATCGTCTTAATCTAATCGAACAACATCTTCAACTCTAAATGTTTGCTAGTTAATGATTCATATTCAGCAATGATATCCTAATTCTGATCTTCCAATGATTCACATTTTTGCATTGCCTCCTTAAATTTCTCTTAATAGTAGTCTCTTTCTTCTGTAATTGGATCTACAACTTTCTTAAGTTCAGTCTCAATTTATTATCTAAACCAATTATCCAAAGATTGCTATAGTTCTGCAAATTGAGCTTGATAATATAATGTCAATTCACTAATTTTTTAGGTATTGGATTCATTCTCCATCTTGGCATTTTACAAATCGTTGTCCTGTTATTCAATCACGTACTTCTGATCTTAAATTTATTATTCATAATTTTATTTCTCATTCTCAAATATAGTTTTTAATTAATTAACTTCTTGTTGAGATGATTAATACTATTATTTCAGTGTTTCATTGATGCTACTTAATCTCTTATATTGATCAAGAATGTTCTCCATTTGTTCTTATAACACATTCTTGCTTAATTCTAAATTTTCAATATCTAAAGTAAGTTATTAATTTGTTTTCATGACTTCCTGGGACTACAAAACAGCTGATTACATATTCTTGATCTCTTATTGTAAGTTCTACAATTCATTAAATAGCTTAAGATTGTCTGATTTGAATTTCAATAGTTGTTCCTATGAAGTTTGTAATCTATTTTTTAAGTATTAAATTTCAGCATCTTTGCTTTCTAAAGATTTGATAAATCCATCCTAATCATTTTAACATACTTCCACTAACAATTCAAGTTCCTTTACTTATGTCACCTAGGTCTTACAATTTGATAATGACTATTATAATTGTGTTAGTTCATTTTTTAATTATTAATTTTCAGTTAATAATCTATTTTATTTCATTTCCACTTCTGCCTTTTGCTGTTTTAATGATTGGATTTGAAACTGTACAACTGAGTATTCTTATAATTTCTCTTCATTCAGTAGTAGCTTCTCTCTTAATTATTTTATAGTTTGTTAATCTGATTCTGAGTTATTGGATTGATATTATTATTGTAATCTTTATAACTATTAATACTTTAATTAGAGGTCATTATAGGCTTTCTCTTTCTCTTATAGGAACTTATGTTATAAGTCATATTCCTCCTTTAGCTTATCATATTTGCCTTGTAAATCACAATTGTTGTAACCATTTTTAGTTGTGTGTTAACTATAGGCAATAGATTGTTGGATGTTTTCATCCCTTACAGATAATCTATTCTATTAAGTCTTGAAATCTTAGTCACTATTTCTGTGTTTATTGAATTTAATCTATTTGAACTGCAATAGATTTGCATCTTGCATTTTTAGTCTATCCTCAACTGTTTGTTAATTAACGAGCTAGAGTGAAAATTCAGATAATTTATCATCCATTCCTCTTTCTGAAACTTGAGTCTTAGAATTATATTACCCAATTCTTGTTGGGGAATTTGTAGATCTATACAATTCAGGCGCCTTTGGTGGTAAACACTTAATATAAAAATTTGGTTACATTTACGAAGACTTGAGCAGGAGATTGCAAGGAGAGTTTCTTATAGTCATTATCAATTTATTATTTTGATATTATGGCTAAGGAACTAAATGGTTGTACAAATCTATTCTTCTAATTTGATTATCTCAATGGTGATATAGAATTTTGAGTGTGCTATGTGACCAAATAATCGTATTTCAGAGGGGATATTGGATGAGAATTCTAAACTGAGTGTTGAAGGGAAGCAGTGGTAGGCCTTCTTTAAGTATGGGTTTCAGTATGTTGAATATCAGCATTGCTCATTAACGTTCAAATTTTAAAATATAATAAAGCATTTTTATATTATATTGTTAGGGATTTAGATTTCATTGAGTATTTGAGTAGACCAGAACTATTAGTCGTATTATTAGAGATTCAGTAGCATTCTTTCTTGTTTTAATGATATTATTCAATATAACTCATAATTTATTAATAATAATATGTTAGATAATAGTGAAGTAATCATTAGAGAATCATTGGAAAGCTATCTGAATTATCAACATGCAGATTGCGTATTAAAAGTAGAGATGAGTAAACCACATTTACGACAGAAGTATTGCGAATGTTTGCAATTGGAATCTTTTGTTGAATTCGTATTGACATGTTTAGAATTAGTAAACACGACTGTGCTTATGAAACAGAATTATTAATTAAGTCATAAGTTGCATTTGCAATATTGGAAGATATTCAATGAACTACCTTAACCAAAAGATGAAATGGTAAGTTTCATCTTAATAGCAGTCTGGTTTTTAATACACAGCACAATATTTAAATTACAAACACAAGAAGAAAGAAACAAAATTGATCAAAGATTCCTTTTCAACTCTTACCATGTTCTATTGTATTATATTAATGGATTCTATGTCTCAGATGAATTCGTTTAATAACAAGTCGATATGTATCTTAACAACAGATACTTGGATTATAGACTCAATTCATTCTAAAAAAAGAATCTCAAAAAATAATAGATGCAACAAACTTAAACTAACTTATTCCCTAATGTTAGCATACCAGAATTAACCTAAGTCTAAGGCGCCACTTAATTTTAAAAAGAGTTAAGATTTAGAAAAAAATAGAAGAAATAATAAAGTGAACCCATCCTTGTTGAACAACCCCCATAATAATTAACTAGACTGGAAAATAGATCAGATAGAAGTGGTCGATTTCCAAACTCCATAAAATTCAATCTCAACCAATTATCACCATCTATTAATTCACTCTTAAACCTTAGCAATAAAGCTACTCCAAGAGCCAAATTAGTTACACACTAAATTATATCACATAACTTTAATTAAGCTAAAGTATCGAACGTCTTAAAAAGTCTAGATGAACCTAGAACTACCTTAACTTAAATGAAAGAAAGCAGAGATAATGGAAAAGGATAAAGATTACTCGATAAATACAGAGTAACTTAACCACCTCTGGAGTATTTTAAGAAACATCCAAAAGTTGATCATCTTTTTAGAGATATGTTAGAGATGAAGCTTGTTTTAGAATAGAGTCATTAACACATTTATACATCACCTAGATTAGTCAAAGAAGATTCAACTGCATTGAGAGAAAAGCTAGCTCAATATTTGGAAGAAAGGACATTGAAACAGAATTTAACTCCACAAGATGATCTATTATAATAGAGTCCATAATTTGTTTCTAATATGATGATTACTTATTAACATGTCAGAACGCCTAGTGATGGAGCTAGAATGTAAGAAACACACTCTGTATTTCCATAAGGCCAAATTAGTTCATTTCTTCAAACACAAATTACGTAATCCCCATAGCCAAAATCTAATAATAAATTTCTTTATGAAGACAAAAGAAAGCTTTATACTGATAGGTTCAATAAAGCAACTGGTAATTAGACTACAGATGATAAAATATCAAATTTATAACATAACCTACTAGTAAAATAACATATGATTTAATAACACTTAAAAAAATAGCATTGATTTATTAATTTATAATGAGAATCACTTGTTATTCTTATTAAATATATTAAGTTAATTAATTTATTAATATTCTTTATTTACTATTGATGCTCCACAAAATAGTATTTGAATTATTTCTGTTGATTATTCTATAATTTTTCACAAATAAATAAATAGGTCTCTCTTTTTCTTGAATCTACAGAATAGATATAAGCAATTTAGATTCTTGGGATTCAAGCATTTGTTTATTATTTTACAATTTATCTGAAATTCTAATTTAATAAATTATATAATATTTATATTTCAAATGCCTTTTATACCATGCTTGAAACATAAAGGATCTTACATTCTTTATATCAAACTAGATTAAGATAAAGCAGAATTTATTTGCGAGGAATGTTGCTTGTAATTATATGAGATAAACTAAAATCTGAATATTTAAAGATTAATTCACATTAAGAGTGTATAATTTCAAAATTTAATCTATAAGGCATTTAAATCTCCTTAATTACTTCTTCCCAATATGAATTATTCCACTTAACCAAAATAAAAATTAAATGAATTTGATAAACTTAATGAGAACTGCATAAAAAATATTCTCAAAGATATCAACACTCAAATTACCAACATTTAAAATTCTTTCCAATTAGTCTAACAAGAATTAGAATATTATGCAAAGTAATTTCTAAATATGAAATAGAAATTTAAGGATGAATTAGAAAAAGTAATTTATATAAAAAATAATAGTTAATCAAATTTGATTAATTTAAATAAATAATAGAAAATCTTGAAAATTTAGGAGATTCAATAAACACTCAAATTATGGAATAGAATGAAAAGATTTTATATTAATATTTGCAAGATCTTAAAAAGATGGATCATACAGAATTATATCTTTAATTATTTGATAAAATGAAGTATTTAAGAATAGAATTTAAAGATTTAAAATAATAATATTATCCAGAATGTCAAAAGTTGCAAGATTAATTGAAATCATTTAGCATTAGCTAATTAGGGCTCATAGAGTAAATAAATTTAATAACGTTTAAATAATTTAATTTTTTGGAAACATAATTATTGTAAGAGTAATACTAATATAAGATTCTTTGTACAATTTTATCCAAAATAAATAAAATAAATATTAATTATTAAAAAATATATTTGAGTTATCGAGATGGATTGAATGGATAAGCCTTTTGGAATAAAGTAAATAATCAATCAAACTTATTAATGATATTTAAATCAAAAAGTGGAAATATTTTTGGTGCATTTTCTCCTTGTTAATGGGTGACAAATAGTTCGGGTGGATACATTTTTGATAATAATAATAAATCATCTTTTATATTTTCATAGACTCAAGATTAAATATAAATATTTCCAATTAAGGAGGGAAACAAATAACATGCTATTTATTGTTATCAATCATATGGACCTACTTTTGGTGGTGGTCATGATATTTAAATTAATTCAGACTTCCAAGGTGGATACTCAAATTTAGGACATTCATATTCATGTGAATAGTATCAAATTAGTAATAAGAGTACACATTTATTTGGTTAATCCACTCCAAATATAGTAGAATGTGAAATATTTATGTTGACATTTGCATGAATTATCTAAATATTTATATTTTCTATTATTTATTCATTCAAATTAAAAGTTCTGTTAGTTTTCTCGTAAATTTTAATTTAAATCTATATAATATTTAACAATCTTTTATCGTTAAATTGTATTATATTTGAAAGATCAGATGCGAATATTGGATTTGAGAAATTGAATAAATTATATAGTTCAAGATGAGATCATTCTTGATCTATAAAAAAGATTAGTAAAGATATTATCTTAATTTATACAATATATAATCTTAAATAATGATGAATATATTCAATAAATCGACTAATCGAATTAAAATAAAATTATTATCTTATTTTAAACCAAATTTACTTGTTATTCTTCTTTGTTTTATTTAAATAATTAACTTTTAATAGAAAATTAAATGTCTACCTAGGAAACAGTATAAAGAACATGCTTAATTCATGAAAATATAGAAATTATTGCTATTGATCTTACTTAATCCCAGAGGGAGAAATAAGATGATAAATATTTATGTGTTTAGTGTCTAATCGACAAGATTGGAATAAACACAATTGTGTTGTATGATAACACCATAGATATGATTAAAGAAATGAAGAGTAAAGCCAAAAAGATAACTTAGGACATGACCTAAGTAAGAGTGAATAATATAAAATAACTTTAATAATCTATTTTAGATTATGATTAACTAACAAAGGAAGTGATAAGTAAATTGTAAAATAATATTAATCAACAAATTATTGAGGGTGAGAAAGAAATAGAATTAAGAGATTAACAAATGGATTCAATAAATTTGGAAGAAGACATTCCAATTCTATCGAGCCTTTATAAAGGAAATAATCAATTTGAAATTCCTAATTAATCATATAATTCAGAAACTATTTCATAGTTTTTAGATTAACTTGAGCAATCCCTTCATTAAATATCAATTTCTTAATAAATCTCATCAATATATTCATAGATAAAAAAAATAAAATAATAATTTTCAATACAATTAGAATTTGGAAAAATAGATAAATATGTAATCATAAATTATAATATAGAGAACTCCAAGTTTAAAATAAGTTTGTAAAATACATGAATAAGAGATAATAATGGTTGATATAAGTAGATGTGACAGTGAATAATAAAATAGATTAGCATGTGTTGAATGCATTTAACAATTTCCTAATAAATATGTTTCATTAAAAGAAGCTTATAAAAGATGGAATCAATATAAAGAATAATAATATAAAATGAATTCAGATTTTAAAAATCATAGATAATCAAAGTTTGATTTAGGAGTTTAAATAGTTTCTGAATTTCAACACTCAGTTAAAAATCGAATAAATGAAATAATTTAATCTCTTGAAGCATAATTTAAATTAGATTCATAAATAATATTAATAGAAAATGATTAAAAGAATTTAAATATAGATGAATTAGATGAATAAGAAATATTAAAAGTTTTAAATATTTTAAGCTAAAAAGATTAACATTTAAATTAAAAAAAATAATTAGAAAAATTAAATTAAGAAGATTCAATATTTTATACTAATTTAAAATAGAATTTAGATTATCTTATTAAATAGAATATCTTAACTAAATATAACATAATCAATGTTTTTATTGATAATTAATAAGAATTATTAACTATTAATGATATTGATTCAATAGATTCAAATTTGAATTAATTAGATGAAAAGTCTATGATTAAAAAATTCAAATTGTTAGAATATATTACTCAAATTATTAATGACTCTTTTAATTTTTATAAAAATTGATAACAAGAGATAAATGAAGCTAAATTTTCATAATTTTTAGAAGAATCTTAAACATTTTAAAAAGAATATTAATCATTTTAATCTAATTCTAATTTAATGTAAATATTAATTTTAGCTGAAGACAATTAAAAATATTAAAAGTTATTTAAGAATAAAACTAACAATTGGTAATCATAAATATCAGGATAAGGTAAATTAATTACAGAACAGTCGGAAAAATTAAAATAATTAAATTAAGAATTAACTGAAATAAAAAGGAATGAATTGGAACTAACAAATTAAAAAATATAAAATACTGAATAAATTGATAGTTTAACTATCAAATTGAAAGAATAAGAACAATAATATTAATAATTATAGGATTAGTTATAAAAGAAAATAAAAGAATTAAATCAATCAATTTAAAATACTTAATCGAATTTAGCTTAAACAAATTAATAATTATAAAGCAAAGATTAAGAATTAAAGAATACTTAATTTAAGCATGATGCTTTGTTAGAAGAATTAAAATCTGCTTATTCATTTGTAACTATTCAATGGACAATTGGGATAAATAAATTATTAAAAGATGATCATTTTAATAAAATTTTGAAAAATATTGAAGTTAAAACAAATAAGAAGGTAAAAAACCAATATTTCATTTTCTCTGGAGAAAACAATGACTTAAATGGTTAGGCATTTTGGAAATCTGTTGATAAACTCTCAAACTTATTAATGATATTTAAATCAAAAAGTGGAAATATTTTTGGTGCATTTTCTCCTTGTTAATGGATAGCAAATTGTTCGGGTGGTTACATATATGAAAATACGTTATCATCTTTTATATTTTCATAGACTCAAGATTAAATATAAATATTTCCAATTAAAGAGGGAAACAAATGTAATGCCATTTATTGTAATCAATCATATGGACCTACTTTTGGTGGTGGTCATGATTTTTATATCTAGCAAGACTTTCAAAATGGTAGTTCTAGTTTAGGACATTCATATTCATATGATTAATATCAAGTTGGTAATAGGAGTACACATTTATTTGGTTAATCAAGTCCAAATATAGCAGAATGTGAAATATTTATGTTGACATTTGCATGAATTATCTAAATATTTATATATTTTATTATATTATGGATCTATTCAGATACATTCTAATTACATTTAATCGTAATAACTGCATATTCTCAATTATTTAATTTGTTAAACTCTTTGATCACCAAAATCATGTATATTATCTTTTTATTTAAAAAGGGGACTTCATCTATCTGGCCCTATTACATATTTTATGATAATAATTACCTAATTACAAAACAAAATATAATTTCTGGAATTCAATAATAATGACTTTGGCTTCTTCAATTTTTTGGATTAAAGCAAGAGATTATTTTTCACCAAATTTTAATGAGTATTATGAATATATAAACTAGTTAACTTTATAATTTTTACTATGATAATCTTTAATAATATTATTTTAATTATTATTTCCAAGCTAAATGATTAATAATTTTTTTATTTTAGTAGTTACTTATAAATTTAAAGAGTAAGGATTTTAGTACTTTTACAAAAATTGAATAATTAGTTCCTCTCATCTAGAAGAATTACATTACAAATTATGTATATATTTTTAAATCTTATTATCCTTTAAAAACACCATAATAACAGTATTTAAATAATATTTTGGATAGTCCTTAAAGAATATTACTTTTTTTTCATAACATTTTGTATTGAAATATTATAAAAATTATAATAGGAGGTATATTTAAGATAATTATAATTAAAACCAACCATCATTTGTGGTTGTAAAAGTTATCAATCAGATTAGTTTGACTTCTTTTCAACACTTAATTAAATGTTGGATTGTTTGGCTACATCTAAGACAAATTAGATAATCACGCACAAAACGACTATCATAACAATTGACAAAGCAGTGGCAATCACTATTCTTTTGGTTTCATTGTCTTTATTTTATAAGTCTAATCAATAAGGAATATAACATTACCAAGAAAATTATAGAAAGGTGTTCCTTAAAAATAATCCGCAATTTCCAATAAGAATAATTCCTTAGTTTAAATAGGTTTACTTTCCTGATTTTCAAGATTATTAAGGAAAGCAGGTTGATTTGGATCTGAAATAGGGATGGGATTAACAAATGCTAAGAGAAGTAATAAAAACATTAATACTCTAATTTTATATATATTTCAAACATCCAATTTAAATTGATGAAGGGAATCAAGGTCAGCCTTTTTGAAGGCTTTTTATTTTGAATTGCTGATGAAGTCTTGAAATACTTTGGAATCACGGACTTAGGAATCTCTAAAAAGAGCCTACATAAAGGAGATTGGTTTAAAACCTAAAGATAGATATCAAGTTATGCTTTTCTGGTTGAGATGAAATCTGGGTTAAGATTACCAAAGAGTCGTTTAACTGGGAACGTGGGCAATTGGGATTTGGTCACTTCATCAAGAGTTTAATGGAGCTCAGATAACATGCTATATCTAGTCCAGAAAGACCATACAACATTATCAACTTTAAGTCTAATGAGGTATTAGGTATGGGAATTGCCTTTAATTTTGTAATCGTGAAGAGAAATCCAATCGTTGGTGTCAAGTGAACGACGTTTACGCTTCTTAGATTTACCCAAGAATTGTAAGACTGGAGCCTCTGAGGTATGGGGTTGTGATTATCCGACCTAATGATGATTGGTATTAGTGAATACATGAAGATGAGCTTACATCATAGTTGTAGGTAGAAAGGATTTGCAGTTTTATTTAAAATAAATATTAATGACAACATAAGTTTATGATCATTCGTAATAATTTTAAATGAGTAGATGAAGGGAATTTGATTGCATTTTCATTTTCTGTTAATATTAAAGTTGTAAGTTGAAAATGACTACAAGTATAAAGGTTATTAAGATGTATTGATGAGAATCTAGTTGATAGTTAACTAGTTTAATTTATTTTGTTTTATTCTTATTACAATGCATGATAATTAATTAATATTAACTAATCAAATAATCAAATAATCAAATTCATTACATTCTAATTAAACAATTTATCCAAAGTTCTAATCAAAGAACTTAGATATCTCCTATTTTGTATTCTAATACACTTAAGTGACTCTCACAAAAGTACTCAAATGACCAAAGAACTATCCAGCTATTTCCTATAACTGTTATAGTGTGATTAATCCTAATGGTTACATTGTATTCCACTCCTACAGCACTTCTGGTTTTTTGAATTAGTTGGATAATTGATACATAAGATTCTGAGAGTATAATAATGATCATACTTCCTTTTTTGACAATATGGATCTTAATTCTCCCAGATTACACTGTATTACAAAAGGGTCATTTGGTTATTTGTAGAATATCTATTTCTCTAATAATTTAATAGTTTCAGCCAAGTCCTCGTAATGCTACTTATTCAATGTATTCCAAATCTACTCTTTATTGACAAGGATCTGACTATATTTCATCAGCAATTGCACTTCATGTGTGTTACCCTTTAGATTCTTTTTGCCTATTTATTTGACCATCTTGGAATTCTCAATTGGAACTTCTAAGAGGCATAGCAAATTAGAACAATTGATTAGACACAATAAAATGGTTTTGTACAACTCATACAGAATCTCTAAGTCTTATGTAGTATCTTACTTGATTATTAAAGTGGTTATAATTTGATGAATAATGCAAAATACTTCTTAAATTCAGAATCTTCTGTCTGTTTGTATTGTTTGATGTATTCAATGTTATCATTAAATTTCTTATTATAACATAAATGTGAATACCTTATATTGTTCTTCTTTCTATTTGAGTATGATTTAATGGAGATTTACTTCATTGGATAATAATGTCATCTATTATAATAGTTGTGTATTCTTCTCTTGTAGATTCAACAACACTTCACATAAAGATTTCTTGATCTTTGTTTGATCGAATTAATGAAATATAGGATGAATATTAGCTCTGATTTAAGTAATCCTTTCATTACCCTAAACAATAAATTATTCACAATAACTCCATTAAACAAATGATACATGCTCTATGAAAAATTGATTCAATAAAGCAATGGCATTATTAATTAAAGTGCGCGATCTATTTTCCTATTCAAAATGTTTATCTAATTCAATCAGCAACTCAATCATTCTTTTTGCTATATTGAAGAAGCGGCCAAATTATTTGAATAAGGAAGCCAAATAACAATCAGCTTTCAAATTAAGTGTCTTTTCCAAAAAGTCACTAAACTCATCCACACGTAGAATTTACATCTTTATTTTATATTAATATTATAAATGTTAGACTGATTATAAGAAAATTAAGCAATTCATTTACTATTAATCTAATATATATCTATATAAGTTAAGACGCAAAATACTATAAGTTATGATAGCATTACTATCTTTCTCATACAATCATAAGATATTTAATTATAAATTAATATTCTAAAGCACAGATCATTAAATTAAAAATACTATAATTAATAAAAAGAACTATATTTAATGAATATATTTATCAACACCAATATTCATAACTAAATTATTTAATCAATAAAAATTTTATCATGAGAAATTACGTTTAGTAATCATCTAAAGAGATGGAAAATAGACATTTATCACCCTATTATTAGAAGATTTATTTTTATTCTTTTTTAGAGATGTACTACATGATCTTTACTTTTGACTTTATTGTTTTTCTTTTTACTTGTTTATTAATTTGAGTAGATTATTCTGTTTATAATTTGATTTCTCTATTGATTTAGGAGAATTTTCAATTTTATCACATTTAGTTTCACATGATTCAGAAAATTGAATCGAATCCGAGAAAACCAGTTTTTTTATTGAAGATCTTACATGCCAATCTAAACCATACAATCTACAGGAGTCCTTTAGAAATCTGTTTCTGGTTATTAATTGTTTTTGAAATATTTCTTTGTTTTATATTAACGAATTGTTATTAACATTACTTTAACTGATACTACTATCTTTAATTTATTTATCAATTGATAATAAACTTGGTATATATTCTGTTCTATCAGATTCTAATCGATTAAGTTTCTTTAATTGCTTAATTATAGTCCCATTTAGATTGCTAGTTAGTTTATTAGAGGATGGAAGAGAACATCGATCACTTTTAGGAGACTATTAAGATTTTGATGGAATTAACAGATGCAGAGTCTCTTGAAATTTCTGTTTGATTAGATTTGATGTCATATTTAATGATGATTTCTTATTTAGAATGATATTCCTATATTATTTCCATTTTTTGGATGGACTTGATGTACATGGCCGATTTTAATAGGTTAATAAATGTGTCTATTATTCATTTCTTATATAATATATAGGATTTTAATGTCTATTTGCTTTATGCTATTCTTTTTTCTATTTCTTACCAGTTATACTTCTATCATAGTCTCTAAACCAAAATTCTTTTGGCAATGATTATGCTCCACTCAGAGTACCATTAGAATTCTTTCTTTTTGGTTTAATTTCATTAGCTGATTAAAATAAGTTCTTTTTTGTAAGGTGATTGATTGGTGTCTAAAAATTAAAGAAGGAGTGGCCCTATATTGTATTTAATTTATACATAATTTTTTAATTGGATTTAAATATAAAATAATTTTAATTTGATAACAACTTAGAAATTACTAGTGTTTGTCAAGTTTAATTGAAGAGGAAATTGCCATTATATCTACATCTACATTATTATCATTTATAATTTAATTATTTTTAATTTATTAGAAATTAAAACTAATTCAAAGTAAAGGCAATTTCATTTATTAATTATTTATTTAATGAATAAGCAAAGAGTACTTATTAAATATATAAGGAATAAAGGATAAGTGTAAATTTAATTAAAGATTTTATTAATAGGGGTTATTAATAGAGATTAAGGAGATATTATCTCTATTTATCACAATGAAATTGACCACTATAATTTAGACATAAAGATCAATAGTATTGATGAATCCTGCTCTTTATTTTGATGATAAACAAATTGCAAACGAAGAACATAAGAAAAATTAATATAAATTTTAATGTCCATTCATAAAGAACCAATTATGAAATGTAAAAATCATAGAGTACATAATACTAAAGTTGGATACTGCAAAATCTTATTAAATAAGAAAGTATATAACTAAATGGATATGAATTTTATATAATTAATATTGAAGCTTTCATAAAACATTATATCAATATTAATTAAAATTAATTGAAAATCTTGAACATTTTGATGTATTAATTTAGATTATATTAATTCAAATATTAACTTCAAAATGTAAAAGCGATTCAAAAATTAAGAATGATTAAAGGAAGATATTACTTGAATTCTCTGGGAAAAAGGAGTAACAAAGGCTGATCTGAAAATTAAGTCAATGAGCTTTTGGTATTGCACCTATATCAATTAAGGAGGGTTGTAGATTAAACAAAAGATCATCAGAGAAAGTTGATTAACATTAGTAAAGAAAGACTTCTTTGGCTATAGCTGAAAATAAATAACAGTATAATTTTATACATTATCTACCAATCTTAAAATATTGTGAGAAAAAACAATAAGTATTATAAAGAGGAAGAAAAATTACATAATGAATGTGCACAATTACTCAAAAAATTGATATAACCAATTTATGATTCAATCATATATCACTTTTGAATATCTTTTTTTCTGTATGTTATTTTTCATTTATAAAAGTTAGCTTTTAAAGTAGTAATCAATCTTCTTATGATAATGTAAAATACAAATAGTACTTAAATTATGATGTTGTTGAATAATTTTATCCAACAGAATGGAGGTTGAATCAAACTCATCTACAAATATATAAAGGCATTATTATTCAAATATAATAATGTTATCTATATGAATAAGATCAATCGACAATATTTAATCATAGGCATTCATGATGTTATTTAAAATATATATTTACAAAAGAGATTAATATTATAAATGGGACTGTGTCTCTCAAAGTAGGAAGCAGAATAGCATACAACGTTATCATAGGAAAAATTCTAATAAGAGGATGAACTTGATGGGATTCAGGTTGAACAGATTAGATTAAGTGATGAGGAGAAAGTATCACTTAAGGGATTTTGAGTTTCTTAAAGTATGAATTCTCTAGACAAGGTTCTTGGAAGAGGTGGTTATGGAAAGGTAGTCTTAGTTAATCACAAGGGTCAATCTAAATTATATGCTATGAAAATTTTAAGAAAAGATCTTATACAATAAATGAATTCTCGAATTTATATGGAAACAGAGAGAAATATCTTGGCTTTGGTTAAGTGTCCTTTTATAGTGAATTTATATTATGCATTCTAAACAAAACAGAAATTGTATTTTGTTATTGATTTCATGATAGGAGGTACTGTTTATTATTATTCAAAAGGAGAGCTATTTTACCATTTGAAGAGAATAGGCAAAATGGAAGAATCATGGGCCAAATTCTATTGTGCTGAAATCATCCTGGCTATAGAATATCTCCATAGTTAGAATATTATCTATAGAGACTTAAAGCCTGAAAATATATTGTTGGATCAAGAAGGACACATCAAAGTCACTGATTTCGGTCTCTGCAAAGTTGATATTAAAGAGGGAGATTTCACTACTACTATTTGTGGGACCTATGATTACATGGCTCCAGAAATATATTTGAAAAAAGTACATCTACTCATATATAGATATTAGGGTCACAACCAAAGTGCTGATTGGTATTCCTTAGGAATCCTGTTGTATGTGATGTTGCAAGGCATCCCACCTTTCTATTCCCAGAATAAAAGATAAATGATTCGTAGTAGATTGGAGAGACAAATTGAAATCAAGACTCCCATCTCAGAGGAAGCAACAGATCTTATTAAACAATTATTAAAGAATAATGTAAGTATTTATATAATAAATTTCAAAGCCCAAAGATAGATTAGGATCGGATGGATCTAATGAGGTGAAATCGCATCCATTCTTCAATGGAATTGATTGGAATGATGTTATGGATAAGAAGGTTGCACCTCCATTCAAACCTAAATTGTTTGGAGATCGAGATCTTAGAAATTTTGACGTTGTATCATTTATTCAATTTATGAATTTACATCTAGACATTTACATAGGAGGCTGTGTAAGACACTCCTATGCAATCTATGATTCAAGAGGAGAACTACGAAAAGTTTTCTTATCAAGAACCAGAATTGTTTGTGACTATGAATGAAGGTTTCTCGCTTAATAAATGATAATAAAATATTGTATATTTCAATAAGAAATCAATTATAGTATTATTTAATCAATAATAAAATGATTAAATGATTTAAGATAATTTTAATTTAACATTTTAAGACTACTCAATATTTCAAGTAAAAAACAAGAGAAAAATCAAAGCACAAAGAGTTCCAAAAAGTATTAGAATTGTACAGATCTGACTTTATTCTAGAATTGCATATTGACCAATTATACCATTAGTTTTTAGTAAATCACGCAATTTTGATTAAACGAAATTCAGCTTCTTTTCAGTTTTACCTATGTCTACACCTAACTTTGTAATCTTACTAAATATAATTGAGGTTGCACTTACTTTTCTTATTCGTTAATTTCATCTTTAATATTTACAACACTATTTTATATTCTATTGGCAGCATCATTTATGTCATTAATAATATCTTCTTGGATATTCAAAACATATTAATTGTATTACATTTATAATAACAATGAAAATTTTGTGTTAATTGTTGAAAATAATTCAACTTCTGTTTGATTCTGTAATAATTTCTTTTTAAATATTTAATATAAAATAATATTCAGTGCTTTTTCTTTGTAAAAGCAGCAATAATTTCTTTTAATATTTAAATTTTAGCATTTTGAGACAGTGACTTAATTTACAAGTCATCCCCTAATTCTAATTTTTGCAAAGATTCCAGAAAGAAATCTTCAATTTATGTTCTTTAATCTAAGATGACTTAAGCAAGTTCCTTCATTTAATTAATTTCTTTTTATTTGATGCTTAGTTACTCTTGAAATGACTGATGTTTTTTTGATATGGTTTCTTCTAATTTTGCATTCTGGTCTTACAATTATTGCAATTGGATTTTAAGCATTTTATTTTCATCTTTAAGTTTATTGTTTTCTTTTTCAGATTGTAATTTATTGACTAGAGTGGTCTGATCATTAGAAGATTTTCTATTAGATTATTAAATTTAGGATTATAATTCCTCTTTTTATTTAGTGAGTTATTTCAATTCCTGTTGCAATTTGATAATTTAATTATCTTTCATTTGAATAGCCATATCATGTTCTTCTTACAATTCTAAATGATGAAAGTGTATAATTACTATTCTTTGCAATTTGAAATCTCTCACTCATTTGAACTATTTCAGACTCGTAATCTGATTGGATTTTGTCAATGTGGGATCTCAAATCTACAATTTATTTTAGATAATTATTTTTCTCCATCTACCATTGTTCTTGGGGTTAAGATTGAAAGTTTAATAAATCTTTATTGACAAGTGTTAAATTGGAGACTACTTTATCAACAAAATCACATTGCAACTAAAGAGCCTATTCGATTTCTTCATATTGATGCTATTACTATGTCTAATTAAATGATTAATTATTCATTTTATAAAATTCAGATTTTATGTACTACTATATTCCCAATTAGTCAATTTAGGCACACTAAATCTACAATACTGTCTCAGATTTTGCTTCCATCCACTGCTAAAGGGTGATCCTAACTATTATGGAAAATCTTTGAGATATGAAATCCTTCTCCAACTCTTATATTCCCAAGTGGTCATATTCTTACAAGTCAACAAAGAATGAAATAAAAATAAGCTCAGAACCATCAACCCCATTGATATTGTTACCAATAGACTGATCACTACTAATACTGAAAATGCTCCACTATATTAAGAGAAGTCAAGGTGTGGAAAAGCCTAAATATGACCAATAATACTTACTTCTCTCATTACATATATGATTTCTTGGATCTAGAAAAGTAGAAACCAATAAAATACACATCTATTCCTTTCTCCAACGCAATTGCTAGTCTTTTAAATATAGTTATATATATTAATACCCATGGACAATGATGATCATATAATGCCACACATCTATTACATCTTCGACAATGTTTGGATCTGATGATTTGATCTTGATTGCAGATGGGACAATATCTCTTTTCAATGAACATGCTATTCCCATGATGAACACTTTGATCAATGTTCTTATCATTATTCGCAGATTTAGGCGATTATTGATGTTCAATTTATTCAACTATAATTTCCTATTAAAAGTGAGATTGAGGATCAGTTTGTGTGTTAGCATTATTATTATTTATGTCAGGCTTCGTACTCCCTTATGAAAGCACTAATGAGGTTGGAACATTATTTGAATGAGGACATTCCGATTATGAAACACCCTTAGAAGGAGTCATAGATTTCTTCGGAGTCCTCTCGTTATCTGCATCATTATTCTCAATATTTTGTATTTCGTTATCAGGGATATTTTATTCATCTATTGAAGCCTCGCAGACAATTTCAAAATCTTCTTTATTCCTATTATAATAATACGAATTTCCAATACTTTGGATTCTTTTTAGCTGATTCAACAACTTTCAAATCTATTCGTTCTTCTGCTACTTGCTCCTTTGTTCTCAATTAAAAATTGCCTGGAAGTGGATGAAATTATTATCTCTTCTTTTAATATGGATTCGAACTATCTGTGTATTGATAATCATTTATGGTAACAAATCCTGGCTTATCATATCATTATTATTTACATCCTTGAAAGCAGTGAACCCATAGAATATTAAAGTAAGCATTATCATCAAATACAGATAATAAGTTCCTAAATTCTAACTTTAGAATAGGTTATCATCTACAATACTAAAAATGCTTAGTAAATAGATTTGCATAAATCCATAGAATATTGGTGCTCAAAGATTCAATTAAATCATACCTAATTTAAACATCAATCTACTTTAATATTAATTAATATAATAACCTTTTTTATATTTCTTATTGTTAAATTAAATTAAAGTATAAATAAGTTATTAATTAATAATAAATAGTATTATTTTAAATAAATAAAAAAAGGGTTGTCAACACGAGGACTTCCCAAGCGGTCCCCCACCTTAGTACTAACCTCGCCTTAAGTCGCTTAACTTCGGAGTTCGAATGGGATCCGGTGCTTTAGACTTAGTATGGCCGACAACGATATTTACTATATCCTTTATTATTTATATCCTGGGTTTTATTACGTTATAAAATATACTCATTTTTGATCCTTGAATTACGTTTCAGTTTTGCATTTTTAATATTTGCTAATATTCGCATGTATTTTAACATTGGGAGTTGATTCATTGATTGAATCCTTTTACATTGAATTTATTGATTCTTTATGAACAATAACAGTATTCTCTGGATGGTTCAGCAATTATAATGTTTCATTCACAGGTGCTAAATGGATTTTCATCATCAGATTCATTTATTCTATGTTTTTTCTTAGTGTTATATTATCCAATTTAACCTCTTGCACAGACTTTAATAAATTATGATATTTAATCATTTATTTCTACTGAAATTGTAAATCCTAATATGATCATGATTAATACCAGAAATCCAATCTTCTATTGAGATCTCAATAACTGATTTTCCTGTTTTAATTCTTGTATGGTCTACTCCATCTATTTGATCTATTGAATAAGGTAGTAGACATAGGATGTGTCAGATTAGGCTTGTTGTGGTTTATTTGTTAATGGCTTGGAAAAGGAGAGAGAAGTTGATAGATGGTTGGGAGATCCATGTTGTTCTAGTTATTTGCGATGGGACTTTACAGGAGAAGGTTCTTGTTTGAAGAAGTTGTGTTAGAAGTGATGGACGCTTTTGTTTTGATTCAATAAGTAGGGTTTTAGATCGCTCATATTTTGTAAATAAATTTATTATATAATTATACTCTCGATGAAAGCAGAAAAAAATACAAAAATTGTAAATTCAAAATTGATCCAAATCGAGCACCAAAAGGCTTGATTTAACTATTGGATCGATTTGGTTTTCTAGTAATTCATCAACACTTTCGATTGGTTCTTCGTAATGGATGAGAACCAATGTTCGAAAACCTCGAAATGATTGCTTTGAGGATTTTCTATGCGGGAACTTATTGCATCGGTTGCCTGGATATTGTTCATTGGATTTACATTGATTTCGGAACGAGAAGTTTAAGTTTTTACATACACCGCAGATCCAATCACCAACTCTTTGTCTTCTCTTTACTATGTAGGGAGAACTATTCATATATTTTATTATTTGAAATTCAAAAATTAATAACGATATATGAAATTAGAAATCTTATAAATTATTATAAATAATCGATTGTAATATATTTATTATATGTTTCGGATCCAAGGGACAAAGAATTCAGATTGTAAAGATAGGTACAATTACTCATAACAATTAAGTCTTTTACTTATAGTAAATAATTTGAATTTGATGTAATTAATTAATTATAATGAATTAATAATAATCTCAAAGTTCGACTCCTAGGCGAAATAATTCAGAATTCAGTATTGATGCCCAACCTGTAGAATCTGAATCAACTATGAATTTACAGATAGCCTACAGCTGGCTGACCATAGTAAGAGCTATTCTAATTAGGCTCTCTTGATAGTTATATTGTTTAATTGTTTCTTGACCTTGTTACTTTCATCATTCGCATTTAATTTGAGCTTCAGGATTCCAATTCTATTTCTAAGCATAGGACACCTGTTGTATTTGATTAAGATATGCATTTCATACCATAAGATGTACAATATATTCATTATAGTCAGAGCAACAAACCAGGAATGTTGTTTCGAGTTGATGTGGGGTATCGGATTAATCTCGTATTATGTATGTTTGATTAATAAGATCAGAGTTGCTTGATATATTTTGTTGATAACAATGACCTTCAAATGTAATACTTGGCTATGTTTTTGGTATTGATGACCATCATATGGGTGATTAAATCCATCTTTTAGTAATATAGGAGAAACACCCAAGATCATCAACAGAAATTGGTATCAATGTCAATAAATAAGATAGATTATAGTCTTGATTAGATTTTGTTTTGTAGCACAATTGATGTTCATAAATCTGAAACTGATTGATTGGTTGTCTGCCAGATGGATCTATACCTTCTCTATTTTTTGGTTGTTCTTACTCATCGTCATCATGATGCAATTAGGTTTCCTGTTTAAATTGTCTATCATAATAAATCAATATTTCAATAGCACTGCAGATTAAAAACCCATATTGATAGTCCAAATCGTTGGGTACATATGGACAAATTTGATAATTTTCGGCTTTTGCGGAGTACCTTCATATGCTCTCTACAAATTGAGTTTTTATTTAGAATAAAATATGGACCATGATTACGTGCTTGCAATAATTATTAGTGTATTCTATACTCTCATATTTATGGTCTACACCATCTACCATAAAGACATGCTATCAACATTCATTTTGAGAATCTTAGAGTTACAAATTTAACAGTAAACAGTAAGAGAACCTGACATCATAAGCTTCCCAAGTTCAAGAAATCAAAAGAAGTTTGTTAATACATTTAGAGATAATATCCTAAATGATTTTCCAAAACAACTAATCAAAATCTCTAGCACTTACTACCTCCCAGAAGATCAAAGAAACCAAACTGAAATTAACTCTGCTGGTCTTAATAATAAAAGTCCAACTCTAACTGATGTAGCCCAACATGATGGAACACTGAAACAATGTTTTAATTGTTTTCAATAATAAAGTTGTACTGTGTACATCCCATGTGGTCATGGAGGAGTCTGTTCCAAATGTGCTTTTGATTGGTTCCAAGAACGAAAAGAATGCTTGATCTGTAGAAGTGTAAGACAATATATAAATGATTAATTAGCAAATCTAAGCAATCTTGAAAATCGTCTAGACAGATGATCAAAGAGTCAAAGTCGTAGATATAATTGCATTGAATTGATTTGTTACTCATTTATTTAATTTATGAAACAGCCCATTCTTAATGAAGGGTCTAAACACCTTAAAAATCTAGTAAATCAGGAAGAATTCAGCAGAGATCCAGATATATTTCTTATAATTATGGAGACAATTAAGGAGCAAGACATGGATAGTCCATAAAACAGAGGTTTAAGTATTTCATGACAAATTTTCTATATATATGATGGGATACATCTATGTATTATAAAATTATTTAATTGCTAGGATGAAGATAGATATAAGGAATTACTTTTTGTTAATCAAACTCACAAATCTTAATTATGGATGATATGTATAATTATTATAAGATAATTACTAATTAAAACAATAATTTAATTGCATGAGTCAATAATATAAGTTCATATTTGAAACGCTCGATCATATCTCTTCAACTTCTAAATATCAATATGAACCCATTCTTTGATTAGAAGCAAATTAAATAAGACTTAACTATAATTTAATGTAAAGTTTGTCTTGACTGAAAACCTAAGTTAATATTGATATATAATAATTAATAACTACATTAAGACTTATAATTAATATTCTGAAACTGAGTAATTAGATTTCAGATCGATTAATAGAATCCTTTTGTCATAATGTAGACCTAAATAATTGCATTGGGAGTTGAAAGAAGAGGTGAATTAATAGGTTATATGGAGATCTGAGGTGAAAAACAAAGAAGTTGTAATATGCTTAAATAAATTTGGGATTATTAAATTTAAATGGAAATTATTGATTAAGAGTCTCGCCTCCTAAGTCAACGCATCCTTAATGAATTTCATATAAATGAAATACGAAATAATTTCATTAGCATTCTAGGAATCAACAAAACTCATTTTGGGTAATACCTCTAAAAACTATCTAAAGAATTGTCGATTTCACCAATCTTATTTATACATTGGCTGAGAATAATCAGGTCTCATAATCTACTATCCAAGAATGTTTTAACATCTTCGACGAAAACAAAGACGGCAAACTTGATTGGAATGAATATTTGAAGTTGTTTGTAGAATACATGAAGAAAGTCTAATGTCTAACATACTTGAAATCTTTGTCCTCCTTAGAAGAATAGAGCTAGTACTTCATTTATATTAAATCCCTAGATATCTCCAATAATTATAAATAGCCTTTTTGGCCTCTCCATTCAAATAACTGTTCACCACTTAAAATTTGCAATCAGTTGAACATATTTTAGCATCCTTTGAAAATCGATCCTCAAATAAACACATCAAAAAATACTATTTCATCTGCAGAGATTCTTTTGAACCCTCCTTAAATCAATTTCATTAAGACCACATTATATTTTAAGACTTTAATATTTTGCCAGCGTAAATCATTTAAGTTCTCAAAGGAGTACTATTATAAAGATTACCCCACGTAAAAATTAATAAAATAGAATATGTGAATAAATTGATTGCCTAGATCATAAACAATGGATATTGTGATCATCTATTCAAATTGCTCCTGGTTGATGATGACAAAGATCAAGTTCTTTAAGACGAAAAAGATTAAAATCAAATTCTAGGATTACAAGCACTTACGTTAATTGCAGCCACCATTCACATCTACGAAATCCAAATACTCATCCCTATATAGAGTGTCCTACTAGTAGATACAATATTAAATATCATTTCTGAGACTCAAAATGATCTCGTCATTGAATAAGGTTACATCCTACTAGGACATCTAATTCTATATGATAAAACCTACCAACAAATATTGTTTACTAAACGACAAGCCCTTCTTGATGTTTAGCTTATTGATGATGAAAAACTATTTTACCACAGCTGGTTCATTGGATGTCTCTTCTCCAGATATGATAATCATCAGGCCAGTAAGTTTATGACTTTGATGAATACCCTACCAGATAACTTACTTTGGCTCCAGAGTATCCTCAATTACTATCAACATTATGGATTAATTTAATCAATCGAAAACAACTAAATCAGAATTCAAATCCAGATTAATATGCTCATTAACATCTAACCATTATTGGCCACCTAAATACACTAAGATGTTCTTCTAGCACTATTGTCATAATTATAAAATTAAGCCACAGACAACAGATTCAAAATGTAGATCTTAAGTACTCTAAAAAAGGTATTTAAATTGCCTTACCAATTGAATTATCAAAACTTTACTGCCTAAAACATCCTCTTATCAAACAATCTATTGAATATTTTAATGTAACTTATAACAGATCCTAATTCATAATTGAGTTATAAAGCTAAGAAACTATTTTTTAAGACTTTGTGCCTTGAGAATTCTGGAATACTTCTAAAATACTTATAAGAATCTAATAATTTGTAATCATTCCTATATGTTCTTGAAAGTCAGTTTGTATAAAATGTAGATGCTAACTTTTAGAAATATTTCAAATATAAGATTCTCACTATCTTAAGATTAATGAGTCAAGATAGCAACACATTCTAAATCATATCCACTGATCAATGGTTCTTTAAAATACTCATCAAAGCACTTAACGATAATAATCAAACCTTTACTGCAAATAATTAGGTAATGATTAATTGTCAATATGATTATCTTGTTATTAATGAAATTACAGAATATTGTATTACTTTTAATCTTCATTTTTAACCAATGTTCAGATAAAAACCTTAATTGTCATATCAAACTTTAGAGATGATTTATAAAATACTTCCAAATTAATAGGCGATCAATGAAATCAAATAATACTTTGTTATGCTTCTAGAGAACATAGACAAATATCAACCATTGATTTTAAAGAAATATTTGAAATCTTTATACTAGTCTGTTTGTGAGATCGTAAATTAACTTACTATTTTGACCTTAACATTGAATGAGCTAATTAAGAATAATTAAGTCTTTCATAATAATTTCATCTCTTTCTTAAAATTCTTGACGAATGAACTTGCTGTATTTTAGGAGTACTTAACAACCAAAAAGGAAGTTATCGATGACACCTTATTAATCATAGGCACAGAAGCCACGTATGATGGGTGTGTGGTTACAACAGTTTATTTAAATACATATTAGAACTCCTCAAAATGCAAGATAGTGTTGAAGCCTTAACTCACCTTATTAGAATTTGAAAAGCATGTAGAACAAGGCTTATAAACATCTGGACCTCTTTTGTACTTGGTGATCAATTAGAATCATCCTAATAAAATACCTTATGATGATTTTTCAATCATAGATGAATTATACTTCAGGAAATTCAAAGAGCTTTCAGATTAATTTATAGAAACCTAATTTGGAAGCATCAAGGTATCTTAGGAAGTTATAGCTGTTGAACTCTATAGATTAAAGATGGAAGATTATTCTATGAAAAAGATATATGAGATCTTGAACAAAGGATCATCCTACATATAATTCAAATAAATTCAAGACAACCAGATGTTGTGGTTTTTGGAGAATAATTCAGGTATGTATTCAAATATCATTAAATAGACACTAAAGACAAAGGATAGTAATTATAATAAATATTTCAATTAACAAAATTGCCCTACACTTATATTGAGAATCTATTCAATGTAAATTCATCATAATATCATTATTAGTCCATTAATCAATTTTTTGATAAGAATAATATTCAACAATAATATCGACAAATACTTCAAGATGACTTTAAGGATTACTTAAAAGATATGAAGATTCCACATTTGTTAGGTGTTAAAATAGCCACATTTTTATCAAGGAATGGACTGAAAAATCCAGTTGACTTTCAAGATTTTATTTGTTTTGTTTCTTTATTTTATTAATAGAGGTAATTTTATTGATTTATTAAAAATTACAGTTTTAGCGAAACCATTATAATGAAGTTCACTTATCTGTTGTATGCTAACAAGGATGGAAAATTTGGTAAGGATCAATTGTGTGAATATTTGCAAACGATATTTGTAATTAGTATATTAAACTTTAGGATATTCAAAATTAAGTCATTAATGAATAATAAATTAATGAATGGGGATCAAATTTATTTTTGAAAATTGATTAAAACCAAGATGGTTATATTTCATTTTATGAATACCATGCTCTGTTAAAAGAGGAGTAATATAGAGCTAAACTCTTGGATCCAATTTGTGCACTGTTTACAAATTTACCATTTCAAACTACATCTAATCGCTTCATTTTTGGAACACCCATAAAATTATTTAGAAGTTGAAAATAATAAACGCATGATATTTTTTTCATTAACATTTTTAAATTATCATCTTTCATATTTTCAGTTGATCCCTTAGAGATTAGAAACAAAAATCTTACGCAGATAACCAAATTTATATAAAATTATATTTTAATATTTAATTCAGATGTTTCAAAGACCAGAATTAAGTAATTTATGATAATCTCAGGTATTCTCCTGATTCGGTAACCCTCCTCTAATAGACTCTATTAAGCACAGGTTTATGATGGATAGATATAAATATACATCAAAGAAAAAGCTTTGATATTTTATACTTTGCAGGTGTTACTGTATTAAACCTAGTTTTTTTATGATATTCCACTTATGCCAAATGCATTTACAATTATTTAGATTGCTAATAAATTATTGCATAGTTGCACTATTTAATGTTTCTATATGGCTTTGGAGGAGACCATTTGATCAATCTGTTTATAAATAAGAGATATTGAAATAAGATCCAAAGAGTTTAGGGATATAGCATTTTCGATAATAATTTGGTTACTGGATAAAAGAGAATGTATTTTAAAGAAGATGGAGAGAGTGGTTTAGAAATAGGTTTAGTAGATTTAGATCACTAGATCAATTATTAAATTAGTTTGAGGTGTTCTATGATGCCATTATCCTTATGGATTCTCAATTATAATTTAAATCAACTCTATTATATAAACTCATTAAAAGTAGCTAAAAATTTAAATTTATTCAAATCCTTTATTAATAAAATGAAATAAAATTCCCAATAAACTAGAACCTATTAAAAAGTTTCAAACATTAAAAAAAAGACTCTTATGAATATGGTATTCCTTTTGGGAATTAAAATAAAACATGTAATTTCTACTCTCTATCCATATCGATAGGCAGCCAAGCAATTAAATATTAAATATGCGGCAGCTAAAACTATCATCGTATGTCACAGAAACAATGTTATTAAACAAAAATTGGAGTATAAATCCTCATCAGAATGCAAGATTGTTTCTATCAATTCAAAATAGTGCAAGATTACTATAATAACAAGAGTTGGAGGAGATGCAGTCTCTTAGATCTCATTTGAATATTCCTCGAAGAAAGGAGCATGAGATTCATATATTAAATATTATATATTACTATCCTATAGCGTAGGACTAACCCCAAAGGAAATTTCTTCAACATGTCAGAGTATGATTAATAATCAAAGAAAAGAATTGATTAATTTGATGTGCAATTGGAAAACTCCTTCTCGTACAGTTTGAAATGATTGCAATCCCAAATCTTTCCCATACTGAGAAGTAATTGAAAATGCACCAATTGCAATAAATTGCTTTTAGTACTATTTTTGAAATATTATACAATAAATGAAATTTAATTTCTTTTACACAAAAGAAGACTTTAAAAATATAAAAGCTATGAAGAAATGTGATATTAGAGTTAGTGCTGTTTTCTTATACCTCAACAGTATTCAATCCTATTGAATCATTAATAATTTAACAGTAATATTTACTACAACTTATTTATAATATAATCACTCAAATACTAATATAGTGCCTGATGTCAGGAGAATTCTCTTCCCATCCAATGTAAAATGCACTATACACGAAGATAAACAATGAAAATATCCTTACTCAATGGTTATAAATTTACAAAAATTTAACGAATTGTGATACTTCAAAGTATCTGTCAATATAAAGAATATTCATTAAGGGAAGGGTTCTTGCATATGATTAAATTAAATTGGAGAATTAGTAAATATTGTTCCAATAATTTACACATTTGTTTAATTCATTTATTTATGTTTTATCACAAATTTATATAATTAATTTATTAAATATATAATCAATATTTCTTGTTCAAGCTTATAAAATGGGCATTGCAACGCAAATATATTTTTTTCATTATGCCATAGTAAAATACCACAAAAAGGACTAAATTAAAGATAAAATGAAATTATGAATTAGATAAATATAAAATGAATTTTAAATAATTATTAAATTAATAAGCGACAATAAAAACTTAGAATGAAGTAACCTTTTAGAACTCTCTACATCCTTTATAATAACTAAAAGTCATTCAATAATTATTAATTCAATATTAGAATATTTTAAATCTTGAATTTAATTAAAAATTACCAGGTGATACAAAATTAACAAACATCCAAAAATTATATTATTTTCTATTACTATAATTTTAAAAATTGTCTCTTATTCATTTTTTAATCCCTTAACCTTTAATTCAATTATTTTTGCGTAAATAGGAAGTAAGTAATTTTGCTTATATACACAATCATTTTATTAAATTTTGTTTTATATTTCATTCAATAAATAATATTCTTATATTCTGAATTAATCTTTGTAATATAATAAAATAATATATTTATTCAATGTCATTTCTATTAATTGATTTATTCAAATAATTAGAGTCATTTCCTCTGTAAGAAGCTTTATTCGAATGTATTGGCTGCATATTCTGAGTTTTAAGTTAATTTGAGATATATCCAAAATATTATCACTCATTTTGATAAAATAATATAATTAAATATGGTTCAATTCACTCCTGGATCTATCTATTATTTTGATTTGGACTTGCCTGTGGAACAAAGATATTCATAACTTTTTCCAAAGTATGCCCCATTAATAAGAAAATACTGCTAAATATGGCTGGAGACAAATCAACCATCTTAGGAACATCTAAATGATTTAAAAGTATTGAACTTGAATTGACAATTAGAAACTGTTTTAGACTCACCCTGATAAGGAATTGCTTGAATTTGTTAAATATTTTGCTAAGGAATGTGGAATTGACGAGAGGTAATGATACAATACTATAAGATAAGCATAATTTTGTACATACAATTTATGTATGATTTTGGATTTGATGACTCTTTATCAATGGGATGCACCAGCATATTGATTAATCAAGAGAAACCTTATATTGTGAGGAATCTTGATTGGGATTTCAATGATGTCATAAGGGCTTTAACTATAAATGCTATTTATATTAAAAATAAATAGGTAGTCTCCATTCACTTAGCAATAGTGTCTCAATTACTGACTCCTCACACCATGTAATGCAGTAGTATTCATATCATAGTAAACAGCAATCATATGCTATCAGTTTAAATTTCTTATGGCCTTAATACAAGGTTGAGCAATAATGGCAAAGTGTTCTATAAAATGTCCATATACCCAACATTGGAAGGTTGATTTATAGGTTGTCAGTTACCAATCACAAATATGATGATCTACAAAATGTATTAAAGGATGCAGTAGTATAGCATCACGGCTTATTGAATATTGTTGGAAACAAAAAAAATTAATGTGCAATATTTTATATTAATGATTGGTTTAACACTCAGAAATATCAATTTTAACATGAAATCAAAAGCAATGAAGACTATCTCCTATCAACAAATGGAGAGTATTTTCAATTTAGCATTGACAGATACAATGCAGCTACAGAAAACCTAAAAAAACAATAAGATTTTAGTAATCCTATGAAAATTGTAGAGAATGTGGCTTTTCAGTATCCAAATTATAATGAAACAACCATTTTAACAACAATCTTAAACTGCGAGTTAAGTTTACCATTTGATGTTTATATAAAATAATGAATTATAAAAATATGAAAATTTCTAATTTATATGTGAGAGGGTAAACTATATATATACAACTATGAAAGCATGCACCTATAAATCTATTTAAGCTAACATCATTGATAACATTCATATAATAACAACCAGCTGTTTATGATTTTTATATTCAAGGAACTATTTTGAACATTATACTAATTATTAGAAACTAAGTCAAAAATCATGATGATATTGCAGAAAGGGTAATGATAGCCAAATTAACAGCTAAATTTATTTCAATTAGAACATATTTAAGAAAGATAGTAGAATTTATAGTAATTTAGCTTTCATATTTATAAGATCAAATATTTTTGTTATCAGAGTGGTAAAATTAATAATTAACATAATTACTTATAATATTAGGAATTGGCATTAAAAATCTCTTTAAGATGCCCAATTCGTCAAGTGAAAAGTAAAAGTAGAATCAGAGATTAATTTTATTCAATTATCAATAGTAATAATAAATAATACTAATTCACCTTTGTCCAAATATGAATTATATTAATTTGAATCAGAATAATTCTCAAAAGAGGGTGTAATTGAGATTCAATTTAATATTTTAACTTTGTAAGGATGATATAAAATGAAAAAGTAAACAGGATATCCTATTAATTAATATTAGTTAAATGTGAAAGGTGGTAATCATTTAAGAATATCAAATAGAAACAATTGTCACCTAACCATTTTTATTTCCCCACAGACATAATAACTTCAAAAAAGTGTAAATTAGGTTTAGAATCCATAATTTAAACTATTGCAATTTTGGAATTCTGTTAAAATTCTCCAATTCGTAAATATCCTTTTATTTATAAAATCAGAATTAATAATTAATATTTTGTAAATAATTATAACTTATGAATTCAAATAATAATCATAGCTTCTTTCCACAATAAATAGTACTATAAAAATATGATTTAATTTTTAAAGTCAATGGTGATTTCTCTAAATTTTAGGCTAGAAAATTATTATATAATGAATTTGAGTTACTAGAATCTTGATTTTTATGAAATTAAGTTAATTATATAACTTATCACCTTATGAATGAAAAAGTATTCAATAGTAGGATGAATCAATAATATTCATCAAAAAACAGATATTACTAGTCTTGTCAAATGTCACCTATGATTTAAAAATGCTGTCAAACAATTAAAGTCAAACTATCAGAAGATTAAAGTTGATTTGTCTATAAATATCCCTTTTCTTCAAATATTGTTATATATTTAACACTATTAGAGATAAGATTCGTTGTTTATATTTATAATATAAAATTTAGAACTCATGGATTCTTGGAGATTAAATCACAGTTTAGTACTCCTCCCTAGCTGCATACAAGTTTTATCTTTGAGTTAGATGATCCAATTAATTTGTACTGGCATCTCTTTGATTCTGGAAGTTTATAAGGTTATTTTTGAATATTGGTCTTTCTGAATCTAAAAATTATATTCTTAGCTGTAGCATAGTTAATACCAAGATGCGTCGAAGCCTAAAATAAAAATAATAAAAACTTGTTTTATTTTCCAATCTTTCTAAAATACTAATTCAACTAATTACTTTTTCTTATCTGTCGGCACTTTCTTGTAAGGGCGTAACATAAGAAGACAATATTCAGTTTGTTTCATTTAAGATTTCAGGATTTTATAGCAATAAAAATTATTATGCAATTCTTGGCTGATGTTAATTTATAAATTGATAAAAAGTCTCTAATTTATTTCAATTATTGCTATCTGATTAATAAATATTATTTAAATAATATATACAATATACTCTTATTTATATGTTTGTTAGGTATTTTTAGCAGATTAAACTACATACAATAAATTTCATAAATTACTCTTTATCTAAAATAGAGACTATTATTATTACTTGTTCAAATACATATCATTCTTAATTGGTTGATTTTTGTACAAAGAGTGCTTTTCTTTAAGAAATTCAATTATGGGTTATTGCTATTATACACCCCTTAATTCTGAATAATATACTACGGATCTTACATATTTTGGGTATTATTTTAAATGTGATCTTTTTGGATTGATTACTCTCTCTTACTTTTTTAAAACTAATATTCAAAATTAAATTAGATTAGGCCAAATATTTTTTTAATCAAATGATATTATATTTATATATTAATAATATATTTTGAAATATATTGAATAACCAGGCTAAGGAATATCTTTAATATTATCAAATATATAGGCAAATAAATATACTTCAAAGATGGATTAAAAGATGAAGGGATCTAAGAGTAAAATTTAATATTTATTAAAGGAATTCATTTAATTTAAAAGAATTAGTTTTGATGGTCATTCAAAAGAATTACTGAAAATTAACATATAAGCCTATTTTGATCAAAGGAACATAGTCTATGTATCATATTAAAAGTCCCGGATAAGTCGGGCTGTTATAAAAAAATAAATTTATAATATATATATTTCAATTCGTAAAACATGGGTCCTGTGTATTTAAATTATTGTTAATAAAGAAGAATATTATGAATAGCAAGATGATAGTGGTTCATGTTATAATTTAAATTATTCTTTATGATGCCTAACTTATTCTATTATTTTACATCATATTAAGACTTAATCAAATGATAATAATGATAGCAAATAAATGAATTAGTTGCTTAAGTTGTAATAAAATATATAGTTTAATTTTAATGAGAAAGGACAGAATGTAAGTTAAAAAATAATTATGGATTTCAATTATTTCTAAATTTGGAATAAAATCACGAATAACAAAGTGATTCTTGGAGAGTAAAGGAACACAATTAAATCTATAATGCATTTTGAGTGAGGGAACAATTGAAGAGAGGAATGAATAAGATTTAAGAGTTAATTATTCAAGGATGGGGTTGAAGTTTTAATTTAACATAAATAATTTTAATTTTGAATCTAATAATTCTCTTTTTTGATTTTAATATTATGATTATATTAATTGTTATTAACAAACTTAAGTGAATGTATTTTTACAAATTTCGATTTCAAGTTGCAGTATAATAGATAGAGATTGAATTTAATTAGGAATAAAATTTAGTTAGTCATTTTGTAGTATTAAATGTGATTTTGAGTCTTGATTTTATGTAATATTTTAAAAAATCGATATGATTACTTCTGAGATTAGCGCTGCATCCAGCTAGATGAAAAGGAGAGGAGAATAGGAAGGCATTTATGAGGTTTGTTTTGATTTATGAACTAAAAAGTGTAAATATGTTTGGACCGCTGAAGATGTTGAGAAACTGAACGACCAGTACGATTGTCAATAAGGGAATTGGAAGTTGATAAGTAAATTTTTGAATGGACCAAATCCTCTTGAGTGTATGATGAAATGGCAATAATTGCATCCAGATAATGTAATATTTATTTGATTTAAGACACTTTCGAGACAATTGTGGTCTCAAGATGAAGATGAGTAATTAAAAGAGTTGGTGTAGAAGTACGGCAAGAGATGGAGCAAGATATGTACAGTGATGAATTGGAGAACTGGAAAATAAGTTCGAGAACGATATCTAAATTAACTCCAAGGACATATCAATAATGAGAAGTGGACTGAAGAGGAGGATAAAATAATCTTAAAACTCTACAAAAAATTTGGAACTAAGTGGAGCTACATCTCGACTTTCTTGCAAGGTCGGCCTGTAATGTCCTTTACATATAAAATAGGAAAATATGGTCAAGAATAGGTTCTATGCCAATTTAAAAAGGAGATATCAATCGGATCTTGAGGAATCTGACGATGATGACCAATAGGTAGATTCTTAAGATTCATTAAATATTACTAAATATAAAAAGAAAAAGAAAAATAAACATTATAAATATATTAATAGTTCGATTAAGATAAAGAAATCCTAGCTCAAAACAGTGAAATCAGACATATTTGAAAGAATGACTCGATCCAAGGAGAAGACAGAACCATAAATTAATGTAAAATAAGAAAATGTGGATATAAATGACCAACAAAACAGCCCAGCAGTTTAGTAAGTATGCATAAAAGAAGAGCAGATAGGAGTTGAAAGTTAGTAGAATCCTTAGGAATTGTTATATTAATAATAGGAGTATTAATTTTAGGCTTTCTAAAAGTTTTTATAGGAATATGGATAGCTCGGCTTATAATAACAATTAATACTTAACTAAAATCAAATTGGTATCTAACCATTGTGTCCGAGATGCTTGGGAAGTTTGAATCCCATGGGATAATTGTATACATTAGCAGATATTAGTCATATATTTAAAATGTTTTAATATCAGATGCTTATTCAATGTTAACCGAAACTAGAGATGACTAGTTAGATGTAAAATCTAAGTTAATCAAATAAGCAATATAATAATATTATATTGCAGTGACATTTGGTTTTTGAAATCCAAAAGTCCAATGAAAATGTTAAACATTATATTAATCAATAACTTAGTTGAAACATAATACAATATCATTCTTATTTGCCTTCCTTCATATCGTAAGTCTGCATGAGTTTAATTTGAGGAACTGGGAATTAAGTGAGTTTGGCTGCTTTTTCTTCATCCGTCATTCCTTATATGGAAGCTTAAACTGAAGCAATATTTTATTATCTCCATTTGGTGTATTGTTTCTACATCTCGTTGTATTCAATCAAAGCAGTTGAAAGATATCTGATATTATGTTCATTGAGGATTATGGTTTTCTTATTGTTTGGATTTCTGAATTCTATTTTCCTCTCATACATAATTCTTCTGTCCTTATCAGTACTTTAGTTTTTAGATTATTCTTCACATGCAACCAAATCTCTGAATGAGCCTTCCACTTTGACTTTCTGTTCTAATTTCATTTTCATTCTTTAAATCAACGGCAATTCTTTAGTTACAGATTTGGTGATAAATTTGGCTTTGGCTGACTCAATGTTCATCATAAATCTTGAATATTTCAAATAGATGTAATCACTCTAACTAAAAATAATTAATGATTTACCATCAATTAAGTCTCTTCCTTTCTATTCTCATAGTAACTTTGCAATCTTTTAGGTTTAGTAATTTGGAAGTATTATTTGTCAAACTAATTTTCATCAATCATTTAAATTTTATTATTTCTATGTAGATGATAGATACGATATATGAGTAAACTGATGTACACACTTCTAACAGTCTTAGACCAATGCAAAAACAATTCATAACATTGAGCTTCAAATAAGAAGTCTACAATAGCTTTCTTGAATTCCAACGGGAATATCAGATAGTTATTATAAATCAGATGCAAACTCTTGGCAATCACATAGGCATTCTCGCTCTGTGTAACTGCCACTCTCAATCCATTTAAAAAGAAAGTGTAATCAAAATTGGTGGGAATGATTTGACATTTTTGTATACATTAACTTATCAAATCCATGGCTTGAACAACTCTATCACTTGAATATATGCTGTTAATTCACATAAATAACTACTTAGTTTTATTGAATAATATCATAATAATGACATTTAATGGTCCTCCATTAGTAACAACTTAAGTGATTGCATTTATCATAGCATCTGGATAGGATTCCCTTATTTTTAATTCACATAAGAGTGCTTTCAAAATCTTACGATATCCAGGGATATCTTTCCAAGGGATGATGTCTTTTTGGATTTTTAATTAGATGTGTGAACAAAGAGCTTAAACAAAGAAGAAAAAGGTTGTGTTTCTTTTTGCTATAATCCTACGCCATTCTTCATCAGAATTCATTGATATGGCATTGATATTTAAATTAGAGGGCAAATAATTATAGAAGTAACTTTACCAATCAAATAATACAGTGATTTGTTCAGTTCTGAAATTCTCAGGATCATCTAATTAATAATCAGTGCCACGCCATTCTGACAATTCAGGATCATTAGGATTTTGAAGAGCATTAACTACTGCTTATCGAAATTCAGGAACTTTAAAAAATGAACTAGCCAAGAATTTGTCAACAAATGCCTTTTCTTTAGGAGACATAGCTTTCAAACATATCTTTTGTAATGCCATATTTAATGTATTGTACAGGAATTATTAAAAATGACAACAGATTTGATTCTTAAACTTCAATTGTTTTTTGTTCAATTATTTGCAATCATCAAAATACCCCATTGAACTTAAACTTAATTCACCCCTAGTGCATACTATCTATAATATTTCGTAATAGATCTCTCTAATATTACCTTCTATTTTATCAACAAAATTCAAGAGATTCTATGCAATTTTTATGAAAATCTCTTGTCCCTTCATCAAATCATCATAACTCTTGTAATAGAATTATCTCAATTGAGAATCTTTGTCACTCTTACTTACAGATACTAACAATTATTAAGCCGCGTTCTGCAATTCAGCCATCAATTACTGCTTTTGGGGAACTTGATTGTTTGTTGATAATTTAAACATTACCTAGCTCAATTTTTCAAACTAACTAACTACTTCACTAATTTCCTTTATACTTTAATTGGCTAGTATACCAGTTCCAATAGTGCATCCCTTCTCTGTTCTTAATCCAATCATCTATTGTTTCATATACACAGGCATCTTAATCATAAAGTCTGATTGCATCTGTCCAATCTTATTCCCTCTTTACCACAATCCCTTTGTTAAATTGCATCTATGAATACTATGATCATCCAACTATTCCTGCTGATTCTGCAACAGATAATTCAAAGCAATGTTAGATTCAGCAAACAGGATTTGTTCTATGGCTTCAACATGATAATTTAAGGATTTGACTGATTTTCTAGTTGGTGTAAGATCCTCAGTTGATTTATTTATACTCCAAACACACACCTGCAATGAAGAACTAGAGATCTCATTTATGGGTAATTCCACAATCAATCTAGGCATGTCAGTGCTCAGCCATTGTATTCTGAACAACTCATCTTAGAGGTTATTGTAGGATGCATTCCTACCTCTTATATAGGCAGGGTTATTGAATTTCTCCGAATTTTCAGACAAGAATTGCATTTTGCGAGTCACCAACTTCAAATTGAATATGTAGTGTTTCTCTTAAATGCATGTGTTCATAGTGCATATCATCTCCTATGGATTTATCTCTAGTTGGAGAATTTATGCCATAATCATATTAAACGAGATTCTTCCCTTTCCCATTTGATAGTCAAAGAATTGAGGGCCTGAAATGATGTCATACAAGGCAATTTTCAATTATGCCAATTCCTTGTCATCCTCATAGAGAAAGAAGACCAAATATTTCTCCTTCAATTACATTTCAGTTGCTTCGAGTTGCAGTGTTATTTTTCTCTTCCACTATCATTATAACTAAGCTATCTTACACCATGTTTTCCTTCTAAATCAAAATGCTTGGGAGTATCGCATTTATAATATCCACCGACATCAATTTTAAGATGGCATGACTTCGATGGGTGGCTCAATCTAATATTAAATAACTCACTATTGAATTTCATAGTTCCGATCCCAAATTTCCTACCTGTAGATTTCTGTGGTGATTTGTTTTGTGAAATTTAACTTGTACAATGACCCATCAAATTAATATGTAATTTAATAATGTTATATAAAGATAGAACGAAAAGAATTGTTTTGTGTTGCTGTCACAATTATCTCTAAAATTTAGTTTATGTCAATTGGGATAAGTTTAATTACAATAAATTTTTATAAACATTTAATTATAGTAATTATTACATTGAATTCAGTTTATTATTTTGAGATTTATGGTCAAATGCATGATTCATCTCCTAACCCGATATACTAGTTTTGTAGCCTAGTCTAATTTTAATTGGGTATCTTATGAATTTTCAGTTTTATACTATTTATTTTTAGATATAAATTTCTGTCCAATAAAACTGTAAAATAATTTACAATTTATCAGACATTCATCTATTCAGAGTGACATCAACATCTACTCCTTCCAGCAGAACATTACCACAATAATCAATCATTTATAACATAATATATTCATTGTTTTGTTACTTCCACCTTTAGGAAGTGAATGCTTCTCGAATTAACCTCCTTCCCAGCTATCTTTGATACGATCGAATAAGAAATAGCACTTTTTATGGAAGCATACTAACATCGTTTTGCTGATTTGCAAATCTTTTATTGCTTGATCACATTCTATTTGTAATAGATGATGATCGATTTCGCAGTTGCATACTTAATCTTCAATCGTTAAGCAGCCTGATTTCAAATATAGAAATTCATACATTTTTAATCTTCAACCCTTATATTAAGACTAATTCTGCTAAAAGTCTTTTGGTTTATGAAGAACTTTTGATGTATGATCTTTTACTCCTTTTGTAAACAAAATTCATTTGCCTTTGTAAAAAATCTTGAAAAATTAAATACAACAGGATTTAAGAAATGATTTGTTTTCATAGTTTAGAATCAATAAAGAATCTCGGAATCTTGGAAAAAGTCACAGAAATGTTCCACATCCATTCAGACAAATTTGAAGGGACTAACAATTCAATATGATATTTAGACTCAATGTAAGAAACGAATTTGAACATGAAAATTCCGAAAATTTCTAATTAAAGTTAATAAATATAGAACTTTTTAGTATTATAATTAAATTAGAAATGAATTATTTAACTCCTAAATAATAAAAATGGAGATAAATAGGCCCTTGCATTACTGATTTCACATATGAAAACAATATTGATTGGCCTGTCACCTCTTGTAAATGGGGACCCATCGTACAGGAATCCAAAGAATACATTCGACAAAAAGTATATTTTGCCATCAAAACAGATGGAATTTATGATGAAGTTACCAATATCTGGAAACAAACACCATGTCAATTAATCGTGGCTACAGTAGGTAAATAGCGAATGATTATTTAGACATTCCACAAGTGAAATATTCCATCAATCACCAAGTCACTTTCGTGTATCAGTAATTGCAATTATATAAAAACCCGCATCTAAAAATACGCCAAATCATCGTCCATCCAGGAGATGTCAATATCATCAAATGCAATACTACTCAAAAACTAATTGCTACCAAGAGTGACAATAGCAATGTACTTGTGTGGGATGTCACCAAACATAAAAATTAACAAAATCCCAAAGATCCACATGCAGGTATTCCTGAGATCTATTTGATGGGTCACTCTCAATAAGGTCATTCAACTGCTTTAGATTGGTCTCAAGAATACAAACTAGGAAGTGGAGGCAAGGATTGTAAAATCTTATTGTGGGATATCAATGATTATCAAACCCGTCTATCAACAAGTTCTATCTTCACAAGCAAAAGAGAATTAAACAATATTTGTGGCAATGATTCAATTAAATTAGATAAAAGAACTGTCCTGACTGGACATTAAGCAGAAGTTGTCGATATGTCCTTCAATAAATTTCAGACCGATCAATTGGTATCCTGTTGTTAAAATAGACAAATCATATGTTGGGATCAAAGAATGGATGGAGGAAAATGTTGGAGTCTAGATGAAGTACATAAAAAAGATATTCATTGTGTAAGTTGGAGTCAACATGATGAAAATTACATAGCCAGTGGTTCATTAGATGGAAGTGTGCATATTATTGACATTCGTAAACCTATTGGAATCTAAGAATATGTGAAGGAAGTTGATAACCTTTCATAAGTGTACTCCTTGTAATTCGGACCTGATCGAAATCATTTGACCATTGGAAGTGAAGAACTATTTTCAGTTAATTTTTAAACCAAAGAAACCACATTCTGCTATTTTGGTCACAAGTAAATGTCTTATTTTAATCATTATCAAGAGGGAGTATCAATGATTTTGATATTAATGAAAAAAGCCCTTGGACTTATGTAAGTACATGTCAAGAACATGAATATTTCGGTGGAGGGTGCTTACACATATATCGCTTATTAGATTTAGTTTATTTAAATGAGGAAGAAGCATATTAGTAATTAAGTAATTGAAATATAATATATATTTAATAAAAGTATTATTGTTTTGTTTATATTTTATACGATGATAAGATAAGATGTTATAATGAGATAGTTTTAATGTTTTATGGAGAATAATCAAATTCCAAGATATAAGGTATTATAAATTTATTGAGAATTTCTAATTGAATTTATAACATGATTAACAATCATTTTATACTAGATATCTATTTTATATATTATATAATCATGCATTTAGATTATTTATCTTATGAGATATTTATAACCAACATAAACTATAATATAAATTAATAATATTATATCTAGATGGACTTATATATCTTTAAGGAATCTATTTCGTGAATTAAATAGATAAAATTATAGAGTATATTATAAAATATTATCTTTGAATATATATTTGGAAAGTAACCTAATAGTCTATATTCGAGCAATTCGACTGATACGCAATTGTTTCCAACACATATTAATCAAGAATCTTTGTATAAGTTATTATTTAATATAGTAATTAATATAATTAATCATCATGTCAAATAAAACTGTATACCCTTGGGAAAAGTATTCAACAAATCCACTCATTGTAAAAGATGATGTTGGCAAGGCAAAACCAAATACCTACCCAATTCCTAATTGCGCATTTGGTACTCGAACTGTTCCTGGAAAAGAGGAAACTTTGGCAGAAGTATTGTGCCACATGTAGCATTTTGCATCAAATGAAATCAGACCAGAAAAAGATTTCAAAAAAACAAATATCATGAGTATCAAACAGAATTTGTATACTGCTAAAGATTTCTAAGAATTCAGACAGTCACATGATATCAGATTAAAGGTAGTTTAGGGTAAACCAAGAATGACTGAGACTCCTAAATTATAAGTCTTTGGTAGAAAAAATAAGTATAAAGTTAAATCTAATCTTAAGAACTCCTTCTCCAATTAAAAATGTTTTAGCCTATGATTATGGTGCAGTAGCTGAGAAAAAATAAGCAGAAGCATATACATCCAGACCATCCACTGCCAAAAGTAGGATTTCAGTAGAAACTAAATCAAGCAAACTACTCAGGGAAACTATTAAGAAGAATCACTTGATGTAATCTTAACCAGAATAATTGAAAAAATTATCTCAATTTGCTAACGTCAAACCTAAAACTAAAACTAGATATTGACTTATATTTTTATCCATCATTTGTTATTACATTCTTGTCATTAATAAATATTCAAATTTGAATTAATGAGAACAAATTTGTATTAACAGTATATTTTTTATGTGAATGAACACAAAATATCTACTCAATTTTTGAAATTACATGTGTATCACTCTATTGTTAAATGGGCTTCATAAAATACAGGATATTTAAATTATCTTGTTAATGCCACTTATTGTAGGAATTTCTTCTTCAACAATAATAATATCAATTAAATTTATATTAATTGAGCAAATCTAATTTAAATTCTTATTGAAACTATTCTATTTACTTGTTCTTAATTAATAGTTGTTAATTATACTATATTTAAAGTAAAGAACAATTTAGAAAGTGAGAAGATTGATGTTTTATCAATTTTCTATATTTTAGTCGTTGTTAATGGGGATGATATTATAAGGTTAGCATGAGGAGAAGAGGTTTGATAAAATAGAGAAGTAGAGATTAGATTATAAAAAAAGTCATGGAGTCAATTTCAATTTATTACCCAAACGTAACACTATGTTATTCAAATTTATTAATTTAGTTCTATGAATTAAAATCCTTTAACTTTGAATATGAAATTCATTATATATTTAAACTAAAAAACTATATAAATAAGTTATTAACTAATAATAATTACAATTAATAAATAGTATTATATTAAATAAATAAAAAAAGGGTTGTCAACACGAGGACTTCCCAAGCGGTCCCCCACCTTAGTACTAACCTCGCCTTAAGTCGCTTAACTTCGGAGTTCGAATGGGATCCGGTGCTTTAGACTTAGTATGGCCGACAACGATATAATAATACCTTATTGTTATTTATATCCTGGGTTTTATTGTAGTATAGTATAATATGAAATAATTAAATGAATAAAATGTCAATATCTAAATCTTTATTATATACTGAGATCAGGGAAGAATAGTTAAATAGGAGCTATGATATCATGTTCGAAAATGTAATCGTTGTGTGTCATGTCTGGTCTAATCCTTTTTACTGATTGTGCCTTAACTTTATTGGGAAGACTATGGCATAGATTAAAAACTAAAACTTGGCGAACAGAATTTCTGTGTGCTATTTATTAACAATATCATCCTCGGCACCATGTATCAAGAGCATAGGAGACTTAGCACTTTGAGCTCGTTACAAATTATCAAACTTCGTGGGGATTAGATTTGCTACCCATTCAAATGTTTTTTCTTTGATAATATCTCTAATAGAGGTAAAAGAACTAAGTGCAATAACAGCTCTGCATTGTCTTAAACTATTGATATAGAAGGCTGGCCCAGTTCCTATTGATCTTCATTTAAATTTAGCCGATACCTTCCGAAAACAATGATTTGATTATTTTTTAGTTTGTATTTGTCCTGAATATGATCAAACAATTGAAGAGCATCTTATTCAACTATAGAATCATGAGCATTAACATTTTGATAGATTCCATATCCAGGATATTCAGATAGGATGGCGTTGAATTTACAAGATTGTTAGATTTCATATATAAACTACTAAGCATAGTTTCTATGGAAATAGGGAGACTTTAATTACATATCTTCGTCCTTTGCATGAAAGTAGATCAAGTAGGTATCAGTGTTACAGAAAGGATGTTCCATAATCAAATATGGAGCATCCCTTACATGTTTTCCACCGTAATGTATTTTTGCATAATCTATACAATTTAAATAATCTTTATTTGAATACATCGGATTAGGTGCCGAAAACATCACTTTTAATACCAAGCTTTCCATCATTGTAATAAAATAATTATTATTATATTTTAGTAAATCACATAATGATTATTGTGAGATTGATTTGTGCTTGAATGTGACTATTGATTGATATAAACACAAATTCATTATAATTTTTTTTATAGATAGTAACACAATGACTTGATATCATGTTTTTACAGATACTCACTGCTCACCCATCGATTCTTTGGTATTATACCTAATGTCTTAGATTCATGAGTACCATTAGATCGCTTTTGCCACAACAAATAATACATTTTGATGCCTGTTTATTTGAGTTATGCGGCCTAACCTATTTTATCCAATTGATCTCCATATTCGAACCCTCCCTCATTTGGTAATTTGACTTCAGTATTTTTTTGAGATAATTCAGAAACAGAATCCTAGATAATCTCAGAATCCTGCTATTAATTTGATGGTTATGTTTTCTTATCTTGAGGAAGAGTCTGCATCATCTATAAGATATCTTCCTACTGTTTTTTAACTTGGTTTAATTCCTGTTTTAATTAACTCACTTAATCCTGAAGTTTCTTTATTTATTCTTATTATTATTGCAATACAGATTGTTTTTATTGACTAGGCACTCCTATGAAATCTTCTAGTTGTGGAGGTTCATCGTTCTCAAGTTGATAAAAATTGGATCCTAAATTTTTGACATTCTATTCATATTCATTCAAATATTAGGTCAAATTGGGAATCTTCTCAGGTTTTTCCCATGTACAATCTCTGTTGTTATAGCCCTACCATTTAACAAGATAGTATTTTTATCCTTGGTATTGTTTGTAATCGAGAATCTATTCTATGAAATATAAGCCCTTTTTCTTTTTGGACATTCGTTCCCTTTTATTTAAATTAAATTATAATTCTAATTTATATTTTAATTAAATTATACATAGCCACTTTATTGTAAGTCACTCATTTATTTGACCATGTCTCTCCAATCAACTTTTTAATATAATATATATTTATTATAAAATCACATCATAAAGAGATTATAATAAAAATAATCATTAATATCTTGAGTAAATATTGGGCAATGAAAAAGAGTCCTTGTCCTTCTTCATCTTCATGTATTCATCTATTTCCAAAGTCATTTCTTCCGATTTCAATTTGTACCCTTCAAAATCATCATCATTGAACACTAAACTCTTCTGAGATTACCTCTGAATCTGAGGTAAATTGTTTTTGTCCCTAATCACATTGTCCATATGATCCGATATCGACAACCCCCTCAATTCCTTTGGTTTGTTCACCTTCTTAACATTCTTCGGACTACAATTAAAATATTATATACTGACACATTGATGATAGCATCCTGATTCTTTTTCTTTTATATCGCTACCACTCCTATGACCTTGCATTGATTATTCTACGAAGTTACCGAACTCGGTGATTGCTGTAAATAATTATTGTAGATGTTCTTTGAAAATACTATTTTTTTCTTAACTGCCTTCAAAGGCGATGAATTAAATGCATTTCTCAACATATTATCTCTTTCCAAATACTCATCATACATCAACTCTTATACAATCTACTGAACAGACTTATTTGAAAATTTGTGAAGCTATTACATTTTATTATTATTTTTATAAACATTAATAAATATAAAATAGAAAGTTGTCACATTCTCTGTTTATTTATTTTATTTAACACATTATTGATGTTGTAAGCCACTTTATAATGTTGATACTCCTATATTTTATCTATTTCAGGAAAAGAATCCAATTCCTGAAAAGCTGTTTAATTGCTATCCGATTGATTCCTGAGTGCTTTGTCAGGCACTTGCAAATTTTTAATTAAAGTACTGCTTATTATGGGATCACTAACCTTGTCGGATATCAAATCAATCTATAGTATATCCTTATATATCTAACTAATCGAACTCTACTTGCCAATCTAGTCATAATGAAGTTGTTGGTTTGACACATTCAACTTATCACTTGAGTAATCTGAAAATGCTTCAAAACTATCAGAACTTTTATCACTAATATTACAGTTGCTAGTTCCCTAATTTGTAATCTATGATTCAAAGATCGACTACCTATTAATAGATGCCTGCTTTAACTCTACTGTTATTCTTCCTCTGAAACAATGCTCCTCTCTCCTAATATGTCTTATCATAAGTGAATCTTCTCTTAATATTCAAACAAGAACAATTGAATGTTGGATGAAATAGATTGCAAAAATAACATTAGATATTCAATTCCTCAGTGGTATTGTTGAAGTTGATATCATCTCTAATCATTTAATACTCTTCCTAGAGATTATAACAAATAAATAACCTTCTCTAGCTGCTTTTATAAACAACTCTGAAATTAATCCTGATTAATGTAAAAGTACAATATATCATTCATATCAATTGGTTCCAATATTAATTTCCTCTATTGTTGAGTATTCATCATTTCAATTATACAAATATTGATGATCTTCTGAGTATCAACCTTTAGGTTCAATCCCATGAAGTTCACATTGACTCTCCCAGCTAGTATTATATATACTCCATCAATTTCTGCTTAGAAATTCTTGAATATACAATTTAAATTACTTATTATTTCAAACTCAGTCCAAAGACTCCCTTAGCACTGATATCATTCAGAGCAGTTTTAGATAGAAATTTAAAGTGTCTGAGTTCCTAACTAATCAACCTCATTTTTATGTACTATAACAAAGCCTTTTTCTTTTCATTTTCTTTTGCATTCAATTGATTCTCAATTAATAAGAATATTTTTTAATAGTGAAACAAAACAATCTTAACTTTGAATTCAAGCATATTTGATTTTAAGAATAACTTATAAGTTTTTAACTCAATATCATGTTTATGCAGTTGTGATTGGCATTATGTAAATATGGTAAACAAGAAAATTATAATTATGATGTTACTAAACAGATGTGTTAGTATTAATAAATGGTTTTATTAATTTTCTAATTGATCAAATTTAAAAAATAACATCAGAAATGATTTATAAAAGTAATCTGAGTAAACTAGATCATCTTTGTTAATTGATTTTAGTTCTACTCCCCAAATACAAGTAAAGTAATGTATTTGGAATAGCAATACAACGATCATTTTAGTGATTATTATTTACCTAAAGTATAATATATTTGTATTACTAATAATTAATAAATGGGATTAAACTTAGCAACTTTTAAATAAATTTTAAATTTCTTAAGAATAGCAGGTAATATAAAATTGTAAAAGTTATAACGTTCTAAATTGTAAAGCAAAGTATATAGGTTATTAAGATTGTGATATCTAGTAATTTTATTGAGATTTTGTTTTTTTTGAGAAATTTACTTAAAATTTTGATAAATTGAGTGTGTAATTCTAGCGTCATTATAAACAAAAGAACTGGAAAATAAATGGGATCTGATTCTCTTAAAATTATAATAAATTAAATTACGTAAAGTTCTCAAAATAGAAGTAGGGTAAATAGAAGGTTAAAAAAAGGAGTAAAATGTTCGCTAGGATAATTGAAATAATTTTTGTGAACAAAAACATTTCAGATGAAAGGAGAAGATATATTGGATTCCCTGGCACACTTTGATTTTAATAGGAACAGAGATTCTCCAGATTTTTTGGAACTTGATTGTTTTCACTTTCAGAATCGCTGAATTTACTTAGCTGCATCTGAGGATTGATTTCAGAGTCTTTTCTGATTGGATTGGAGTTGAAACTTGAAGTTTAAAAGGAGGGCCAACAAACAGAAATATCATTAGATGGATATTTTAAGGGTTTGTTCATCTCTAAGTGGACACTATTTTGCATTTCTTAAATTTTTAGAAATTAATGAATTTCTTTTCGAGATTTTTCTTACAAAATTCTAAAATATAATATATTTTAGTACCCAATGGTTATTTGTGTTGATATCTTAGAGATTTGTAAATTATAGCAGTTATATGATTGAAGTATTTAATAAATAAATTATATAATGCTTGATGGTCGTGCTGCAACTTCGGGTAATTTTAACAACAAAACAACATCCGTAATTCCGTTGTCACAATTGCGAAGGATGAGGAACAGCAGTTGCGAAATCCAAGACAATCATACAATGATTGAGAAATAAGACTTGTACATTAGATATATATAAACAACTAGACATGCCAGATCCTAGGAGAGAGTCAAAAAGTGGCCATGTGCTATGAATATTAGGAGAAGGAAGAATCAATCGTAATTTGAGAGATTTGCAGAAGATGAGGAGGAACGTAGAAGAATTGAAAGGGAAGAAGCTGAATATTAACAGAAATAAAAACAAGATGTATTATTAAGAGCAAATAGATTAATTTATGAGAATAATCCTGTTATTAGATAATTTTAGTAGAAACTGTTATTTTCAGATGTTCTTCAAGAAAGGGATTCTTAACTGTAATTAAATGAGTATAAGAAGACTATAAACAAGTAAGTTATTGTCACAATCCTATTAGTGTGAGAGACAAGATTCATCATGAAGAACAGTTAGACATCATGGCCAATTACGATCAAGCAGAAAAGCTTAAAGAAGACGAATTCAAACGCAAAAAATAAGAATAAAAAAATGTACTCAAACAATAACATGATGAAATGATAAACAATCATATCAAATAAATGTAGAATGAAAAGATTGAAGGCTAATTAATCAAGGCAAGAGCATAGAAAATGATTCAAGAGGAGGAAGAAGCTGAGAAGGACAGAAAGAGGAAGAGATATGAAAACATGCTGGAAATCAAAAAAGGTAATGAGGAAATTAAAGAATACAAGTTATAATAATTACAAAAAGATAAAGAATAAGAAGAATAGATTAAATTACATGGAGAAAAGAAAGATAGGATCTTACAAATGAGAAAACAAAGAGAAGAAATCAAGTTCAAAGAGAAGCAAGAATAAAGATAAAAATTAATTGATGCTTAAATTGCCATTCTTATGAAAAAAGAGGCTGAATAATTATAATTGATGAATAAATAAATTAAAGAGGCAGAACAGAAAGATGAAGAAGCAGAAAAATAGAAATTACTAAAATAAGAAGCACAAAAGAAGAAGATTGAAGAAAGTAGAAATATTATAAAAGAATTTAAATTGAAGGATAAATTGTTGAAAAATCAAAATGACAAGGAATTTCAATAGTATTGGAAATAAAGAGGAGAGGAACTATAAAAGATAGAATAAGAAGATTAAGATAACTAAAGAAAGAGGAATTAATCGGTTAAAGAATACTAATTATAATAAATTGAACAAAAATAGGTATAAAATATTAATAAACAAATTAGAAAATTAAAGAATAATAAATACTATAAGAACTATAAGAAGATGAACAATTGAAGAGGTTATAACACAATGAAAATAAGACATTTTTTACTTGGGCAGAAAGAGCAGTTAAGGAATGGGCTGAGTAAGGAAAGAATATTCGTCCATTAATCAAAGAATTAGCTAAAATTAAAGAAATTTGATCTTTCGATTAGATTACTTATTTTTTAAATAGAATTTTTAATTATAAATAAATTAATTGGAAATTAGATTTTTAATATGTTAATAAATAGTATTATATTAAATAAATAAAAAAAGGGTTGTCAACACGAGGACTTCCCAAGCGGTCCCCCACCTTAGTACTAACCTCGCCTTAAGTCGCTTAACTTCGGAGTTCGAATGGGATCCGGTGCTTTAGACTTAGTATGGCCGACAACGATATAATAATACCTTATTGTTATTTATAACCAAGGCTTTCTTATTATATACAATAAACTATGGGATTTTTAAATACTTTTTATTTTATCAAATTCTCAAATACAATTTAAGACCATTTTACAAATATAGTGATTTCAAAGAGTAATTATATTATTTAAATAATATTTGCATTCTTTCACTTGAATTTAACTAGTCTTAGAATAGTTATATAAAGAATTGGTAGAGAGTGAAATACAACAATTAAATTACATTTAGATGTAATATTTATAAAATTATATATTAAGAATGATTGAATAACCAGACATATTTAATGATGATCAAGCATATAAAAAATTTTTGGAAATAAAAGATTAGACGGAAAGAGAAAAGAAGGCAAGAGTAGATAAAATATTGGATGACTATTGTTATAGGCAATTGAATCTACCAGCTGCTGAGTATAGAAGTTAATGGACAGATTTGATCTACAGACCATAGCACTATCCAGTTGAGCTAGTTCATCCTGAAAGAGTGCATTACACATCTTAATTTGTTGGTTTCAACCAATAATCAAACTATTAATAAAAAAGGTAGAAAGCAATGAACAAGGTTCCTCAATAAATTCAATATTATTATCCTCCTTCCAATCCATTTTTATAAAATGCACAACAATCTCTAAATTAACAATAGTTATTGCCTAGTTTAAATTTATAACAAGGGAATCTTGGCTATAATCAATAGTTAATGACTTAATCGACTCCTTAAATTGTGTATTAGAATGATCCGAAGGCTGAGTTTTTGAGGAAATGCGACAATTTATAGAATAGAATGGATTACAATATCAGAAATGTTGACAAATTTTACTAATATTATTGAAAGAAAAGTATTAATGATTAATTTATTCACACTGGTATAAAATATTTTAATATTGCATTAATGAACCTCTTTTTATAATCTCCTGGATTAACAATGGTAGGTACCTGTAAATTAGGATTAAAATTAATATGATACCATTCCTCCCTTTAATAAATACTTTAAATAATGTTCAGTTTCCTTATCCCAGGTGTAGAATCTTAAATAATCAATAATACCCATTCTGAGTTTCTTTTGCTTTTAGTCAATGATCAACAACAATGAATAATCAATAACATTTTGTTTATTGAGGAATTTGCAATCGATCTACAATAAGATTAAAGGAATACTTAGAATGCTCTGTCGTTGTATCTGTAATTTTCCTTGAGAATAGGAATAGGTTCTGAATTTCTGTCAATTCTGAAGTTAGTATCAAGAAGGACTCCTTTCTTCTTCTTTTCTAGTCTGTTGGTTTCACTTCCTTTGAGATCGTAGACCAACAAATTAGAGGGATCCCCCATTCCGAAATATAGGTTTTCCATTACTAAGAAGTATTCAGTTTGTCCTCTGTCTCTGATTTCGAACATTCCAAAGATTTTACTTAAGAGAGAAGGTTTGGATTCATAAAAGTGTCTGTACATATGTTTGAAATAATCAAGTGCAAATTGTTTAAACATCAAGAACTCTTTGTCTTATTCTAATTTTTTGAATACAAATAGCTCATCATTGGATTTGTAGAATTTGGACTGAGACTTACCTCCAGAGGCACTCCAAATATTCGTAGATGAGATGGATTTGATGAATTGTGCTAAGGTGATACCTGCTAATAATCTTAGAGCTTCGAATTAAGTGGGGAAATAGATTAACACTTCAATCCACTTTGTTTTTCGAACCTGAGTGGTTGGCACGAATTGCTATTAATTATTTAATGGCAATGACTTTTCTTATTGAGCATCATCAAATTGATAAGATAAGTTGACTTGATATTGTTATTATTATTGTTATTATTGTAATATGAGGGTATTTGATCTGTCATTCTTTTTTTCGACATCATAATTGATTTTCAAAATGAAAATGTCCCTATTGTCCTATTTCTAATATATTTATTATTGATTTAAATTGTTATTACCTAAATCAACACTCATGTATCTAATGTTTTCGACTTCCTATTTCTGTTCCTTGGGGTATAATAATTATTAGAAGAACAGTTTAGCCTGCTCAGATGATTTTTGTGTAGACTCTATCATACCAAAATCTTAGGTTAATAATGAGAGTAATTACTTTCTTTTTGATAGATCTCATTGATATATTTAGGATGATTGAGTGCGAATGATAAGTAGGATAAGGGTTGATTTTCATAAATCGGAACAAATTCCTAAAATAAAGAACATCTTTACATAAATCATCTGAGTCTTAATCAACTTTTATTATTCTGCCAGGAATGAACTTATATTCCATTCTTTTTGGAAATTGTTGATTTCAATGGCGGGTATAAAGTTGTTAGACTGACCTAAGGTCACACTATCCAGATCCTTATTGGAATCATGATGTGTTTTTTAAATGGATTATTGCAATGTTTAATTTGTATCAATTAAATTGATAATGAGTTAATTATTTTGGATTTCAGATCCATTTCTTCGATGGTTTCTAACAAATAGAGGAGACTATTGAGTGTCTAATTCAGGGGAATAATGAGGTGGTATAAGTAGATCACTCAAATCAGCCTTTCCTGAACTTGCTCTGTGATTAGATTCTTCAATATCTTGCATGGAAGCCTTTTATTGTGAAGTAAGATAATGATCCTCTAATTCTTAATTTGAATGGTACAACTTGACCTCGTTTAAATTATTACCAGAATCCACTTTCTCTAATTCATAGGTTGTTTTAATCAGATTATTATTGGTTGTTAGTATTGAATCCTAATTCTTTAAATTAACAGCTGCATTCTGTATGATATTTCTGAAATCTGGATTCAATTCTTTCTTCTTCTTGTGTTCTTAAATACTTTGCATGATATTCTTATATTGGAGTCCAAAGTCCTGGGATTGTTTGAGTACTTAAAAGATCGATGTATATTGTGTTTCAGCCAATATCTTCTCACACTCTTCCTTAAGTTATTTAATTGATTTAATCAGTAAATCAATCTCTCCCTTGGCTAATGATTTAGGTATAAGATTGATCAATGTAATTCCAAAAGTATTCAATTTAATCATCAATTCATCTCTGTGTTGTCTGATGTAACCCTACTCCCAACTCTTTAGATAATCATTTAATGAATTATCAGAGAAATTCAATAAGGTAGTCTGATAGACATCAAATTCCCCCACCATCACCTTCATCTAATACCCATAATACGAATAGACTCTTTAAACTTGAGCGTGATTGCAGGATGTCGTATTCTGATAATTATTGGTAGAGATGTTTTGAGTAAGGAACAATTATTACAAGAATCGTAAAAAGGAATACTCCAAATACTTCTAACTCAAGATGACTCTGTCTGACAATAGTTGCATGCACAGATTGCATTCGAAATATGTTTCAATCTGTATCTTTTCATTTTAATGATTCTGTTTGATTATGCTTGGTAAATCTTTCAGGAGGAATGTCCTATTCTCATCACTCTGCTAGATTTATGATTATTCCTTTTGCAGTACTATCTATTTTATTTGATTCATTTGTCCATCCACACTGAATTTGACGTATTTGCCAGCATTATAATAAATGGAAACGTGACTATTCCTTGGGAATTTGCAATATTCACATCTGAATTATAGGTTTGCGACTTTTAGTATGATAAATGCACCTATGGACATATCATCATTTGAATGATAATACGCCTTGGGTTTCTCAGTGGGCATATTGCACATATCAGCAAAAAAGTCAACCACCTTGTCTTTCTGAGGTGGAAACTCTTTTTGATAAGCCAATAGGGCATTCATATCTTTGATATCATTAAAATTATGAATGTCTGCTCTAGCATAATTAATTTTTACATAAGCTAGATCTGGTTTGATGACTTCTTTTAAATTAACCTTCTCAAATAAGAACTTTGTAAAATCACCAACACAAAAATTGAATTGTTTATTTTATCTTAATTTTTATTCGCAAAGCAGGATGTTTCTCTCCACATCAAAATGTTTGCCTAATCTCATGCAACCAACAATGCACTATTTCCATTTCTATAATAAATCTTCCTATGGTCCTGATAACATTATTGTAACTCCATTTTTACCATCCTTTGTTTCAATGAACATCAATGTATTATCCTTTCCAGCTGTATCTTATTTATCAAGTGTTGGTCTTGGAAAATTACGAAAGAAGATCTTTTCACAATTTCCAGTGACTTATGTTTCTTTTTGTATGTAGCCATCTAATTTATCTAGACGCACAAACTTAGAACCTGTGCATTTTGCTATTTTTCTTAATTAATGGATTTTCACATTCTAAACAACTGTGATGTTGAATTTACAACAAATATCTAATGCTACTTTACTGACTGATTTTTCAACTATAATAATGGTAGGTCTGAAGTTCTCTTTAATTTTCTCTATGTAATCTTAGAGTACTCTTTTTTCTTTGGTAATGAAATCATCAAATTATTGAGTCTCTTCAATGAAATCCAGATTGCCATGAATAATCAAAATGCGAGGCTTATAGAGTTCAGTTTGCATTCTTTTCAGTGCTATGTTCTTTCTGATGACAATGCCTGGAAAGTAACAAGTTAGTGAGTAGTCTTTGTATGGCAATAATTTAGTTTTTACATAGCAGGTGATATCTAGAGGATCAGAGTTTAGAGATGAAAATTAGATGTCTTCAACAGCTCTTTTAACAAATTCAAAGGTAGTGGCTTTGAGACTTTCAAAATGATTATCATGATTTTTTTGAGGTTGAATAAAGATCTTTAAACTATGATCACAAATATTTTCCATTTATGAATAACATTTTTCTTTGAGAAGCGATAATTATGATTTCAATAATTCTGATTCCTTATTTTTGTTCTATTCTTCTGGTGGGAAATAACTTTGTATACTCACCTAAATAATTTCAGGATTGAATTCTTGATCATTGTTCATATTATCCTCCTATTCTTCAGTCACTTGAGTGGTTTGTGATCTGGAGATTGTATAGGATTGATCATCCAATTTGTGTATGGATTCCCTTCTTGAAAAATTCAATTAACCTTTGTCAATAGATACACTGACTACTCTGGTTTCAAAGGTGTTTTCTAATTTGTATCCTTATGCTTTCAACAATTTTAATACTTAATCATAACAAACTCCACACAATCTTACTTTCTTCTCTGTGTTTTATGCGAAATGAAGTCCGTCTATAAAATTGGTACTACAACTATTCCATAATAAAGAGGATGTTACTCTGAACAAAAGACCAATCCACATTTCCTGCAATGATGTTTGGCTCTGAACAAATAATAGAATTGTCTATCACAATGTTCACACTTGGTCACTTTACTCTCAGGCTTCCATTTGTCTCTTGACAAGAGCACACCAGATAATTGCTAATCCATGTATAATTTGATTAATTAATTAATTATAATCCAAAATGCAGCCTTCTCATCCCTCTCCAGTTGACAAAGACAAGAAAATCAAAATCATGGATGAGTTGATCAAGACCAATCAAAAACACATTGACCATCTCAAACAAACCATCACACAATTGAAAAGAGTAATGTTGCATTCCAATTTAGCAATTACAATTTGAGTAGAAGAGAAATCAGGATCTTGATAAAGATAATGCCACCTTAAAAGATCAAATTAAAAAGCTTCTTTCTAAGCCACCCCTACATACTCAATATACGCAGACATCACACGAAATCCATAGACGAGACTCAAAACAATTGTCCACCAAAGAAGATCAATAATTCAATAGTGCCTCTAAGAACACACAGAAATCGGAGAACGATCAAGTGACTCAGAAGTAACAGATACTCAATCAGGTGTCCCCTTCAAAACAAGAAATCAAGAAAATCCAAAAACTTGATCTTAAAATTGATATTGGTTCAGCTCTTTAACGACAATAGAGTGGTCCCATCAGCAGTGTCAAAAAATCGCAAACATACTTACACGGATTAACAAATGTCAAGTTAATTGATGCAATCAAGGAGAGAATCCCAGAAAAATCTAATAGGATTGTAACATTATGGATTCATATCTTTTATAGGGTCAAATGACTGGAGATCGAAGCAGTTAAATACGAAAGTCATTGATGTTCAATTTCCAGAATAACAAATCAACCATCATTGATTGTGAACACACCGAAGAATAAGAAATACAAAAAAGTAGAAATTCAGATGGAAAATAATAATAGCTCATTGAATCAATTGAGGAATATAGAGTGGAAACTATGGAAGTCTCAGCCTTATAATAACCCGCCTACAAACTGTATGAAAAGTTTTATATCATGGGTTGTGAAAAAAAGGAATTCTTAGAATTCGATAACGATCCCAACATTAAAGAAGGTATTCTACCTGCAAATATCTTATTCAAGAGTGATTCCATTACCACGTAAATAACATTCACCTTCTTTTAGTCCTGTCTATGAAGAGATTATTAATGGGTTTGTTTATCCTTTTGGAAATCAAGTTGAGAAAATCAAGGTCAATGATTCATTTCGAAAATTAAAAGAGTAACTAAAATTCATTATTTCAGAATCATGTATTCAGGTAATAAATACGAATTATTGGACAAATTTTCCTTATTTACTATTAAAAATCAAGAAATTACTGATAATTTTTCAGAGCACACCAATCAGAATCTATTGAATCAAGCTAATCCTGAAAAGTTACTCTATGGAATTTGTTTATCTGTCTATGATTTCATTGAGACTACTCCTGATCATATCAAACTAACATTTGAAAACAGAAAAAAACGAATTTTCTGGAAATACAAGAAAACCTATTGTTTTCTGACCTACTTCCCCTTTTACGAACTATTCCAAGACTTGCTAATTTCTATCATCAGTACTCGTTATAAATTATTTTTAGATTTGATTAAAATTAACAGAACAGACCGTTACCTAAAGAAATACTCTGAAGAGTATGAAGTCTTAAAGGATGTTGATGGATAATAGATAATACTTGTACATTATATATTAATAATGAATATAGGAATTTCAAGATGAGTTGACTAAATTCCTTAATCTAATCTAAGCCATCAGACCAATGTTGGGACATCAATAATTAGAAGTCTAAACACTGGCAGGAACTCTTAAGTACAGAATCCCCAATCAATTACAATTGGATATTGAATTGAGATTGTGGAGTGCCAATGTCACCTTGTAAATTCTGAATTACAAGGAAATCTTAAACATTTTCCTAGCAATGATTTCTGAAATCTCAATCATTTTCGTGTGTGAAAAAAGCAACATCCTTACATCCATCATGTATCACATTCAACCCTAATCAGCCATTTCTTTCATCACATAGTCCGTCCCTTAGAATGGACCCAAGGAATCATTTACAATGTCCCAGAACAACTCTTAACCATGATTCAATCGCCAGTCCCAATCATTATCGGAGTCAACCTTACAGAGAGTGATTTCAATTTGATGAGTTTGGCTGATAATTGCGAAAATCACTTGTTTGTATTCTTGGATCGCGATAAAGAAAATAAATTTCTTCCCAAACCTTAAAATGTCTTAAAAGACATATCCTCTCCTTCATTTGGAGGATTGTTGCAACACATAGAGACTATTCTTAAAAATTCGAATAACATGCGCAATCCAAGGTAAATGTTGATGAGATCTTTATTACTTAGTCCAAGCATCAGACAAGTCTCCAACAAGAATGACGATAGGAAAGTGGTTAAGTTTTACTTTGATGACCAAGATCAAAGCAAAAGCAAAAAGGTTCTCGAGACTTTCAAGAAGATTATGGAAGAGTATATCATTTCTAAATTGCCACCTCAAAATGAAGATGCCATCAAAGTATATATTACAATATTCAAAATAGGTAGGTCAAGATTTGAATTTCCAATACATTGAACATTACTTAATCTAAAGATCCGATCCCAAGGATAAAAAGTTTATCTAGAATCTATTTAAGACTCAGCATTTCTAATATTTTATATAATAACATTATTGTGATTAGATTTGAGCGAAATTTAATATTTTTTATTTAATTAATTAATTAAAAAATAATTATCAATATTAAATTAAGTCAATTATGGATTTATCGGTAGAGAAACTTAAGGAAGAAAATAGGATTCTAAAATAATATGTAATATTGGAATTTAATAATAGGTAATTGAATTGAATGAAGATATAGCAGAATATAAAAAGACGAACAATAATTTGCAGATGTAATTATAAGAAATTCAAGACTCAAAGAATAAGTATTAAGACCTTAATTAATAATAACAAAAAGCGCTTGAGTAATACAAGTAACTCTTAAAAAGAGTTTCTTCGTAAATGTCATCTCAAAGTGTGTTACATCTTACATAATCTATTATTCAAAAAACATTTGGTTAATCAATATCTCAAATTGTAGCATTAAATTATTCTTAAGTCTACACTGATCAATCTGAAAGCTAAAGCGCATTTAATTAAGAGATATTTGAAGCATTCTATATATTTGGAATAGACAAAATTGATTCCACTAATTAATCCCAATATGTCGTACCCTCTAATTATAAGATATTATATTAACAATATAAACAGAGATATATTGATTAACCAAATAATGAAGAGTTTTAGAATTTTAAGGGTATTGAAAAAGATATTGAACAATTCATACACCCTTCTGGAGTTGAAGCACAAAGGATGTGCGATGAAAATATTGATTTCGAAATAAAAAAGTAATATTCAATTTAATGCAAAGGATACTCGCATAAAGAATCAAGTTCGAAAATTTTTATCTGATAAATCTTAAAGGAGATGATTTAATGAAAAATCCTTTAAATATTAAAATACTTCAGTCATTTAATCATGAAAGATAATTATATGGTTATTGTACAGCTATCGATGATTTTTTGAGGTAAACTGATAAAAATGGTTAAGTTATTTATTGGAAAGTTAAGAAGGTTCTATGTTTTATAACATACTTTCCAATTTAAAGTGTATTTTATGAGTTGTTTGAATAAATTCTATGTAATTATAATTATATTGTTAGTTATAATAAAATAATGGCGATACTATGTGATGAAGAAGGATGAAGATTTGATAAACCAAATTGATGGAGTAAAAATAGTAAATGTAATAATAATAATATTTCAAAGGACACGGCTTAATTATTAAATAAGATAATCTAAAAATTATCAAAGTAGTCGATCAAAAAGTATGGCGATGATATAGATGTCAATTTTTCAAGTATTGTGGAAGGTTTATTGCCAACAGATTTTATTTAAGAATTGCAGGCAACATTTAAACTTTCTAAATTTAGATACAAAGTACCTGATCAAAAAAGTTTGTATTTTGAAATTAAAAAGTTGGAAACACATATTGTTCTTTAATTATTTAAATTAGAATAATTTTTCATGGTTTTTGAAGAAATTCTTAAAGAAGGAAGGATAGTATTTTGTTGTCAAAATTAACACTTATTGACTGCTGTTGTATCATTTTTCTATACTATTTTAAAACCATTTAAATGGCTTCATCAAGTAATATACAATTTGAAAATTGAATCAGTAATTGTTGAATAATTTGATGTACCTATTCTTATTGGTGTTAATATGCCCTATTCAAACTTGAGGTTCAACTAGAAGGTAATTATGATAAATAAATAATCATCCGTATTGTATGTAGATATCAATGACAACCTATAACTAGTTAATATAATTGAGTATAAACGTAAAGTAAAACATTAATGTTGGGATTCTCAAAAAAAGTAGCTGGCTAAATATTTTATAGAAAATTAAAAGAGTATTGGAGGATAGATTGCCTTTACTCCGAATTAATAGGATGAGGAAAGAATTAAAGGATTCTTGGAAGAATTAGAAATATTTATAAGAGATTATCTGATACAGAAAATCATTCCTAATAAAGAAGAAGGCTTTGTATTGGGGAATTCTTTAAATAAAGGAATGGTCAAAAATGCCATCAAAATTAAAATTGAAAAAGAAATTACTAATAAAAATGACCTTGAGTTTATTCGAAGCTATATACTAGAGGCAGATTATTTTTAAGAGTATTTAAAGCACATTTATATTAAATGATGAATTTATTTAAAAATCCATTAATTATATATATTTATATACAATATAACAATGAGTTCTGAAAAAGATTTCTAATATGATATCCATGATGTCTAAAATATCAAGACTGCCTTCTTGGATTTGTAACAAGAGGAGAGCACAGGATTCAAATTGGGATTTGGAACTGCAATCTTATCTTATTTTGTGTTAAGACGAATGACTTACTTAAGAACAGGGCCCAGGTATGTAGTAGATCTAATAAAACAGATTCGCAGGATCAATAATATTAGGTTCGTAAATCTATGGATTTTACACACATAGATCAAGAGCCTATTATGATTATGTTGCTTAATAAGTAAATTTACATGCATCAGAAGCAATCAATCAATGTTTAGGACATTGACCTATATAATAATAACCACAAATAACAAAATATAATATCTGTTGGAAATCATAATAAGAATTCAAAATCTGAATTTTTAATTCCATCTCCAAAATATGCATATCCAAATGTATAATCATTATTATAGCCTAAATATCCTGGCCATATTAAATTTCTAATTGTAATCTAAAACATTTAATTTCAATTTACATTTCTTTTGGTGGAGTCTGTTTAGACTGACCATTAATTATATGGAGTATCGTCAACTAAAGAATCCAGGAAGTCAGGTCTGTATAAGGCTTCATCTCGAGCTATGTTAAAGATATGAATATTGCGAACCTATAAGATCTTGCTTATCCTTTCTGATGGGTTGTCTGAAATGTTAATAGTTTTTCAATTCTGCAGTGACACCCTTAAAGGCTGTCTTGATCAATTCGTGAGTTGGGGTTAATCTATAAGAGCCAACCGGAATTGAGGCACATTGAAATTCAATAGATTAAACTACATAGGATAATCTCTCCAATTCTGAGAAATTTTTAGCTGGCAGTTACGCAGGAATTTCTAGTGAGTCTTCAAAATTAATTTCTTCATCTGTTCTAAATACTATGTGTTCGTGCTATCCTGTAAAGGGCTCTCTTAGAGTTTCAGCCCTTTAGGCGAATTCTTCATTGTATTTTGGTAATTCAGCAAAATGATAATTATTGGAACTTATTGATAAATAGATGGCTTGTACCTCCAAAAGAATTTCTTCAATGGGAATTCATACTGTCCTTTGTATTGAATTCCAAGGGCTATGTAATAATCTTTTTCTACTCCTTCAACTCTACCCCAAAATAGGACTTCGTCAAAAACATAATGTTCTTGGATTTTGAGTATTGCTAATTGTAATCTCATTCTGTTTGTATGAATAAATTGAATACCTTTCTTCAAGATTAAGGGTCTAGCCTATTTGTTACACAAATTTCAAATCATTAAATGAGATATTCATTATATTAATTAATACTTGAATTAAAGAGAGAACATTTTAGAAAATCAATTCGAACATTGGCTGGTGAAAAGATCTTCAAAAAGAAAAGGATTATAACATATTATGAGAACAAATCATATATTGAGGCTAAATCACTTATTTTGAACAGCAGAATTATATCAATTACATTATTCAGAATTGACCATCTCAGAATTTGTCAATAAGTTAGAATAATTAATGAGGTTACCTTATTTCTGGAGCGAAATGGTCGAATAAAAAGGCTTACTTTAACTTTAAGTTCTTTCTTAAATTCCAAGATTATGTATGAAGGTACTTACAAAGATAATTAAAACAACTTGAACTATTTTTGCAATTCTACTAAAAGTAAGCGTCCTTACTTAATACCATTATTATATGCCTGAATCCATTTAATGCTGTTACCTAACCTATACAAACGATGACACCACAATCAGGTTCACATACATCTTTTTACAGAATTTAAACTGGTTAACAAAAGTAAAGGGTTTTTTTGAATTTTCTATTGGATGAAGGCCATGAAAAATCTTAGAGGAAATTAACTTAAGCATTAAAACAAAATATGGAGGTAATCCTTTAGAGTGTCTGGAATTTATATATTTGAAAAACAAAAAGGAATAGAAACCTTAGTCAATTCTGGTTTTTCAGAAGCATTCCTATCCTTCTTAATCAATTATTCAGAATCAAAATACTTATCAATATTTAAGGTGTATGTTACATTCACTAATTTGGTTCTACATCAACCAATTCCTAAAAATTAAGAGTACTATTCTAGGATATTTATAAATAGTATAAAAATTCAGATTCTCAATGAAATTGAAATTAGAATATTTTGTGTCAACTTACATCATAAATGGCAATCACTAATTATGAAAATCTAATGAATAATAGAGTTAGAGAATTCTATTAGTAAATTTCTTGATGGAAATCTCAGAACAGGAATCAGTGGATAGACCTTAGTAAGCCGTGCTCTACTTACCTATGAAGGAGAAGTTGAAGTCGACAGTCCAGAAGTTTGGAGGTTTCTAACATTTGAAAAACTAACTAAATATTATATTATCTATTTAGCATCCAGTTTGTATTTAATCCATAATTGATAGTTATAATTTAATTTATCATTAATGTCTAGACAGGAATTTAAAAATTGCTCATCCCAGCAATCAGCGTCATCATTTCGATAAGAATCAGAATATGCCATATACCATAAAGTAGTTTTAGGAGATGGTGTATTTTATATATGAAGTTTTAGATTCCATCTATCAGGGGGAATGGCAAAATAATTTGAGACATGGCAAAGGAATTCAAATATATCCCAATGGTAATTTAACAAATCTAAAAAAGGAATTATTTTTGAAGGAATTTGGGATGTTCATAAAATAGTTGGAAAAGTAATTAAGATCGATGGTGAGATAATAGACTGTGTTATTGAGAATAATTAAATTGTTCAGAGTTCAAAAATCATCCCTCAAGAAGACTCAGTGCATTTACTAAATCAATAATTGGAGAAAATTAACACATCAGAAATGATCGCATAACTAATAAAAAACAATAATAACTTTTAATAAATCATTTCAGATGGAATTGAATATTAGGGTCAAATACTCAATGAAATGAAACATGGTTTGGGAGTTGCCAAGTTTTTAGATGGTACTAAAGATTGCTAAACAAAATTAGGTTCTGTTTATGAAGGTTAATGGAAAGAAAACAAATAGCATGGATATGGAAGGAAAACCTATCAGAATGGGGACATCTATAGTGGATATTGGTACGATGGAGAAATATATGGCCACGGAGAATACCATTATCAATAAGGAGCCATTTATGTTGGATATTGGAAAAATGGTTAAAAACATATCTATGGAAAGGAATCCTGGGTTGATGGAGCCTCATATGAGGGAGAATACTATGAAGAAAAGAAGAATGGGAGAGGTAAGCTCATTTTCCAAGATGGATCCGTTTATGAAGGGGAATTCGAAATGGATGACATACATGGATATGGATAATATCATTGGATAGATGGAAGACAATATGTCGGAGATTGGGTCTATAATAAGATGTGGGGCATAGGCAAGACAACATGGGCTGATGGTCGATCTTATGAAGGAGGGTAATTGCATAGAGTTATGAAAGTTATATGGATGATAAAAAATAAGGATTAGGAACATTTAGTTGGAATGACGGTAGGAAATACATTGGAGAATGGAAATAGGGAAAATAACATGGTATTGGGTTGCACTAGGCTCCTTCTGGCGAATATAGATATGCAGAGTGGGTGGAAGGGAAGAGAGTCAAGTGGTTGGACTTATAGGAGGATAAGGAAATAATTGATAATTTCTTACATAAGAATACTGAGATTGAACAAAGAAATGGATCATTTTACAATAGCCATATATCGGATTCATCAATGAATGGAAGCGATAGATCTCCTTGCAAAAAGGTGTATTAGTTAACATTGTCAGATAGTAAATATTAAGCGAATGATTAGAGAGTATTTACATAGGAGAGTTGTTTAAGTAGAAGAGGGAAGGATGGGGGAAATTGATATGGAAAGATGGTAAATTAATGAATGATAAAATTATTTAGGATCAATTTATGATGGAGAGTGGAAAGATGATGAATGTAATGGATTTGGAAGATATATTAGTTGCGAAGGTGATGTGTATGAAGGAGAATGGAAACATGATAAGGCTAATGGACATGGTATATTTACGAACAGCGACGGTGTTATTTATGAGGGAAATTGGAAGAATGATAAATAAAATGGATATGGCAAATAAAAATGGCCTGATGGGCTCTACTATGAAGGCTAATATTTGGATGGGAAGAAATAAGGATTTGGAAAGATGATATATCCTGATGGGTCTTATTATCAAGGAACTTTTGTGAATAATTAGATAGATGGTGAGGGCTTGCAAGTAAATATAGATGGAACTAGATATGAAGGCTCTTTTAAAAATGGGGTGAAACATGGAAGAGGAACTCTGATAAGTCCAGATGGAAACATATTTATTGGAAAGTAAAATGAAAATTATGTAAGTTTAGTTTTGAGTTAGACAAATAAGTTGGAGAAGGAAGGGTGGAATACCATAATGGTAAATTATTTTTGGGAGAATGGGTGAATGGGTAGCGTCATGGTAAAGGAAAATATATCTACAAGGATGGCAAAGTCGTCGATTGTATGTGGTATAAAGGAATGAGGATAGAAAAATGATCATATATATTACACAAGTTTTTGCTACTCAAAAAAAGATTTGTATTAATATTTAATATGGCCACCAGAAGAAAGTATTTAAGGCTTGTTGTCGAGGACTAAAAGCCAGAATTGAATGTGATTAGAGTTGCTAATAAAGCTTAATTGTCAACTCAAGTTAGAAAAGCTTTATGGCTCCTTCAAGGCACTCGCAAGGAAGAACAACCCCCTATCCTAGATACAATCTATATCACAGCCATTGAAAATGCCATCTCTAAAGCAGTTATTATTGCAGAAGTTGTTAGAAGAAGAGTTGCTGGACTATATTAAATAAACAAAATCTAGTCAGTCTAGATTAGTGAAGAATATGAACCTTTAGAAGAAGGATTAGTGAAAGTCAGTGTCACTAAAAATTTGGCTTCTCTCCAAATCAAATTAACCAAAGCACCAACCGAATAAGACAGAAAAGAGCCTGGATTCCTTGTAAATATATATTTTTATAATTAGGAACCATTGCCTGCTGATCAAATTCAACCACCCAGAGAAAGAAATGACAGATAAAGAAGTGGAAGTTCAAAACCAAGAAATGATAGCTAGAGAAATAATAGAGACAGAAGAGATAACAGAGACAACAGAGATAACAGAGATAGAAGAGATAATAGAGATAATAGAGACAGAAGAGATAATAGAGATAACAGAGATAATAGAGATAGAAGAGATAATAGAGACAACAGAGACAATAGAGATAACAGAGACAATAGAGATAGAAGAGACAATAGAGATAATAGAGATAATAGAGATAATAGAGACAATAGAGATAGAAGAGACAATAGAGAAAATAGAGACAATAGAGACAATAGAGAAAATAGAGACAATAGAGACAATAGAGATAATAGAGACAGAAGAGATAATAGAGATAGCAGAGATAACAGAGACAGAAGGGATAACAGAGATAATAGAGAAAACAGAGACAATTAAAGAGAAGATAGAAGAAATAATAATACATAGAATGAAGCTAATAATGAAAGACCAACAACCCAAAAAAGTAGAGGTGGTCCAAGACCTTAACAATAAGCTTGATTATTAGCAATATAGAATAAAATATAAAGATTTAAATAGTATCTAAATTTCTTTCCAAACTAAAAATGATTGTGTTTTTCTTTGACATTTTATTAAATTTGTTGCTTTTGAAGTCAACTAAGGATTTAAATTCATTTTTCATTTCTCACTTAATAGTTACGATCAAATTCTAATAATTCATACAAACCCTAAGAAAAAATAAATGGATAATTATCAAAAGTTTGAATTCATTACCTCTTATTTTTAATTATGTTATTCCAAATAGTTAATTTATTATCACTTCTTTTTTTCTGCTTTGAATATAATCCCCTTTACATTCAAAAATTCTAAATTACATTTTCCCTGGCTTAACTCATATTTCACATCATTAGTTCGTTCCATCAAAAGAAAAACCACTATTTCCTTCAGTTCAATATTCTCCTTTATATAAGATGGTTTATGGCTTAATTAAAAAATAGGGAGGCTTATCTCTTCAAAGCATTCAGTTTATAAGATCTAGTATTTTCAATTCAATACTTTTTTTGTATTTCTATTTATAATTAAGATTTTTGGATTATACTCAATAACAATTTTTTTAACTAAGTTTCCTCTTCCTTAAATATTTATACTTTTTTCTTTTTGTGTCGATTAAATATGTACTCATCACTTAGGCATTCCTGTAGCATTCTCCAATCAATAATCAGTTAATTATCGACAATTTGTTAAATATGCATTTATCATGAACGCTTTTTTAAAGGTTTAGAAGAACAGAAAAATAGGAGAAAGCTTGCTCTTTTGTCAAGCTGAACATATTTTATTAACTGAATAAATTTCCAGAAATTGAATAAATTTGTAATTACTCTCATAATTAAAAAATTAAATATTTTATATATTTTATAAATCAAAAGCAGACTCAATCAATTTTTTTATCAAAATGTGAATGAGTAAAAAATCTGTAAATGTTCTCTATATTTGTAATTTGCCCACTAAATTTAAAGACTCAAAGGAAGATTGTTCTAAATTAAGAATATAAGTGTAAGGATTTACAGTAAATTCTGCAATTAATTTATTACTTTAAAAAGGAATGCTTTTCTCAATTCTTGTATTTTCTCATTATGAAAAGTCGAATAGTTGATTACAATAAGGGAAGATGTTAAAACCCTAAATAGGATGTTATATTAATGTCAATTTGAAAGTAGTAATTTCGATTTAACTAACCTGTAGACTGGTTAAGGAAATAAATTACATAATTTTCTGTTGAACATTTTAAGTCCTCTTATTTAATTGTGATTTACAAAAAAATTAAAAGATACTTAAAAGTTCGAGAACTTTATTCTTATTATTTATAAATTAATGTGAAAAAATTTGTTTACAAATGGATTGAAAATCCATTGTCGAAAAACATTTTTGAAATAAAATTTGTTAATCTCACACCTTCTTTATCTCTTGTATTGTGTGATCAGTAGCCTTTATGATTTCCCCAGCTAATTTTGATATTAAGCTGAATGATCTGTTAGAATTTGTGATTGTTGTGAACCCACACCTCTAGTTGGACTTGTATTAAACATTCTGTAGGATAACATTGCACCTATGTTGACTGATAACAGTTTTGGCAGCGGCATAGTTAATTTTAAGGTGTTTAGCAGCCTAAATTTAGAATTAAATAATACATGCTTTATTTTTATTCCCTGATGGAACACTAACTTAACAAGGTTCTGTCTCTTTATTTTTGAAACTTTTTCATAAGGCCTTTTGGTGGAAGAATCTTTTTTCATTAAAATTTTAGATTTAAATTTATTACAATTTTTAGCTAATGGCCATAAGGGTTTTAGTGATACAATTATAAATCATATTACGCATGATATGAAAAAATATATTTTGGATCAATTAGAAATAGTTTTAGAATTAATAATTATTATATTGAGTTTAAACATAAATTTATTTTGTTCCTAAATAAAAGAAGTATGTATTTATAATAATATGATTAATATGATTATTAATAAGATTATTAATAATAAATATCCCAAACAAATTTAACAAATAGTTCGTTGAAAAATTTCACACACTCAATATATATTGTTTTTAAATTTTAGACATTTTTGAAAATTCCAATTACCAATTTTGAATTACAACAATTCTAAGTGTGATTTCATTGGATGAAGAGAAAAGAGCGATTCAAATATTCAAAGCCAATCAGTTTACATTTAGGTTACAAAATAAGCAAAAAGTGAAATTTTATATATATATATATTAAAAGAATATAATAATAATATAATGAATATTCTAGTGTTAATATTCTTTGGAGTGAGTTATGGCAATACGCCGGTAAAGGAGTATGGATAGTGTTTGGATGAAACCTTGGCCTAATCTCCAATATAGTTAAAGCCACCATTCGGACATATTGGTTGATTTGTGTATTAATAAAGCTAGAACTAACATTGGAATTTGAGTTTTTGGAGGCTCGAGACTTGTAGATAAAGCACACAGGATATGAATTGGTGTGTTAGGGAGCATTCGGTTTTGTGAAGCACAATAATAAAATATTTAATGCCTATCAAGTAAAATTTAAATCTCCATCAGAACACTCATTGTCAGAAAACGATTATTTTTATCCAATAGAAATGCAAATATTTTTAATATCATAATAAAAGTTTAGAATAGGTTTCAGTGTTTTCTTTCGTCTAAACAAAGATCACACTGAAAATGCTTTATTAGCAAAGTTCGGATTTGGTAAGAACATAATCAAGGAACTGCAGCCAGGAGATTTTTATGTAGTTCCAGAAGCAATAGATTTGGGAGTATTATTTGATGACACAGGTATAAAGTCTCATAATTTGATCAATTAGATAAATTTCTAGTTTACCAAGGAAGCGATACATTTCCTCCTTGTGGTTAGATGGTTTGGTTGACGTTGTTTAAGATATATGATATGTCTTCGAATCAAGCCATCGACTTTCCAGAACTCCTCTTATATTCCATTAGGGAATAGAAAGAGATGAAGCGACCAATTTATGCGAATTTCGATCCAGCATTGTTTATTATTACAGATGGGGAAATGAACACCAAATAGGATCTGAAAACTTAAAGGACCAGGAATCAAGTTGACAAAAAGGTATGTGTAACAATTCCAAATAGCTTGTGAAAGATAATTTTTATATTTATGGAGCAAGTGAAGGTTTAGAATTAGATGGATTTGTGTTTACTGCCTCAGGATAGTCAGGAGGAAAGATTGTAAGAACAGAGGATTTCTTTATAATCAAGTTGAAACCAGAAGCAAAGGATGTTTAGGAGGATGTAAAAGAAATAGAGTAGTAACCAATAGATTCTTAATCTCAATAAGAATAGAGAGAAAATAGCAACATTGAATAACCCATTGATGTTCAAGAAAATAGTATTCCTGAAGATTTTGAAGAGACAGATCCACACAATATGGATGATACTAAGGAACCTCAAGAATTAAATGGTCAAGACAATTCAAAAGAGGGGGGAGACTCCGATAGAAAAAGTAAATTGGACTTGTAATCCAGAATTAAGGAAAGACAAGCAAGTAAGAGTAAGGACAAGATAAATGAATATAATGAAAACAAAATAAAGGAGAAGCAAGAATAATAAAAATTAGAAGAATAAGAAGAGGAAGGGGATATCATTTCAGAAATGGATCAATTCAAAAATTGGCCCAGATTATGCTAGACAGGAAAGTCATAATCTCCTATCATACTCGATTTAAGAAATCTTCTCAAATAACCAATTAAAGAACCTATATTATCGTATTATGTTGTACCAAAAGAACTCTATTTGAGCAATGACGGATATCAATTGAAATTGATTAGTGATCCTGGAGGTTTTGGAGCTTTGAGTTGGAATGGGAAAATATTTTAGGCTCTTGAATTGAACTTTCACACACCTTCTGAACATACAATTGGGGAAAACTAATTTAGAATGAATTGCGAAATCTAAATCATGCATAAATCAATTGATGGAGACATTCTCTACTTAGTCCTCTTTTTACATAACACTTACCCTAATGAGAGTAATGAATTTTTAGAATAAATTGGGTTGCCGTCTTCGAAGAGTATAAATTACAGAGCTGTTGAAAAAGGAGAATTAATTCAAATTAGTAAGGAAATCAAACTTGCTGATTTGGTCAGAGATGTTTCTGAATTTGTCTACTATACCGGATCTCTGACAGTGCCTCCTTGTGTTGAAAATATCCAATACCTCATTAGAAGGAGCAGATTGCCAATATCCCTGACCTAAATAGAAAATATGTAGCGTTTAATAGGAAAGAAGGAAAATTTTAGACCTATTCAAAATCTAAACGGGAGAAATTTATATACGAATTGAATGACAAGAAATTATTAATTTTTATTTTACATAAATACAGATAGATATCTATGTAGAGTGATCTGTTGCCTCCTACCATAACCAATTCTGTCCGAACCCGAATTTGTGTTAATAAATTTTGTTCTAATCCATTCAATATGGACTCTAGGCATGATGAACATAGAATGGATGTGTTCTATATATAGGATATAGTGCAAAAATTACATATTAAGAATCAAAGGAATAAAGAGGAACTTGGATATATTTAAGAGAAATTATTTGCAAGAATTTAAAAAAATGAAGATGCTATTATAGCATTGAGGAGTGAAGATAAAAGTAAAATCTTGGGAAATTTAAAAAATTTAAGAGAGCAATCTGAATTTTTATCTTCAGAATTAGTTGAGAGAAATAACTTAGACGCTTATGATGAATTATTTTTCAGTAATAAAATTGATATTTTCTGTTTAGGTTCCAGATAATAAAGAAAATTTGAAAAATTAATTGAACCTTCCAATAAAGAAATCAAAGAGTTGTTTAAAAGTCTAATTGATAATAATATTTTTACATAATGCTAAGTCAGATGCCCTCAACACAATGCAAAAATAGTGAATGCATTCAATTTAGAATAAAATGTTCCTAAAAATTAAAGATTATTATGTGCATAAGACAGCCAGAATGCAGCTTAAAACTTTTAAATATGCGAATAAAAATTGAAGGGATATTGTGAATAAGAAAAGTATAGATAAATGCTTAAATAGACTATTTGCAAAGTTGTTAAAGATGAAAGATTTCATATTTTCATTACGATTTAAGGTGGATTGCATTACAAATAAAATTCTGGCTTAAATTTAAAGCTCAATAAACTCACATCAAAATTTTTTTCTTGATTGTTAAAAGCAATTTAATGATCTATACCGATTAGTTGAGCCGATTCCAAAAGAAACCTATGAAAATATCGCTGAGTTTTTATCAAAAATCGGATAATTGCCTTTTGATGACACATTCAAAACAACAATTGGTAAATTTGATACAATTTTGGATAATTTTGAGAAATCGATATCGGCTACTTACATGGAATTTGGTGATTTTCTGAATAAATTAGTTCCTAAAATAATAAAAATAACGGTTGAAATAATTATAAATAACAATACGCAAGTTTATCATCTAGAAGTTTCATCTAATGCAAAATTATTAGATTTATTCAATTTCATTAAGGAGGAAATGAAATCTCCCAAAACCGAAATCAACATTGAATAGATGGAAATTGCCATAGAAAGGACATAAATTAAAATTGATGGTAATAATTTGAATCAGTCTCCATAAACTTATGTTCTAAAACACGAACAATTTATAGAATTTTATATTAACTAATGATTAATTTATTATTATTATAAAAATTATGTATAAATTATCATGCCAACAATATTCTCTAATCATCTACTTTATTCTTTTTATTCTTCCAACAATTGAATACTATTAAACCAATTAGTAATACACCAATGATAATTAATATGATGGCCCAAATGGGGAAACCTTTTGTATCATCATCTTTTGTAGGTTCAGGTTCTGGTGGAATTTGATTATCTTATGAAATGGTGACATTCAAAGTTAATTTTTCATTATAGATAGAGTTTTATAAGGTTAATTTAATAATTTCATTAGCTTATTAAGCAGAAGTGCAAATTTATTAAGATCTTTTTAATGTATAATGTTATAATTTGATTTCTTAGTCTGTCGTTGCCAATAGTTGTAATTGCCCATTAAAAGAGTAGACAAATGATTAAAATTAATAGAAATGACCTGGTATCGCACTAGTAGGACCGTTCAAATGAGCAATGGCTAGCTTAGGGTTTTATTTACTGCTTGAACTTTCAAGATCAAATAAGAGTAATTCAAATCTGTTATACGCCCAATAAACCATAGACAAAATATTCTCATTTTAATATATGATAGGATAGAGGTTGAACATAAACCATCCTCCATACTGTTGATAAACACCGCTCAATGTAAAGTACTTGAGTTCACATAATTTAAAGCTATAACAATCAAATTCATATTTAAATGAATATGTCGCTATGTTATTGTATACAATAACTATTTCATTTTTTCTTACGACCATTCCAACGCAAACTGCATTGCTAGTTACATACAACTAATTTTTCTTAAGTGTATTAAGAACATCGGTAGGGATCTCCAACTAATCACTTGAGGTTCTAGAGATCTCTATATTATTAAAGTACACATTTCCTCTCACATCCACAGAAATAGCTGTGTAAATATCATCGCGTAGATGTTGAAATTCAACTAAATATGGCTATTTTGATAAAATAAATTGATTGAATTTTTCAAATCCTGACAACTTAGTAGGATCTCCTTTTGTATCATATACAGATATGATTGCATTTGAATAAATGAAGTAGTTGGTTTAATGAAGGAATACTTTATTAATATTATTTTCGAATTATAATTCATCATCTAAGTATTTACAATTAGAATCTTTGCATTCTATGACCTTTAAGTAAATCAAGGCTTCTTTATACACTTCAACATATATATGCTGATCTTGAATAAGTAATAATTTGTTGACCAAATATGTTTTATCCAAAGTGAGTTCAACTTTGCTCAAATCGGACTTCTTTATCAAGACAATTTTCTACTCCATCAATTAAACTATTGTATCTGAATTGAGTTCTTAGATATATGGGCTAAATTCAAAAGTTTCTGATTACTTTGATAATGTTTTTTCATATTTAATTTTTTATGAACTTTCAGTCTGAGTGATGTCAAATGCTTAGCCACTATACCAAGATTAATCCAAATCAATACAATGGTTTTTAGCACCATCTGCTTTGTATGTTAAATTCAATGAGCTTTTAGTCTAAAATATTGATACTCCTCTATTAACTATTAGGGCTGGGATTTATTGGGTAACAACTATTTGAGCATCATTCTTAATTGAGACTTTCAAGGTTATCTCTTTAGAGTACTCAACCTATTGATAATTCTCCTTTAATTTCGATTATACTAAGTTATCTCCTGAGATAAAGTAGTTTTATTAAACTTGCTTATTTGCAATCGTATTCGTAATAAAGCAATAACTATGTGTAATTGTGAATTAAGCAGCAGGAACAACATCTATGCTTAAGAACATGGTATTTAAACTGTTCTCATTCACTTTATAAATTAGTAATTTTTATTATTCAGCTTTTTATCCAAGAATATAAAATAGGTTTTTCTAAAAATTAACCTGAATCTAAGATAACACTAAATTAGAATAATCATTTATTTTTATTATTTTCTCCAAATAGATATTATTAATATTTTAACAATTAAACACATTTATGTTATATTTTTCCTCATCTTTGGTTTTAATAACTCTAGCAAAATAATTTTTAAAAATTATAAAATTCATTTGATCATAATTATCATTGACTTCAGTGAACCAAATTAAAGTAAACTTTTCATATTATAAGGAATAGACATTCAATTATTTATCTTACTCTATATACAGAATGTCTTCTTAGGCTGGAGATGCATATATCCTTCCCACTATATCTTAAGTGGAGAATAAGGTTGCTTTATTTTCAGTAGATACCTTATATATCTTAACTGATTGCTATAATTAGACGAATAAGTAAAAACCATCTGTTGCAATCGATATGGGATTGCTGTCGAAATTGATCGTTGTCAACACATCAAATCTATTTTAATTGTAATAGACACAATAGATAGTGACTGTAGAATCTTTCAATATTGCTAAGAAAATTGAGTTATAATTAAACCACCAAAGCTATTTATCAGAATCTTGCAATGTTTCGAATTATCTCTTACTAAAAATTGATTAGCAATTTAATCTCAGAAAAGATAAAATTTCACAGGTGAATCCACTTATTTATTTATTGCTGTGTTGCTAAATAATTTAGATATAGGGATTATTTAAATTCGACAATGCTTTTCTATAGATAACATCCGATGCATCCCCAACTCCAAATACTTCAATGGTCTAGAATTATTCTACTTTTAGATTGAGAATTTCATTATCTGAAAACTCATACTTTAGATTGGAGCCTTAATAAATGGAACTCAACTTGACATCTAAATTGTCTTAATATACACTGCCTGCTATCAATGCCTAAGGTACTTAAGTTGAATATATCTATGTAGATTCAAAGCCGACAACCATATAATAAACATCAATAATGCAGCTGTTCTTTTAAATAAGCTATGTCATTTTATATTCAGTCTCGATTGGTAATGAGCCCGATGAAAATTGTAATGAATAATCATTACTTATGACGTATCTGTAAAAGTTTTGTTCATCAACAACCAAAAATCCATCAGAATTAGGATGCGAATTGATTTTATATTGAGAATCGCCTAAGATTTGAGACTAGAATCTATATAATTATTCTGAATATAAGATTATAGTCTTCTCCTAAAGCACTACAATCGAATTTTTTTATAAGTAGACCTTATCAGATTGTTTGGAGTCGATAGCAATAGTAAATTCTTAGGTGGTGATTGTTTTATGAAATAGTTATGTTTTTGAAAGAATTACATATGAGTTTTTGTAGACATCAAGATCATATGAATAGACATCTGGAATCTAGGTGTCTATCTTACGAATTAGTTACCACTTATTATCCTTATACTATAAAGCTATTAGTTCTCCAGATGCATTCAGTATACTAATCTATCCATTTGTATGAGTTTAAAAATCTCTTATCTATAGGTCAAATGACACCTACTTTAATAGTGTTTTCATAGCAGCCGAGTCTAGGCTATTCAGGAATATTAGTGTCTCCCCTTATTCTTAATACAGTTCCAACTTGTCAACAGTACCTCTCAATAGATATTAGTCAATCATATCTAATTTTCTAAACGAGTCTTTGGGCTTCTCAATTGGGAGATAAGTGTGGGGAGATTAATCAATTTTCAGAATGCTAAAGTAATCTCCTTCGTCATCAGAGCATTCAGTTATTACCAGAGTCGACAACAGAGCTATATCATAGCATATAGAATTTGCTCTCCCAGTACTTTGAAATAGAGCCTGTAAATTAGGGAATGTAGAGTAATATTTTAAGTCATATTCAGAATAATAAGTTCCTTCATTGAGGAGAAGTATGGCCATTAAATGTTATGGCTCACTACTTTTAGTTGATTTTAAAATTTTGATCGAAATTTTCTCTCCTTTTAATCCATTAATAGGAATCTTCTCCTATTCCTACAAAGGAGCTTGAATTGTAAACTGAGGAACAACAGGCTAAAATATAGTCTAATCATAATCGTTAGAATAGAATATCTAGTACAAAGGAATTGTTATTGTTTCCCCTGGGGTTGAAGTTATGAAAAGTTTATTGTCTTACAAATTAGTGCACTATTATGAAAGTATAATGAGAGTGCTAAGAATTAAGTGAATTCTAATCATTTTAATTATATGCAAGGGTAAAAATATCTTTTTAATGCTTAGGTTAATTTCTGAATACATACTGAATAATTTATTCAACATTCTTCATATCACAATTCCACATATCATCAATTTTGAACTTTTTATTATTAGTTTAATATATTATTTCACACAAACATAATTAGATCAGAAATTCTTGATTAGAAACCTCAAATTTGAGGAAACTTCTTTTTTCATTGAAGATATCGCATTTACATGAGTTCGATTTAATATCTTGATATAAATATTCAAGGTATTTAATCGTTTTGGTAAAAGAATAAAAATTTCATTGACCATTATTTATATACATCTCAAATGATTTCTATGAAATAATAATCATAAGAAGATCATAGAATGAGGGCAACAAAATGCTTTCTTTGATTATCTTAATGATATTTTGTAATTAAAAAAATTAAATTATGCATCATTAATTTCAAGAGTTTCCATATTGCAGTAATACTAAAGCAGTTGATCCTTTTATTTATCTATTTTTAATCGATTATAATTGGATTTGAAACTATTTCCAGAAATTAGCAAATCATTTTAAATAATATTTTAGTAAACTAAATCAGACATACTATAGAGCAAGAATGTTATCAAGTAAAATTGTTGATATCATTAAAAATAGAAAAATTATATATAATCCGATATTTTTTATACTTTTTCCCTATTATGTCAAATTATATTAAAAGCAATATAATATTTGGTTAAATAGGAAATTCTAATGCCTTAACCATAATAATTTCGAATAAATTATTATTATTTAAATTAATAAAATTTATAAGGATATTATTTTACCTAATATCACATTAATAAGATTATAAATGAGAAGTCATTGATGGCACTTTCTGACTTTTATCGTATTATCGTTACTTTCCCAAGTTACTAAATATTCAGCATCATTAGTCATGGCACCATAAAGATAATTATCTTTATTTTCTATAAATTAGACAGGAACGAATTATTATTGATCAATAGTTTTAATTATATTAATAGTTTTTCCAATTTTAACTAACAATATTTACTTCTCTTTATTATACTACTAAGGGAAGTAATCAATTGTTTTATCCCCAGAAATTAATTTTATTTATTTGGTCTTAATAAATTGCTGTTATGGTTCATCAAACTCATAGATATACAAGAGATCTGATTTATGAGACAAGAATGTAAAAAGGGTGTCGCTTAAGAAATATAAACTATATCCTTCCTAATCAACCTAAATTTATTACTTTTTCATCCATTATTATTCTGTGTTGAGTTTGAAAACAATAATCTCATATCCTGTTGAACATGAAACCAATTGATTTTCTGAACCATTAAGACTGATGCTCTTTATTTCCTAAACATGATCAGTTAATGTTTAATTAAGTCTCCATATATTGTTCCTTTTAACCCAAAATCTAATTGTCTTATCATCACTACCAGAGATAATTAAATCTTCCTTATTGTTCATTATTAATCCTCCCCTGACATAATCCGAATGTCCATTTAATATTTGATCGCAATACCATTTTCTTTTCTCATTCCATGACCAAATTATGATTAAGTTGTCAGTACTACCAGAAACAAATTGCAAAGTCTTTTTCATAAAATAAAGGCATCTCACATGTCCTTGGTGTTCAGTCAATTCTTACTATTCTGTTAAATCTCCCTCTCTAAACTAAAATACTTTAATCATACAATATTATCCAACAACCATAACTGAAGAATCCAAGGAAAACGCAAAAGAAATGCATTTGTTTTATTTGATGCTATTTTGTAATTCAAATTTAGGATTTGTTTAATTAATTAGAATCCCTAATTTCTCTAAGAATTTTTGGTATTAACTTATCACTTATTGAATTTGATCTTCCTTTTTTATTGATTCTTGCTCAATCTTTTCATAAATTAAGTTATTTGGCTGTTTATTATAATCGCAAGCAATATCATTTAATTCTACTTAAGATAGACTTGACCAATTCTTTTGCATTAAGCACATCTATTGTGAATGAGCGTCATTTTTCAAATTAATTTATTATGATACAAATTTATTGAACTCCTCACTTATTTATAATATTTTTTTCCAATAAAGACTCAAATTATTTTAATGATTATTAAATTTCCCTAACGTTAATCTAGCATGCTCTCCCCATGCTTTTTCAAGCTCTTCTAATTGTATGTAATTTTGATCTGGTTGTATGCATCTCTCACAAGCCAACCAATTTTAAGAATTTGCAATATTTGATGTCCTCACATAATTGATCTATTAGTAATGCTCCTAGCAAATCTTAATATTTCCATTCCCTGGTCTGTTTGATGAATTGAAACATGGTTCTAAATCACAATCAGAAGTTCTCTAAGCAATTTTCTTCATTCTGTTTCCAAAGTTTTTCAAAAAGTTGTCATTCCATATTGTTAACAAATCTGTGAATTTATTGCCTATATTTGTATTATATTGGGTCTCTTGACTTATTATTAATTCTTTTAATTGTTTGGGATTCCTAATTTCCAAATTTTAGTTCTAGTCAATACTCATTTTTAGAGAAATTAGTTAAATCTGTAAATATTAGAGAATTTCATCGATTATTAACAAGCTTTAGTGTAGTTTCTCCATAAATTAAGTTCTCAAATTTTAGAGTTCTTATTTTAGGTTTACTAAATTATAGACTACAGTTTCAGCTTCTTTTTATTTCCTTGGCATCCAAATCTCTTTTAGATTTTGTTTTATTATCTGCAAAATATGATCCATGAAATTTATGTTTGATGATAAATAAATTAAAAATATTTCACTTTATTATTATTTTCAAAAAAAATATGGAGCATAAACAACATTATTAGTCTTAAAGTCTTAATTGAGATTGCAAACTAAATCTATCTATTTCACAGCTAATAAAAAACTTCAATAAATTATTATTTCTTTTATATTAAAAAGTTAATCGATCGAATATCAGAATATATAAATAAATAAAAACAATATTTAACAATCTGTAGGAATTAAAAATAAAACTATTAAGTACTGAAAATTTAGTTTTGTTAGTCATCATAAAAACCAATTAAATCAGATTAAAAGTCAATTAAACTATTATTTTAAATAATTAGTCACAATCATGATTCAGGTAAACTCTTTAGTTTATTTGATTTTGATTGTTTTTTTAACTTCTGCATTCTAATTGTGTTATCAACTGTTACTCAATTATACTCCTTGTTGTTTGTAATCATCCATGGGGAATAATGGCGATTTCAATTTAAGATTTTGAAACCACATTGACTTTACTAATTCTCCTTAAAAATAGGTGAATTTAACCTATTTATTGTTCCTCAGTGATGTTTTAATATTTATTTACTGATCATCAAATAGATGATAGGATTGTTATAATGATAATGAATCAATCGAGATGCTTTGATATATCACTTAAATTGTATATCAAATTTATCATAAGTGGAATCCAAACGAATGAATATAAATCACTGTGAAATCTCATCTTTATTAGTTAAATGTAAATGAATTAAATCAAAGAATAACAAAAAGTAAGTTAATTATTATTATAAATTAGAAGTAAAAAATCAAAATTGGTAAAAAAGTTTAATATTGATGCTTATTTTTGAAGGTTTCACTTTTTCCACCTAATTATCTCTATTCTATAGTCAACTATTAATTCCGCAATTTTGATTCTATATTCATTATATTTATAATTTCTATAATCATAAATTAATTAGTCTTAATAGCTTAATTTTAAAATTCTTGTAAATTTCAACATCTAAACTTTTGTAATTAGGATATGTTGATACTAAGAAAATTTTTCATTTGTTAAATACCCTATTAAAGTCGATTTAATAATAAGCATCCATAGATTTGGACTCATTTAGATCTAACATATTAATATTATGGAATTTATTATTGATTAATCTCTATAATTATGAAAATTGCCTAAGTACAGACATCCTATTGTATTAGACCATCAATTAAGGGTAAGTGAGTCAATTCCACAACATAGTTAATTTGCAGATTACTCTCCCTTGAATTTTAGAGTAAAAATTTCCTATTTAATTTTTGTTCTTTTATCTATTAATAGCTAATTATATAACTAAATAGCAGGGGCATCCACCTCCTTGTTAATATTGTGTTTTACATATACAATATAGATTTTCATCAAATTTTGAAAACTTCTTCTAAGAGCTTAATTGCAAAAACAAGATCTCAAAACATTCACATGATCTACTTATCATGATCTTTGTTTGCAAATGTTTCACATAATGCATGTACTTAGTAGGTTTATCAAAAATTGAAGATCCTCACAATATCAAGCAGAAAGGGGATGTTTTAGAATAAGAAATAAGTAGAAAGTGGCAACTTTAAATTTTCTTGGGCTTTTTGTAATTTTGAGGGATATGAAAGCAGAATTACATGTCTAGCTTAGAGATATGTGGAAATCATCTTCATATAAAATCAATTATGCGGAATTTAGTCTTCAAATACAATGTTAACTACAGAATAAGCACTATATAAACGGGGAATAATTCCTTCTTAGATTAAATATTAAAATAATGAAATATCTTCCACTAGTGATGGCATTGTTGTGCTTGACTGCTCTTTCAAGAGTAGAATCTGTAAAAGAGTTATTGGAATAAACTAAGGATTAATATCATTTAGCATAAGATATTGATACTCTTAAATCAATGCTTGAAGCAGAGTTGGGCATTAAGAAAGAGAAGGAGACACCTAATTAGGTCCCATCTATTGCCTAAGGTACTCGATTATAATATTAAGAAGATTCCGTGAAATAGTCTATATTGTTCGCTAAAGTTAAGAAATCCGAATACAACTTAAATAATAGTACTTATCCCAACTCAACTTACAATTACACATATCAGTCATCTTCAACCTAATATCCAACCTATAGCAATTCAAGCAATTCAAGCAACTCAAGCAACTCATCAAATACTACAAATGGATCAAATGGATCTTATCCTTACAGCAACCTCACCTACAGCTATGATTATCCATCCACTTCAAATAGTTCCAGCAATTCCTCATCCTACAACACTACCAATTAGACTTCTACTATTAACTAAACCAATGGTTCCTCAAATTACAACAGAACAATTAATAGTAGATATATTCCATCAAGACTATAATTGAGAGTTAGAAACAATTCAAAAATGCTAAAGGAACAAATATAAAATAACACCTAAAATGTTACTTATTACAACACATCTAGTGGAACTTACGAGTACGTAGTTATTTATAATAACACTGAAATTTATGAAAATTCAACTGAATCTAACTATTTTTACTATTAGAATAACACATAGGTTACTTTAGATAGACAATATGATGATAATGGTAATGTGATATACAGAAACTTCAACCTTAATTATTCTTTGATCATAGCCTAGAACTCAACCAACACAAATTACAAAGAGTAATAAAACGCCTTTGGAACACTCGTTCTTACAAATCAAACATTTTCAGGATAATATAACAAGTATGGAGAATACAATGGATTTTCAACAGACTTTAATAATAACTTGTATTATGGTGAAAATAATTATTTTTATGGAAATGCTGGATACTCTAATTAAACAGGAAATTATTCATATAGTAGTTCCGTCTATGGAGGTACTTATGAAAATTAATAAAATGGATCCTCAACCTCATCCTATAGATATAGAAATAGTAGTGAAGGCCATGCTGATGCAGACTTTAACCAAAATACTTCAAGCAAATACTCAGGTTAATCATAAAGCCAAAACTAATACTATATAGACTCTAATTTTATTCAAGGAAATAACTCATCAATTTCTCAGCTTGAAAATACATAAATCAATGAATATGCAACCCAAAGTAATTCTTAATATCGAACAAATGACACCTTTTCAAATACTGATTCTTCCTCTATATCAGAGAGTTAAGGATAGTATAATAGCACCACCATCTATCATGATGACTATTAAGCAGGTATTTACAATTCACAATCTACATAATATGACGCATCTTATAATAATTCCACTTCTAATAATTAAAATTAATAAGGTTTTAATTATAACTATACTGCTTCTGGCAACAGTGCAAAATCTTTCGATAATTAAACCAACTATTTTGAAGGTTCCAACACAACCTTCGATAGTATAGCAGGAGGCCGATAAAAAAACTCCTACGATTATGACAATTACACTTATTCATTTTCCTCCGAATCAATTAATGGAATTTTTAACGATACTAATAAAGAAGTCGTTAGCGAAGGAAAAACTACAGTGACCACTATTGATTCTAAAGCTACAAGCAGTGACTACTCTGGTTATAAATATAATGATGATCCGACTGATTTTAGTGGTTCAAGTTAGACAACCCACTCTTAATCAACAACAGAATAGTCAAGATAACAATTCAATCAATTAAGAGGTTCAAAGAAATACAGCTTCAGGATCATGGAGATAAATTGAAACTGCAGAACTTTAACAATCTAATTCAATGATCATTGAAGAAGCCATTAAGGAAATTAATACTAAGTTTAATCCTTAATAAGATGGATATCAATTCGATTCAGTTATTAGTGTTTAAGAATAAATTGTTTCAGGAATCAACTACAAGATATATTTAAATTATTCAAATCCAGAATTTGAATAATAGATATATGAAGTAATCATTTATTCAATGTAATTTTATTAATTTAATTTTTAGTCCCTGGTAAAACAGATCCAATCAAATTGTCAAATCAATTAGATTCGATTAGATGGAAAATTGAAATAAATGATTATACAATAAAATAACAAAGAATTTACAACTAAATCATTTTATTTAATTATTTCAGTTCGAGATCTATTTATCTAAATAAATAACTATTCCAATACATTTCTCAATTACTATAATTAAGTTGAATTGTCCTTAAGAAAATTTGTGAACCACCCTTTACTAATAATTAGTTATTGCTAAATCAGGATGTTCTAAGTATTTCTTTTTTTCATATTTCAATTATTAACTAACTATTATATTACATACTATATGCTTTCCTAATTCATTCGGTATTTACTCTATTTTTAATATTATACTTATACATAAAATAATACTCAAAATATACGATAATAATTAATTAAATTGTGTAATATAATGCAATACATCTAATTTGAAGCAGAAGTTACAAAGCCACATAAAAGTTTCAAAACTATTTTTATTCCCTACAAAATAGATAGGATATCTGGATCCTGATTGCCATCTTAAAATTGAAATCTATAAGGACATAGAAATTTATTATGATAGTTATAACTGAAACCACTTTATAATTTCAAACTTGAGAAAGCAAAAAATATATGACAATAGACATTCCTAAGCTATAAATTTCATTCAATTGATTGCCTCTTCTGAGATCAAAAGCATAATTCAAAATTTATGAGATTTTAGAAATAAATAACTTCAAATGTAATTATAAACAGAATAATAATAATTTACTAATCCTTTTCTTGGTTAACATAATCGATTGTTTTTAAAATTCCCTGTAGATTAACAATTTAATACAAAATTAGAATATGAAGATTAATAAAATCAAGTGATCCAGTTTAATTATAATTCTTTCTTTTTATCATCCATTATTTAGAGTTTGGATATATACAAAATATTACTAAATAGAAATTTATAAATAATATATATCATATTTCAGATTGTACTAAAACAACAAAAATTTAGGTTTCTAAATTGCATATTTAGGCTCATTAAGTAGACCAATATTGAATTTAAACTTTCTAGTTTAACGAAATCCTAAAATTATACCAATATTGGTCTCCATGAGAATGATCTAAACAGAAATGACCTAAATCTGAATTGTTTTAGTATAATCCTAAATTGGATTATTTTGAATACTATTCAAATCTTAAAACTTTATTATTTATTACAGAATACTCTTTTTTTTATTTAAAAATGTTCTGAAATGTAAAACTTAGAGTTTTTATACAATCTCCTTAGAATTGTCATCTTGTTATAATACGAATAACAAGATTTTCTTTTTAAATTCATCTATTTTTTATAAGTTTACTAACAGATTGATTGTCAACTCTTTTTTATTTTTATAGAGCTAGTTTATAAGAAATTTATGAAATACTTTTCTTTATAGATCCTCACTTTTTTCAAAGCTTAATATTAAAAATAATAAAATTTTTTTATACTTGCTAACTTAAAAATTAATATTTCTATTCTCGAAGTTTCCAATATTATTATTTTCAATCAGAATTAGGCTTCGATAATTGCTAATATCGTTTTTTTAAAATTATTTTAGGGTTGTTCCTTAAAATAGAGCAACTAGGATTAATTTGAAAAGTACAACATTATAATAGTTTGAAAGAAATCAAGATCTTTGAAAATCTTTTAACTGTTTATTTTACCCTATCTAATTTAATTATTTTTTCATTCTTTATATAGATATAAAAAAGCTAATTGAATAATTACATAAATTAAACTAGTTAATTAATTTGTATTTTTAATTCTATTTTGAAGATGATGAGATTATCACTTCATAGGAAGATAATATAAACTAAGTATGAATTTAGGATTTGCTTATGAAATGTTTAGGTATTTGTTTATATATTGTGGAGATAAGTTAAATTAATGAGAGAGGTAATTTATTCAGCACTATCAAAACATGGACAATTCCTAATTTCTGGCAATTGATTTTAGGAGGGTATCACCGATCGCTTTTACTGAGAAGCCTTCAACTTGAAGGATAAAATAAATAGTCTATTCTAAATCGAATATCCCATTTTAGCACATTACGAATTTTCCCTTAGTAACAAACATTTTTATTCAACTTCGTATCAAATAATAATCATCATATTTCTTTCTATTTCCCATTCTATATTAATGGGCTTGAGTTATTTTCGTAAGATCAACTCAGGATTTTCTTAATTTCATATTTTTTAATTGTAATCTTTTTCTTGATAAATCTTTTAAATCTAATATTCCAATTTTAAATAGTTTAAATTTTCAGATGGGTAATGTTGAAATAATTCCTTTCAATTTCGTGTTCAACACAGATAATTATTGATTTCTAGATAAAAAAAAATAATCATTTTAAGTTGTTGCGTTTTAGAATCTAATATATAGAGTTAAATTGAAATATCATTAATCAACCGGATTGCAATAAAACTCGATGTTATTAAATAAATTAATTTAAATGAAAATTTATTCATTTTGAATAAACAAAATACAGTATGTAATCTAGATTAAAAATCACAAATTCGTCATTTATTTTGTTAATACTATTCTCATTGATTGATTGATTGATTGTGTTTCAACTATTTCTATATATTTACAACAAGAAAACTAAAATATAGGTATATAAAATTCTATTAAACCTAATCTAATATTTTCTTATATAAAAATTATTTTTTTAGAAATCTGCCTTTATTAAAATTATGTTGTAGAAAGAGACGATCAATTTTAAATGTAAGTTACACATTGACGAAAATATTGAATTCTGTTGTCTCAAAAGAGATTGCAAAGAAGAAAGGTTGGTTTGTTTTTAATGCTTGAAAACGACAGAACATCTCCAACATATGATTGAAGTTGGTAAACTTGAGCAGGCTTAATTGACTATCAATGGAGAATTGAGGAAACTTAAAGAGGCTATTACAACTTCAAAAAATATATTTAATGAAGTTTAGAACTTGTTCAAAAATTTAATCAAAGGATTAGAAGATAGAGTCTTTGGAATAGAGGCAACTATTAATTTAATGGGTTAAAGTGAATTTTAAGATACACTATCATCAGCTTTGACATTCGAAAGAGTTCAATTTTCAATTTAATAATCAATTGAACCATAAATATCTAAGTTAAAAAAAACTATTGAAGAAGTTTATTAAAATTGTTAATTAAATATATTTACAAAGAAGGATGAATAAACCTTGGTTGAAATTGGTATGATTTAATAATAAAATAGGAAACTATTTAATTAAATAATAAGTTTATTAAGATGCTATTAAATACTATGATGAATGTTTAAATATGAATTCCTAAAATGAAGAGGCTTTATTTGGAAAGGGTAATATCTCATCATATTTCAAGCGGAATGTTTAAGGGTCACACAAAAATTTAATTTGGCAATAGAATTTTATTAAAAAGTACAATCAATAAATTAAAGCAATCCTCAAGTTTACATTCAACAAGGTTTAGAATAATTGATTTTTTAGGAGAGTGCTTACGATATTTACATAAATTCAAGAGTGCAATTATTTGTTACGATCAAGCTTTAAAAATAAAATAAAACTGATTTTAAATCAATTTATCTTAAGGGTAAAAGATAAAGAAATAATTAGGTTATTGCTTACAAGCAATATCGAATTTTAAATAAGCAAGAGAATGTTTCAATTAAATAATCCAAGCCGGATCTGATGAAATCTATACTCTACTTGCTAAAAGTAAGAATTTTTGAAAAATAGGCATGTTGTTAACATAATAATTAGAATTGGATAAAGCAACACAAATACTTGACGAAATTTTAGTAAATTCTCCTTTTAATTATAATGCCTTATGTGTGAAAAGTAACAATTTACTTATGTACTTTAGTTGAATGTCTTATTTCATTAGAAAATTACTAAGAAGCTTTAATAACTTGTGAAACAATGATTCAAAGATATCCAAAAGATATTAGGGTTTTTTTCTACAAAGGTATGTATATTCTATAATCTTAAGGAGCCCTATTAACTCAGCTATAAGATTTTGCAGAAGCAAATAAATTAGTAGAGGAGCTTAAGGAAATTGATGAAACATTATGGATGATTTAATTTTTCAAAGGTGAATATTAATTTAATTTCAAGCATTGTTCTTATTATAGGAGGATAAGATAGATCAAAGTTTGGAACTATTTGATAGCATTATGGCTATTAATCCATAAAATGTATCAGTACTGAAGCAAAAAGGTAAAATACTTAAATAGTTTTAGCATTAATTCTCAATTAAAATGATCCTGAATAAACTACAAAATTTTATGATGAGTTGTATAGCAAATAGCAATTCGATTAACTTCCTTTAATCTTAAAAGGTGAATGCTTATTTCTAAGCAAAAAATTTGAAGAAGCTATCTCCACTTTTAACATTATTTTATCTTAAGATCCCGATTTTTGTTAAATGTAAATATTGAAAGGTGATAGATCTTTAATTTTTAGTTTAATGCTTAATGGAATTAAAAAAATATTAAGAAGTTATGGATTTTTGTGATAAAATGCTGGATGTTTATGAAGAAAATGAAATTTTTAAGGAAATAAAGAGTAATATATTAAAGAATACATTAGATTAAGCCTTAGAAAAAATAGAAAATGGTGATGAATAAGTAGAAAAAGAAGAGGTTGAATAACAAGAAATAGAGGACAATTTTGATATCATAACAGAAGTCTAGATTAATTGAAAATAATATAAATAATATTATTTTACAATATTCTTGAATTTTGAACATTTCTCACTAAGTTAGAAGTTCTCTAATGCCCAAACTGTTTGTTTAATTCTCACAGCTTATAATCAGATTGGTATTATATGATGCAAAATTTGGAATAAGCTTTAGGGACTAAAATATACACTGCCCCTTAGAACCACAGCAATAAGGTCAATATTTATACAAAAATACAATAATTTAATTTTCAAATTACAAATGATATTTTCAATGAAAATTCTTTCATACATATATTTGCATTTCAATAGGGTTATTTTCTTTAAGAATCTTTTGAAAAGCTTCAATTTTCGGAGCAATTCAATCCTAAACTATTTTTGGAGTAATTTTGGAAAGATATCCAATACCTTTGATGATCATGGACCATTTATTAGTTAAATTACTTCTCTTGATTCAACTTGGCTGTTTATTCAACAAAATAACATGGAAATTTTAAGATTCTTAATGTTCTACAAATAAGGAAGCAGGTTTACTATCTTTATATTTTTAGCAATACAATCATTTAACTAGTTTTAAAATATTTGTTTTCATTTTTTTAAATTAACTTATTTTTGTATTCAATCGTTATATAAATAGTAAAATATCAAAATAATTAAATTTTACCTGATTATACTACTGTGGAGCTTATAGGTTCAAAATTAATTCGCTTTTGCAAATTGTATTGAAAACACTTAATTTTTATAACATACAAAGTCAAAAATCAGAGGAAACTATGTGGATGTAGCTTCAGAAAAAAAAGGGGCCGTCATCTCAACAGCTAGAAATAATTTGTTTTCCTTTTAAGGTACTCTTGCAAGTCCTTTAAGGGATTATCTCTATTTTTTTAATAATTTATCATAGTATGTTGGCCATATTGACTTTAATTTACATTAATCTATAATTATTGAGCTGTTGCACCCATATGAAATAAATTTAGTGAGGTTTAGATTATGGGATAATGACAAACGAATTGCTGAATTACAAATTTTTATTGTAGTAGTTGACAAAATCACAGAGACCGAAATTTTTAATGGATTCACCTAATATGTAAGTGAGGTTAGATTTCCTGATCAAATTGTAACAAAGATAAGATTTTACAATAAAAATGTTACATCTGTTACAATCCATAAAATTATTTCAATCATTAAGATTTAGGCATTTTATTAATTGTGATAATATTAAAAATTAGTATAATCAGTTTAGATGCTAAAAGCTCTGAATACTATTTCTATTTTTATGTTTTAAAAAGAGAATAATTTTGAACCTCTTTATTAGGTTATCAAAAAGGATATATAAATATCAATATATTAATAGATTCTCAATTACTATAAATCTATTAAGTTGAAAAGTAAAGAAAAAATTTAGACAAATTAAATTAATTTACACAAGATCTTAGGGAGTAGAGATCCTTATGATTTTATCAGAATTAGAATTATTTTATGCTTAATCAAAATTGTATTTTTTCAGAGCTTTGGAAAAATTCATTTTTTATATTTTAAATCTAATGTAATGCTGTAACTCTTAAATTAATTGTTAAGTTTTTTTCATTTTATTCTAAGAAGTGCTTTTTCAATTAATTTTATTTGGCAATAACTTTTTAGGAGTTTCATTTTGATCATAAAAGATAGATGACTAAACCACATAACTCAATTTTATTTATTACTTTAAACCAAACTTAATTTTATCGACAGAAAACTTCTTTGCCTTTACTTTTAAGATAAATACGATCTTTTTAAATATCATCT